CTGTCAAGCCATTGCTCTAAGATTCCAAAAGGAGGAAGTGGTAAGTATACATATTCTTTATCTTCCTCTACTTTCGGAATTTTCTTACATCCATCATTGATCCTGTGTGTTTTCATTGCAGCCATCTCTCTTCGAAAATTTCCCACAAATTTACCATTCGGCCTTATCGCAGCAGCTGAGAGCCTTTGTCCGAAGCGACAACTTTGGCTATGCCATTTCTTTCATCCTTGTTGTGAATTTCATTGCTGTAGTTGTTGAAACAACGGTATATCTTGTCCCCATAAAGTGTACTTCCTTCACATGTAATTCCTAATCTTTGCATACGCCATAACAGGTCTATTTATGCAGCTTGATATCGAAGAAAGTTCGGCTCAGAAGCCCTGGCAGGTTGCCGAGTTTGTCTTTGGTAAGAACTTGACTGTGTTTCCACTACCTTCTCTTCTCCATTTATAGTTTTGAAAAAGGTTTACCTATACTTTTGTTACAATCAGAAATACCCTTTCTATAGTCTTGCGACTGTAGCTGCTAAAATTTAACAGATAGTTTTTCAGGAGTTAATATCTTTTCATGATGTACAGGTTGGATATATGTGTTGGAGATGGCTCTTAAGATATATTCATATGGATTTGAGAATTATTGGAGGGAGGGTCAGAACCGGTTTGACTTTATAGTCACATGGGTCATTGGTAAAATTCTTGACGCAGAACATTCATCTTGTTTTACCGATTGATGGTTATGCTGTATAAACTGATAATATTTGTATGCACAGTTATTGGGGAGACGGCTACCTTCATCACTCCAGACGAGAACACTTTTTTCTCAAACGGAGAATGGTGAGAAATAACTGTAACACATCTCTAACAGTGCTTACCTTTTGTACATTTAGTTCTACAAAGTCCTGACTGTCTTTCTCTTCCGTCATTGACAGGATCCGGTATCTTCTGCTCGCAAGAATGTTAAGATTGATAAGGCTTCTAATGCACGTCAAACAATACAGAGCATTTATTGCGACGTTTATCACTCTTATTCCAAGTCTGATGCCATATTTAGGGACCATTTTCTGCGTTCTGTGTATCTACTGCTCTATTGGTGTACAGGTAATCAGACTTCTCCTGAAAATTGCATGTTTGCATATCATTTTTATGTGTTTCCACTCTCTTAAATTCATTTGTTCATAGGTCTTTGGCGGGCTAGTGAATGCTGGGAACAAAGAACTCGCCAAAACCGAGATGGTTGAGGATGAGTATCCTTTTGTGGCTTTACTAAAACCATTTTATGCGACCCAACAAGTCTCACTTGGTAGATACTGAGTTTCTGTGATCTTCTCTAGTATATAACGTTTTTCTTAATTGAAAAATTCAGCTATCTATTGTTCAACTTCAATGACTATCCCAATGGAATGGTCACACTCTTTAATCTGCTAGTGATGGGTAACTGGCAAGTCTGGATGGAGGTAATATCACTCTGTTGTGCTTAAATTTAGACATTTTATAATTTGAACAAGAGACATTGATAGATGTGATTATAAACAGCTTCCTTCTCAATGCTCTGACTGCAATGGTACAGTGTTTTTAATTACTCTAATGTTGTTTTCTCCAGACCTACAAAGATTTGACAGGGACGTGGTGGAGCATTACGTATTTCGTCAGTTTCTATGTCATCACTGTTTTACTTCTGTTGAATTTGGTGAGATTCACTGACACCAGACTGGTCGTGATTGTTGTTGTAAGAAAAGCCAGCCCAGCTTGGCTGATTAGTCGACTAATCTGTGCTTGTTTGTTTCAGATTGTTGCCTTTGTCTTGGAGGCGTTCTTTACTGAGCTGGATCTTGAGGAAGAAGAAAAATGTCAAGGACAGGTACTTTGCGTCTTTTCAATTCGCCATAAAAGTACATAGATATAAAAGATGACTAGTGTTGTTTCCTTGGTATATTGTTCGAATTGTGGGTTTAACCGGTTTATTTATTCTGATTATTGTTGTTGCAGGATTCTCAACAAAGAAGGAACCGGTCACGATCTGCAGGGTAAGTTAAAGAGATCAAATTTTGTTTTTCTTTTCATAAAAGTTAACAGTAGATTCAAAATCTGAAGTTTTTGTTGTTTGGTGGTGTGGTGAAATTGTGAAAAGGTCGAAGTCTCGGAGTCAGAGAGTTGATACACTTCTTCATCACATGTTGGGTGATGAACTCAGCAAACCAGAGTGTTCCACTGCTAACGAATAAGAAAGGTCTTTTCTTGTGAATCTTGGAAGCGTTCTTGATTCTATGTAGAGAGATCAATAGAATCTAGAAGGTAAAGTAACTACGTTTTGATTGTTTGTTGAAGATTTAAACATATAACGATTGTGTTTATATGGTTTTGGGCCTTTTCGTGTGTTCTGGTGTCTGTAATGGCAAATACATGGTGATTATCGATTCTTTTGACCCTTTTGTAATGTTTATTGACTTTGATTAAGATATTTTACATGCAAACGTATGAAGCAAACCCAAGAGAAGAAAAAATAGAACTAACCTTGTCTTGGTTGTGTTTTTGGAGGCATATTTTGACCATGTCTTCCCAGTACTCGCCGCAAAGTTTGATCGGCACGCGCTTCCAGCTCCATACTGAATGTCAAGATTCAAACGTTTGAATTTAATACCAGGCCTAAGCAGTGGATCCGCATAAATTCCCTAACCACACATACGTTGTACTAGATAATCACTATGTGTCGCAATTCAATTTCATGAATTTAGTTCACATTCAAACTCACAAAGTCGTACCTTGCTCTCGATGATATGTCGTTTCAAGATGCGAGTGTGTTTCATAGCCTCCTCAATGTTCTCTCAATTTGTATTCTGACCAAAAATACATTTGTCCCAAATCAAAACGTCCATACCCTCTAAATAACAGTTTTTTAGGCGATCATAAATGCATATTCATTTGTAAAGGGCCAATGAGAGGGAATACGAGATGAGCTTGGAGAAAAGAATAAAAGGGTGTAGAGAAATCAAGACATGAGCAAAGTTGTGTTAAAAAAAAGGGAAAAAACAGAGCAAAGTAGAAATTTTTTTAGGGAATTATGAATAATTGATAGCTTCGTATTTGCATGTGAGACTTAAACTATAAGCTTATACTCGTTTAGTTATATCTTCTTGTTCTATGTTCTTCATATCTTCTTGCTCAATTTTTTTTTTTTTGCTCTGTTTTTTTCTTTTCTCATCATAAGCTACTTTTGCAAGTCGTTTGTGTGACAAAGACAGTAGAAAACCTTGAGAAGCTAAATCTTTTTTTGATAAAGAACAAAAAAATTGAGAAGTTAAATCTTCCATGAGTATATATATATACATATAAGATACAGTTAGTTGAAAGACAAGCATTATCAGAAAACTTCAAGTTTTACCATAAAGGACCATGATATTTTATTAATTTAGCGAATTATTAATTTATCGAGAGATAATTTGAATCAAAAACTTAGTTTGGAACCAGAAAATTATATTGATTAATCGAGTTATTAATTTATTGAGTATTAATTTATAGAGTTTCTACTGTATGTCTAAACCCGAAAACCCGAAATCCAAAAAATCCCGAAAACCCTGAACCGAATAAAAAAACAACTCAAAACGTTTTCACCCGAACCCGACCTAAAAACCCTAATAAAATTTTTAAAATACCCAAACTTTTTTAATATGTCTAAACCCGAAAATCCTGAATTAAACCAAAAAAAAACTCGAACAGAAATCCACAATTTGACTTAAATTAGACGTATTTCTATTTCACTATTGGAAATTTTGCAAATATCATTCGATCATATTCTATTGATTTGGTATTATTGATAGTTTATGTTAATTTTTTTTTTGCAGATTTAATATCTGGAAAACGGAAGTTTTCCAAACCATCGGTTTGTTTTAAGTTATTATTCTTGTATCCAAACAATTTTTTCCATTTATTCTTATATTTAAGTAGATTTTTTTCTTATTCTTATATCCAAACAACTTTTGTTTACATTTATTCTTCTATCCAAATAGATGTTTATCTAATTGTTGTATCCAAACATTAAAATGTATTTCTCAATTAATAATATAAAGATAAGGATAAACCCATCATTCTTCAGTTTGATTTATCATACTTAGACTTGGCACATCATATCCGAAGACACACCATGAAGATTAATTTTTAATCAGAAATTTGAAAATATACATCAATAGTGTATTAGATGTCATGATTAAGAGTTAAAACTAGATGTCACATTTGGGAATTGTTGTAGAAAGCATTTTTCATTTCGAAGATGTTGAGGTTTAAAATATATTAATCACTTTCATAGTTGAAGAACATTTGTGGTTTTTTTCCATTTGCAATTGGTTGTTAATGTAAAATGATATTGAAAAAGAAATCATCTCAGATGTAATAAGTTATTTGAATTAGACAACCGATATTTTGTTGGTTACATTATATGTTAATTGGTTATCATTTATGGATTCTGCATGTTAAATGTTATTTGGTGATAATTTATACTATAACTAGTGTAGAGTATGTGTTCTTATTTGCTACATTCTATCAGTTCAAAAGGGTTCATGTTTTGGTGCAAGTATTGTACAAAAAGGATAAACTCAGCACCTTGTGTCGTGATTTATTCTACCTAGACTTGGCCCATCATATCCGAAGATACACCATGAAGAACCATTTTTAAAAAATTTGTAAGTAATTATCATTTACATTTGAGACATGGACTCCATAGTGTATTGGTTTGTCATAGGTGAAGCTTTGAGAGAGAACAAGTGCAGGAAATTCAAGAATGTCTAAGAAAACTGTTACTTGGAAGGGATTTACAATCTTAATCAGGGATTTCAGGCTGCATTTGGGAAAGAACAATCAAGACAAGACTGCGTTTACAATCTTTTTGCTATTTTTGCTTAATCTGATTTTCCTGAATGCTTCTAAACTATGGACTTGTTTCTTTTGAGTATGAGATTATCCAATGTTTTAATGTGACAGTTTGATGTTTAGTTTCAGGAAAATTACGAGATGGATGATGGAGAAGAAAGGCCAGCTGTAGGAGCAAGACCAAAACCAGCTAAAGAACCCAACCCTCTCAACCAGACAAGACAGGACCGTGAAGCTCAAGTACAAGCCGAGGCAGAACCAGCTGAGCTTTTCCAAGCGCAACAAGATCAAGCTCAACAACTACTCCCTGCGAGCAAAATACTGGTATTGTATTAATTGGCTGGCAAATTCTGAAACAATGGAAACTTGGTTTTATTACTAACTTTCTTTTGATGTCTATGGTAGCCATTTGGTGATGGTAGCTTATTCCTTGGAGATTGGACACCTTCAGGACTTATCAGTGATCCAATTTCTCAAAAAGAAGGTATTTTCAGACTACATTAATTTGAATTTTAACTGTGTTCTGTTGTTAGCCAAAACTAATTTTGTATATCTTAGACACATGTGTTTCAGTTGTTTTTGCACATCTTCTACAAATATCATACAACAAAGACAAAACGGTTGCTCAACGCCGGGACTTGTCTTATCTCGATTTGGCACACCATATCAAAAGCCAAACCAAGAAGAAGAATTTTTCGTTCAGGAATTTAAACATTCCGATCAACTACATTAGAGAGGTGGGACTCTACAAAGACGTAAGTGATTTTAATCTTTGTTTCATTTCAGTTCCTAATGTATACATTCTGGATGTAATAACAACTCTTAAAACTGTTTGTTTGTGTAGGAAAAAATAACAGGACCGGGAGTGAAGACTAAAGGTAACTTTGATCATCGACAAGAAGCTTCAAAAAAATTTGTTTACGAAACATTGGAGACCACACCTCTGGGAATTGTCATAGACAACTCTCCTGAATTTGAATGTATTGAAATGGTAAGTTAAAACTGAACTTGTTTGAACATGAAAAGAAATGCTAATACATAATATTAACGTAGATACTTGCCATTTTGATTCTGTAGGGAATTCATCACGTTCCAGCCATTCCACGTAACACAAATACTGGGAGTTTGGGAGTGGGATCACACCAAGTGGAGTGGATTTCCTGATTGTTCAAAATTCTTGGGGAAAAGGATTTGGCAACAACGGTTATAGAAGATTGCATCTACCAGCTAAGGGTAAATTTAAGATATTTTGGCCAACTGATTAGATTATTTCTTGCTAACGGTTTATTTGAATACAATAGCCACTTTGACAGTTAAAGAACACTTAGGGCTTTTATCTTTTGCAAATATTGTTTTTTGATATGTATGACATGGAGAAGAAAGAAAGCTTCACATTTAGTAGACAATTTGGATTAGACGTTACAAGCTGAGAAGAAACCTTATGCTAGGGGCTGCTTCTCTTGAAAGTACTAAAACTTGCTTATTAGTTATTACAAAGAAAACTTTGCTCCTTTCTTTTGTTTCTATTGCTAACTTAAATATCAACCATCGTCAGAATAAGAACCAGTTGTGAAAAAGAATGAAAAACACGTTTGAGTCTGGACAAAGCTAAAACAAAACTGGCTATTAAGCAAGCCAATATTATATATTATAAGGTTTTATGTTTTGGGAGCTGGTCGACAGAGGAGGGTGTTTCTTTAGGTCGAGAGTAACCATAACCTTGGCTTGATACTCTACAAGATCTCCCTCCGGCTTCTCCCTTGCCATAAATGTAATGTATGACTTCGCTCTCGGTCCTCCGCAATAATTACCTCTCACAACTTTAACGAACTCCACCTTCGGATCCTTTGAACCAAAAGAAACAATCATATAATTAAATAATTCAGATTGTACATACATGTTCATATATCTATTCGTGAATGAATGAGCGATTAAGCAAAATCAGAAGAAGAATGAACAGAACTCGCCTTGTCTTGGTTGTGTTTTTGGAGACAAACATGCACCATCTCTTCCCAATGCCAAAACCTTATTGCTTTCTCGTTTGCTAAAATCTTTTCTTGTCTGAAGATGTTACTTTTCTACCTAGGAAACATATGAGATATTGTTGACTAGGATCAAACGTACTAGATCCAACCCAAGAAATACAAGAAATTCACATCATATGACCAAATACCATAATGAGTTGAGCCTGGATAGAACAAATCCAAAACTGGTTTAAAAGCAACCCAATCTATGCCTTAAATCGGCTTTGGCATAGGAGCCAGTCTACAGAGGATGGGGTGTCTCTTTAGGTCGAGAGTAACCATAGCCTTGGCTTGATACTTAACAAGAGGTCCATCTGGCTTATAAACCGGTATCTATTTCTCGTCTTTGATCCGTTACATGATTCATATATGCTACAAAAAAGGTATCCGTGACACTTGAGTTGGGTAATGGACATAATTTTGTTATGATAATGATTTGGTATTATTGAGTAGAGTTTTCTTTTAACTACTTGTTATGTTAACTGCTCATATCTAAATTATTACATGAGTCCTAAATATTGGTGATATTATTCATATCGCACCGTTAGTATAGTTCTTTATAAATTATTTTCTAAAGTAATATGCAATTTAACTTTCTAAAGCTTTGAAGTTGATTTGTAATTGTGTTCGAATTTTGTAGTGACTGGATATGAACTTTTATAGATTTGGTAGCTATCTGATCTTTATATTAAATATTTGAAAACATGATTGTTTAAATGTTTTGGAATTTCATATGTTGATTAAAATGTAATTATGTGAATTTAGGTTCAGGTAAAGGACATGCAAACATTGAACATCATTCATCTCGTGTACATCTCTATTTTGTGTGGCTCATATTTCATATATATATGATAAAAATACACACCATATATAAGAAAAACTAAAACAAGAAAATTCATATATCACAGTAAACGATGTACCTAACAATATTCATTCCGTAAATTGTTTATTAATGAGTAAGCAATGGAGGAGCTGTAAAGCAAAAATTAAAATGAAAGAAGTCTTCAAATAGTCAAATAGTTACTTAAAGAATAACATGTAGAAGAGAGTTTCAAAGATATACTAAGCCTGAGAGTTGCCTATTTCGGCAAAGACTATGTTTTTCTTCTTTAAATTATAGAAGAATGCCAATAGGTTTGTTATTCTTCTCTCATCTAGCATCATCAGACCCAGAACCTTGTTTTCATCTTTTCTCCAACTTTGAAGAAGAAGCTTTAACGGGTAAGCATTGCAAGCTGTTCTCTTTATTTCTTCTTAAAAATGTGTTCTTGTTCTACGTTCTGTTCATTTTTGTGCAAAAGAAGAGAAGCTTTCTTATCAGCTCTCATCTTTTACCCATTTTGTTTTTGAAAAAAAATCTTCTTTCTCTCATCCCATGTTCTCAAATTTTCTATCTGTCTTGTTAAAATCTCTTATATCACCTACATTGATTCATCAACAAAAAAAAAAGGTTTCGAATTTGTTGTCGTTTTTCTCAATGTCTGACTGCAAATCGTTTTTCTCTGATTTTCCTTCACGTTTCTAGATTACAGACTTGTTTTCTTCATTTGACTATGACATCCAAGAGACATATGTGTAATCTAATGTTGGTTGATGTCATTTTAATTTCAGGAACAATGGAAAATGATGAAGAAGGACCATCCATCGGAGCAAGACCCAAGCCACCTAAAGGACCAAACCCTCTCAATCAATCCAAACGAGATCTTAAAGCTCGACGAAAGCGTGAAGAAGGCGAGCACTAGCACAAAGTCAAGTTTTACTTTACCATTCCAACACGCTCGAACTCAGTTAGCCACTCTATAACAATTCTCAAATGTAATATCAAATAAATTTATGACTTTGATTATTTTTGTAGGGAATCTATGATGTGTCATCTGTTCTAAGTGATAATACGGAATAACACTCATTGCTTGTCGTGGAAAGTGGCATAACAAAGTGTGGAGTAGAATTTTTAGTGGTTCAAAACTCATGGAAACATCATTTGGCAGCAAGGGTTATATATATTAGGTTGTTTCTCCCACATGATGGTAAGTTTAAAGTTTCCTTTCAGTTAGTTTTCTAAACAAATAATCTACATATCTATCTTATGGCAATAATTTCACTTAAACCAAAAAAAGAGACCCATTGAAATAGGTTTTACTTTTTTTTTGAGCAAATTTTGAGCATTTTTTGCTAACTTTTTGGGCATTTTTTTGTTTACTTCAACCAATAATTTTGTTCCTTATAGATAAATATAGTAATATCGAAAATCCGACGATCTACAAAGCTCTTATCTCTCTCGTTCATGGAAATGGTTTATCTCATCTAGATTGTTTATTGGCCGGTGGATTAGATTGTTTATCTCATCTAGTTGTAGGTTTAAAATCTGTTAATCAGGTTCTTAGTGAAAGAATGTTTGTGGTTTTTTCCTTTTGCAATTGGTTAGTGATGTGAATGTTATTGAAAGAAGTCTTTCGCATGTAGTAAATTATTTGAATTAGACGGTTGATCTTTTGTTGGTAATTTTATATTTGAATTAGACGGTTGATCTTTTGTGGGTTATTTTATAAGTACACAAGACATACAATATCAGTGTCGATAAAACCGTTTTATTCGATTAAACAACTCTATCTCTTATGCTTACTTTTGTGATCCCCTCAAGCAAAATCCCGACTAACAAACTAAAATCAAATAACAGTTAAAGCAGCATTGACCCTTACAGAAAATTCTTAAAAAAATCGTAGGTCCACAATCACTCTGTATCAAAAGATTAGTAAGGACAATCAATAAAGATGCCCTTTCATTAATATTAGTAGTGTTGAATCGCATCGCATGACAACCAAACACAAGTATTAAGAACATAAATTAAGTATGTTACAACACTGGATTAATAGAAACACAGTAATCTGACTTCACAGGATACGCCCTACGCCAAGTCCATCCTCTGAGAGTCCCCCAAACTAGTTGAAGATGACAAAAGAGAAGAGAAAGAGAAAGAAAACAATCTGTAAACATTAGAAGAAGGGCATACATCAGAATGAGTCAGCGATGATAGTTTTCTAAGAGATGAAGAAATGTGCCAAAAGAGCAATCATCAAACTCGGGCTTTACACCCTTTACACGCATGGCTTAAGTATCAGTTCATCGAGTTTGTAGACGATACTTGATGGAAAATGAACCAATGAGGCACAGTTTCAAACATTTTTGCTTTCTCGTTTGCTAAAATCTCCACTTGTCTGAAGATGTTTGAATGAAAAAAAAAATCTTCAGATTTTAGAGGAAGATGATATATAAAGTTCGGAAATAAGTAACTTAACTTGTAGGGAAACATGTGAGATATTGAGTAGGACTACACAAACTAGATCCAACCAGAAAACTAAGCAATTCACACATAGTGACCAAATAAAATACTACAGATTGTGAAGTAAGTAGGACCCATTTCATGCACAGCTTCAAGGAAAAACCTACTGTGACATCATACATCTAATTATGTGAGATATTATTGACTAGGATCAAACACACTAGATCCAACCCCCAAAAATCTAAGTAATTCACATCATATGACCAGTACCATATTGTGAAGTAATTAGTAGAATCCATTTCATGCACAGCTTCAAGGAAAAACGAACTATAAACACAATCTGAACATTTTTGAGTTGAGCCTGGATAGAACAAATCCAAAACTGGTTTAAGAGCAACCTAACCTATCCCTTAAATCGGCTTTGGCATAGGAGCCGGTCTACAGAGGATGAGGTGTCTCTTTAGGTCGAGAGTAACCATAGCCTTGGCTTGATACTCAACCACAGGTCCATCTGGCTTCTCCCTCGCCATAAATGTAATGTACGACTTGGATTTCCGTCCTCCGCGATAGTTACCTCTCACAACTTCAACAAACTCCAACTTTGGATCCTGTGAACCACAAGAAACAATCATAAATGATTCAGATTTTACATTCATGTTCATATAGACCGCGAATGAATAGCGATTAAACAAACTCAGAAGAAGAAAAGAAAAAACAGAACTTGCCTTGTCTTGGTTGTGTTTTTGGACGCATACATGCACCATCTCTTCCCAGTAATCACGAAAGGTTCTGCCGGGAAGCGCGATCATGTCCAAGGCATTGGTTTGATTCCTTTGTAGAGATACATACGACTTAGCTCTGGTTCCATGTAAAATCCCTAACCACACAAATACGTTGAACTAGAAATCACCATCTATTCCACTCAATTTCATGAATCTACCAAACATTCTAACCAAAAAAGATCGTATATATACCTTGCTATTGATTAGCTGGCGTTTGTCCATGTTGTAGTGTTCTACAGCCACATCCTCGTCGGATAAAGGTGAGGAAAGCTCTTCCTCCGCTGAAGAATAATACTCTAAACCATCGAAGCTGTCCACGTCCCACTCTGGCGCCTGTAGTATCTCCAGTATTTCATCCTCAGGGTCGTCAGTTTTGGGTTTCTCATCACTGCCTTGTTCAATCTCACCATCGCTCTCTTCTTCCTCCTCCGGCTCGAGCTCGGTCCTCACAACCACTGGAGAAGACACTTCCATGGGTTCTGACGCGTCCTCCAACATGATCGATGCTTCCATGGATTCAATTGCTTCCTCAAACTCTCGCTCGATTCTCCTTCTCTCGATACCCTAAACCTATCTTCATTGGATTTAGTAATTAAAGTGTTTCATTGGTCAAATTTAATTAAAATGTATTAATATGAAATATTGTTACTACACAATAAACATTACAAGATAGTTTTCTAAAAGATGAAGAAATGTGCCAAAAGAGCAATCATTTAACTCGGGCTTTACACACATGGTTTAAGTATCACTTCACTTCATCGTGTTTGTAGACGATACTTGATTGAAAATGAACCCATGAGGCACAGCCTCAAACATTTTTGATTTCTCTTTTGCTAAAATGTTCACTTGTCTGAAGATGTTTGAATTCAAAATATTCAGATTTCAGAGGAAGTTATAAATAGTTTTGATGAAACAAGTAACTTAACTTGTAGGGAAACATGTGAGATATTGTTGACTAGGATTAAACAATCTAGATCCAACCAAAAACCTAAGCAATTCACATAGTGACCAAATAAAAAAACCACAGATTGTGAACTAAGTAGGAGTTATTTGCATGCACCGCTTCAAGGCAAAACCTAGTGTGACATACAGTACATCTAATTATGTGAGATATATTATTGACTAGGATCAAGCACACTAGATCCAACCCAAAAAGATATAAGTAATTCACATCATATGACCCCACACCATATTGTGAAGTAATTAGTAGAATCCATTTTATGAACAGCTTCAAGGCAAAACGAACTATAAACATAATCTGAACACTTTTGAGTTAAGCCTGGATAGAACAAATCCAAAACTGGTTTAAGAGCAACCTAAATCGGCTTTGGCATAGGAGCCGGTCTACAAAGGATGGGGTGGCTCTTTCCGTCAAAAGTAGCCATAGCCTTGGCTTGATACTCAACGAGATCTCCATATGGCTTCTCCCTCGCCAGAAATGTAATATATGACTTGGATCTCCGTCCTCCGCGATAGTTACCTCTCACAACTTCAACAAACTCCAACTTTGGATCCTGTGAACCACAAGAAACAATCATAAATGATTCAGATTTTACATACATATTGATATATCTACTTGTATATATGGACCGTGGATGAATAAGCGATTAAACTAACTTAGAAAAGAAAAACAGAACTTGCCTTGTCTTGGTTGTGTTTTTGGACACAAACATGCACCATCTCTTCCCAGTAATCACGAAAGGTTTTGCCGGGAAATGCGATCATGTCCAAAGGCATTGCGCTGATTCTTTTGAAGAAATAAACACGTTTTAGCTCTGGATCCATGTAAAATCCCTAACCACACACACAAGTAACACGTTCTACTTTAGAACCACCACTCAATTTCATGAATTTACCAAACATTATAACCAAAAGAAAGATCGTACCTTGCTATCGATCAGCTGGCGTTTAGCGATGCGGTAGTGTTCTTCAGCCTCCTCCTCGTCGGAATATGAAGACGAAAGCAAAATCTCCGGTGAAGAATAATACTCTAAGCCGTCGAAGCTGTCCACGTCCCACTCTGGCGCCTGTAGTACCTCAGGTATTTCAGCCTCAGGCTCCTCAATTTTGGGTTTCTCATCACTGTCTTCTTCAGTTTCGCCATCGCTCTCTTCTTCCTCCTCCAGCTCGAGCTTTGCCATCAGGCACGAATCGACAACCACTGGAGAAGATATTTCGATGGATTCTGCCGCGTCCTCCAACGTGCTCGATGCTTCCATGGATTCAACTGCTTCCTCAAACTCTCGCTCGATTCTCCTTCTATCGGATTCGATGATCGACCAAATCCCTAAATCTCTCAGCTCCGAGCCAAGTAGGAAAGTGAAAAATGAAAACTGAAAAGTAAAACTGATATAAACTTGTTAAATACAGTATTTACGGAAACATCCCACTAAAATCAATCAATTATAACGAATAAATACCCTACGTGGCTACGTTAGCGAAACATCCCAATTCAAAAATATACACGTGCCCAAGCACAGATTTCAGAATTTGGCAAACAGACCAAAATTATTTTGAATTGTTGATACTAGTCAACAAATAAAATATTTCGAACTGTTGATACTTGATACCAAATTTATTTTGAATTGTTGATACTTGATAGTCAATAGAATTTGGCAAACAGACCAAATAATTGTTTGTAGCGACAAAATAAAAAAAGTGAGAATCAATTCTCAGTCTCCTCTCTATTGTTTCAAACAGTTTTTGTTCCTCGTTTGCTAAAATTTGACTTGTCTGTGGATGTTTGAATTCAAAATCTTCAGATTTCAGAAGATGTTTCCAAACTATTTATCAAGTAACTTAACTTGTAGGGAAACATGTGAGATATTGACTAGGACTACACAAACTAGATCCAACCACAAAACTAAGCAATTCACAAAGTGACCAAATAAAATACCCACAGTTTGTGAAGTAAGTAGGAGTCATTTGCATGCACCGCTTCAAGGCAAAACCAACTATGACATATATCTAAATCCAAAACTGGTTTAAGAGCAACCTAACCTATACATTAAATCGGCTTTTGGAGTAGGAGCCGGTCTACAGAGAATGGGATGCTTCTTTCCGTCAAGAGTAGCCATACCCTTGGCTTGATACTCAACAACATCTCCATCGGGCTTCTCCCTCGCCATAAATGTAATGTATGACTTCGGTCTCGGGCCTCCTCGATAATTACCCCTCACCATTTCAACAAACTCCACATTCGAATCCTTTAACCAATCACAAACATAAATGACTCAGATTTAGCCTCTTAACGTATGAAAACTTAGCAAACCCACGCGACAAAGAAAAAGGGAAACAGAACTAGCCTTGGGCTTGTCTTGGTTGTGTTTTTCAAGACATATAGAGACCATCTCTTCACAGTACTCGCGGAAGGTTTTCCGATTAGCCCCTCCCCCCTCAAAACTCAACGGTTTGATTCCTTTGTATAAATCACTTGGCCTAAGCCCTGGATCCACCATGAAGCCCTAATCACACACAAAATCACTATCTATTTCTACTAAATTCCATGGATTTTTACTTCACATTCAAAGCAAATTACAGTGTGGTTACCTTGCTGTCGATCAACTGGCGTTTATAGATGCGATAGTGTTCACCAGCGTTCTCCGTTTTGTCGTAAGGCTGCTCATCGGAGGGAAGGTCCGGCTCCGGAGATGAGTAATACTCTACACCATCGAAGCTGTCCACGTCCCACTCTGGCTCCGCCATGGGATCTGTTTCGTCAGACTCTGAAAACTCGACAATGCCTTCTTCAATCTCACCATCACTCTCTTCATCATCCTTGGGTTCTGTTGGCTCCTCCAACTCGCGCGAATCTCCTTCTCTCGTTGTTCCGGCTGCCCATGGTTTGAGAACCATGACGATCGAGTAAAAATCCCTAGAACCCTACTCTGTTCAAAAATTCAAATTGGGGAAGTGAATCAGACTGTATCCCGACTCCGATCTGAGCTCAGAAACCGTACCCAAAATCCGAATCCGAAACCGACCCAAAACTTTTGGTTAGATCCGGGTTTGGTTGGTTATTCAGAAATTTCTAAATGGATCTCATATGATTTGGTACTTTAGGTTTTCGGTTCGGTTCAAGTAATACTTGAAATCATTTGAGTAACAACATATCCGAAATGATAAAGACCTACGAAATGATAAAGATCACGGGGCGTTCGAAATGTGTCTCTATCGATGGACCTCCATTCATTACATAATGGTAAGTGCTAGGATTCACATGATAACAAAATATAAACAGAAGACGGATATCATTAAGAGACAAGAGCTTAAGATAAAATGTAACAACTAGATTAATTATTAAAAACACAATCATCTGACTTCAGGATATGCCATTTGCCAAACTCCATCTTAAGCTCTTATCTCAAACCCAATCGTCTAAATTCCACAAATCCCGCTTTTAGTCAAAAGAAAACACAAAGAAATTACAAGTCAGCAAGTCAAGCCAGCAATAGCCTTCTTGAAAGGCGCGAATGGACATCAAGAGAGGTTTACAAATTCGCTATTTGCTGATCCATAATGTTAATGCTCGTGAAAACATTTTATTTACGTAATTATTCATAGTTACAGAAAGAGAAACTAATTTTAACCAAAAATACCCTTTCTTTTTAAAATAAATTACCAAATGCCATTGATAATTATTCATAACACTATTCATTAATCACATAAAATACACTATTTATCCCAAATTGAATACACTATTCATCACCAGATTTTATGCAATTTTAGTTGTAACTAAATAGTTACCATGCTAACTAAAATAATATTATGATAACTATTCAATTATTGTGTTAACTAGAGGTGTCAAAATGGATAACCCAACCCATCCAACCCATTATCCAAGTGGATTTAGTGCTAATGGATCATGGATTAATCCAATCCATTTAGGAAATGGGTTGGTTTGATCCATTATCCATTTAATTAGATGGTTTTAATGGGTTAATGGATGAATGGGTTAATGGATGATCCACAAACAAATATAACTAAAAATTTATATATATTAAAATAAAGATAACTAAACAAAATCTATAAACATCACAAAAATCTATAACCCATTAAATCTGTAAAATCGTAAAATCATGTCTTTCCGCCAAAATCGTAAATCACATCTTTCCGCCGAAACGTAAAATCGCAAAACACGATTTTTCATCAAAACCGTAGAACCACGTTTCCGTCAAAAACATAAACTCACTGTTTTTTGCAACGTAAAATTGTGATTTATGCACAAAACAGTAAAATCACGTCTTTCTCCCTAAACTGTAAAATCACGTTTTTCAACCAAAACCGTAAAAATCAGTTTTTCCATCAAAACATAAAATCACAACTTTCCCCAAAAACCATGTTTTGCGGTTATGGCGGAAAACCTTGATTTTGCGGTTTTGATAGAAAACCGTGATTTTGCGGTTTTGGCGGGAAACGTGATTTTGCGGTTTTGGCGGGAAACCGTGATTTTGCGGTTTTGGCGGGAAACCGTGATTTTGCGGTTTTGGCGGGAAACCGTGATTTTGCGGTTTTGGCGGGAAACGTGATTTTGCGATTTTGGCGGGAAACGTGATTTTGCGATTTTGGCGGGAAACCGTGATTTTGCGGTTTTGGCGGGAAACTCGTGATTTTGCGGTTTTGGCGGGAAACTGATTTTGCGGTTTTGGCGGGAAACCGTGATTTTGCGGTTTTGGCGGGAAACATGATTTTGCGATTTTGGCGGGAAACCGTGATTTTGCGATTTTGGCGGGAAACTCGTGATTTTGCGGTTTTGGTGGGAAACCTTGGCGGAAAACTGTGATTTTGCGATTTATACCAAAATTGTAAAATCGTTTTTTTTGTCAAATTTGTAAGATCATTCTTTTATGGTATTGTATTCAAATCCAACCAAATACAATTTTGGATTTATTATGTGGGAAAAAACATTTGATGTATAATTGTTTTTTTTTCTTTTAATAAAGTGGGTTAACCATTGATCCAACCCATTATAAACCAAACCATTTCAATCCAATCCAATTAATCCATCACCCATGTGAACCATTAACCCATTTGGATCCAAATTTTTAATCCATTTGGATTAATGGATAAGATGGATTGGGTCAACCCATGGATTTGGATCCATTTTGACACCCCTAATATTAACTGATATGTTATCATTAATATCTATCCAATTACTATGCTAACACTATTTAGTTATCGTGTTTACTAAATTAACATACAGAGTTAAGCTAATTATTATACAATAAAAATTGGAAATTATCACACTAACTAAAATGATATTATGCTAACTATCCAGTTGCCGGATATATTATCATTAATATCTATCCAATTACTATGCTAACTATTCAGTTACTATGCTAACACTATTCAATTATCATGTTAACTAAATTAACATATAGAGTTAAGCCAATTATCATATAATAAAATCTGAAATTATCATGTTAATACAAGATCATATCATTAAATTATTGTATTAACTTTTTTATCTTGAAAATCATTAGGTTAATCTTATTATCATTTTGTGAAACTATAATACATTAATCTTATAATCATTTAATGCTAAACATTGTTTTTCTTTAATAAAGTAAAAAGGGTATATAGTAATTTTCTTAGACATAACACGGTACAAAATTGTGTCAGAAAAACTAATCTAATTTCCCTATTATCCATCCATGGGTATATCTTACAATTTCCCTTATTCATATTGTCATACTAGTATAAGTCAAATGTTTTCACTAGCTTTTACATTATGTATCAATACGTTAAACTAGTATTGGTCTTTCTCAGAATATGATCCTCAGTTCCTCACAATTTACATGGCCCGATGGCCGGGTATATATACTTTATTATAATAAAAAAAAAGAATCAAGAAAAGACAACTTTATTTCTTTTACATTTTAATCCTCTTGTCTTAACGATATCAAAATCTCAGCTATTACAATAAACAAACATATAGCCGTTGTCTTTTTAGTCAACTTTCGGTAGACCAGCAGATCGGAGTCTTGAGGGATGATGAAGAACGAAGGTGATGATGATCGAACGGCTCTGATCTTTCTCGGAACAGGTTGCTCCGGCGCAGTTCCCGATTTCAGATGCTTGCTCCAGCCCTCGGATCCTCCTTGCCATGTCTGTTCTCAGTCCCTCTCTTTACTACCTCACCTTAATCCCAATTACAGGTAACTTTTGTCTCTTTCCGACATCAATTTCTATTTCTTGGGTCTTTGAAGCGAGACATCTTTTGTTCTCTCTGTCGGAATTTAGATTTTAGCCGGTTTTGGGTAAATAATGTATAAACCAATTATTCAGAAAAATTGGGATTTAGTTCACAGAAAGATCCGAGCACTCTTTGATCCAATCATAAATCTTGATTCTCTGATTTCGGCAAATGCAAATAATCAAGAGAATTTTTCTTTTGGTAATTTGTCTTTTAAGCTGCGGAGACTGTGAAATGTAAAATCTTGTTGTTGTCCGTAAGATTTTGGATCTTCCTAGAATTTAGGTAAAAAATGTAAAAATCAATGTTAAAGTGGCCTATGCCCGGGAACTATTTACATATTGGGATTTTATATCATTAAAAAGTTTCAGTTGATGACTTTAACAAACCCTTTTTTGGTCCTTTTTTTTTATCCATTCTTGAATCTTTGAGTCTCTGGATTTGGCAGATGCAATACATCACTCTTGATCGATTATTGCTGCAAGGAAGAAGATGGAAGACATTATTACATAATTATTGACGTTGGGAAGAGTTTCAGAGAGCAAGTCCTTCGCTGGTTTACCTTCTACAAGATTCCCAAAATTGATTCGGTTAAAGCCCTTTTTTTTTGCTATCTTCTTGATTTCTTACATCTGAAATGAAAATCTAAATTTTACTGATTAACATCACTGTATGATTTTGATGTGTGTAGATCATTCTAACTCATGAGCATGCGGACGCAGTTCATGGCCTAGATGAGATCCGATCTATTCAACCGCGAGGTCCAGCCATTAACACCAATCCACTTCCTGTCTTCTTATCTCAATTCTCAATGGAAAGGTAAAAAAATTTTGGCTTCTACATTTTTCGATTATTGTTCTCTAATGAGAGAGACTTCAATGCATTTTTTTGTGCAGCATTTCTACTAGGTTTCCATATCTTGTTGAAAAGAAGGTTAAAGAAGTACCTAGGCGGGTTTCGCAGCTTGACTGGAGTATCATCGAAGAGAATTGTGACAAACCATTCATTGCCTCAGGCTTATCATTCACACCTCTTCCGGTGAATAAACCAAAACAGTTTGATTCTTCTCTGACCCTGAGACCTTTTGTAATATACCTTGGGCTCTACGTTTTTGCTTTTTTTAGGTGATGCATGGAGAGGATTACATTGCTTTAGGTTTCCTTTTTGGTGATAAATGTAAAGTGGCTTATATATCAGATGTATCACGCATTCCACCGAGTACTGAGTATGGTAAGAGCTGATAACGTTTTTGCTTCTTCTATACTGGAAGATTGATCTTCATTATGGTTTATGGATCTTTGACTATGCAGCTATTTCCAAAGCCGGTGCTGGACAGTTAGATCTTCTTATCTTGGATACAAATATACCGAAGAAGGTAAATATTATTTCTTAAGTTTTTTGCTTTAGGCTTTTCATTTCTTGAGAACTTTCTGTTGCCGACCATTTTCTTGACAATAGAGAGGACCACATCCCACACACATCTGTTTCACTGAGGTTTGTTTCTTCATTTTTCAAATATTGGCTTCTTTATTCTGAGCCTTGAAGAACAAGTTTCATTATTCTTGTTTCTTAAGGCTCTTGAGATCTTGAAGAGGCTCTGTCCAAAGAGAGCGCTTTTAACGGGGATGACACATGAGTTTGATCACCATGTATACAATAAGATACTTGCCGATTGGTCTCTAAGGTATGCAATGTAACAAATGTTATATCATTTTATTAAATCCACATTTCTGAAAGCTAATGGACTATGTTAATTTCTAGGGAAGGAATTGATGTACAGCTTGCTCATGATGGGTTAAGGGTTCCAATAGACCTATGAGCAAATTGCTAAATCAAAATTTATGAAAAGGAGAAACAAGTTTCTTGTGACAAGTTTCAAAAAGTTGTATGATTAATAATCTGAATTTTGTTTACAAAAATGAAATCTCTGTTTCAGTTACTTCTTCTGTGAATGATTCGAGATCTTTAAACCAAGCCCTTGAAACAACTTCTCTAAATCTGAAATCTCATTCTCAATATTCACTTCATTATCTTCTCTTCCGATCTTTTCATGCAACTCGGTTAGTCTTTGAAACCCAACACTCACTTCTTCTGCAGAATCTCTAAGCACTTGTCTCATCGATCCATTCTCCTCTTGAGCATCTTTGTATCTCCTCTTCAGAGATCTGTATCCGTCAATAGACTTGAGAAGCTGTTCAGAAAGCTCTTTGTTTCTTCCCTGAAGAGACATATCTTCGTCTCCTTGACTTCCATCACCATCTCCTTTCTTCTCCTTATTGTGCTCCACCGCGCAATTCTGTACTTTCTTAAGTAGTTTCTCGTTTTGGGCCCTGAGATCACTAATAAGCTCCTCCATTCCGGTCAGCTCGTGAGCTTTCCTCGCAAGCTCTATAGCCATTATCTCTTTCTCCTTACCTAAACTTGAACACATCATTTGAAGACTCTTTCTTGCAGCCATGCTCGCGGTTAGCTCTCTTCTCAGCTTCTGAGTGTCATCGAGGTCGTTCTGCGGCGGCTTTAACGGATTCTTGCTCGGACCATGACTCGGTTTCAGATCTGTGTTGCATCGTCTAAGCTCTTTTTTCCCTGATGATGATGATTGTTGAGCTTTCTGGATTCGTGCCTTTAAATCATCGAGAATCGTCATCATCGTGTTAACTCTCTGTGCCTTCCATTCATCGCGGTGCTTGGAGGTTGCTTCGTTGTGATCTTGAACGAGTTTCAGGAGTAGCTTAATATTCGTAGAGATGCCTTCACACAGAAGCAAGAACACGTTTAGCATGTTTTCTTGCCACGCAAGTCATGAAACTGTTTTCTTGCCCTAAACGATCTTTAATTACGTAAATAAATTCTGAGGAAGATCATGAGAAAGATGATTATTAGATGAATACGATTAATTTACCTTCTAATCCAGAATCTTCATGGTGCTCGTAGTTTCTTGTTGGTGAAGTAACAGATCCAGAATCAGAAGGAACTAAATCCGGCGAAGAAAATGCTCGGAGCCGGCTCATTTCTAACCGTCGGAGGGAATCAATCAGACAAAAAAATCGATGAGCAAAGGAAGATGTTGGAATCTTGGACAAAAACAGATTATGGTTGTTGTATGGCGTAATTAGTGGACAATCATTATGCTTTTGACCATTTTGGCTTGGCTCTTTTTTTTCAACTAAATTTGTCTGTCTTGCCTCATTTCACGCTCTATTTTTATTTTTTATTTATTTAAGACAAAATTAACATCGGCTTGTTATATTTGGCACAATTTGTTGTAGTCGTAAATATTTGGTGCCATGAGAACTATTATTAAATTTGAGAAAGAGCCGAAAAGTCCAAAACAAACCTCACTTAACTTCTCACTGGTTTGACAATTTCCGATCCTCTAACCAATGGATTCCTTCTCTTTATCATTATTGTCTACGTATTCTGAGACCATCTCCAACCCCTCATGCCATATGTTATTGCAAATGGCAAAAATATAGCAATAGCATTGGGTTTCTCTCCAACCCCTCATGCCATATATCATGCTATAATTTTTTTCCAACTTATTATTAATTGTTAAAACTACTTGATTTCTTCAAATTTTACAAAGTGAATCATTTGTTTTTCTTTTTTTGCAAAAACAACCAGAATTATATTTTTTTTATTATAATATTAAAACAAAATACATCATATTACATAAAAATTATAGAAAACAAAGATTTTAACCTATTGTTTTATGTTTTTTGAATTTCAGTATTTTTAAAAATAAAATTTGAAGTTTATTATGGTTATGTTTTTATATTTCTATGAAATAAATATTATTTATATTTTGAAAAAGTTATGAGTATTGTTTATTTATTTAAATAAATCATAATCAATATAATTAAACTGTTAAATTAAAAGTAATTACAAATTGAAGGACTATTTTATAAATAAAAAAGTTCAATGGCAAAATAGCATATTGCATAATCTCATGCCAAATATAGAAGCAAAAATAGCATGATGCTATTTTGCAATAGCATATGCAATTGGGTTGGAGCAAAAATTATGGCAAAATAGCATATATGTCATATTTAGCATGGGGTTGGAGATGCTCTGAGTGATAGGAAACTGCTGAATTGTGAGGATTAAAGGCAAAATTTAACATATTTTATGCTGTAACTGTTTATTGGTGGATTTTTGTGTGTGAGTCACTTGTTGCATTTCGTATTCTTGCATTTTTTGGGTGGACATGAATTTACTCTTAAGTGGGATTATATGCCTTGCAAATTAGAGGTCACAGTAATTTAGGTAAAGTAGTGTTCTCTACGTTTGGGATTTAAATGCACTGAGATCTTATTTGGCGGTATTTTGTTCTACGAGTAATTCATGATCAAGTCTTACTCTGAGGTCATTCTTGATATAACGCTGTTACTGTTAGAAAAGTTATTTGTATATATGTAAACAAGTAGTAGATTATCAGCTTATACGAGGGAACTATCGATCATAGACAAATATATATTTGACTCATCGTTTTTATTATAACATCTTGCTAAGGTATTTGCTAATAATTTTTTTTTATGAGAAATAGTAAAATACTAGGAGGATCAAATTGTAAAATAGTAGTTTTTGGTTCAGGAAATGTTTAGCGCGTGGTTTTAACTCGCGAGACGTGAAAATCATGAGCCTAGGCCCAAAGGTTATTTCGAGTTATTGGGCTTATCATAACTTGGGCTGAACAAACTATATCCGTAAATATATAAAAATTGCTGCCTCCTCCTCTTCGCCGTCGTCCTCGTCTCTGCCTCCGGTGATGAAGAAGGGAAAAGATAGTAACTGGGCGGAGCTTCCGCCGGACCTGACGTTTTCGATTCTGCTCCGTCTTAGCGTGGCTGATAGACTGAACAACGCTCAGAGAGTGTGCAGATCGTGGCGAGGCGCTGTAAAGACCCATTGATGTGGCGGAAAATCAACATGAAATATTTTGAAACAAGGTATAACAGTTTCGAGGCCATGTGCCGTCGCGCCGTCGACCTCAGCCAGGGAGGCTTGCTGGAGATCAAAATCGAGGGCTTCGGGTGCGATTTTCTCCTCGCCTACATCGCCGATAGGTGATCCTTCTCTCTCTAGCCCTAACACGAATCACGCAACTATATGCAGATCGAGAAATCTGAGAAGCCTTGGACTTGCAATGCACTATCCAATGATGACTAGTGGACTTTCGTACGAACTCGATAAACTTCCGTTGCTCGAAGAGCTCGAGATCTCACACTCATGGTTCAAACTGAATTTAAAAGGTATTGGCCGTTCGTGTCCACGGGTAAAGACATTGAAGCTAAACTTTTGCACAGGCTACAGGCGCTCTCCCGTAAAATGGGATATTGATGCAGTAAAAATCGCTAACAGCATGCCTCAACTACGTCGCCTCCAGCTTTTTGGGAACCAACTAACAGAATACGGCTTAAACATCATTCTAGACAGTTGTCCTCACCTGGAACACCTCGATTTACGCAAGTGTTTCAACGTTGAGCTTGTCGGGGATCTTGAGAAGCGGTGTTTAGAGAGGATCAAAGATTTGAGACGTCCCCATGACTCAACAACCGATGATTACCCATTTTGATGACGTGACGGCATTAACAATGCTGAGACACAACACAAGTTTGCTTTTGCTTGTCTTTTCAACTTATGAACTCGTTCATGTCTCTTTCTTTCTTCTCTATGTTGTTATATCCAGAATCCTTAAGTTGTTAATTTCTTTGTTGGTTCGCTGCAAAAGATGAACATTTAATCATCAGAACCAACGTGAATCCTTTTAATTTATGCAACGACACCTCAAACGAAGTAAGCTAGATAATGTCTAAGCAAGTGCATATGTTTAAGAAGTGAAACAATGCCAATTCCATTCCGCTAAAAACATGAAACAATCATTCATCACATGTCACATACCACCGGAAAAGAAACACCAAAAGAAAAACAAATTGAAATTAACCGTTCCAAGCCGGTTATCAAACGATAGCAGAAAGAGCATCCGTAATCAACAAGTTCCATGACTTGGGGACAGTAAGAACAACATCAAGCCACTCAACCTTTCCAAAAATCTCATCATACCCATCTTCTTTGCGCCTTTCAAGGGAAATCTCCGCACAACAAATCATATTGTCTTGCTCGCCATCACACTTGTCCCACAAAACCACCATCTTTCCACTGGACTCCACCAGTTTACAACTCCCACGGTGGCAAAAATAAGGGAAACCTTCAACATCAATCAATCTTCTCCATGCATTTACCTTAGCGTCATGCCAAAAGAAGTTTCCGAGAGACCAATAGAACAAAACATTTTCTATCACACAATATCTAGAGTAAAAACGGCAATCAGGATTAAACCAATCAGGATTAAACCCTAAAGAGGTCCATCTACCTTTCTTTGGATCGTAAACTTGGCACTTGCTCTTAATATTCCCAAAAAGGTAGAATTTTCCTTCAAGTGCTAAGCTTTTGACGGATGCTCCATGACCTATCTCCTCACTAGGGCTTGGTACAGAGCTCCAAGCTTGAGTCTCTGGATCAAACGCTTGGACCCAGTTCACGGAACTACCATCTCTATAACCTCCTGCTACATATATCTTCCCGTCAACTAAGCTAGCCGTGGAGAAGTTGTCTCCCTCCACCTGCATGCTTAAACCATCGTGCCATTTGTGAGACCTACAGTCCAAGACAGAGACACTACAAGAAGAGTCCACATCCCCACCAATTTTGTAGATGCTCGAACCAACCGCCACGAGATTCGTCGGAAGAGGAGAACTAGGAGATGGTATTGGGACCAAACGGTTGCCACTTGAGTTTGTCTTCCTTGTACGGTTAGGTGTTCGGCAGAGAGTGTACCATTGAGGGTTAGGGAACCCTAAGCACACATAGAGACAACTCTCGGTGTGGCCTAAGAGGGATCGTGTCTTGTAAAGCTCCGGTGAAGCTAGCAGTAACCTGAAGCTCTTTGAGACTAAGGAAAGAGTCGGGTAGTACAATCTCGAGACGCGTGCAATGCAGCTCAATAGCAAATCATCGGGAAGTGACGGGTTTGGTTTCGATTCTGGCTTAGGCGTGAGCACCGGTTTCGTTGTCGTCTTCCTCATAACTTCTTAGGGTTTTGACCAAACTTCAAATATTTATTCTACGTGGAATTTAAGGGTTTTGACTTGAGATTTTAACTAGCTTGACCTTTTTAACAAATATACTATACTGGGAGGATCAAATTGTAAATTTAATAGTTTCTGGTTTAACTGGCGAAACGTGAGGACTAGATTGTAAATTCGAACAAACGTTATCTGAAACTTTAACTTCTTCACTTCTGATTTCACAATCAGATCAGATGATACTGTAGAAATTGCTTCCTCCTCCGCTTCGCCGTCGTCCTCGTCTCTGCCTCCGGTGATGAAGAAAGGAAAACAAAGTAACTGGGCGGAGCTTCCGCCGGAGCTGACGTTTTCGATTCTGCTCCGGCTTAGCGTGGCTGAGAGACTGAAGAACGCTCAGAGAGTGTGCAGATCGTGGCGAGGCGTCTGTAAAGACCCATTGATGTGGCGGAAAATCAACATGACATACTTGGAAGACATTGGATACGATTTCGAGGCCATGTGTTGTCACGCCGTCGACCGCAGCCAGGGAGGCTTGCTGGAGATCAAAATCGAGGGCTTCGGTAGCGATTCTCTCCTCACCTACATCGCCAATAGGTGATCCTTCTCTCTCTCCATCCCTAACATTAGCAAGCAAGCTGCTTTTGATTGGTTTCATCGATTTTAATGACTTTTAATTAGAGCATTTTGTTAGCTATCACCTGCTAATCTGCATTTATCTTGTCTCTTTCCATCAGCTGAATCGTTTTGGAAACTGAATCATAGAATTTTTGATTTTTTTCTTCGAATTAGTCTACTTTTGAGTTTTGATGCAGAGATATGGAGGAGAATTGCTTATAACTCTGTTAAAATAGTCCTCTGTTATGGCTTTTCGAGTCTTGTTTTGTTTCACATGGTCACTCTCATCACACTTATCCTTTGGCATTGTTAACGATAAGAAGCAGAAGAAGATTGATCAGCTTATAGAACTCTTATCATAGACTTACTTTACGCATCACTAGAGTTTGATATTTTGTCTCGTGAATGCACAAGTAATTTGAGACTATGATTATTCATCTTGGTTTATGACAGATCAAGTAATTTGAGACTCCTTAAAATTCCAGTGTGCAATCCGATGTGGCCTAGTAGACTTGTGAAAGCGGCCGGAAAGCTTCCATTGCTTGAAGAGCTCGAAATCCCACAGTGTTGGTGGAAGATGAATTTGAAAGCTTTAGGCTATTCTTGTCCAAGGCTAAAGACGTTGAAGCTCAACTGTTTAGGTTACGGGCGGTCTCCCGAGAAATGGGATGTTGATGCGCTATCAATCGCCGAAAGCATGCCCGAGCTACGCCACCTCCAGCTTCTTGGGAACTGTCTCACAGACGTCGGCGTAAACGCCATTCTCGACGGTTGTCCTCACCTGGAACACCTTGGTTTACGCAAGCCTGGCAACGTTAACTTTGACGGGAATCTAGAGAAGCGATGTTCCGAGAGGATCAGAGATTTGAGGCACCCCAATGACTCCATCGCTGATTACACGTTTGATTCTACTTTCTCCGATGATGATTCAGAGGGAATAATAGATAGCGGAGGGGAGCTTTGAATAGTTTTCAGTGTCCATATGTCCTTCTGGACAATGCAGAGAACCATGATTTTTTCTTTTCTTGTCATTTCATTCCGCTGTCGTCTTCGTCGTTAATGAGCTATCCAGTTAGTATCAGACGGAAGGATGTGATATGAGAAGCCTTAGACTTTTAATGTGCTATCCAAATGTTAATGATTGTGGTTAAATGTTCGTTTCCACTATGTGATACTTAAATTCACAAGTAGGAGTTTGTTCGTGACAATGCAGCATTATCGACTGTTGTTTTGTCGCAGTCCATCATGCTTATCCAATGAAAACAAGAAGTAGATATTTAGCAGAAGAAGATCATTAAATTTGTGGACTTGCTTATGCTTTTTTTGATATTTTTGTCTCATGTACTAGTAGTATTCTCGATTTATAGTAGAAACTAGAAAAAAAACGTAATATGATTATTGTGATATGCTAGAATTTCTTCTTTCTTACTACTTCGTCGTTAATAATCGGATGAATTTAGTCATGGGCCTAGGCGAAAGAGACTATTTTAGTGGACTGCCCTACTAATTTCTTAAACATGTGTATCACCAAAGAGGACATAACTGTAATTTAACGACGGATACGACAGTCTTTTGACTCTTCAAAGTTGAAAGTGTACTGTTACTTCACTTCCTATGCCGCCGTCGTCTTCGTATTTGCCTCCGGTGATGAAAGACGGAGAATATGGAAAATGGGCGGAGCTTCCGCCGGATTTGACGTCGTCGATACTGCAACGGCTTGGCACGGTTGATATACTGGAAAACGCTCAGAAAGTGTGCAGATCGTGGCGTCGCGTCTGTAAAGACCCTTCCATGTGGAGGAAAATTGACATGCTCAACCCCGGAGACTTGGGAAGCATGCCGTACGACCTCGAGGTCATGTGTCGTCACGCCGTTGATCGCAGCCAAGGCGGCTTGCTTGAGATCGACATTTGGTACTTCGGTACCGACGAGCTCCTCAATTACATCGCCGACAGGTCCTATCTCTCTCTCTCTCTCTCCCTGTTTCTCAAACCTCGATAATTTTGGTTTTCGTTAAGTCAAATTTGATTTCGCTTGTTGAATAGTGTAGGCTAATTCTAGGGTTAGATATGAAAGATTTTGGGTCGCTTGAGTGTTTTTGAATGCTTTATGTTTCTTTTACTTGCGAGAATTGGAGGATTTGATTTCACTCTTTTAAAACTAGAAATCAATTTGTTGAATCAGTAGTTTTGTTAATCAAGTTTTCTCTACTACATTGTCCTAGTTTAAACAAGACACTGTATTTTTCAGATTTAGAGTATAAAATATCCAATTCATCTCAACATTGTTATGAATCTGAGGTCTAATTGTTTTGGCTTCAGGTTTTCGTGTGTTTTATAAAAAAAACAAATTCTTTTTACATCTTCTTTGGTTCTTCTTCTCTATCTTGGTTTATGTTTTAAACTTTTTACACAATTTTTTTTGCAGGTCGAGTAATCTAAAAACCCTGAGACTTATCATGTGCTATCCAATAGCAGACGAAGGATTTATTGAAGCAGTTGCAAAACTTCCATTGATTGAATACCTCGAGCTTTCACACTGCGCAATGTCAGGAGCGGCTCTGAGAGTTGTAGGCCAGACTTGTCCGAATCTGAAGACGTTGAAGCTAAGCGGCGAACCTAACCCCGACTTTAACGAGGATGACCTAAATAACGATGATGCTCTAGCAATTGCAGAAACCATGCCCGGACTACGCCACCTCCAGGTTTTTGGGAACTTTCTAACCGACACGGGCTTGACCGCCATTCTCGACGGTTGTCCTCACCTTGAACACCTCGATCTACGCAAGTGTTTCAACGTCAACTTCTCCGGGGAGCTGGCGAAGCGATGTGTTGAGAAGATTAAAGTTGTGAAACGCCCCAATGACTCAACCGCTGGTCACCCTTATGGTAACGATTGGTTCCATGAACTCAATGCCAAATATACTTACGGTGACACGGAGTCACGGACTATGATTTCGGTAACACCTACTATGATTTCGGTGACGCCGACGACTATGATTGGTACTAGGTGTTGAATCTTTCTGAACAATGCAGAGAAACATCAAACATGTGGCTTCTTTTGCTGGTCTTGTCAAACTTATGAACTCGTTTCATGTCTCTTCTTTTCTCTCTAATACAATGTTCTTGGATTTCCTTCCAGCTTTTTAAATAAGTTTGGAGCGCGTGAGATTGTGTAACTCGCGAGATTTATGCGATGGGCTTAGTTATAGGCCTAGGCCCAAGATTTAAGTAGGCTTGGTCGAAATTAGCTTCGTAATAATGTGATACCTTAAGGACTTGAATGGTAAATTAGAGAAGGTAACGAAAAGTCTTGAAAGTTTTACCTTTTTTTTGGTAAAATAAAAATGTCTTGAAAGATGCAACTAATTTAATTTGTAAATAAGTAATACATAAAGGACTTAAATGGTAAATTAGAGAAGGATAACGAAAAGTCTATGAAAGTTTTACTTTTTTGTTTGGGTAAAGAAAAACGTCTTGGAAGTTGAAACTAATTTAATTTCACACCCCTCTATAATAGATTTGACAATTTGCCCCACCGAACAGAAAAATGGCCTCTTCCTCTTCGCCGTCGCGCTCTTCGGTGATGCCGTCTTCATCGGTTTCTCCTTTGCCGCCGTCTCCACCTAATCCTATGAAGGACGGAGAATTGAAAAACTGGTTGGAGCTTCCTCCGGAACTGACGTCATCGATCCTGCTCCGGCTTGGCGCGACTGAGATACTGGATAACACTCAGAGAGTGTGCAAGTCGTGGCTCCGCCTCTGTAAAGACCCCTCGATGTGGCGCAAAATCGATATGCTTGACCTTGATGACTATGATAGCAAGGATTGCAAGGCGAGCATGTGCCGTCGCGCTATTGATCTGAGCCAGGGAGGCTTGCTTGAGATCGACATTGGGTACTTTGGTTCTGATGATCTCCTCGATTACATCGCCGATAGGTTCTCTCTCTCCCTATGACTCCAAATCGCTACATAGAGTGTGTTAGTTTTAGGTTTAGATATGAAAGATCTTAGTCGTTCGAGTGATTTTTAATGCTTGTTGTTCATTTTCCCTATGAAAATTCTGGAAATTATTGGTAGCTTTCGATATTGATTTTAACTGGTTGCTTGAAGATTTAGAAGATTTAGAAGTCCTATCATTCTGATGAATCTCTGATGAATACACTTTGGGACAACATTTAGTTACTCTTGCTTGGGAATGTATGCATTGCAAATTTGCAAGATAGAACTCTAATGGTTGAATTAATGGTTTTGTTAATGAAGTGTTCTCAACGGGGTTGAGTGTTTGTTCTTCTTCTTCTACATTGTCCCAATTTATTCACTTGCTCTTTCGATTCTAAGATTGTTATTGTTATGCTTCTGAGGTCAAAAAATGGTGGTTTTTATGTTCTTGGCGGTGCTAGGAAAAGCTTCTTTGTTGATAATATTTTGCATCGTTATCGTTCTTCTTCTGTAAATTGGGTTATGTTTCTAACTTTTTACACAATTATTTACAGCTCAAGTGATCTCAGGAGCCTTAAACTTGTAATGTGCAATGAAATAACAGACGATGGATTTTCCGAAGTAGTTTCGAACTTTCCATTGCTTGAGGAACTCGAGCTTTCGTACTGCCCACTGTCAGAAGAGTCTCTGAAAGCTGTAGGCAAGTCTTGTCCAAACCTGAAGACGTTGAAGCTAAACTGTGCTGGGTACAGGGTTCCTCGGAACGAGAGTGACGATGAGGCTCTGGCAATCTCTGCAACAATGCCAAGACTTCGCCATCTCCAGATCTTCGGGAACAGATTAACAGACGTCGGTTTAAACGCCATTCTGGAGAAGTGTCCTTGCCTGGAGCATCTTGATTTGCGTCAGTGTTTCAACGTGAACCTTGTTGGGGATCTGGAGAAGCTGTGTCTTGAGAAGATCAAAGTCGTGAGACGACCTAACGACTCGACCCGTGATTACCCGTATGATGCGACGGTTAACGATTTGGATTCGTCTGATGATGAGTACCCTTACGGATTCTCTGATGCCGAGCTAATGTCGGATGATGAGTATCTCTATGAACTCTCTGGTGCCAGTGATAATTCTGACGACGACATGGTTGATGTTTACGATGACATTTATCTCTAGATGCGTCGGATTGGATTCGCAGGTTATATTTTCTCGAACTCTGTTTATGACTTCTTCTTAGCGTGCTCCTTGTTTTTTTTTTTTTTTTTTTTTTTTTTTAATGTTCTTGTGTGTCCTTGTGTTATGTGATCTTGCTAAAGACATTGCTTTGGTTTTTCTTATCTAAACTCGATAAATGTTTCAAGGCTATGAGGTTTTTCTTTTTCTTATATTCCTTGACTAGAAAGTTTTAGTTGATTCAATCTATATTCTGCAACATTACAGAAAGCAAGCCTTCCCAACAATTACTTAAAAGCTTGTTGCGCTGTCTAAAACTCAAACACAAGAAGAATTGCCAAGATTAAAAAAGTACTAAGATGTGTAATAAAACTGTTTCCTCTCTGTAAGCAACCATCAAAAACCGAGTAGAACATGAATCATTTCTTGTAGAAGAATCTCTACTTAACAATTTTTTCCAAAAACATTTACATTATTTTCTTATAAACAACCAAAAGGAACTTTTTCTTTCTTTTTGTTTGGTTTAAGAGTAAAGAGACAATTCTGTGAGCCCGAGGAGTAATTAAAGACCAAGCGTAGCTTTCTCATCATCTTTGGATTTGTTATTGGATTGGTTATTTCACTCTTTCCCGCGTCCGGCGAGTACTATAATTGTGTGATTTCCTCCGATTCAAAAACTAATGGGCCGTTCCAAGTCCAGAAATTTGTAGGGCTAATAATAAATTGGCCCAAATTATGTTATTTAATATCCAATACCCTAGACGACCATATGGTAGTTACTCACCAATGTCTAGCTATTATAGTATCAATAAACTTAATTTAAGAAACATTGTTAAGAAACTTTTGTTTTTGCATCATTATTGGTAAGACTCAAAATGTCTCTTAGCTCTTTAAATCTAGCTTTTGGGCTGTATAAATCAGAACAAAGAGAAGAAAACATTCTAGCAAGGATATCAGTTCCAGCTTTTCGGGAACACGATTCTTGACAGTTGTCCTAAGCTGGAACATCTTGATATACGCCAGTGTTTCAGAGGTAAACTTGATGCTGATCTGGAGAAGCGGTGTTCGGAGAAGATCAAAGTTTTCAGACGACCTAACGACTCGACTCATGATTACCCATTTGATGCAACTGTTGGCGACTGGGCTCCTGGTTTTCTGCCAGACTATGACTATGACTATAACTTCAGTGACAATGACATCGACTACAATGATCTGGTTTTTCCTGAATTTAACGAAGATGATTTTAATATCATGATGCGTGGGTTTGGCATATAAAATCTTTTCAAAACCCTTTCATGACCTCTTCGTATTGTCTTTTGCTTTTGTTAAGCTTTTGTCTTTCTACAGTATCTAAACTGGATAAAATTTTCCAATCTATGGATTGTTTCATCTACTTTTGACTAAAGGTTTGCTTAGAGCTTGCTCTCTTTTAAACTCGGACACAACAAGAAATGTCAATATCAAAACTAATATATTTTGTGATATTTCGGATATTTCTCTCAGTAAGCAATCATCAGAACTCTAATAAATACATGAATTACAGTATCCCTTTGCTCCTTAGCTTTAATGTCTTGTAATCATATTATGGCAGTTTTGAAGACTCCTTATTAAACTCAATAAAAGTTTCAAGGCTATGTGAATGTTTCATCTTATTCTGACTAAAAGTGTTTGAGTTTTGTTCTCCAGCATATATGAAACTATGAAAGCAAGCCTTGTTCTGTTTAACACTCTGACACAAGAAGAAATGCGAAAAAGATCAAAACGAAGATGTGTAATAATAAGACTAAGAGGACCATCTCTCAATACACACAACTCACAAAGGTCTATCAACTAGTAAAATTACTCATGTAATATAATAGTTTTAACGGGCCGTGAAAAGCCCTAATGTTGAGTAGGCTAATTATAAATTGGCCCAAATTATGTTCGTTAATATGTAAATGCCACCAAGGACATTATGGTAAATCAGAGATAATGGGCTCTTCCTCTTCCTCGCAGTCGTCTTTGCCTCCGGCGGCGATGAAAGACAGAGGGTATATAAACTGGGCGGAGCTTCCGCCGGAATTGACGTCATCGATCCTGGTCCGGCTCGGCGCGATTGATATACTGGAAAACGCTCAGAGAGTGTGTACATCGTGGCGTCGCGTCTGTAAAGACCCTTTTATGTGGCGGAAGATTGTCATGCATGAGCGTGGATACTTGACAGATAGAGTGAAGTACGAACTCGCGATCATGTGCCGCCACGCAGTTGATCGCAGCCAGGGAGGCTTGCTTGAGATCGAAATTTGGCACTTCGCTACTGATTCTCTCCTCACTTACATCGCCGACAGGTCGAGTAATCTGAGAAGCCTTAGGCTTACAATGTGCAATCTACTATCAGACAAGGGACGTGCCCTATCGGTTGCGAAACTTCCATTGCTTGAGGAACTCGAGCTTTCACACTGCTCACTGTCAGAAGAGTCTCTGAAAGCTGTAGGCCAATCTTGTCCAAATCTGAAGACATTGAAGCTAAACATGCGTGGTAACAGGGACTCTGGCATCGTGTACGATGATGATGCTTTCGCAATCTCTGAAACAATGCGCGGACTTGTCCACCTCCAGCTTTTCGGGAACTATCTAACCAACGCGGGGTTAAACGCCATTCTTGACAATTGTCCTAACCTGGAACACCTTGATCTACGCCAGTGTTTCAACCTTAACCTTGTTGGTGATTTGGAGAAACGGTGTTCCGAGAGGATCAAAGTTGTGAGGCGCCCCAATGACTCGACTCATGATTACCCATTTGATGCAACGGTTTTCGAATGTGATCCATCTTCATCTGATGATGATGATTTTGGTTTTGGCTTTATTCCAGGCTTTTACTGACCGTTACGAGTCGATTACGACCGTATGATATTTTACGATGAACTGCTTTTCTAGATGCATCGGATTCGCAGGTGAAATCTTTTTAAAGCCTTTCATGACTTCTTTTTTGCATGTTCGTTATTTCAATGGAGTCGTGTATCCTTGTGTTATGTGAGCTTGGTATTAAATTAATGTTTTTTTGCTTTTGCAAAGCTTTTCTTTTTCTTTAATTTGTAAACTCAAGAAAAGTTATGTGATTGTTTATCTTCCTTTGACTAAGAGTTTGGATTTTTATCCTCAAACTTTAATGAAAGCAAGCCTTGAGCTTAATCTGAAGTGAGAATCTTCCCAAATCGTTGCTTAAAAGCTTGCCTGTCTAAAACTCAGACACAGCAAAAAATGCGGAAAAAGATATGTAAATAAAGCTTATTTCTCTCAGTTAAGCAATCATCAAAACTCGAATGGAAACATCAATCATCTCTTTGATCCTTAAATGTGGAAATCAAAGCAGAAACCTATTAGTAATTTTTTAAAATATTTTAACATTTGTAGTAAACTCATCCAGATGATAACAAAAAACCACCCAATTTCTCAGCAACGAAGTCTTAACCCTTTGCTTAGGCTTTTGAGCCAAAATTAAACAGATGACTGTTTCTGTTGATTCCTGAATCAACTCTCACTCATCATAGCATCTAACACCATACAAGGGCAGAAAAAGCTTGATTTCATATTATGACACAGTCTTGAAGACTCATTATTAACAAGCTTCTACATGGCCAGAATAATAGAGTGATCCCTAACAAAGAACCCTATTCTGAGTTACTATAATCATAATCACAATTATATCACAATTCACATGTGACCTTAGTAGTGTTGTCCTTTGCGTTTGCAAAGCTTTTATCTTTCTACAATATAATTAAGACTCAAGAAAAGTTTCAAGGCTATGTGAATGTTTCATCTTCTTTCGACTAAAAGTTTTTATTTTGTTCTGCAACATAGATGAGAGCAAGCCTTGTTCTGTTTAACACTCTGACACGACAAGAAATGCGAAAAACATCAAACTGAAGATGTCTACACAAAAGTCTTCTCTCAAAGGACTCTGCTCTAATTATATTTTTTACAAACACTCTAAATATTATCTTTAACGGGCCGTGCGAAGCCCAAATGTTGAGTAAGGCTAATTAGAAATCGGCCCAAAGTATGTTCGTTAATATGTAAATGCCACAAGGACCATATGGTAAATCAGTGATAATGGCCTCTTCCTCTTCCTCTTCCTCGCAGTCGTCTTTGCCTCCGGCGGCGATGAAAGACAGAAGGTATATAAACTGGGCGGAGCTTCCATCGGAATTGACGTCATCAATCCTGGTACGGCTTGGCGCGATCGAGATACTGGAAGACGCTCAGAAAGTGTGTACATCGTGGCGTCACGCTTGCAAAGACCCTTCCATGTGGCGGAAGATTGTCATGCGTGGTCTCGGGGTGGAGTACGACCTCGAGGTCATGTGCCGTCACGCAGTTGATCGCAGCCAAGGGGGCTTGCTTGAGATCGAAATTTGGCAATTCGGTACTGATTCTCTCCTCACTTACATCGCCGACAGGTCGAGTAATCTTAGAAGCCTTAGACTCATAATGTGCAATCTGAAGATAACAGGCTATGGACTTATCCTAGCAGTTGTGAAACTTCCATTGCTTGAGGAACTCGAGCTTTCACACTGCTCATTGGCAGGAGAGTCTCTTAAAGCTATAGGCCGAACTTGTCCAAATCTGAAGACTTTGAAACTAAACAAGTTTTGTCACAGGGACTGTGGCATCGTGTCTGATGATGAGGCTCTAGCAATCGCTGCAGCAATGCCCGGACTTCGTCACCTCCAGATCTTTGGGAATTATCTAACCAACACGGGCTTAAACGCCATTCTTGACAACTGTCCTAACCTGGAACACCTTGATCTTCGCCGGTGTTTCAACGTTAACCTTGTTGGTGATTTGGAGAAGCGGTGTCTCGAGAGGATCAGAGTTTTGAGACGACCCAATGACTCGACTCTTGATTATCCATTTCATGCAACGATTGTCGTCATGGATTCATGTTGATATCTCTACAACTCAGAGAAAAGTATAAATGCCATGTGTTTGTTTCACCTTCTTTTGACTGTATTAAGTTTTTAGTTTTGCTCAAAGCTTGTTCTGATTTAAACTTAGAGACTACTAGAATCAAAACTCTTTTAGAAACATGAATCAAAACTGTTTGTTCCTTAGCTCCTCAGGTTCCTTTAGATGGTAGCCAAAACCATCAGAAAATCTCTACGGAACTAATGTGGTTTAGGAACAAATCCATCAACCGCAAAGTTCCTTGTGGCAGAAGGAATGGCCAAGCGAACACCATCTAGCTCTGGTCTTGCAATGACTTGGCATCCGAGCCGTGACTTGCAACATTTTGTATACGTTTCTGTGAGCCTGAAAGCAAGATCAAGCATATCATTCTCTTCATATGTTGGTTCTTCAAGTTTGTTATAATATTCAGTGTCCTGTAAATACAATTTTAGTTAGTTTCTATCAGAAAAATCCAGGTCTCAGGGAAAGCAGAGGATGATCTTATACAAATTGGAGGAGATATGTTTTGACATTACGATCACGTGACATGTTGAACATGCTAGAGAAGCCTCACAAGCCCCTGAAGATTAAGTAAAAAGCAATCCATGGCTTCTCTATATGCACATTTCTCCGTATGCAAGAATTGGGGAATCGCTCAAGTTTTAAACTTACTTTAAGCCTTTTCATCACCCTTCTCAGAGAAAGAAGTAGAAAACAACCTATGGTTAATTAAAAAAAATGAAGCTGCTTGAGAAGTCCTAGTTTGCCTCTGTTCTGTACCATCATTGGCTGTCTCCAAAACAAGAAACAAGAAAGATTCACATCAATGTGGAAATTAAAATTATAAACTTTGGGAGTGAGTAAACCCGAATTTGTAGTAAATTCATCCAGAATCCAGATAATAATAACCCATACACAAACCACCAAGTTTATATCTTCAAGACTGGAGTTTGGACGCATTCTAATTGTAACGGGCCTTTCGAAGCCCTGATTTTAGTTTGCTAATCAGAAATTGGCCCAACTTATGTTCGTTAATATCCATTCTCATAAAGGACCATATGGTAATTGCAAAAGGATACGGAAGGTCCTGTGAGTCTTGAAAGTTGAAAGTTGAAAGTTGAAAGTTGAAACCACTTCACTCACTCTCCCTTATTTAATGGGATTCGACAGTTTGTCTTTGACCATCAGAGTAAATGGCTTCTTCGTCTCCCCCTTTACCATCTTCATAGGGACTGTTTTCGTCGTTGTCTCTTTTTTCGACGTCGTCTGCGTCAGTGCCTGGGGAGATGAAAGACGGAGAGTATGGAAACTGGGCGGAGCTTCCGCCGGAGTTGACGTCGTCGATACTGCACCGGCTTGGCGCGATTGAGATACTGGAAAACGCTCAGATAGTGTGTACATCGTGGCGTCGCGTTTGCAAAGACCCTTCCATGCGTGATCTCGAAGACTTGACAAGATTAAGGAGTTGCGATCTCAAGGTCATGTGCCTTCACGCAGTTGATCGCAGCCAGGGAGGTTTGCTTGAGATCGACATTGGGCACTCCTGTACTGATTCTCTCCTCACTTACATCTCTCAGAGGTTCTCTCTCTCTGTATTCGATTTCAGTGTTTCTTATCAGAAAATGGGAAAATTCTTGTTTTCTTTTTGGATATTTTGCCAACTAGTAATAGTATTAATAGGTTATGAAATATTCTCAACCATGTTTTGTATACATTGTTCAAACTAAAGCAAACCCAAAATGTGACTGTTTGTTTTCTTGCTTTTTCATTTTGGAGTAGAAAACATACACCATATGATTCGAAGCTTGTCACTCTTCTCAGATCTTGGGGCTATTAAAATAAATGTTATCATGTGAATATGTTTTGTATCTTACTCTTGTTGTCATCTTTAACTTGGCCTCAGTTTCTAACTATTACACGCAACTGTTTGCAGTTCAAGTTATCTGAGAAGCCTTAAACTTGCAATGTGCTTTTATATAACTGACAAGGGAATTGTGGAAGCAGTTGCGAAACTTCCATTGCTTGAGGAACTTGAGGTTTCATTCTGCTCCATGTCAGGAGATTCTTTGAAAGTTGCAGGCCAATCTTGTCCAAATCTGAGGAGCCTGAAACTTGCAGTGTGGAGTCAAATAACAGACAAGGGATTTGTGGAAGCAGTTGTGAAACTTCCATTGCTTGAGGAGCTCGAATTTTCATACGGCTCATTGTCAAAAGAGTCTCTAAAAGTTGTAGGCCAAGCTTGTCCAAATCTGAAGACGTTGATACTAAAAAAAATTAGTTACAGGGACTGTGGCATCGGGTGTGATGATGATGCTTTAGCAATCGCTGAAACAATGCACGGACTTCGTCACCTCCAGATCTTTGGGAATTATCTAACCAACACGGGATTAAACGCCATTCTTGACAACTGTCCTAACTTGGAATACCTTGATTTACGCCGGTGTTTCAACCTTCACCTTGCTGGTGATTTGGAGAAACGGTGTTCCCAGAGGATCAAATATTTGAGACGACCCAATGACTCGACTCATGATCCATAGACTATTAAGCATGCTCGTTGTTTCAGTGGACGTGTGTGTCTTTTGCTTTAGATTTTCTTAACTCAGAGAAAAGTATCAATGCTCTGTGCTTGTTTCACCTTCTTTTGACTATCAAGTTTTCAGTTTACAAAAAATGAAAATTTACTCAAAGCTTGCTCCGATTTAAATCTCAGACGGAACAAGAAATGCCAAGATCAAAAGTAAGATATGTAATGAAACCGTTATCTCTCAGTAAGCAATCATCAAAATTCAAATAGAAATTCTAATAGAATAATCTGTTTGTTCCATCTAGATGGTAGCCAAAACGATCAGAGAAACTCTACGGAAACTAATGTGGTTTAGGAAAAAATCCATCAACCGCAAAGTGCCTTGTGGCAGAAGGAATGGCCAAGCGAACACCATCAAGCTCTGCTCTTGCAGTGACTTGGCATCCGAGCCGTGACCTGCAACATTTTTCCAGGAACTCAATGATACTTTCTCAATAACTAAACAGCTGAAACTCCTTTTTTATTTATTTTGTTCAAGAGCGAAAGTTTACGTTTGTGTGAGCCCAAAAGCAAGATCAAGCATATCATTCTCTTCATCTGTCGGCTCTTCAAGTTTGTTATAGTATTCTGTGTCCTGTAAATACAATTTTAATTAACCTTAATCAGCAAAAAATCCTCGTCTCAGGGAAACCAGAGGATGATCTTACAATACAAAATGGAGGAGATATGTTGTCTACCATCACAATCACGTGAGATTAAGCCTCACAAATCGCTTTACTAGATATGCTTCGGATTCGCAGGCGAGATATTTTCAAACCCTTTCATGACTTCTTTTCAGCATGTTCGTTATTTCAATGGAGTAGTCTTAACGGGCCGTGCCAAGCCCTAGTGTTGAGTAGGCTAATTATAAATTGGCCCAAATTATGCTCGTTAATATATAAATGCCACCAAGGACATTATGGTAAATCAGAGATAATGGCCTCTTCCTCTTCCTCTTCTTCCTCGCAGTCACTTGATGATAACAAGACAGGCACTTGTGGAAGCTCTTGTGAAACTTCCATTGCTTGAGGAACTGGAGCTTTCACAATGCTCATTGGCAGAAGAGTCTCTGAAAGTTGTATGCCAATCTTGTCCAAATCTGAAGACTTTGAAACTAAACAAGTTTGGTCACAGGGCGGACCTTGGCATCGTGTCTGATGTTGTTGCTCTAGCAATCTCTGAAACCATGCGCGGACTTGTTCACCTCCAGCTTGTCGGGAACTATCTAACCAACAGCGGCTTAAACGCGATTCTTGACAATTGTCCTAACCTGGAACACCTTGATCTACGCCGGTGTTTCAACCTTAACCTTGTTGGTGATTTGGAGAAGCGGTGTCTCGAGAGGATCAAATATTTGAGACGACCCAATGACTCGACTCTTGATTATCCGTTTCATGCAACGATTGTCGCTATGGATTCCTGATGACTACCTCGTTTATTCTCCCTATGGTTTCAGTGGACCTGTGTGTCTTTGGCTTTTGTCTTTCTACAATATCTCTAAACTCTGAGAAAATTGTAAATGCTATGTTGTTGTTTCACCTTCTTTTGACTGTATTAAGGTTTCAGTTTATTCTGCAACATGCATTAACGAAAACAAAGTCTTGTGCTATTCTGCACTGAGAATCTTGCAAGAAAGAAAATTTGCTCAAAGCTTGTTCTGATTTAAACTCAGATACTAGAAGAAATGCAAAGATCAAAACTAAGATATATATAACGAAACATTGGCCAAAGCAAAGCCTTAAGCTATTCTGCACCGGGAATCTAACAAAAAATGAAAATTTGCTCAAAGCTTGTTCTGATTAGAATCTCGGACACATCAAGAAATGTCAAGATCAAAACAAAACTAAGATATGTAATGAAACTGTTTTCTCTCAGTAAAACATGAATCATCTCTTTGTTCCTTAGCTTCTCAGGTTCCATTTATATGGTAGCCAAACCGATCAGAGAACTTCTACAGAAACTAATGTGGTTTAGGAACAAATCCATCAACCGCAAAGTTCCTTGTGGCAGAAGGAATGGCCAAGCGAACACCATCTAGCTCTGGTCTTGCAATGACTTGGCATCCGAGCCGTGACCTGCAACATTTTTTTCCAGGAACATAACGATACTTTCTCAATAACTAAACAGATGAAACTTCTTTTCAATTTATTTTGTTCAAGAGAGAAAGTTTACGTTTCTGTGAGCCCAAAAGCAAGATCAAGCATATCATTCTCTTCATCTGTTGGCTCTTCCAGTTTGTTATAGTATTCTGTGTCCTGTAAATACAATTTTAAATTACTTTTATCAGCTCGTCTCAGGGAAAGCAGAGGATGATCTTATATATAGAAAATGTAGGAGACAAGTTGTTTACCATCACAATCACGTGACATGTTGAACATGCTAGAGAAGCCTCACATGCCCCTGGAGGTTTAGTAAGAGCAAATGGATCAATGTTGGAAACATTGGAGAAAGAAGAAGAAAAGAATGGAAAGAGAAGTAAGTCTGTGCCTTCGAGGTCTATATCATTTTCATGAGCAGCTTCGAGCACAGACATTCCAATGGGGACTTTCACAGGTATCTCCTCTCCGTCTTTATCAACAAAGATTATAGTTATCCTGACCAAAAAAATACAAGATCATAATAACTATCAGACATTATGTATGTGCACATTTCTCATTGTGCCAGAAATTCGCTGAAGATAATTACCCGACGAGACTTACTTTTTAGTTTCTTCATCATCCTTCTCAGAGGAAGTTGTGGAAAAAGCAGAAAACCTATTGTTCTTCAAGAAGAAGGCTTCTTGAGAAGTCCTCGTTTGCCTCTGTACCATCATTTGCTATCCAAAAGAAGAAACAATAAAGACTCAACATCAATGTGGAAATCAAAACAGAAACCTCCGAGTGACTAAAAAAACTCATCAAGAATCCAGATAATAGCCATACATAAACCATTCAATCTCTCAGCAATAAAATATAAGCCTTTGCTTAAGCTTTTGAGCCAAAACCAAACAGAGGACTCTTTCTATTGATTCCTGAAACAACTCTCATTCAGCATAGTATCATTACATATATACAACCTGAACGCGTCTAACACCAAACAAGCGCATAAAAGCTTAATTTCGTTCTTCTGCAATCATATAATCATATAATCATAGTGACACAGCCTTAAAGACTAGTTATTAACAAGCTTCTACCTAGGCAGAAGAATAAAGTGATCTCTACCAAAGAACCCTACTCTAGTGATATCTAACAGAGTCTATACATCAAGAAATAACACAATTATGTCGCAAATCAAAGCTTCGAGTGTAACAGAGTATAAAAAAAGTCGAGAACAAGCTCAGACTAACCGGAGATCGCAAGTACTGCCCATAAGACCGTTGTAGATTCCTTGTCCCATATGTCGATAAATATCCTTCTGTCAAAACAAGAGATTTAGAGATCATCAACAAAATCTTAAGTCTACATATTGTAGACCAAATGTGTGAGCTTATCCGTAATGTTATATTAATCCCACCAAGAAGAAAAAGAGAAAACAAAAATCAACAAAGAGACACTAAACCCTGAAAGACTCTAATACGCAGTGTGAAATCGAAGTGAGATATGAAAGAAACTTCATCAAAACGCGTATCTAGCAAATGCTCAGGAGCATCGATTCTGAAGCAGATAATATAATATACCTCTTGCGAGCTGTTTAACAATGGCAGACCCGAATCTTGAGATCCTATGACCGAACATCGTTCACTGCCGCCAAAGCTTCTTACTTTGAGAATAGCTGAAACCTCGAACAAATTGAAAATTTCAACCTAAATTGAGTGCGACCAAAAAAAAACAACGAGACAAACTCAGAATTTAAGAAAGCTTGATAAGACTACCAAACGCACCAATCTGACTATCTCGAGACTGGAATTAACGATCCAAACTTGGGCCGCAAATGAAAAATCTGAAGGAATCAAACACAATTTATCGTAGAGAATGATCGAGGGAAGAAAAAAAAGTCCACTTTTAGAAGATCCCAAACGAAGAAAAGGTTAATCTTAAGCTCGAAGATGAAGATTAAGGTTAAAAGAGAGGGCTTTGTGTTAACATAGACAACCAGAATCTCAAATGTTCCTCTGTCTTCAGCTTCTTTCTTAAACCTTTTCTGGTTTTCTCGTACACTGTATTTCGATAATATCTTTAACCGAACCGGATCGTGTACCGGTCCATCCCAAACATGAAACATCCAATGCAAAATTGCATACATTCAAGCAATATGGCCACAAATTCGATTATGAGAAACCAATCGAAACAAATGACTTGCCTCTCAACACTAATCTTTGCAGAAGATAAGACAAAATACAAATACAAATCAGTCTAAAATTCCAAAACCAAGAACTTTGGGACAACACTTTAGATAAAATAAAATAAAACGCTCAAGCAACTTCGTCCGATCCCTGATTCTCTTCCTGATACTGCTCTTCAGCTTTCTTAATAACCTGATCCCAACCACTACCAGAACTCATATCAATATAATCATAAGGAACAGCCGTCTTCAAACCAGGAAGCACGCTACGACGGCTCTCAACAATCCTCAATTCCAATTCACTACATTCTCCACCACCTTCAATCTCCTCAAGCTCTTCCCAAGTATACATCAACGGCAAAGTAGAGCCACACCAAGTATTAAAATCAATCAGCTTAACCTTCCTCTCCTTGGTCACATAAACATCAAACGTATAATTCTCCGATTCAAACTCCATCCTAATCTTATCATCAAAGAACTCTTCAATCAATCCTTTGACCAAATCCTTCTCATCGACAAGAACAGGGTAAAACGTTGTAACCTCACGCTGGCAAATCCCAACAAGCTCGTTCGATTTGACGAAGCATCTAAATTCCATCTCAGGCTTTAACGAAGGATACCATTTTCTCAACGCGAGGAAGAAGCTCTGTGGCCTTGACGAGGTTTTGTCGTCACACGAATCGTAAGCGTTGCAGAGGTCATGGAGAAGCGAATCTGAGGAGCGGAACAAGAGAGCGATCTCGCTGAAGCAAGTGCAGCGGAGATTCTGCGACGGGCTGATCCAAGCTGCGTCTTTCGGTGCGCTCCAATTCAGCTTCGGGAGGATTGAGCCGCCTAGGGTTTCGATTGATTGCTTGATCTCGATTTCGAGCTGCGGAAACGAAGGGAGTTTCGATTGCGGCGGCTCTGCTTCGTCGTCTGATCCTTCGGAGACTTGGAAGTCGTCTTGTTCGTCGGGGTTGTGGACTCTGTTGGGCATTGCGTCCTCGTTTGTTACGGAGTCGGGGAGGAAAAACGGATTGGGATCGTCGACGAGGTAGCTGATGAATGTCTCTGGGAGTTTGTGGAATTTGGTTTTGATGGTTAAGGATCTGAATTTCGGGTACCAGTTCTGAATCTGGCATCGGTTTACTTCCTCTTCCTTCATCGTGGTAGAAAAAAAGGAGCTTGAGAATTCAAAATTAGTCGAATTTCTTCTTCCGGCGTTGATGGAGGTTTCAGGGTTTCCGGTGGGTGCGAACGGACGGAGAAGAAGTTTTCTCTTTCATTGTAGAGGTAAGGGTTTTGTTTCTGATTATATCTTTAATGGGCCGTATATAATGGGCCTCATAAGCCCATATTTTGTGTAATTGATTATTTGGCATGATATTTTACTGATAACAAGGTAAATCCATGTGTATTGAACTAGTGATAATGCTATAAAGCAAAGTAGATGATGTGATCTATTTTTTTATGAGAAATACAGCGAAGATGGTTTTGGCTCTTGTTAGAATCTTGTTATGAAATGTATGTAACTTTTTGTGGAATGTAAAGAGGTTTCAAGGCTTTTAAGATTCTAAACCCAAGAGAAAAGTCAAGAACAAAACACAAAGCTTAATTGCTACAATACCAAAATCTTTGTAAACTTTGCCACAAAGGAAAAATACTCCGGCACAACTGATCTGACGAAGATTGACCTTTTCCGCCGAAAATGTTAGCTTCCACGACAGAAAAACAATGCAACTCCTATGAACAACAGTCGTAGCCACCTTGGTTTGTATTCCGATAAAGATCTTGCCGCGGAGACTTCCGATCTGAATTTTTAAACGAAGAAACACTATATATATTATAATTTTGCAAAAGAAAAATGTTTTCGGTAGTTAAAAGATAAAGTTAATGTTCTTACTTGGATACATCATAGGAGCATTTTCCGTAGCCTGCAAGCAACACAAATATATATTCTATCACCACATACATAAAAAGAAAAATTACGGAGAAACAATCCTATAACATTAGGATTTAGAGGTGTTATTTCAAAACATTATTCAATCATGTGTTTCGTCATCATATATTTGTTAATGTTATTTAACAATTAGTGTATATATATATATATGCATGTAGTGCAAGTAACTTACTAGGATTAATCTTGGTGAGTGAAGCTGTTCCACCGAAGTAACAAGCGATGAGATTATTCCCATTGGTTTGGTAATACGCATTAAACGCAAAAGAAGCGTGCGACACGAGCGTGTCCGGTTCGTAACAATCACCATGTCTCTCGATGACCGAGCAATCCACTCCCCCGACCCCGCAGGCCCAGTCAAGAGCTCTCTGTAGCTCAGCTTGGGACGCACCTGGTTGAGCCACACACCATGTTGTTCCGTCCAAGAACGTTGTGTTACCTTGTGGTCGAACTTGTGATTCTGGTCGGATCACAGTTACCGGTCTTGTAGCTACACATCGCACGGACGATTATCCGTTATTTCTTCACCATACATGTTTTAAAAATTTCACTCATATTAAGATATAAGTTGCATGATCAAAATTCGAAAATTTGTAACTTTAATAAAACAGATTCTTAGGAAACAAAACAATAATCTTAGAGGGAGTAACAACTAACTACGTTCTATGAATGGAGTGAAGGATGTTTACTTTACCTTGGGAGATGAAGTTTAGTAGAAGCAGAGAAAATAGAAAGATCCAAAACTGATTTCTCATTTTGAGATGTTTGTTATAGCAAATACAAATGTAACAGGGAAGAAAGAATCTAGATCATCACATCATCCTAACTAGTAATCTATATTATGGTATTGACAATCTCTCTAATGATCATGTGATGGGGACTTGGAGAGGTTTGAGACAAGAGAAGTTTGTTTTATTTTGGCACAAGAGAACCTAATCGAAAGAGCAAAGAATAATCTAGATCACTCTTTAAGGAATCGAAGGTGCCTTCAAGAGAAATAACATGTTCAATCTTTTAAAGCAAAAGAAATTATTAACGATAAAGTCAGTAAGGTATAAATCAATCTCAATCTCATGAAATCAATCTCCTTGCTGATTCAATCTATTATTAGAAATTTTAATATTAGGAATATATGATTTCCCGATCTATACACTGATTTGTTTTTGTATAAAACGAATACGGAAAAGTTGAGAGGATCACAAGCAAAGAATTAGCTTCAAAAGAGAGTACATAATAATAAATTCGTTAAAAATAAACACATACTAATTTGTTTTAATAGATATATATCTTGATTAAGATAATTTCAATCCAAAGATTCAAAAGACATTTCGGTTTGATTAAGAAAACAACATTTTAAACCCAAGTCATTACAAAGACAACAACTCGATCAAACTTCAATAGTACAACAAAACCAAAAGAAGACTTATAACTCAGGAAAGCATAATTTAAAAACAAAGCTTTATGGTTTTTGATTACTTTTGGCTTAGTGAAGCCTGGTGAGCTCTTCAACTCTCTTACACAACTCTTCCACTTGAACATTCATGGATTTAGATATATCCTCCATCTTGTTCCTGCTCAGATCCAGAAACGATTCGATCAAGTCTCCATCCAAGAAGTTCCTCGCTTCCGCTGTCCTCTTCTCGTTATTAAACGACCTCCACTGCTCATGGCTTAACCCACCAACTCCTTTAATCACTTTCCTCAAACTCGACTGCAATTTCTCCAAGAAACTATACTGTTCTTGAGGCAGTGAAGCTATCACTCCAATCACTCCATTGACTGTACCAAAGATGACAGTTGGGATCTGACCAATCTCTGAATCCGGCAGCCTCATTACAAGAGATCCATGGTGGAATCTGTTCACAAACTCCCCAAGGTGATACTCCCCAACTACCTCTAAACGCCCTCGTTCTTCATCAGTAGCACCTTCACTGTTCTTCTTCACTGTTAACAAATTGAAATTGTTCTCAGCACCAAGGTAGATATCGTCATCCAGTATCTCAACCGCTGACATCCAATTCGCATTGTAATCCCGAGCACGTTCCTCAATCGCACCTTCCTCGTGCTGTTAATAACAAAGCAAAAAAACAGTAGTCATGAATCAGCTATAAGTTTTAACCACAAGAAGTTTCATTTCATACACAAGTTACTTGTACCTTGTAAATCAGCAAGGAGATTGATTTCATGAGATCACCAACAACTATAAAGTCTCCACGGGTCTGTACATAGAGAGCTAGAATGTGTCCGTGATGTCCACATTCAGACTGTAATTCACGAGTGCCATCATCACGTAGCGTCCACTTGTATAACTGAATCTTCTGGTTGATAGCAGCCAGAAGTTTCCCATTAAAGGCATTCAGAGAATAAACAGATCCTTTGGTTTCTTTCTCGGCAATAAGCTGCAATCTCCCATCTTCAACTATAAATACTAATATCCTTCCCTATTTTCACAAAGCACCAACATTCAAAGACACATCAGAACACATATATATATGACTCAAGGATAATAATATGCTTCTAGTAAGAAAAAGATACCTTAGTTGGTTCATTTTCCTCAGGTAAAACATAAGCGGTTCCAACGCAGTAGTAGACATTTTTGTCATCGGTGAACGAGCAGCTTAGTATGGAGCAACCGTATTCAAAGGCATCCAATGGATAAGTTGACACAAATTCGAAAGTTTGGTCATCAAGGAGACGGACATAATGCATCTCAGATTCTTCGGCATTTGTCTGGTTCCCCAAACTGCAGATCCCAAATGTACGCGTCTGCTCCTGATGGCAGATACGACGTGCATGCTCTCCAAGAGGAATAGTGCGGATGTGAAGCTTCTGAATATCATCAATGGTGCCTATTGTAAGTTCACCTTCCCTAGCAATTGCTAAGCTGCTCATAAGAGAGAACAGAGAATCAGGTTTCACACTTCAATCAAGAACTTGAAACAGAAAGCCAATAACACAAAGAAGAGAGGATATTTAGTTACCTGTCGGGGAAAGCAGCAGAGTTGAAAGGACACATGTGACTAACTTCTTTAAGATTGACATTGCTGTATAACAGCTTCTTGTTGCTGCTATAGATGACGGTTGGTCTATCTGATGCAGCAAAGACGTGTGTGGCATTTTTAGATGAAAATGTACGCAGAGTTATTGGCTGAGTCCCGAGTGATACTTTCTTTCTGTCTTTCAATTGCCCGGTGGTTGTATCCAACTGGAAGTTCAAAAGATGGCCATCTCCAAGAGCACAAAGCAAGTAAGATATCTGCAACATAACATATGTTAAGTTCAACCTTAAAAATTAACTCGGTCTAAGCTTATTTGAAGTAAGGTCCAACGGGATTATACCCCTTCGAATGCACAGAGAAGAACAGATCGGGGAATGATCTCTCCTCCTAGTTGCTCCTTCGTAATAAGAGTCAATTCCGGCAGCGAAAAAACCCTCACACTTATATCTGTCCACATCCCCACCGAAGCTAGCTGACTGTAATTAGGATTGTCGCCGATAGGATTTATATCGAGGCAAGCAACTTCGTACTCCAAAAGGGCATGTTGCACTTCCGTCAGTTTCCCGTCTCCGATTTCTAGATAAACCAAATGGCCACCTCCAGTTGCCAAAAGAACCTACCAAGCAAATCGAAGAATCCATTAACAAATGGTAATTCAAAAACGTGTTATATGTTAAGACACTCATGTTACAGTTCTCTCTGAAGAAAAATAATTTCAATGTAGCGGCTACATACAATACTATTAAAACTAATCCAGAATGAAAAGACAAACCTGGCTGGCATTTGCGGTTGCAACGTTAACAGTGAATCCCGCTGGGGCGTGCCACTCATCCCGCAGTTCTCTAGTTGTAGAGCTGACAAGTCTAACAGAATTTGAAGTAACCTGATCCATAAGAGGCAGCAGTTAATTAATGTTCATGAATAGAGAGGAGAGTCCAGACAACTATTTCAGAAAGGAAACTAAGCTTAACAGCTATCAGATACATCAATTGTCTTTGAAACCTACCTGTACAAGTTGATTGTGCACAGCATCATGGCAAAATAAAGTCTGCACTTGAGACAAGAAACCCTCAATCTCCGTCTCTTCCAGTTCATCCTCAAGATTCATGGCTAATATGCGAGTTTCACTGATAAAGCTAACTACAAGGAATGTGTCGAAGGCTTCATCAATCGAAGATTTCAACGACCACATTCCCTTGATACCTTGAAGTTCCACAGAGGCCTGTAATACAACAGAGTATTAAGATAGAAACCAGATGAGAAAGCTGCACGTAAGAGATAATTGACATTTGCGACATAAATCAAACCTGTTCATTGATTCCAATTCCATTGCGGACTACACGGAGTGAACCATCCTTAAATGCTCCAGAACAAGTTACAACCTGACCTTGTCCTTGTCTCTCGAGGTCGACTACACAAAAGTCGACAATAGGCCCCAAGTTGATATACCTTTCCAAGACTTCTACGTATGAGCCTTTTGCATCAGGATGTAGATTTAGCTTTACTAGCTGCAAATGAAAAATCATACATGGAAACACTCAGATGGTTGATTTTTACTTTTTCTAGAAACGAGAGAAAAAGGACTGTTTTTTCTTTGAATTTTGCTGTAAACTGAGAGAATAAACAAAGTCTCAGCGGATTACCACTAATACAATAATTGGACACAGCTTCAAAACATGGCAAGTATCATCTTACATTCTAGAAGAACAATTTGAGAAAAACTGCGTAGCGAGACCAAAAATCATTCATAACACACCTGTGAATCGCCATAGCTTGAGCCGACAAAGACAACGGCATTGTCAAGGTACGATATACTTGATGCAATAGACGTTTCACCCAAAAGCTCAATTTTTAGGCCAGTGACCCTTCAGATATTCCAAAAACAGCAGCATAAGTACATTGTAAATAAATTGAGTACAGCTTTCAATTGTTTATTAACTGGAAGGAAGTAAGAGTAAGCACACATGTATACTCACTTTTCTTTCTCGTGAGTTATAACAAGCAGATGAATCAGTCCAGCATGATCACCAAGAAGATACCTAGAACCATCAACATCAACTCTTCCATATGCTTTAGTGATGGACTGTACACACAAATTGAAGGTCACATATCAAACTAAGTAAACAAAAAGGGGTACTCGCAGAAATCTCAAGCAACTGTATACAAAAGCAGGTGAGATTACGTTGAAAGAACTTACAGGTCTTATTGGTATTACTTTCAATGAAGTAGGACTGCAGTAGACAATTGTCTCTTCCCCGATAATAAGGACGCCACAGTGAGGTGGTGGCACAGGAATTAGTAAGTCAGCACCATTGTCGAGATTGTTCTGTTGCCATGGACCCTCGACAAAATCCTTATCTTTTAGAGAGACTTCATATGTTTTCATATGACGAGCATCTTTGTTGTCCTATGAAACGAAGCATTAGTTAGTCCCACCCGTGACAACTCTAGATTACATCCGTACATCAGACTATATCATGATTATTATAGTAAAACGAGAAGATCTGTTTAAATAACTACCACTCAAGCTTAAACTCCATCAACTACCAACAGTACATATATTAACCAACTCCAAAAAAGTTATTTCTACAGTGAAATCTAGTATGACTTAAAAATGAAGAACAAGGTTTACAACAAATTCAAATGCAATTATCAAAATTCTTCCATAGCGCATCCATGTTAAGATATTTTCATACCTGGTAAAGAACCGCAATTGTGGGCTTTGCACATCCAAACAGAAACTTGATATCCAGAACCTGCAATTCCTCCAGCCTGCAATTCAGACACCACACTCAGTATATAATTCAATTTCAATTTGTTACCAAAATAACAATATCGTAAAGAATCAAGAGGACTGCGTCTATTTGCGAAAGAATGTGATACATGAAAAGAGAACACACACACAAAGGTGACGATCCAATGGAATATGCTATCTGAATAAAACAATACCTGATATTGAAAGCTTCCTTGAGCTGCCCCTTATTATCAAATGGAATAACCTAGCAGAAGAACCAAAGGAACATAACGCATCATCATACAATGTATAAACAAATAGATCAGTGGAAGTTCAGTAGCATGATATCATTCAGCAACGGAGCACATATGTTAATTTCTTAAGGAAGACAACTATATACCTTGAACAAGCCGTCATACAGATGGAGTCCAATTAATCTACAATCTGGATCAATTATGCCAATCTACAAAGCCAGTGTCAAAACAGTAGTAAGCTACATTCCCACAATCAGATCACATATATTTTAAAGAAGGAATGTAAACAATTTAAGCACTCTAAAAATGAGCAGTGGAACAAGACGTTATTCAATACCTGCCCATTGTCTGTTGGTCTGCCTATACGATCAGAAACATCCCCCATTGCTCTGAAAAAAATTTCAAAACATTATACAGAATAAGCAGGTTGGTTAAAATCAATCTATTCGGGCAAGTATGATCATATATCAAAAGAAAAATAACACAGCTGATTGGTTAACATCAATTTCATGCACGAAAATCTATTATATTCTGAAAGCTATACCTTGTAATAAGCTCAGAGGACTCAGAGTCCCATTGAAGAACACAGAACTTGTATCTCTCAGTTGCAATGAACAGAAAGTCTTGTGCTTCTCCCTGCAAAGGATGGTGGACAATACTATTAGCATCGTAACGTGCTAATCAGACCATGATAAAAGAATACCGTAAGTGATATATGTATACTCACATGTGGCCGGAACAATTCCAAAGTAGCGATTCTTCCATATATGGGAACATCCAGCATAGGCTGCAATATAGGAACATACAACAGAGTCTTACATTAGTAGCAAAACAAAGCATTTCAACCAAGTTTTAAAATTTATACTCAAAAGTCCAAGGAACTTAAAAATTTGTAAAATGAAAACGAAAAACAAGATGAAGACTTTTCCTTATTGATGAAACGGTAATCCAATATAGATGTATGTAGTACCTGAAGTCCCTGTGGGGTAAGCAAATGGATCTCAATTCGAGTACATTTCCTGCAAACAGATCAACACCACTGTCAAACTAACAATATAATGGATCTGATCCAATATTTGCTAAATCCAAAAAATGAGGTAACTTTTATAACAAATCTACAGAGCTGCTATCAAATGATACTTGAAAACCTCTCCATATCGGAAATGGCACAATTTTCAGCATGTAATTTAGTTAAGAGCAGTTACAGAAATACCCAAAACAAGTCTCAGTAACACTTTTAATTATCAACAAACACATAGAGACTAAAATCCCAATCCTCTTCACCAAAGTGTGAGCATTTCTCAATTCTGAAACCACTAATTGACTACAGCTACAATTGACAATTTCGAGAGAGAGTTCGTCCTTCGAATTTGTTTGCAAAGAGAGCAAAATAAAGAAAATGGACCACTGATGTGCAATAGCTTCCTTGAAAACCCTAAACCCCAAATCAACAGTTGCGATACGAAAGAGGAACCAACAGAAAATTGATTAGGAAGAGAGGAAGGAGGAGAATCATACGCGACAATGAGATTGAGCTCTTGAGGACTGGTGAAGTTCCCAACGCACGAGTGAGTGACACTAGTGGGTTTGTGAGCCGTGACGACGTAATTCCACGAGCTCATCTTCTTCTTCTTCTTCCCCTGAAATTGGAGGCTTCACAGTCTACTAAGCGAGGGTTTTCCCGCCTCTAATTCTAGAGAAGCTACTGGATTTCTCTAACGAGCTTTTGGAATTTCAATGGAGGAGAGAGAAAAGAACAATGAAAAACAAAGACAAAAGAGGCGAAAAGCGAAGAAAGGAGAAGAAACAGTCGACAGACACCACCCCTTCGACAATGACGGTCGGTTTGGTATACAATTGAACAGTTAAATGGATGGTCCGGTTCGGTTTACTATGATATTCAAACCTTTAATTCGAACTAAACCATCAGATGCATTAAATTGATCTTATACTAATTCGATTTCATGTAAATATTCTTCATAGAGAAAACCCAATAAATCAGAAACCGGACTGAGCACCAAACTTAAAATGATAATCCGGTTCGGTACGTCCTATAGGATGATTTCCGGTTAGTCTTCGGCAATTAGAGGCGCAAGTTTCGGCTTCAAAATCGAAAGAGACAATGTTAATGGGCTTAGAATAGAGCAGCTAATAAATGGGCCGGGTCATTACGGGTCAACCCGATTCCTGAAGAAAACCAGAAAACCTAGTAGGTTTTGTAAAATCAAAGTGGAAGAACTTTCCGACCAAAACATACAAAAGGAATCGTTTTTGGCTGCTCCGTCGCCACTAAACCCTGCGGCTAACCTTAAACCCTAATTGAGCTCCCCTGCTTTAGCTGAGATACAGAGAGAGAGAGAGAGAGACTGAGTGAGAGAAGAATGGTGTACACGAGCGAGAAGAAGAAAGGTGGAGGAGGTTTCAAGAGAGGCGGCAAAAAGGGTTCCGATGCAAGGGATCCATTCTTCGAGGAAGAGACGAAGAAACGGAGGAAAGTCAGTTACGATGACGAAGACATCGAGTCTGTGGATTCCGACGCGGAAGATGACGGAATCAACGGCGGATACGGAGGTGGGAGAGGAGCTGAGGTAGCGGAGGAGGAGGATGAGTTTGCCGATGAGACGGCGGGAGAGAAGCGGAAGAGATTAGCGCATGAGTTTCTGAAGAAAGTAACGGAAGCTAAGCGGAAAAGGCGTGAGGAAGGAGATGACGATAGCGAAGATGATGATGAAGATGATGATAACACCGGTCTCGCGAAGACTCTGATGAAGAAGCAGCAAGAGGAGAGTGGTAGGGTTCGAAGAGTCATTGCTTCAAGGTAATGAATGAAATTCGAATTCAATTAGATTTGAAATTGCTGGTAATTTAGGATTCATGGCCGATTAAATTGTGAAGAAAAGGATTGATTTTTACATTTATTTCAATCAATTTGAAGATATGAACGATTAAGCCATTTTCACTGATGTTAGGGTTCAGGAGCCACTGAGTAGTGATGAGTTTCGTGTCATCGTCAAGCACCGACGACCTGTTGTGGCGGTTGCTCTATCGGACGACGACTCTAGAGGCTTCTCAGCTTCAAAAGACGGTACTATCCTCCACTGGGATGTCTCTTCCGGTAAAACTGACATATACAAATGGCCAAGTGATGAGATTCTCAAGTCTCATGGGATGAAAGTGAGAGAGCCTAGGAATAAGAAACACAGCAGAGAGACTCTTGCTTTAGCTGTTAGCTCTGATGGTCGCTTTTTGGCTACTGGAGGTGTTGATCGCCATGTTCATATATGGGACGTTCGTACCCGAGAGCATGTCCAGGTAACAATGATAATAAATCCGTTTTTCGTTTTTATGGTTTTTATTTTAAGATGTCTCTTGCTCTCTCAGCTTTTATGATTATGTATGTATGTGTCTACAGGCCTTTCCAGGTCACCGGAGCACTGTTTCTTGTCTATGTTTCAGACACGGAACTTCGGAGCTCTATTCTGGCTCATTTGACCGAGCTATCAAGGTGTGGAACGTAGAAGATAACTCGTTTATGCAAGACAATTTTGGACACCAGGCTGAGATTCTAGCCATTGATGTGTTACGGAAGGAGCGTGTTCTTTCGGTTGCAAGAGATAGAACCATGCTATTAACTAAGGTAATGAGACTAAGACTGCTTTTTTTTGTATCTTCAATGTGAACACTATCATATATGGTTTTCTATTATTCTGTATTTGTGAAGTCTTTGTGAAATATTGAATAGGTGCCTGAGACAAGTCGTAGCATCTATCGTGCTCCTGCGTCGTCTCTGGAGAGCTGCTGTTTCATCAGTGATGATGAGTACCTGTCTGGTTCGGATAATGGAACTATTGCTCTCTGGGGCATGATGAAGAAGAAACCTGTGTTTCTCTTCAAGGATGCACATCCTGTTGTAGCTGATGGAATCTCAGGTAAAACCTTTTATTTGGTTCGTTTCCGTCTCATCTCTGATGTCATTGAGAGTCTTTAACATTTGCAATATCCAATTCTTGAATATTTTTCTCAACAGAGAACGGTGATGGTGAACCTGTGAGCTATAACTCTTCTTCTACAGTAAGTTCGTGGGCCACTTCGGTTGCTGTTTGTAGAGGTAGTGATCTTGCTGCATCTGGAGCTGGTAATGGTTTCGTGCGTCTGTTGTCTGTTGAAACCGGAGCAAATGCGATTAAACCTTTGTACGAGCTTCCACTGGTAAGTTTTCTTGCCTACTTCTGCTCTGATACATTTGTTACCTTTGAGTATGAAATATCTCGCAATCCTCACAATGCCTTGTGATCTTACAGACTGGATTTGTCAACTCTTTGGCTATTGCAAAATCGGGTAAATTTCTGATCGCCGGTGTTGGACAGGTGTGTAGAGTCAGTCCTCTCTTGCCCTTCTTTTTTTTTTTGTTGGCTATCTTTTTGTCATCTTTGGTTTGAATGCTGATCGCAAAAACTCTTGTGATTTGTAGGAAACACGATTTGGAAGATGGGGCTGCTTAAAGTCTGCGCAAAATGGTGTAGCAATACATCCCTTAAGGCTGTCATAAGGATCGTTTTGGTACTAAAGTTTTGAGTTGCTAATAGCCAAAGATGAAATCTTAAGTTATTATATAGGGGATTATTATTACAAGTCTTTGCAGCTTTTGAAGTTTTTGTTTCCCCTTTCTTGTTTGTTTTATTGTACCCATTTTTTTCTTCAAATTACGATAACAACTTTTACATTTTGAGGCTCCTTGACTGAATCCTGATGAATCAAAGAGGATAAAAGTTTTCTTACTCCCAATAAAATGCTAAGAATTCCATTATTTTTCCTTTTGACTCGTAAGAGTAGCATTGGAATTAAAAATACTCATTTGTGGTAATTGCAAATGTACAGACTATAGACCGATAATCATAAGTTCAAAGACTTTATTATTTATCACGATCATCCATACATAACTTCAGAAAAAATCTAGTTTGCAAAGAAAGCCATACACCTAATAACTTCATACTCAAGTCAACCAAAACAAGTTTCTTAGGTTTTTGTCTGTGGCACTTCTCGATGAAACGGGTCTCGTTGCTTTCCATTCTGAACAAAGGCCTTCAACTGGATAAGAAACCACAGAAAAAAATCATTTAGGAAAGCTCTGAGAAAATGTCCCATTCATGCTAGATAAAGAAACCGCAGAGAATCGAATAAGCACTTGGATCATCAACACATACATAGTTAAGAAACCACAGAAACTTGTGAACAGCCCAAAGAGAACCTTAAGAAAGCTCTAAGCAAACATACATACATAAAGAGTCTAAACGAGGATTTGAAACAAGAAAATGCAATCAGGAAGATAGCTAACTCAGAGCATATCCAGCAAAATTCTGATACATTATATTGATAATCCAAAGAGCCATACATGGCACATGGGACCAAACCAATATGCACAAAGCCCCAGAAAACACTAAGTCCAATATGCAAGCATGATAAATTAACAGAAAGGATTGAACTTTCAATAACTACATGAAACGAAATTTAGATAGCCATCAAGTTTGATTCATTTTCTACAACCAAGTGAACCCAAGAGGCCAGCTTTAACATCAGAGATCGTCAATTTTAAGCCATTGGCTACATCAAGCGACAATTCTATCAACGATCATTCCTAAATCCTCAATAACACTATTGATCAAAACACAAAAGGGCATAGCTTAACACATAAGAAAAAAAGAGGAAGGCATAAGTAAGACAAAAGCTCTAACCTTTTAAACCGAATCATCTCAACTTCTCTTTACTTGAGCTCTTCTTAGCTGCATCCATAACCTTCTCTAGATACCCTTCAATAGGCGGTGTAAGAGTGGCCATAAACCGATTCGCCGGGAACGGAGTTAAATCAGGCTCTAACGCCGCCGCCTTAAGCTCCTCCGGCAACGCTTCAATCGCAGCTTTCTTCATATTCAGAAGCACAGTCTCAGCTGCGCGACGCGCTCTGTTCTCTTTCATCAGCACTTTGCTGTTCTCCTTCGCGAGCCTCTTCCCGTCCTCCGCCGTCAATTCGTATTTCGGCAATTCGTCGGCGGTGAAGATCCCCAGCGAAATGTAATCCAGACCCGGCGTCCCGATCCGCATCGGCTCATCGGTGACTCCCATTGCGGCGGCTCCTCCTTTCTTCTGAATCTCCATATCCCTTTGCTTCTCCTTGCTGATCAGACCTAGCTTCTCGCGTTGCGCCTCTCGCTCGATCTCCTGGGGGCTCAAGTGGCGAACAGGGCAAGGAGCGTTTAAGCATTGCTCGTAGAGTTTCTGCTTCTCATCGGAAATTTGACCCTTTCCTTTCACCGCCTCGTCTCCTTCTCCAGCTGCTCCTCCTCCGCCGCCGCCACCGCCTTTCTTGGTGGTGAGTTTGTTACGCTTCAATGGCTGACCTGTCTTCAGCTTGGCCTTTCCTTTAGGGGTTCCGCTAGCGGAGCATTTCTGGAGAAGGTTGTAACTCAGTGATTCGATGATCGGTTTTGGTCTCGTAATTCGAATCATGATTCTGCTTTCACCTGAGTTTCAGAATTTCTCGTCTGAAAATGGTGTTTGAGCACTGAGATTTAGGGTTTTTAGATTTTAGTAGACTGTGAAAGAACTCAAACAAAGACGGCACCGTTTCATTTTAATCGAACGATGTCGTTTCTGTCAAAGCATAATGTCACGGGACTGTAAATTCAGCTAAAGCGGAGGGTTGTATTGTCATAAACCAAGAACTCCCATTATTTAAACCAAACTGGAATGTTCCAAGTCTTAACCACTCAATTCAGCTGATTCTGTTTCTAACCGGAATGTTCCAGCTAAACCGGAAGCTAATTAACACGAAGTGAAAAGCTTCTCTCTTAGCCAGAGGCACTCGTCAACCTCACAAGAATCCAGATGTTGTTACGAATAAGGGACTTGTTGAGTTTGTAGAAAGCAAGAAGATGACTAAAGAGAGAACATTCAGAAGCATGACGCAAAATGTTGCAACTAATTAGTATTTAAAGTAGTTCTTTGTCTCAGTTTCATACTTGGGATGCTAATGATTTAGAAAGGCTAGTTGTGCTGTATTTTTTAAGATCAAGTTTCTTCTTTCAAGATGCAAATTGGTCTTGCCACAGGTTTTCACTAGCTTACTGTGCTCCACTGTTGGAAGTAAAAACCATCAATTAAGTTTCAAGAATCAAGAGATTTGATATGTATCAATAACTAGAAACGGAGTTATCTTTTACAGACAGTACTTACTTATTTTTACGTTGCTGAAACAGATTGAGATCATTATTCACCCACCAAGAAATTAGTTGAATACAGTCTCCTGCCACTTGTTAAACATTTCAAACTTTCAACATGTTCGGCTTTTGAAATGTATACTCCAAATACCAAGTAGGATTTGAATTCCCCAAATACAAAATTTGCTGAAACAAAAAGAGAGACGTAGTGTCTTTTAACTGTTGCATCCCCAATAAAATAATCAAAAGAGAAAGTTAAATCAATAAATTTGTTCACCAAAGATGGCAAGATCTCTCTCGAGGAGCCAAAAAAGTTGAATATTTGCAGACAGTATGGGCTGTTTTGTTGTCTCTTCTGGGCCTTGAAAGGATCTTCTTCTTCACTCACCCTTTCACTATAAACCCAGAAAAATCCTGACTTTAATTTCTTCCTCAATCATTTTTTCTCTCGATTGCGAATTCTGTTTCAATTATTATTCTTCTGGAGAAATCTCGTCTCTTTTCTCCATCGCCATGGCTCTCTCAACTCCTCTTTCTCAGGTTTTCCATTTTGTTTTCATAACCTCTCTGATTTCTGAGATAAATTTTCGGATTTTAATAAAAGTTTTGGTTTTTGATTTCAGATGTCTGTTGCACTTCCAACTGGACTTGATGGGTCAAGCCGATCTATGATTAAGGTAAACAAAATCGATCTAGATTACTCAATTAGCGATGTACGTTGTTTCAGATTCTTAGATGGTCCTGCAAAATTTTGTCTTTTAGCTTTTTCTGTATTGAAATGTACAGTCTTTAGAAGTAGACGATGACACCATTTTGCATCTATAGAGAAATGAAATTGGAATTTGAAAGAATCTTATTGGTAGTAAACGTTGACCCCTTTGACTCTGTCTCAGGTGCAAAGTGTAAGCTTCACTGAAAAGTCATGTGGTTCTCTCCTGAGACTAGATTCGAAATCAAGAAGCTTTAATGTGAAACAACGGTCAACAATATGTATGTCACTTCAACAAGCAAGCAGATCCAAAGTCTCTGTTACTCCACTAGAGCTTGAAGCTCCCAAAGAGACTCCATTGAACTTGTACAGGCCTAAGGAGCCTTACACAGCAACGATTGTTTCCGTTGAGAGAATCGTTGGTCCACAAGCACCTGGAGAGACTTGCCACATTGTGATTGATCATGATGGCAATGTTCCTTACTGGGAAGGACAAAGCTATGGAGTGATTCCTCCTGTAAGTGCTTCTCAGTCACAAAAGTGTATTCCTTTTTGATTAACTTTGCTTCTAACGCATTGCTTCCGTAGGGTGAGAATCCGAAGAAGCCTGGTGCGCCTCACAACGTCCGTCTTTATTCGATTGCATCAACGAGGTATGGAGATTCTTTTGATGGCAAGACAGCTTCTTTATGTGTCCGTCGAGCTCTTTACTATGATCCAGAGACAGGTGAAGAAGATCCATCTAAAGCTGGTGTGTGTAGCAACTTCTTGTGCAATGCCAAACCTGGAGATAAAGTCCAGATCACCGGTCCTTCTGGGAAGGTGATGCTTTTACCTGAGGATGATCCTAAAGCTACTCACATAATGATTGCTACTGGAACCGGAGTTGCTCCATACAGAGGTTACTTGCGTCGTATGTTTATGGAGAACGTTCCTAGTTTCAAGTTTGATGGACTCTCGTGGCTCTTCCTCGGTGTGGCTAACTCAGACAGTCTTCTCTACGATGAGGAATTCGCCGGTTATCTCAAGGACTATCCAGAGAATTTCAGGTATGATAAAGCGTTGAGCAGGGAAGAGAAGAACAAGAAAGGAGGGAAGATGTATGTGCAGGACAAGATTGAAGAGTACAGCGATGAGATATTCAAGCTTCTTGACAATGGAGCTCATATTTACTTTTGTGGGCTTAAAGGAATGATGCCTGGGATTCAAGATACGCTTAAAAGGGTTGCTGAAGAGCGAGGAGAGAGCTGGGAGCAGAAACTTACTCAGCTCAGGAAGAACAAGCAGTGGCATGTTGAAGTGTATTAGTCTTTCTTCTCTTGCATTTCTGCAAATTGAATAATGGTGTGATGATTCATTTCATGGATGATAAGACTAGATAATTGTATTCTTCAACAGATGATTTATAACTGAAGGTCGAGTTATTGCTACGTGGCTTGGTTAAGGTTCACATATAAAGGATCATTGTTAAGTTGAAAAATTGTTGTGGTAACTTCCTTGTGGTGGTGAGAAAAACAGAGTAGAAAATTGGAAATCTCAGATTAAGAGGGAACAATTTGATAAAGAAGAGTTGAAATCGAAAACATAAAAGTCTCAAATTAAATTAAAATATATGAAAGCGTGGAACACACGTTTACACAAACTTCATATTCTCCACGTAGTCTACATCGGTGGAAACAGTATGCATATTCCCATCACACTTCCCACAACAGCTCCAATATACAAAACACCATTTATGCATATTTAATCACCTATTAATCTCCTAGTCTGTGGAAAATGGAATTTGCATTCGATCCTTCTCCACAAACGTTTTCCAGACTCCAGTGTCAAGACACGATGAGTATTGGGTCTTTCACAAGGTGACGAGGTCATACACAACACTTTGAACTGTTTGCTGATCGGATCATATCCAAGATAGAACCCTGCAACCTTGTTGGGGTTTTTCAGACGCAGGTTTGGTAAGGTTAGGAACTCTCGCGTGATAGGGTTACAAATCACCACCACCCCCTTTCTTTTAGGGATTTCATGAAGAAGGGCCAATCCACAGACCGGGGTAACATGATTAGATGGAAAGTAGTTGGGGAATGACGTATGATTATAACGTGTGGCTACTAGAGTAGACTTGTCATCTTGAATGGTCGGCTGAGCCGAAGAGTAGAATAATAGTTCGCCATCTTCTTCTGAGGAGAAAAAGAGTCTTGGGCGAGTGGAAGACTTGGTCAGAAACAACTCTGTGAAATCAGGACGACGGAGTATGTATTCCCAATACTTGGATACGCGACGAAACCTAGCTATAGATTCTCCCGGGACTCGAGAGAATATATCGATGAGTATATCAACTGGGAGAGGGTCTGAGTAGCAATACTGCTGCTCCAATTGTTTCATGGCTTATTTTACAACATACAAACCCTAGATCAGAGCTTAGGACGCTTTGTTTCTCTCCTTGCTTGCTTTATATAGATTAAATGGGCTCTATAAAGGCCGAAGTAAAACCAAGATATATAAGTATAGTTTCTACTGTTTGTAATAAGAAACAATGATATGAGAGTGAATGTTGCTGATTGTTAGGGTTTGTAAATCCGAAACAATGATCTCGATTTACAAACTGTACAACTATACTTATCTCGATTTGCTCAGGCTCCATTGCTAGGGTTTCTCTATGTTTGTCAATATCTTCACCGATGATTCTGCAATGAATGTATGTGAAGTAATTTAAAATCATACATTTCAAAAGTTACTGTAAAAATACACAAATTAAGTACAGAACATAAAAGCATTAAAACCATAAAAAAAAACCTTGAGTTTATTAGTCTTTCTTCTCTGTTATATCTACATTTCTGCAAATTGAATAACGGTGTGATGATCCATTTTCATGGATGATAATCATTGTTCCAAATGATTTCCAATTGAAGGTCAGTTATTTTTGCTAAATGGCTTGCTTAAGGTTAACATATCAATATCCTTGTTGTGTTTGAATTTATTTTGTGGTGACGAGCAAACATAGTAGAATTTTGGAAATCTCAAAATAATTACATATTCTGAATCTGGTTTAGCTATCGAAACTACGACATATTTTGATTCATCACGTGAATTTGTGTCTCGACATGATAATGCATTGGTGGTTCAGACAAATTGAAAGACCATCATTGTTGTTAATTTGTTATGCCAAAATGGAAACTTCATACTTGTATATTTTTCTCTTTTGTCCCACATCGGTTTTATGACTTAAAACTATCTTGTTTAAATAAGTCTTCAAACCATTAGTTGTACGTCGAGCTCAGTAACAAGGGCTTGTGACCCAAGTGGGGACAATGAGTTGGTGGAACTCTGGCTCGGGCCACGAGTCGGATCTGTTGTGGCATGTGTCTGGGCTGCCCAGTCCAAGCTGAGAGTGAACCGTGTGGGCTTAGCGAAGGCTTTGCTCAGGCGGTTCCTAAAGTCGGAGGGCAATGCGTGAGGCTGGTTTCACAGAACAGCGACCACTTCCCTCTCTCAGCGGTGGACGGATCACAGCTCAACGCCACCCGGATTCACCATGGCTCGCTGGCTCGTACCCAGTTGAACCACCAATTTTTTTTATTTACATCTTGAAAGAAGTATAATCAAAAGACAGCAGCAAGTAGCCTTTTTCCAACTAACAGTTTAATCACACGTATTTAAAATCCCAAATATGAAAGTGAGACAATGGAGCTACTTAAGTTACTAATTACTTACTCAGCGAGTACCAAACTAGTTTCATGAGTCCATCATTCCTACTAAACCCCAAATGAATCTGAGACAGAGAATGCTACTTAATTCTTAGTTATTTATTTACGACATAATTAGTATTAAACTACTTCCATGGATCCTTTAAGCTTCATGCTTCTGTCCCTCTAATTAATTTCAGATCCTTCACTCTCTGTACTCATCTTCTTGCCTTCGAGAAACTCAACAAGACCCTTGAGCGTAATCCGGACTCTTGCTCACCATAAGCTGCTCTGTGATCTCAGCCGGAGTTGCTTTCACATCAAGGAACATCTTGCTTCTGTCTCACCATCAAGATCCATCTAAAGCTGGTGTGTGTAGCAACTTCTTGTGCAATGCCAAACCTGGGGATAAAGTCCAAATCACCGGTCCATCTGGGAAGGTAATGCTTTTACCTGAGGATGATCCTAAAGCTACTCACATAATGATTGCTACTGGAACCGGAGTTGCTCCGTACAGAGGATACTTATGTCGTATGTTTATGGAGAACGTTCCTAGTTTCAAGTATGATGGTCTCTCGTGGCTCTTCCTCGGTGTGGCTAACGCAGACAGTCTTCTCTACGATGAAGAATTCGCCGGTTTTCTCAAGAACTATCCAGAGAATTTCAGGTATGATAAAGCTCTGAGCAGAGAAGAGAAGAACAAGAAAGGAGGGAAGATGTATGTGCAGGACAAGATTGAAGAGTACAGCGACGAGATATTCAAACTTCTTGACAGTGGAGCTCATATTTACACAAATTAATCCAAATTAATTACAGAACATAAAGCATAAAAACCATCAAAAAAACCTTAAGTGTATTAGTCTTTCTTCTCTATTATATCTACATTTCTGCAAATTGAATAACGGTGTGATGATCCATTTCATGGATGATAACCATTGTTCCAAACGATTTCCAATTGAAGGTCAAGTTATTTTTGCTACGTGGCTTGCTTAAGGTTCATAAATCAAGATCATTGTTATGTTGGATTTTTTTTTTTTTTTTTTTTTTTTTGTGATGAGCAAACAGAGTAAGAATTTTGGAAATCTCAAAATAATTACACATTCTGAATCTGGTTTAGCTGTCGAAACTACGACATATTTTCATTCATCACTTGAATTTGTGTCTCGACATGATAATGTATTGGTGGTTCAGACAAATTGAAAGACAATTGTTAACCAGTTATGCCAAGATGGAAATTTCATACTTGAATATTATTCTCATTTGTCCCACATCGGTTTCACGACTTAAAACTGTTTTGTTTAAATAAGTCTTCAAACCGTTCACTGTACGTCGAGCTCAGTAACAAGTGCTTGTGACCCAAGTGGGGACAATTAGTTGGTGGAACCCTGGCTCGGGCCTCGGGTCGGATCTGTTGTGGCATGTGTCTGGGCTGCCCAGTCCAAGCTGAGAGTGAACCGTGTGTGCTTAGCGAAGGCTTTGCTCAGGCGGTTCCTAAAGTCGGAGGGCAATGCGTGAGGCTGATTTCACAGAGCAGCGACCACTTCCCTCTCTCAGCAGTGGACGGATCACAGCTCAACGCCACTCGGATCCACTATGGCTCGCTGGCTCGTACCCAGTTGAACCACCAATTTTTTTTCATTTACAATGACAAAGATTTGCATCTTGAAAGAAGTATAAAGATAAGAACAAATAGCCTTTTCCAATTAATAGTTTAATCACACGTATTTACAATCTTAAATATGAAAGTGAGACAATGGAGCTACTTAAGTTACTAATTACTTGCTCCACAAGTACCATACTAGTTTCATGAGTCCATTATTCCTACTAAATCCCAAATGAAACTGAGACAGAGAATGCTACTTAATTAATACTAATCACGACATACTTAGTATTAAACTACTTCCATGGATCCTTGAGCATAACATCCGGACTCTTGCTCACCATAAGCTGCTCTGTGATCTCAGCTGGAGTTGCTTTCACATCAAGGAACATCTTGCTTCTGTCTCTTTAATTTCTGATCCTTCACTCTCTTTACTCATCTTCTTGCCTTCGAGAAACTCAACAAGACCCTTGAGCGTAACATCCGGATTCTTGCTCACCATAAGCTGCTCTGTGATCTCAGCCGGAGTTGCTTTCACCTCAAGGAACATCTTCCCAATAGGCTCAAACAAATCGTGTTCTTCGATTCCAAGATACAATGCAGCGAGCTTCTTGAACACAACAGGCGTACAATAGTCCATGAGTATATGGACATCCATTCTTCCTGGTCTCAACAATGCCGGATCCAGTTTCTCCTTATGGTTCGTAGTGAAGACTATGATCCGTTCCTCTACACAGCTTGACCATAACCCGTCTACAAAGTTTAGTAGACCAGACAAAGTGACCTAAACCACACACACACAAAAACAAGAATCATCAGAACATAAAAATCAGAGATAGTTTATGCAAATTAGTAAAGCATACTCATATACCTTAGGATCCTTCTCCTTCTTCTTCTTGTTCTGATTCTCACCATCTCCTCCTTCATCTTTTTTTTCGTCTCTGCAAGAAGCATCAGCTCCATTGCAATCAAGATCTTCGATGAGAAGAATGGAGCGGTTGTCGGTTGAAGTAAGAATCTGTCTGAGCATCGCATCATTCTTAACGCTCTGAAGCTGAAGATCATAGATGCTATAGTTCATGTAGTTAGCAATCGCAGCAACAAGAGACGATTTTCCGGTTCCAGGTGGACCGTAAAGAAGATAACCGCGTTTCCAAGCTCGTCCTACAGATTTGAAGAAGTCTTTTCCTTTGGAGAAAGCGTCTAGGTCACGGATCAGTGTGTTCTTGAGCTCAGGTTCCATTGCTAAGGTTTCAAACGTCGTGTGGTGTTGGAAGATTGTTGATTCCCATCCCCATTCTGGATGGTAAGTGTGGATGTTGAGATTCTCTACGTGTGTCAATATCTCAACCGATGATTTTGCAATGTATGTGAAGTAATCTGACATAATCTTGTCCCTAAACTCCTTCTTACATGTCAAATGAAAGTACCTGAAATCCAAAATCTTAAAAATCAGATTTTTACAATTACTGTCAAGAACACAACTTTTTCTTACAAAACATAAAACCCGTAAATTTAAGGAATTTTTTCTTTATAAAAACACAAATTTTTTTATTACAAAACATAAAAACCTTAAATTTAAGGAATTTTTATTTATTAAAACACAAATTTTTTATTACAAAACATAGAAACCGTAAATTTAAGAATTTTTTAATTCTAAAAAGTACAAATTTTAGGGCTTTTTTTTATATATATACTTGCATAAAAAAATCAGAGATATGAGAGTTAATTATGAAATGAAGTATGGTAAAACTGTAAAACGTAATTAGACTTTTGATAAGAAGAGTGATTGACAAGAAACCTAAATATTAGGGTTTGATGTTTGAGAAGTTACCGTTTTGGTCTACTCTGGTGAGGATTCTCGTTTCGTTCAGAGAGAAGAGTCCACTCAAGAGGAATCCCTTCGAATTCATCGAAGATTTTGGCTTTAACCGGGATTCCGAATTTCGGTTTAGCGAGCGGGTTATTGAGGTTGCTCGAGTGGACGAGGAGACTTCCGGTGGACATTCCGGCGAGAAGGGTCGGCAAGTAAGTTTCGGCTGCACGGAAAGTCTGATTCGTTACGTAATCGCACTGTTCCTGGATGATGAATGTGAAATTTGTGTTGAAATAAGAGGAGAAGTAGTCTGAGAAACGGGAGACGATGAAATCACGGATTTTTTCGGGAATGATCTCGTGGAGAATGGTTCGGAAGAGGATTGTGAAGGCGGAGAGAGATGTGTAGATGGAGAAAATTGAAGAGAGTGAAGGGATTTGAGTGAAGAAACTCGACGCCATTGTTATCAGTTTTTTTTTTTTTTTTTTCAGGTGGTGAAGATGATGATGGTGATTCAGCAAGTGTGTGCTTACAGTGCTTTTAAGAGAGAAGAGAAAAACGAGAAAAATTGGTGAGCAAGTTTTCGAGGTTTACAAATTTAGAAAATGGAAGATTCGAGAGAAAGTTCGTGGTTTCCTCTTACGGAAAAAAGGTGCAAGCTTTATTACACCAAGTGGAGTTGTGATTTGCTTTCATACACTAAAGCCTCTTCCTTTGAGTTCAGGTTTTGATTGATATGGCTGAACTAATATCTTCTATTGCTTAGAGAATGTTTGGAGTGAGATGATTTTGGTAGCTTGACTTGTCTTTCAACAATTCAAGCTAGAATGAGACTTATGGTTTTGAGAACATTTACACTATCATCAGCTACATACAACTGTACAAGTACCAAATGAAGCTGATAATGGTGCTAGAGACTAGGTTTCTCTAGAGAATATGCATTAAAAAGGTAAAATGACTTGTTTTGTCTCTGTTTCATCTCCACACATAGGACAAAATACCATTTAGTAGTTGTCATCTTTCTTCTGCAGGTTATAAAAATTTGAGATTGTTTGTTTCTTTTAAAAAGTTTGGGTTTTTGAGTTTAGGAGGACAAATTCAAATCCACTAAACCAGCATTGTTCCATGATTCGATCTTGTTTTTATTTTATTGTATTTTTTGCTTGGATGGTCATCCTGAATTTATCTGATGAGCTGTTTCTGTATTTGGTTTCACCAAAGCCGATTGAAAAGATTTTTCTTAAATTAACAATTGACTCTGATTTCTTTATTAAAAAGGGGATTTTTTTAAAAAAGGTAAAAAATAAAATGAAAAGTAAGCACGTATTGGTCATTTGCATATTGTCATTTGCCATTTGTTCCTTGTCCATTTATCTATCCAACCTTTCCTAAGATTGTAAGAACTCCAAATCTCTCTCTCTCTCTCTCTCCCTGTCTCTCTCAAATCCAATTCCAATTTCTGTATGTATTTTTGTTTCTAATTGCGATCATCCAACCCCAAATTCCAGTTTCAATTTCCGTATATATTGACTTTGTCCTGTTTCGGTTTTTCTTCCATTGAAATGTTCTTCGTGAATGTTGAAAAGATCATTCTTTTCGTGCTTTCCCGTTCTTTTGATTTGAAACCCACAATGATGTTTACGTTTAATCGTCAACCAATTTGATTTCCTTAAGAAATATTAAAACTTTTTGTTCATTTTCCACAATTTGTGCGTGGTGGGTAATTTTTTGTTTGTTTGTTTGTTTATGTGTAGGATTTTGTTTGATGATTGTTGTTTCTTAGAAGAGCAATGAGCAATTATTCAGCCGGACTCGGTAAGCCTGGCTCAGGTATGACAATATTGATTCTGATTTGTGGATTTTTCATGAATTTTGGAGCAATTTCTGGATTTTTCATGTTATAATGCCCGGTGAATTCACAAATTGATTTTGCAATTTCTTGATTGTTACGTTGTGACTCAATGTACATTGTGTTTGAACAGGTAAAAGGAGAATCAAAGATCTATTAAATCAACCTGACAACCGAGTCTGCGCTGATTGTGGCGCTTCTGATCCTAAATGGGCGTAAGTTATCACCTTTTAAGCGTCCTCTTGTTTTGTGATTTGAACGTATGTTTTGTGTGTACATGTTGACTTCTTGTATGATCTTCATGTGGTTTGCTAACATAACATTTGAAAGATTGGAACTTTTGTTTGGTTCTGTATGTTCTTTGTCCGTTTTCCGAAAATCTACAACCTTAAAAGCCCATCACACGTTTGAAAATTCACATTATGTGATTGGAGCTCCATCTTTGTGACTTTTTTTCAGGTCAGCAAACATCGGAGTGTTCATTTGCTTGAAATGTTGCGGTGTGCACAGAAGCCTCGGCACTCATATCTCAAAGGTGATATAGCTTCCTTTTTATTACTCAAGACAAAAATGATCTCGTTTTTTGTGTACTCATGTATAGTTTTGGTTTCTCCAGGTCTTGTCTGTGACACTTGATGAATGGTCAGATGAGGAAGTCGACTCCATGATTGAAATTGGAGGGAATGCTTCTGCCAATTCGATTTACGAAGCTTTTGTACCTGAAGGAAGCTCCAAGCCTGGACCTGATGTTAGTCATGACCAGCGAATGAGATTCATCAGGTAAAGAAAAACTTTGTGACAGGACAAATCTGTCCTTGTTTAATGAGTTGCTCAATAAATCTTGAATCTTTTTTCTTCAAGGTCAAAATATGAACTCCAAGAGTTTCTGAAACCAAGCTTGAGGATTACATCTGGGAAGTGCTCGTCAAAGAAATCAGCTTTCCTTAAATCAAGTCTATCTAGAAAGATCATGGATAGTTTTCGCACAAACTCATCATCACAAAAGATGGTAAAGCTTTCTCTCTAACTTGTAGAGCTTAAGAGATATCTTTTGAAAAAAGCAATCTTCTTGTTGATAAAAGATAAAATTTTGACAGTTTGAGGAAGGAATGGTAGAGTTTATTGGAATGTTGAAGGTGACTGTTAAGAAAGGTACTAACTTAGCCATCAGAGACATGATGTCAAGTGATCCATACGTTGTGTTGAAACTAGGGAAGCAAGTAAGTGATCTCTTTTATAATATTGTTTATTGTAACTCATCTATTGAGCAATTGTGTGGATCCTGAAACTATTGTCATGTTTGGTTTACTCTATAGAAACTACAAACAACTGTGGTGAATAGTAATTTGAACCCGGTGTGGAATCAAGAACTCATGCTCTCTGTTCCTGAGAGCTACGGCCCAGTGAAATTGGTAAGGCCATCCTAAGCAGATGGAGTTTTCGATGGATGATTTTGGTTATCGTAATATCTTACTGGTTTGTCTGTGATTGCAGCAAGTGTATGACTATGATACATTTTCAGCTGATGACATAATGGGAGAAGCTGAGATTGATATCCAACCTCTGATAACATCTGCAATGGCATTTGGGGATCCTGAAATGTTTGGAGATATGCAGATTGGGAAATGGCTAAAATCGAACGACAATCCCCTGATAGATGACAGCATCATTAACATTGTCGATGGGAAAGTGAAACAGGAGGTTCAACTCAAGCTTCAGAATGTAGAGTCTGGAGAATTAGAGCTAGAAATGGAATGGCTGCCACTTGACCAATAATTATATAGTCTCATAACCTTCTTCAAATTGTGTTGATTCATTATTCCTTCTGTATTTTTTCTCAAACTTTTTGCAGTTTTGATTTCATTTTTGATGTTTGTATAAAAACCCAATGGTTTGTAATGTTTTGATTGATGGTTAAAAAAGGAAAGACATCAATTTTAATTGCACTCATATTCTTCATCAGTGAATACCAAACTCGTCTTTTCAAAGCTTTAAACTTGACACAACTCACTTCACAGAATTAAAAGATAAAACACTTTTGCATCACGCAGTTCCCTCTAAGTTACATCCTCATGAAATTGCCTGGCACATTTCTTCAGAGATTGTAATGTTTTGATTGATGGTAAAAAAAGGAAAGACATCAATTTTAATTGCACTCATTCTTCATCAGAGAATTCCAAAGTTGTCTCTGAACTGATTAATCACACCGTGAAGATAACAATAAGCACAAAGAATGTTTTCACCTAACTAAGACATTTTCAAGCCTTCTCAGCCTAACTCAAGTCATCAGAATTACAAAATCTCTTTAGCCATGAGAGTTCAGCAACTAAAAGCTAAGCAGGCATGAAACAAGTCTCATCTCAGACAGTTTTAAGACTTATCATCTCTAATTCAGTATTTCTTATCAAACTCAAAGCGTACTATTTCCCCTTTTTGTTGAGAGTTGATAGCAAAAGGCAAAACCTATACGAACAAACAAGCAGATATTGTGTATAAACGTAGAGGTAACACGAAGATAAAGAGCAACGACGATATATTCCAATAGAGAAATTCAATTTGACTAAAAGAGAGTAATGACAGATAATGAAGCAAACAGGGGCCTTTTACAAAGAACCCCAAACACAAACCACGAAAAGATTTAAATGAAACGAAACAGGAACATCTATTGGAAGTTCATAAGAGAGACGCAAGAAGCAAGTTTTCGGAGACCACCACGAAGACGGAGGACCAAGTGGAGAGTCGATTCTTTCTGAATGTTGTAGTCAGCGAGTGTGCGACCATCCTCGAGCTGCTTTCCAGCGAAGATGAGACGCTGCTGGTCCGGAGGGATGCCTTCCTTGTCCTGGATCTTCGCCTTAACGTTGTCAATGGTGTCGGAGCTCTCCACCTCCAGTGTGATTGTCTTTCCGGTCAACGTCTTCACAAAAATCTGCATACCACCACGTAGACGGAGGACCAAGTGAAGTGTAGACTCCTTCTGAATGTTGTAGTCAGCTAATGTGCGACCATCCTCAAGCTGTTTTCCGGCGAAGATGAGACGCTGCTGGTCCGGAGGAATACCTTCCTTATCTTGGATCTTGGCCTTCACATTATCAATGGTGTCGGAGCTTTCAACTTCCAATGTGATGGTCTTGCCAGTGAGAGTCTTCACAAAGATCTGCATACCACCACGGAGACGCAAGACCAAGTGAAGTGTAGACTCCTTCTGAATGTTGTAATCGGCCAAGGTGCGACCGTCCTCAAGTTGCTTCCCGGCAAAGATCAATCTCTGCTGATCTGGAGGAATGCCTTCTTTATCCTGGATTTTGGCCTTCACATTATCAATGGTATCGGAACTCTCCACCTCCAAAGTGATAGTCTTTCCGGTAAGAGTCTTCACGAAGATCTGCATACCACCACGAAGCCTGAGCACAAGATGAAGCGTGGACTCCTTCTGGATATTGTAGTCGGCTAGGGTACGGCCATCTTCCAACTGCTTTCCGGCGAAGATCAATCTCTGCTGGTCCGGTGGGATTCCCTCCTTATCTTGGATTTTGGCTTTCACGTTGTCGATGGTATCAGAACTCTCCACCTCGAGCGTGATCGTCTTTCCGGTAAGGGTTTTGACGAATATCTGCATACCACCACGGAGCCTGAGGACCAAATGAAGGGTGGATTCCTTCTGGATGTTGTAGTCGGCCAAGGTACGGCCATCCTCTAGCTGTTTTCCGGCGAAGATAAGCCTCTGCTGATCCGGAGGAATGCCTTCCTTATCCTGGATCTTGGCTTTGACATTGTCGATCGTGTCAGAGCTTTCCACCTCGAGGGTGATAGTCTTTCCGGTGAGAGTCTTAACGAATACTTGCATCTGAAAAAATCAGAAAAACAAAGATCAACGATCTATTCAGGAACAAAAACTCAGATCAATTGGCTAAACAGTCGGTAACAAGCTTCGATAAACTAAAATTCCGATCGAACAAAGACGAATCAGATAATCACAGAACGACGCGTAACAACAACGGAGATAACACGAACCCTAATCGAAAATCAAGAGAAGAATCTACCGGCGAATCTCAACTATGTGCTTTCTATAGCCGGATCAAAATCGAAGAATAGAGAATCAATTGCGATCGAAGGAATCAACTAATCGAATAAACCCTAATAAGAAATCAGAATTATACCTTGATCGGATTCGCGATTACGAGAGAATTGAGAAGATGATTTTTGGAATTGCGTAAACTGAATATGCGAGAGAGAAGAGGGCTTAGGGTAATGATTTATAGGAGAGGTCAAGGCCGAGTCGGTCACGAGCAATTTAAAGCGGTGAAGCAATATACAATCAAAATCTGACACGTGTGTAGTATGGGTCCTACTTTTATCAAAGGCGTATCTCGTATTTTCTGGAAGTTCGTGCTTTGTTTTCCTTAATGGTATCTCCTTATTTTAATGCAAGAGGGCTTTTCAACTTGTCAACTAAATTTCCGGGAACTACCCATAAGATTGTAATCAACAAAATTGTTCTCTTATAATAACAAAAAAAAAAGAAACAAATTGTGAAATAATCCTTTTTTTAGGGCAAAAGTTCCATGTTTTGGATTGATTTGTGTGTATCAAGTTGGTAAACGGGCAAGGTTTGCGGTAATCTGGTTTAATATTATTTAATTTAATCCACATGAAATAAAATGGACCTCCGTTTAGGCCTGGTGCATATCTAACCTTCTTGGTTTCGTGTTTCTTTAGTCAATGAAAGCCTCATTTGAATAACCTACCGAAACAGCCGCGTCAACGTCTTGACTCTTGACCAGAGAAAAGTAAAAAAAAGCAAAGTCAAAATCAAAATATCTAAACGCAGCGTTTAAAACCTAATGACCCGGCCCATTAACCCGTAAACTTGACCGGTCTCTGTTCTTCTTCATTTTGCATTTTCAGTTCTGAAGTTTTTCCTCTTTCGCTTGATGCACCTCTCTCCGGCGTCAGTTTTCTAATTATGGTTTTCCCTCTCTAACTTGATTCATTTCTCTCGCGTCGTTTTTCTTCGATTATGGTTTTTCACTCTATGTAATTTAGTTGATTTTTTCGATTCTCCAAATTTTATGTGGTTGTGCTGTTTCGTTAGCTACCGTAAATTGATCTACTTTGGATTCAAATAATAATAAGTTTCTTGTTAATTGGACGTTGAGAGGATCAATTTGGGGAACAAAATCTGTGAGTTCTGCGTGACGATAACCATAAGCCATCATGATGGAGATTCTGCTTTGGCCTCTCTGTTTGATAAGAACAACTCTTTTCCTATCGTACAAGATATGATTTTACATTGTTTATATTGATGTAGGAAATTTCTAAACTAATTCTTCTGCAAAAAAATTGAAGATGCATCATCCATGATACACAAACATCCAATCTTTCTGAAAGTGCTCTCTCTCTACATCTCTGTCCTGTTGGGCTTGCTGCAATGAGTGTTTAACTGATGCGTCTGCTTACCATTGTCTGGTCTGAGTATCAATCTTGTTCTAGTAAGCACGCCTGATGTATGTGCCAAGTCACTCAATCTTGTATACTTGAGCTAACATTACTGTATTTTGCCTTTTTGTCACTCAAGTCCACATTTGCAGAGAGCTGTGACACGGAAAGCAAAGAGGAGAATGCAAGAGTGTTGAGCTAAGATTAAAAATTAGTTAAAAGACAGTATAGCTTCTTGGACCCCTAACCCTTTCAACAGTATAAAGTCCACATAATCTCTTTGTTGCACAGTGTATCACAACTTTTGTTCTGTGTGGAAATACTGGGAACTGTGACTTAAGAACCAAGGGTAACCTGTCCGGGAGGAATCTCAACTGCTCCGCCGGGTCTTTCTTATCGCTCCTCAACTTCACAGGAGATTCTTGAATGTTCGTAGTCTCTTTGACTGAGTTTGAAGGTGGAGATTGCTTGGTCTGAAGCACTTTTTCATTGTTATTGTTGCTGTTGATCCCAACCTTGATTCTCTTCAGGACTTTCTTGTTGCATTCACAAGCGAATCTTGAATGTTGTTATTATTGAGTTTGACTGTGGAGATTTCTCGGTTTGAAGAAGCTTTTGAACTGACAAAAGCAGATCTTGGTCTGTTGCATTGAGTTTGACTGTGAAGGCTCTGAAGACTGCTCAGTTTCAATCATTTGATCGTTGTTCCTCACCAGATAATGTTTGTCCGTTAATGATTGTATGATTGTCACATGGCAAAAATCTTGAATGTTCATGAAATATTCAGTTGTCAAAGGCAAACCTGGACCGTAACTGCTGTCTCCAATTGAGATTGATTTTTGTACGTTACCAAAATGGTTGTAATGTTTCAAGTGATGAAAAAAAAAATCGATTATAATTACACACATTCTCCACCTGTAGTCATCAATGAATTCCGGAGGCATCTCTTGAATAGTTTTCAACTTTCCAGAACAAACACTACACAGAATTAACAGGTGAGACGCTAATGAACGAAGAAAAACACTCTCCCCTCACTGAACCAAGAACCCTATCATGGAGCATCCCATTTGCTGCAGGGACGAATATCTAAAATTCCTATCTTCTAGAGCACCCACATTCCTCTCAAATGGTTGGGAACATTGTTCCTGAATTGAATTCTCTCTCTCAACCAGTTTGGGATGTGAAAACCCAAAACTTCTCAACTGTCTTAAACACCTTTCAAGCTACAGATATTATAGCTAAGCAGACAGTAGATAAGTTCCACTTCTGTTAAGTTGAATCACACTATCTCCCCTCACTAGCAAATTGCAAAACCGAGTCACTAGCGAAACAGAGAAATATGCACATAAATGTGAAATTGCGAGGATATAGAGCAATAAAAGACGCAAACACAGTTCTTCATTTATTTAAAATGGGGGCTTTACAACCCCAAAACAGAAATCACGAAAAGATTTAGAGGAACGAACAGTAACGAGTTGGGAAACATAACATAGACGCAAATTTTCAGAAACCACCACGGAGACGAAGGACCAAGTGGAGAGTCGACTCTTTCTGGATGTTGTAATCAGCAAGTGTGCGACCATCCTCAAGCTGCTTTCCAGCGAAGATGAGACGCTGCTGGTCCGGAGGAATGCCTTCCTTGTCCTGGATCTTCGCCTTCACATTATCAATGGTGTCGGAGCTCTCCACCTCCAATGTGATGGTCTTGCCAGTGAGAGTCTTCACAAAGATCTGCATACCACCACGGAGACGCAAGACCAAGTGAAGGGTCGACTCCTTCTGAATATTGTAATCGGCCAAAGTACGGCCATCCTCAAGCTGCTTCCCGGCGAAGATCAACCTCTGCTGGTCCGGTGGGATTCCCTCCTTATCCTGGATCTTGGCCTTCACGTTGTCGATGGTGTCGGAGCTCTCGACCTCAAGTGTAATGGTCTTGCCGGTCAAGGTCTTCACGAAGATCTGCATACCTCCACGCAGACGCAACACCAAGTGAAGTGTGGACTCCTTCTGGATGTTGTAGTCAGCCAAAGTACGGCCGTCTTCCAATTGCTTTCCGGCGAAGATCAATCTCTGCTGATCCGGAGGGATTCCTTCTTTGTCCTGGATTTTGGCTTTCACGTTGTCAATGGTATCGGAGCTTTCCACCTCCAAAGTAATAGTCTTTCCGGTCAATGTCTTCACGAAGATCTGCATACCACCACGAAGCCTGAGCACAAGATGAAGCGTGGACTCCTTCTGGATATTGTAGTCGGCTAGGGTACGGCCATCTTCCAATTGCTTTCCGGCGAAGATCAATCTCTGTTGGTCCGGTGGGATTCCCTCCTTATCCTGGATCTTAGCCTTCACGTTGTCGATGGTGTCGGAGCTCTCCACCTCGAGCGTAATGGTCTTTCCGGTAAGGGTTTTGACGAAGATCTGCATACCTCCACGGAGCCTGAGGACCAAGTGAAGGGTGGATTCCTTCTGGATGTTGTAGTCGGCCAAGGTTCTGCCGTCTTCCAACTGCTTCCCGGCGAAGATAAGCCTCTGCTGATCCGGGGGAATGCCCTCCTTATCCTGGATCTTGGCTTTAACGTTGTCGATGGTGTCAGAGCTTTCCACCTCGAGGGTGATTGTCTTTCCGGTGAGGGTCTTAACGAAGATCTGCATCTGAAATTCAGAAACAAGTACGTTTAAAACTCTGATCTGATCGATCGCAGAAACTATTGGCAACGATTCGATCGATCAAACAAACAATATTCAAATCCGATCAACAAATCTGGAAGAAAATCTCAGATCTAGCTAAATTCCGAACCCTAATCGAAATTCGGAGGATATCAATCGGTGAAACTCTAACAGTTGTTTCTAACGATCGAAGAAACGATTCAATTGCGATCAAAACGATATAGCTAATCGAGAGTAAACTAATAAGAAACCAGAAATCTACCTTGAATCAGAGAAGTCGATTGAGAGAGAGATTTGAGAAGAAGATTAGGGATCTCAGAAATTGAATTGTGAAGGAGAAGAGGTGTTTAGGAGCTTAATTTATAGAAAAGGTTAGGCCGACTCGGTCACGAGAAAGGAAAGGCTGTGAAGCAATAACCAATAAAAAATTGACACGAGTGTAAGATGACGTGTATTGAGCGTTGTTCGCACGCAACCTTATCAGCTAAGTTAATTTTAGGTCAGGAAAAGGATATGTGCTTTGAGTTGATAACCACGACCCGTGCGCCGGCAGCAACCTCTTTAACGCCGTCTCTTACTAACTATCTCGACAACCACAATTCCGTAACAGATGCCGACGTCTAGATTTAACGATCGTCACGGTTGATGCAATATCATCTTTTCCATTTTTTTTAATCAACGGTGGGGCTAAAACTGCCAATAATTGAACAATGGACCCACCTTAATCAAAGCTTTTGTCGTCTTTTTAGAAATAGTGCTTTATTTTTCCTTCTCTTTGATTTTTATTTGCTTTTTTCATGCAAGTGGGTTTTTAATTTTCGATTTTTTCCTATGGACTGTTTTGGGTTTTATCAATGAATAACCATAAAAAAACACTTAATTAAGGATATATCCATATCCATTGTTTGGCTACGATATAGTGAATAATTTCTACAATATTCCTTAAACTATCCTCCTTCTCATTCTCTGAAGCGATTTTTTGTTCGTCGTTTCAGGAATTCTTTCATGTGATTTCTTAATTTCGACAAACGTGAGATCAATTTCTGTCTATCGATTAGATCATATTAATTCCGTTTTCACATCTTTCAGTCTCAAACCTCTCATTCAGAATGGATTATTCTCGGCGTTTGTCAGATGTTCCGTCTCTTGCGGTTATGTATAGAGTCATTCAATCGGAGATCACAAACCCTAAGAATCAACCAAATCCGCCGTCATTTTAATCATCCGTGAAACAAAAACCTTAAATTATTGGATACCCCCGCCGCCGTAAGAATAATTCGATGGCTACAATACGAGGAGTAGAAGAAGATGTCCATAGAGATGCCAAGACGTTTACCATTTTCCGTCGACACTTTTGGACCGTACACGACAAAGAAGAGAAGGAAGAGACATCATTTCTTGACATGCTCACAAAGACCACACCGTCGGGATTTCTCTTTCCAACATCGTCTTCCCGATTTACTCTTCCCCCCTCACGGTCCCTCTTCTTCTCCAACGTCATCTCAGCTTAATGAGTCTTTCTTCGTGAGGATTGAAACTGGGCAATCAGTCATCGTTGATGATTTTAAGTGTACTGCTTTTGATGCGAATCATTGCCCTGAAATTTGTTCCTAATGCTAAACTTTTGTAGATTTTAATTTCGATTGTTTCTGTTTGACAAAATTCATTCACTGAAAAAAACTTCAGGAGCATTCATGTTCTTGTTTGAAGGCAGTTTCAGTATAATTCTCTCGATTATATTTTCTTGGATTGTACATTCTGAAGTTTCCCAGTAAACATTCAGCAATTAGTAAAATAAAACCAACCTTTGTTGTTAACAAGAAGTAATTTCTATCTCATTGATATATGTCAATTCTTGAATCCCTAATATACTAAAGCACAAGTCACTGCACCAATAGAAAAGCAACATGTGGCAAGTTTAAAGAAAAAAAAAATAAACAACAAAATTATAGTAATTGAACGTGTTATAATTTTTGGGATAATTACTATTTCTATAATAATACTGTATCAATTTATCCGATTTTGTTGGAAAAACCTACCCACTTCCGATCCATTTTTGTAACCACTTCTTCAAATTTTATATATAAATGAAACTGATCTAATTAATTACTCATTCTAACAAAAAAGAAAAACTTTGATCCTTCATTTTGTCTCTTTATACACAACTATTATCTGCCGTTTACAGTCCATCATCATTGCTGTAAGTCTCAGTTTTTTTAAATCATGTTCATGTTTTTTTGGTAAAATGTGAAAGTTTTATACCAATTTTAGATTGTGATAATCATGTTCATGTTCATGTGTAACTCTCAGTTTTTCAGTGTTCTACGATAGATTCATGACGGATCTGGTCCATCACCATCCTTTATCACACCATTTTGCTTTAAAGCAATACTTTTGATCAACGCTCTTTGGTTCGAGTTAAGGTGATTATTTTTTGTTTACTTCATCTATTTATTACCGTTTATATTTCTTTTCTATTTCAAACTGTGTTTTGCAAAGTGCAGTGGAACAGACGAACATTTTGAAGAGGAGCACATTCGATTTTCCGTAACAACCCAATGATGAGCGAGAGAAAGCCATGCCCAGTCTATAGAACACAAGCCATCATCCACTATGTACGTTCGTATCTTTTATTAATTTTTTTTAACAGCAATATAATGTTCTAATAGGTTTGTTGATGTTTGGATTGCTATTTTGTCAACAGTTTGATCGTACTAAGAAAATAAATTCCTAAGAAAGCACATGAGGAGGAATGGACTTGTGGAAATCTCAAATGGAGATAATTTATGATGAAGTGGAAAAAAAATGCAGAGCAAATTTGTAATATACCGTGTTTATTTTATAATTTATTAAAATTTAACAAAATTTGTATTTTCACAGTTAATTTATATTTATGACATTCCGGATTCAATACTGTAAATTTTAATAACATATAAATGTAGCATTATTGGATAGATGTTTTTTTTTTACTTTTGTTGTATCAGAGATTGTTAGACTTAACAAATACAACATTAACATAATTTTCTAATGTATTTTCTCTCCTAATTAATTTCACTTTTATCTTAGATATTTATTTTCCAACAAAAAAACATAATTATGAATCTTAACTGAACTTAAATCATTTTACGAAGATTTTTTTTCTTTTTTGTAACATCTGCATTTTACGAAGATTTCATTTGTTCCCTACACTGGATTTTAATACAAAAAATAGTAATAGATTTTATTTTTTAAAAATTAGTCATATACAATTTACACAGAATAAAACTGAATGGAAAGAATATAGTATTCTTTCTTTGTCTTCTACAAATTTTGAAAATATAATAGTTATTTTAAAAATATTTTTAGTGTGTTGATTTACTATAATATATATTTATATTTACCCGCTTTTATAAAGAAAGAAAAAAATCGCTTACTACAATAGACCCTTTAACTTCCATTTTCACGTCCGTGAATTGGAGATTTGGAACATCCAATTTAAAATTAAAATAATGTTTTATTTTTATGAAAATAATAATATTATAATTTTATGGAAAAAAAAAGTGTTAATTGAATTGACCTGTGCGTATGCACGGAGTAATACTAGTTCTTATTATATAAAGCTGGATGCGCACGACGTGGTTGCGACACGTAGGATTTTTATAAAATATAGGATTGCGACATGTGTCACTTTTAATGTTATATCCGTTAAGATCGTGACACATGTCTTCGGAAAAAGGAAATTTTTATTTTAAAGGAAAATTTTAATATCTTATAATAAAAACGAAAATTAATAATATAATAAAAAATTCCTATTAGTATATGGAATAGGTATGTAAACTAAATATCCTAAAATTGTATGGAATAGTTATATAAACTCCTATTTAAAAAAATCCTATTAGTACATGTAATAGGTATGTAAACTAAATATCCTAAAACTGTATGAAATTGGTTACATGAACCCCCTATAAAAAGAGAGCTACTGTAGTCTCTTTTTCTCATTCACAAACTCATCAAAGCAAATTCAGAAAATCTCTTTGATTCTCTTTCTCTAATTTCAAAATCATGTCTTTGAAAGTTCAAGAGAACAGTGGAGATTATTTGACTCTAGGTCAATTGGATCGAAATTAAAATTATTTGAATAAAATCCTATTAGTACATTAGGAAAAATCAGAAAACAGGAAACAAACAATTAAAAAGAAAAAATATTACATCCATTATGAGAAGTAAAGAAAAAACATAATTCTATTACGAAAAGGAAAAAAAACGAAAATCAGAAAAACATGAAGAAATAATTAAAAAATGTTACATCCAATAAGAAAAGGAATAAAAAAACATATTCCCATTACGAAAATGAAAAAAAAATATATATAACAAGCTATATTTTTTAAGTTTCTTTCTCATTAAGAAATAAAATTCATGTCTTTAAAAGATATCAATGAAGAATACTTAACTTTAGATCGATACATGTGTCTAATATTTGATGAAGTGATGACATGTGTCAACACAAGAAAATTGGAAAAATGTAGTAACATAAATAAATAAACTAACAAAATAATATTAAAACAACTAACTAATAATGAAAATGAAAATTTATAATGGTCAGAGGCAAAAACGAAATTGAAAAAGAAACAATATAAATAGAAAACTAACAAAATAATTATTAAGGAACTAAATAATATTAAAAAAGAAAATTTTATAATGGACTGATCTTCTAATATTAAATAGTTTAATTTTCCATGTTTTGTTAGGTAAAAAAATATTAAAAATAAAGATTTCATCATGGAATAATCAAAGTTTCATAAAATAATGAGTCGATTAGATTTAGACACATGTAAATCTTTCTATTTCATATCATGAATTCAAAATAAAAATGTAAAAGACTACATATCTTTATTTAGAGATTTGTTATCGGGTTTTTAATATTATTTTCTTATTTTTAAAATTGATCAAATTTTGTTTAATATTCTTCCGTGATTTAAAAAAATAAAAATAAATAAACCCGCGTATACGCGGGGCCTAATCTAATATGTAATATGTCAAGAGTACTATTATGTTTTATTTCTATGGAATAGAATCCAGTTGGAAGGTTAATTTTATCCAGAAAAATTAGTTTTGGTTACTCTCTTTATATCAAGTATGTTATGGTTATATTCTTTATTATACTTCCAAATTCTCCCATTTGTTTTTAGCGTTTTTAATGCATAGGATATTTGCATTTTTTGTGTCAAGTGGTTTAGGTGATTTGGTGTGCTATTATTTAATTCACACATTAAATTTAAAATAAATCTTGTTTGGGCCTAGCCCATATCTAAACTCGTTAATTTTGCATTTTTTTGGCCCACGAAAGCATCGTCGGATAATCTTCTCGGTTACGTGTGTCTTAAGTCAATCGAAGAATCTTAACCGTCAATAGGTTTTCTTACTCAAATGATCCAACGGTCCAATAAGCATATGTGCTATGCAACTTGAAATTATGTAATCCAAAACGCAGCGCATCATATAACAACTTGAAGAACCTTGTCTTGGAAGTAAAGAGTTTGTTTGGAAACAGGGATACGTTGATACTTCTCGATGTTTTGTTTGATCTCTGACACTGCCTCAATAACCCAATTCAATGCAGAACGTTGAGCCTCTCTGAATCTCGAAGAACACGTCCATATATAATGATAACGTAGAGAGAATTTTGAAGAAACTTGATTAAGCTTATTTCATCGCAAAAATGAGCTCAAACTAACTTTTGCTTGTCCTCATTATACTTGATACATATTTATCTAACTAAGATATGTTCATATCTAACATGGTGTTAACTATTGACCTATATCCATGGGAACCTGATTTTTTTTTTTTTTTTTGACAAAGGGTATTCTATTCTTATTGAAATTGCAGAAATTAAAAGGTACATGGAGTCATTACAAGTTTACAACATAGCAGATAAGCGTATATTTGAGACAAACATACGAGTAAGGATAGAGAAATTCATTGTGAGTTTTGGAAGAGGATATTATCATTTGTTTTATTTCCATCATTACTAAAAACAAACTTTAATCAATACTAAGTTTATTATTCATGACGAGTGAATCTAAATGGTTCTGTAAACGATTTGCATCATAAAGATACACGAGTCGACATCGATTTTACATGCACCATGTCTAGGATATAGATATTTTTTAACGTCCTTTTAACACATGAGATCACAATAAATTTGTTTTATTCAAATTCACCTAATTACAGTGGTTGTTAACTTTCTCGTTAAATAGGAATCGATTTGGGTGTAAAATGGTTAATTCTGTTGCTTGAGTAGCAAGAAACACTTTTCTTTCATTTTTTTTTCTAGGAAGAACGAAGATTATACGGACGCATTTTGTGATTCTACAGTTATGATCTGCTTATAATTTTTTTCTAATGGCAAAAGTAAAATATGCATCCACCATTGACACCACACAGATTTGGATAAACGGATTCATGAGCTAACATTACCGTCTTTTGCCTTTTTGTCAACAAAGATTGAACATTTGATGCATAACACTTGATCTTGTACTACTAGTAGTAGTAAACACTACTAATGTAGGAATGTCGATGCTTAAGTCATTTATTTTGCAAGGCAGCTAGTGATAAACTGGTACTTGAGCTAACATTACAATCTTTTGATGTAAACGTTTATATGCCAAATCATTGTGGAAATTCAAAAATGCCATTTAGACCATCCGATCCGAAAGTGTTTCTGGAGTATGAACAGATCCAAAGCGAAGCTTGATCTCTGCTTTCAACAAAGAGGTTTCAGTAACAGTATATTCTCATTCTCAGCTCAAAGTACTTACATCTGCAATTACACTGTTTCCAGAAAGCTGTGAAACGGAAAGCAAACTTTGAAGAAAAACAAGAAACTTCAAGAAAGACGGAAAGAAGAGACTATACAGAGTTAATCTTGATGAAATATCAGCTAAAAGATACTATAGTAACTTCTTTGTGAAATTTTTTGTTGCACAAATGTACCATAGTTTTTGTTCTACGTATGGAAATACAATTTTGCTATCAGAACTTTTTTGAATCCAAGAAATTGTGACTTAAGAGCCATCGGTAACATGTCCCGGACAAATCTCAATTGTATCGCCGGGTTTAACACCGTTCCACCAGAATTTCTGGTCTTCGAACATTTTACGCTCTCTGTGAATAAAGAAAAACCCTTCTTGAGGCAGATTTAACTGACCACCCTTTTGTTGAATCTTAACCAGTTCTTTCCTCAGTGCTTCTACGCTATCATTCGGGTTCACATCTACCGGAATCTTCATCGCAGCTTCATTCTCACCGGAATATGGCATCACGAATACTTTCATCTTCATTCGGACGTGCGTCACCTTCACAGGCTTCCATGGCGAATCTTGAATGTTAGTGGTCTCGTTGACTGATTTTGGCGGTGGAGGTTGCTCGGATTGAATCACTTGAACCGTCGTCGTCACATGAAAATCTTGACCGTTGATGATCTGTTCTGCTGGGTTTGACGGTGGAGATTTCTCGGTTTGAACCACTTGTTCGTTGTTGTCGTTGATCATCACCTCCACAGGCAAATCTTGCATGTTGATTACAATGTCTTCGGTTGTCTCAGGATGAAAAAGTTGAATGTTCATCACATGTTCGGCTGTCAAAGGAGTATCCTCACCGTAAATGATATCTCCGATTGACTCTGAGTTCGGCGGTGTTGGAAATTTAGTCACTTGATCGTGAGGAGAGACGAAGAGTTTGAGACGAGAGTTGTTGTAGATCTTGCATTGTTCGATGTTAAGATCGTCTTGAAGAAGAACCTCGCCTTGGAAGATAAGGGTTTGTTTGGAAACAGGGATACGTTGATACTTCTCGATCTTCTCTTTGATCTTTAAAACCGTATCAAAGTAACCCACTTCAATGGAGAACTTGCCGCCACTCTGAGTTTCGAAGAAGACATCCATGGTTTTGGATCAATAGACTATAGAGACGACTGGTGAAGAGAGAAAAAGAGAGATTGCGATATTTACTAATTAGCGACCTATGACGTAGGCCTGGCTCAGTTTTAGGTTCTTGGTTACGTGTTTCGTAAGTCAATGAAATCTTGAAATGGTTTAACGGAGCATTTTACACATGGAACGAAACGCAGCGTTTTACAGACTGAAGGAAATACGAAACGCAGCGTTTGATACATTTTACGGCATTACGCAGTGTTTCCAAATGATTTGAGATCCGGCGCATCAAACCCGTAAAGTTGACCCGACTCTATTGTTCCGTAATATGAATTCGCGTTCGAATTCCATTGTCTTTAGCTGGACCCATCTTCCTCCAAAGAGGCCTTTTAGTGTAAACGAGCCCATAAGCAGTTTAACTTAAACTGTATCATCATAAAAGTCCCACATCGCTTCTTGAGGAAGAAGCTTTAGAGTTTATATAGCGTCAGAGTGTCAGGTAGGATTGTCCCTTCGGGGACATCCGATAAAATTGGAACGATACAGAGAAGATTAGCATGGCCCCTGCGCAAGGATGACACGCACAAATCGAGAAATGGTCCAAATTTTTTTTGCATTTCCATTCTCTCAAACCCTAAGAAATTCCTAAACTTTTTTTGCTGGTTTGATTTCGCAGCTCCAATGTTCGTTGTTCAGGTTGATTCCTATACATCTATCCATTGTATGTTCCCATTTTCTCATTAAGTTATAATCTCTCATGCTCTAATTTCTTCTGCAACAAAAATAATTTTCAGGTCGCTTCTGAATCTCTACAATTACAGAATTACTTAAGCAGCATCCATCGTTTTCAAAGGACTTGTCCTCTTATGTTTGCTTAACGGATAAAAAGAGATCCACCTTTTTAGTGAGTATTCGGTACTTCACCTCAATTTAGGAGTCATCACATCATTTGATTGTTAATGCTCTTAATATCAACTAAAGTTGTCTTCTTCTGCTAGTTAGCTACCGGAAGTTTGTAACTTTTGTTGAATTTCCCCAAATTCTGCAGCACAACCTCTACCTCTACTGGGTTTATGAAATTCTGGTAATTCAGTAATAGGATTAAGCAGTGTATTGGTTTTGGTCAGTCTCTTAACAGTGTCCTGTGTTTATGTGTTCAAAAGATTAAGACTTTGATGCCTGCTTTGGTGTTGAACAGTTGAAGAGAGAAGAACTTCGGTTCTACCGTCTAAAATTTTCTTCACCTGTCTAAACCAATTTCATTCACTTGGATAGGAAAAGGCATTTTAGGGAATAAGGAAAGTGTTTAGACATGTTTAGTGTTTAGTGTTTTTAGAGACTGAAAATGGATGTTCCCCGTTACTAGAAAGTGTTTGTTAGTCCTTTAAATGACAATCATCTATATCCATTTTTGACTGAAGTGTTTTTACTTTTTAGGTGGTGTGGATCAAATTGCTGTTAGATAATCTTTCATCTTTAAGCTCACAAGAGTCAAATGTTAACTTTGTAGAACCATATTTCAGAGGATCTTTTAATCGATGTGGATTGTGGAATGAAGACACATAAGTTGTGTTCTACTTGACGGTGATCTAAGCGTACTTGTCTCATATTGTTGTCTGGCCCTATGATTTCAGGTAAACTAAAAGCTTGACTCCGATGGTTTCACCTTTTTAGTCTTCAAAAGCTCCCAAAACAAACTAACGCCTCTTATGGATATGGAGTTTCAGAACTCGAGTCAGGAATCTAGACATGGCAAAGTGAATTGTAAAGAAGCATTTTTTTTCGACAGCATATCATTTTCTGTGGATAACTGAGATCATAGAACCGCAAAAAGGGAACTAAAGAGACAAAAGCAAAGTCTCAAGTCACAACCTTAGGAGAAGAGGCTTAAGCTGATTCTGCAGCTAGTGAGTTGAGACTTTTACTGCAACATAAGCTCAATTGGGTCGTTCGGTTGGGATCTTTGGACCTGTAAACCTCACTATGTTGTGAGATTGGATTCATAGAGCAAAGTGCCTCAGGTCTCCTTCGTCGAGGAATTTGCACAACATATGGTGGATGAAGAGGATCTGTGTAAGAAATGTTCATCAGACAGAATAAAAGAAGCTCAGAAGTAAGGGCAAACAGAAGGATGACTAGTGAAGTAGAAAGAACATGCGAGATACCAACTTGCTGTGTATTGTTTAATTGTATTCCCTAAGGCTGTGAATTGTTCTTGGTGCCTATTCATCTCAAATCATTGTACTCACTAGATAATTGAGAACCAATAAACCGGAAATTTGAATATTGAACCAACAAACCAAGAGAAATTTTATGAAATACACCTCTTGGGGTGCAAATTTTCAAAACTACACCTATAGTGTGAAAATTTTCAAAAATACATCTTTTTTTAATTTTAATATATATGTTTGGGTTCACTAATCCTAGATTAGGGTTTAAATTTTGGGTTTTAGGGTTTAGATTTAAGGGTTCAATGTTAAATTTTAGGGTTTTGGATTTATATTTTAGGGTTTAGAGTTCTTTTACTCCATGAAAAAAGTGTAGTTTTGAAAATAAACACCATAGAGGTGTATTTTTGAAAATTTGCACCTCAAGAGGTGTAGTTTTGAAATTTCCCCCAACATTTCTTGGAGTCAAATTCAATCCTTTTTACTATAGTTTTCTTAAAGATGCTCTTTTTACAATTCTCAAAACTTTGAGACTTTGTTACTATATAAGTACGAGATTCCGTTATTCTGTTAAACCCGAGAGAGAGACTTTATCAGTTTCTTTCTTCTTCGCTGATTCTTCTTTCTCTCTTCAACGCTCTCATCTCTGGCCATGGCTTCCGAAGGAGGAACGCGAGCAGATGCTAATGATCCCGCCAAAACCGCCGGTGAAGAAGAGAAGCAAGCAGAGGAAGACGATCTCGCCAAGAGCAACGATGAAGGAGAAGTGAAAACAGGGGAAGATGATCCCGCCAAGATCACCAGTGAAGAAGAAGCGAAAACAGAGGAGGCGCGAGCAGAGGAAGATGAGGCCAAGGAGGAAACTAGCGAAGGAAATGGGAGTCCTAAACCTCAAGAAGACTCGATTCCGGTAAAAACCGAACCTTTATGATGATCAAGAACCATAACTGATAGAGTCTCTAGGCCTATTGTCTCTGTTTTTGCCGTCGTTTTTTGTTCCCGCCATTAATGTTGGATTAGGTTAGTCGTAATTCTTGTTTACTAATAATCCAATGCTTTAATCAGAATATTCCTGGGAGTGATCAAACAACGAACAGTGGCTCAACATCTATTCCTCCGATTGGATCACCACCGGTTGTTGCATCTGTCCAGAACCATTCAAACCAGTCTTTTGGTACGCAGCAACAACTTTCTCCAAGGATGGTGACTACACGGCCAAGATCCCAAGTAGCTCACAACTCTGTAGCTGCTAGTTTTGTTCCTATCAATGCACCACGGAGACCAAATCTGATTACACGGCCATTCTTTCCAGACCAAGCTTCAATGAGGCCAATGATGCACAATCAGCCACAAGAACAGATTGTTCCTAATATTCTCCGAGGTCAAGCTCCAATGAGGCCAATGATGTACAATCAGGCACAAGACCAGGTTGTTCCTAATATTCTCCGAGGTCAAGCTCCAATGATGCACAATCAGGCACGGGATCAGGTTGTTCCCAACGTATTCGGAGGTCAGGCTCCAGTGAGGCCAATGGTGTACAACAACTAGCAGCTGCAAGTCAACCAAGAAGGACAACACTTTGGCTTCCCCAATAATGCAGCAGCAGCAGCACCACGGCCTCAAGAAATGCAGCAACTTCAGCTTCATATGCAACAGCCAGTAGAGTCTCAGGGGTCTAACAGTGAACCATCTTCTGGCCAAAGTCAAGATTAGCTAGCAGAGCAGCTTAGGTTAAAAGAAGGACTCTTGATATGATTGTTTTACTTTTGTTTTTACTGATATTCTTTCGCAAAATACTCTCGGAATGATTTTTTTGATAACTGTAAATGAAACGTTGATGATGATTGTTTGGTCAAAAATATATTCATAAGTCTACTCTTTTTACTTTTTACTTTTCACAGATTCTGCTTTTTATTTTTACAATCTGCCCTGAATGAAGAGTCTTCCTAAAGTTTCCTTTTTTTAACAGCATATCATTTTCAGTGAATCACAGAGACAGTAGATATATCCAGTTCTCTACAACCTTACAAAGAGTCTCAAGTCACAACCTTAGGAGGAAAGGCTTAAGCTGGTTCTTCAGCCAAGACGAGGCTTTTGGTGTTTTCAGTTGCTTCCTGAGGAGAAGAGGATCAATTTAATGGTGTTAAGTCCTCGCTATTTTTACAAGTTTCTTTCGCTATTGCTTCTTCGCTGACCTTTGAAGGAGGCTTATGCTGATTCTACCGACAACCACATGATGATTTCAATATAGACGACATAGACGAAAATGAGAATCCTCAGGAAGATACGGTTAAGGTAAACCCTCAGCTTTGTTTGGCTGCTGCTTGTTACGCCTGAGTTAAAGAAGAAAGACGAAGCCAAAAAGTTTCTTAAAAAGAATGTCAAAACCAAAGAAGGCCAGATGATGATGCAAATGAGCTCAAGGTAAACACTGCAATGCTTTACATGAATCCACTTTAATCTACTTTGCTTTACTTGGAAGTAAATGTGATTGCTAAGTTCTAAAATCTGTATTTCCTGGTTTATGTAAATTTGTTGGAAGGATCTTTCTCCAGTTCCATTTATGAATGTCTCATTAGAACAGCATCACTTCACGGTTCCTGTTGGAGTTGCAACTTCCTGAAACCTCTGTTTTGAATTCCTAGCTTAGGTTAAAACCCAATTCACCTAGTTCTTTGTTATTCGTTGGTTTTCTTCTATTAGGGCTTTTTTTTTCTTTCTCTTGATGTGAATAAAATGTAACTTATTATTGAAAAAGGGGAGTAGGGGACATTCAAACGGCAAGTAAATTCGTTTTTCTACTTCGATAACTAGTGTCGTTGAGATTTTTCCTTCTGAGCTCTGCATAATAACCTCAACAAAGTTCAGCATCAATTGTTTCTTGTAGTACAAGCAACAGATATTCTCCAATCAAATGTTTGGATCAAGCGTAATCTGAGCTCTTTTGTCTTCTTTTTACCCGAATAAAAAGAAATCATAACTAGCCTCAAATCCAATTCAAAAACGTTAACCTAGTCTGTCAAATCATCAGAAAAGTTTAAACTTACTGAAAAGTTCTATTCCTATGCATTAAGATATGGGGAGTTAAAACTAAAACTAAAATAAATTTGCACATCCTTGTTTCAAAAAAAAAAAAACTAAGATGTATTTGATCAGAATAAGTTAAACTTTATACGATTTCTCTTGAAAATCATCAAAAGCAGTAATAAAAGAATTTTCCAATCCAATACAAGGTGCTCACTTTACGTAAAATATGATTCCTTTCTTCTCCATACACTTCAAGAACTATTTACTTTTCTTCTTTATACATAAACCCTACACTCCAAACTTTCCTCCTCAACATCTCCCATACTCTTTCCAAGAAAAAGAAAAAGAAAAAATGACACCGGACCGGACAACTATCCCGATCCGGTTCAGTCCCGGGGCTCAATCCCAACCGATAAAGCGTCACCATTCGGCTAGCTACTACGCTCACCGTGTCAAAGAAAGTCTCTCAACCCGAATATCCAAATTCATCTGCGCAATCTTTCTCTTGGTTCTCTTCTTCGTAGGCGTCATTGCTTTCATACTTTGGCTAAGCCTACGCCCTCACCGACCTCGGTTCCATATCCAAGACTTCGTGGTCCAAGGACTAGACCAGCCTACCGGATTCGAGAACGCAAGAGTTGCTTTCAACGTAACCATACTTAACCCGAACCAACACATGGGTGTTTACTTTGACTCCATGGACGGTTTCATCTACTACAAAGATCAACCGGTCGGGTCAAGCCCATTGCTAAGCCCGTTTTACCAGCAGCCGACCAACACAACAGTTGTGACCGGTACGCTTACCGGAGCTTCCTTGACAGTAAACAGTAATCATTGGACCGAGTTTAGTAATGACCGAGCTCAAGGCACCGTGGCTTTTAGGCTCGACATAGTTTCGAGTATTCGGTTTAAGCTGTCTCGGTGGATCAGCAAGCGCCACAAGATGCATGCTAACTGCGATATCCTGGTTGGACTGGACGGTTTGATCTTGCCCAAGGTTAACCATAAACGGTGTCCTGTTTATTTCACTTAGATCGATTGATTAATTTGTTTTTTTTTGCTGTTTCTTCTATTGTATTTTTTTTACTTTACTCTTCTGAATGAATGAATGATTTTGCTTTCTTTAGATTTTGTAACTTGGATTTGGGAGTTTGGTTTTTTTTTCTCATTCAATGTCAATTTATGATCTTTTGACTTAAAGATATAAGATTTGGTAAAAGTGAAAAACTCAAAGCAATTGGCAAACTCTTCAATACGAATACCTCACATTTAGTTACTGAAATCCGGTAAATAGAGTAATTTATGGTTTCCTCTTGCTCGAAAGCTGAGCTTCAGCAATCTGTCTTCTCCATTGATGAATTGGGACCTGCAATTACAACAGTTTTGTGAGAAGAAACGATGCAAATCGGAAGCAAAAGCAGAGCATGGCTCTGTTTTAGCTCTGTTTCAGTGTTGGCGAAACATATAGAAATGGAGAGTCAAAAGAAGAGATAAAGAGAGAGAGAGATGCTTACAGCGGGAAAACCACCAAAATCTCCTGGTTCGGTGATGTTTCTGGTAACACAACTGTTAGCAGCAAGTCGAACCTAAAACCAGAAACCAAAATTGATAAGATGAAACTGATTCGAATTGAGGAGAAGTCTACAAGTGTTTGCTTACCTTGGATACAATGGAGACATGGTCTCGAACAGCAACACGTCCTCCTAAAGCTACATAGTCACCAATCCTACAAAAACATTTTCGAAAAGACAAACATTGTTAACCTGAAAAGCTTACAGTTTCATTCAATGGAACATAAAGTTTCTTCATTTGCCAGGATTAGAGAAGCATTTACTCTGCTGATCCAGCTATGCCTACTTGGCCACAGAGCAGGCAAGACTTGCCAATAACCACATTATGACCTATCTGCGTCACAAGAAGAAAGAAGAAAGCATCTTGACTTCTCATTGTACACCAATGGCGAATTACAAGATTCAGAAACTAAGACGCACCTGAACTAAATTGTCTATCTTAGTATCATCCCCAATCGCAGTATCTCTCCAGCTGCATATATTGTAAAGGTTATCGAGCTAGTGAACAGTTTTATAACTTATAAAGAAGTTTTCAATGAAACATTCTTGTTACCTGCCCCCATCAATGCATGTATTTGCTCCGATTTCCACACGACTCCCTATCTTCACATCTAAAGCCTAAGGAGCATAAAAACAAAAAAAGTCAAACAAAGATTTACTAAGGAGAAAGGTGCTGCAAGTTATTCAGATTCAAGAAAGCAATCTAATTGTGCTTACTTGAGGCTTCTTCACCATGTTTCCTTGGTCATCTACGTAAAACCCGAATCCTGAACATTCAATAACCAAACTCAGAAGAAGGAAAAGTAGAATCTGATCCTACATAAGTAGAAGCATAATGAGTCGGTCCATACCATCTTGACCAATGCAAACTCCATTATGGATGACACATAAATCACCAATACTACAGTTACTGACTGAAACATTATATCTGTAGACAACAAAACCAAAGAAAGCAGATTCTTTCAACATTTGTTTCTCAAAAACATCTGTAAGATGTTAAAGCCAAAAAATGTTACCCGATCTTTGTACAAGGACCGATTTTGACCGACGGTCCAACAACCGTGTTAGATCCTATTTGAACCTCAGCACCCAAGATAGCTCTTTCGTGAACTACTGCTCCAAACTCAACCAGAGCCGAGGAATCGATTACCGCTGAGCTATGGTATGTCCCTCCTCCGTTTTTCCATCTAAGAAACTCTTTGTCATCAACACAAGAAACAGAGCAACACATGTTCTCAGAGACATTTCAACAAACACGTGGCGTACACGATAATATCCAGAGATGAATCCAAAACAGAGCTCAAGTATTGTAAGGGGTAAGTAAATTATCAACAAGACTCACCGTTATTTGGAGAAACATTAACACTCTCGGATCCAATTAAATGATCTGAGCTAACGCATAAATTTCGGCAACTAGAGAGAAAGCTAGGCAAACGCTGAATCACGCGCTTGTTCAAGAAGACGCCAGCAGAAGCTGACAATAATCTCTGCAATGTAGCCGCCATAGTCTCAAGCCTAATAGAGATTGAACTGCAGAATGTCAGCGACACAACACAAAAAAGTTTGGAACTTTTTTTTTCCCCTCGCAAAGCTCTAAACTTTTTTTATTTTAACAAACGGACAAAAATAGTTTGGTCGTCATGTAATAATAGTTTAATCTCATCGCAAACAATCATCATGAATCGATGAATTATATAATTTGCACGATTCCCAAAACCTTTGACCAAACGTGTTTGTTTAATCAGATCTGTCAATGATTACGACACCTATCTTGCATATCTCTGACAGAACATCAAATTTCAATACTTTGAACAAGTCTTGAAAATAATCTTCACTATCAACGACTCCCAGAATTTATAATCAATAGAAGCAAGATTTTGACTCCCAATTCCAATGAACTTCCATGGATATTATTGTTAAGAAACTCAAAGAAGAAGAAGAAAAACAGAGCAAAAAAACAGATTAGTAACAAAGAAGAAGAAATATGTCTTCTTGTTTCAAATCCTCTGTTTCTCTGATCTCAATTTTCTTCTTCATCATCTTCAACACGGTTTCTTCTGCTAAAGATCCAATTTATCTCCTCCACTATTGTCCAAACACAACAACATACACAAGAAACAGCACTTACTTAACCAATCTCCGAACCGTTCTCTCATCTCTCTCCTCTCCAGACGCAGCTTACACGTCGCGTTTCGATAACGCAACCGCCGGCGAAGATGAAAATGACAACAATAACAGAGTCTACGGCCTTTTCCTCTGCCGAGGAGACTTCTCACCCGGAATCTGCCGCGATTGCGTCGCGTTTGCGGCCAACGAAACGCTATATAGATGTCCGAGAGAGAGACAGGCAGTGATCTGGTACGATGAGTGTATGTTAAGATACTCCAATCAGAGCATCGTAGGGAAAATGAGCCTCAGACCAGCTGCTTACTTACGGAACACGCAAAACATCACAGAGAATCAAGTCAGCAGATTCAACGAGTCTTTGGTTGCTTTGCTGATCAACGCTTCGGTGAAAGCGGCTTCGACCTCCACAAAGTTTGCAACGGATAAAGCGAACTTCACGGTTTTCCAAACGATTTATAGTCTTGTACAGTGCACGCCGGATCTGACGAATCAAGATTGTGAGAGCTGTTTGAGACAAACGATTAATTTGTTGCCGAGATGTTGTAATCGAACCATTGGTGGAAGAGTAATCACGTCAAGTTGTAGCTTTAGATACGAGATTTATCCTTTTTACAATGAAAATATTACTGCGGCTCCTCCTCCTTTGTCCACGGTGGCTACACCACTACCACAAAAAGGTGAAATCTTTGAAACTTTCTGAAATGTCCTCACTCTTGAAGAATAGTTCTCTTGATTATCGTAAAAACAGAACCTTTGTTTAAAGGACTAATCTTTATAAACTAAGTAACAGTACACACATCTTTGTAGCAATGGTTAAAAAGGTTTTATTCTTTATAATCTCAAAGTAACAGAACACAAACAAACATCTCCATAATAGTCCCTCTTCTATCATGATCTTAAACGAAAAACTTGTTTTGTTTATCTTCTGAATGGTTTAATCTAACAGAAACAAATGATAGTTTGCTTGATTAATGTAAAAGCAGAATCTTTTAAATTGTTATGTTTTACATTTGTTGACTTTATGTTTAGGGAAAGGCAAGAGCTCGAAGGTCATAGCCACCGCAGTAGCTGTTCCAGTTTCTGTCTGTGTATTACTTCTTGGTGTCGCATGTTGTTTATTGGCAAGAAGAAGAAAAATTAAGCTCGGTGCTAAAACAGATGATCAAGGTTAGTAGTACTGAGGCAATCTTGTCATTTGCTAGTCTAATTTACTAAAAGTTCCTTTAGAATTTTTCTCTTTGCTTTTTTTGTAGATGAAGATGGTATTACATCAACAGAAACAGTGCAATACCAGTTTAGCGCAATCGAAGCAGCAACAAATAAGTTTTCAGAAAGTAACAAGCTTGGTCATGGTGGATTTGGTGAAGTTTACAAGGTAATTTAACTCTTGTGATCATAATGATTTAACATAACAAATAAAGATTAAAGCTTTGTGTGAAAAAACCATTTCAGGGTCAGCTTATAACCGGAGAAACAGTAGCTATAAAGAGACTATCTCGAGAATCGACGCAAGGAGCTGAAGAATTCAAGAACGAAGTTGTTGTAGTCGCAAAACTACAACACAAGAATCTTGCTAATGTATTGGGATATTGCTTAGATGGAGAAGAGAAAATACTTGTCTATGAGTTTGTTCCTAACAAAAGCCTCGACTATTTTCTTTTTGGTATAACAAATCATCACTCATTTCCTCTTAGTAAAATGTTTGTTGACTAATCCTATTATTTGCTGTTGTAGATGATGAGAAGAGAGGACTTTTGGATTGGCAAAGAAGGTACAAGATCATTGAAGGGATAGCTAGAGGAATACTATATTTACATCGAGATTCTCGCCTTACGATCATTCACCGTGACCTTAAAGCAAGCAACATACTCTTAGATGCAGACATGAATCCAAAGATCTCGGATTTTGGTATGGCAAGGATCTTTGGTGTTGATCAAACTCAAGCCAATACTCGGAGAATAGTTGGTACATAGTAAGTTGTTTCATCTTCTTGTTATATTGTCTCCTCTTCATTCATATCGCAATCCTATTAAATAAGCTCTCTCTCTCTCTCTCTCTCTCTCTAGTGGTTATATGTCTCCAGAGTATGCAATCCATGGGCAATACTCGGTGAAATCTGATGTTTATAGCTTCGGAGTCTTGGTTCTTGAACTTATAACCGGCAAAAAGAATAGTAGTTTCTATGAAGAAGATGGTCTTGGAGACTTAGTCACATATGTGAGTAAATATGCACACACCAATCAAGAACTATTTTTAGAAAGATTTTAAAATTTGGGTTTTGCTGAGACAAAACAAAAATTCTGCAGGTTTGGAAGCTATGGGTAGAGAATTCCCCACTGGAGCTAGTGGATGAAGCAATGAGAGGGAATTTTCAGACAAATGAAGTGATTAGATGCATTCACATTGCTCTGTTATGTGTTCAAGATGATTCTTCAGAGAGACCTTCAACGGATAACATTCTTGTGATGATGAACAGCTTCACTGTTACTCTACCGATTCCAAATCAATCTGGTTTTCTGCTTCGAACCATGAGAGACTCTAAAGATCAACAGTCTGTAGCTTCTGCATCTGATCAATCTGTGACAAGCAAGTCTTTGCCTTTGCCTGTTGATGATTCTTCCATCACTATTGTTTATCCTCGTTAACTTCTTTTGTGTATACTTAGTGCTTGTAACCATAGTTTAAACCAATACTAGTGTTGTGTATGTGAAACTCTGAAGAAGAAACTATAGGTTGCAAATAGCCATATTAAACAATCAGGAAGATTTTCTCACACAACATTGCCAAGATAGCAAGTTGTTCCCATCATCAAATTGAGAGGGTAAAAGATCCGGAAACAAATGTGCTTATGAACTTAAGAGCTATTGTCACAACCACAATCAGAAATTACAAACCTCTAAAACAATAGCTGCTGTTATACAGAAGAGAGATCGATCTCAAACCACCAGTTTTTAACCGTAACTTAGGCGAGAGTCGAGGAGTTTTGTGGAAGTTTGTCTGCGAGGTACTCCAATCTCACATGCATTCACTCTAGCTGCAAACCTAAGAGAGCAAAGGGACTCTCCAGTAGAAGATGGATCAGGTGATATGTTCACAAACATCAACGTCTTTGAGTCTCCTCCTAAACATGGCTGTTCAAAAAAACGATTCTCCTTTATTAGTTGGATCCAGATAGAGGCAATATGTGCATATAATGATTCAGGAGTCGTAATGTAATCTAACCTGGAGCAGATATGTTAACTTTGAGTTTCTGAAAGGAACGTGATCCTCTTTCTTTGCCAATGCAAATATAACATCACTCAAGGCAGATAAGCTTTTGTTTATAGCCTGGCGAAAACCGAAAGAACAGAGATTAGAGCGTAAGTGCAAAGAGCTTCATGGAAATAGGCTTGGAAGACTCTAACTGTAAAGCAAAAATACCTGTGTCTCCTTTAACCGCTCTCCTGTTGCTCCGCTCTTTGATAGTCGCTCACTTCCAGCAAGGTCAATGAGGTTAAGAACTCCTTGTACTTGCTGTTCAGTGCTCTGAAATAGGGGAGAGAGTTGATGTTTAGGAAGAATTTCAAAAGTGAGAAATAAAATCTACAACACAAAAAAGGAAAAAACCAGAAAGGCAAAGAAATTAACCTCATTCACGCCAGAAATCCGAAGAGTGAACACGAAGTGACTCCTTGATGACTGCTCATTCATGTGTGTCTTACCAACAGACCTGCAAAATAAGAGTTGACCATGCTTTAGCTTTGCACACTGTTGTAACAGAACAATACAGAGACATTCTCTTAGGCCATGTCCCTAGCAATCACCTAAACCAAAGAAACCAGTATCTACTAATGCAATAGTTGAACGATGTAGGTTATAACAAGGAAAAGCAGAACATGGAATCCAAAAAGTCGAGACAAACCTGCTCTGGCCAGCTTGCTGCAAGAGTGAGGAAATTTGTCCAATGCTGCATACATCTACTATTGTTAGGTCACTAACATGAGTATTTCCATTAACATCATGTGTGATTGCATACTGCCTTCCAGAGGTGTTACTGTCTACTCGCGCAACAGGCTCTATAGAAATGGTACGGTTCGTAGTAAGCAAGTCCCTAATGGACTCATTGTAGATTTCCAACATTGAGACCTACAAATAAACTTAAATCAAAACAGTGCTACCAATGAAAAACATTCCACAAAAGTTATAACATTCTTGGAGATATATATATACCTGCATCTTGTATTTCCATCCTTGTACACTAAGAGACTGACTGGTTTCGAATATTTGTTCAAGTGACCGTGGGATGAGTCCTTTCTGTTCTGGCTTTTCAGGTCTGCCCATCATGGTGTAGGTTTTGCCCGAACCTGTCTGACCGTATGCAAATATACACACCTGTGTCCGCAAAGATATAAGATGTGCAATGACAAAAGAGTCAGTCAAAGTGTTGTCTGCTTAACTTAAACAACTTTTGAAAAATACTTGCATCTAACTAGAAACGGCATACTAGGGCATATACAAGATAGTGAAAGGAAGATAACATACCTTATAGCCATCCAATGCGCTTTGTACAAGTTGAGATATCTCAAAGAACACTTCCTCCTGAGAAGCTCCGTGGTCAAAGACCTTGTCGAAGGTGAAAGGATGTTTGTTACCTGAGAAACCAAATAGAGCACAAGGCGTCAAAAACAAATTCATGTATCGTATCGGCATATTTATCCTAATTTGAGCAAAGTAAATTAACTGAGTCAGTGAATATACCACTTTGAACAACATCAATGCCTCTCCCAAGAGACTCAGATGCAGTGGGGTACGCAATAACACAGGCCTCTTGGCGACCTCCATCATCTGGTAGCAACGGCCGCACTCGGCAGAACACACGTATGTTACCTTTAAGTTCCTGAAATAGAATTTTTGCTTAGTTCACATAAAGAAAGCTCTTGGAAGTTAAAAATGTTGCTAAATAGAAATTTTCTTACAAGGATGGTGTTGTGAAGCTTTTTCCGTAACAACTCTCCTTCGCCAAGTTTATGCTCTGTGTCTGCAAGGCGATCTTGCAGTTCATGCACACGTTGCTTTTGCTCCTCAAATTCTGTCATAGTATGAGACATAGACGCATCTACCATCTGTAGAAAGCAAATGAAAATATATTTGTTAGTGTAAACCAACAATCGATCAAAGTAAAGAGTATCTGATAAGTTGTTAGATTACTAATTCCAAGTATACTTGATCACACCCTTACCTTTAGCTTTTCTTTAGCAAAAGCTAACTCCTGCTCCAACATTTTAATACGCTCTTTTTGCAATGAACATGTTTCCTGTGGCATAAGATTGGCATTGTCAGACTACTGAATACTAAGGCAAGAATGCAAAACTTCAAGTCTGAACTAACCTCCAAAGATCCTGATTTTGCTATCAAAATATCCAATTCATGAGATGACTTTCCAACACTCTCCTTATACGTCAGTATCTCATCCGCCAGCTTTTGTGACAGTGCAACCTGGCGATCACGATCGTTCCGGATTTGTTGGAGCTCACTCCGAAGGTTTTTGACTTCCATCAGCAATGACTCTTTTTGTTTTACCGCTTCATCTTGTGAAACCTTGATCACAGAAAAAGGAAGATATACAAAATTAGAAAACAAAAAGTCACTAACAAAATTAATGTAAGCAAGGATCACGTCTGACGTAGATAAGAGATACTTACTCGGCTTGATGCCAGTTGATCTTGTAAAGATTTACTGTGACCCCTTAGTGTAGTAAGGTTCTCTAGTATACTTGACTTTTCTTTCTCAGCACGAGTGTGTGCCTCTCGAACTGCTTCAAGATCAGTCTGGAGTTTTGTGTTATATTGTTGCAAGCTTGTGTTGTACTCTTGCAGCCTTTTGTACATATCTTCCAGGGACGTCACCTAGAAATAAGAAAAAGATAATCCATTTACCACAACAACTAGAAGATTATGATGCCAATAGCTTAGAGAAGTTACAAAGAATGAAACACCAAAATCCAATGACGGAAAACAAAACTGCTGTACCTTATGCTTCGCAGCCATTTTCTCTTCTTTCACTTTGTCAAGCTCTTCTCTAAGAGAATCCTGAAGCTTCTCAGCTGCAACTCTACATTCTTTTTCTCTTCTGTGGTTCTCAATTGCATCCTAGTAGTCATAACCAATAAGGAGAAAACAAACTTGATAAAAGATTCTTTGGAAAATAAGCTGCGTAATGATGAAAGAAAATTTGAGCCATAGATCCTTACCAACTTGCTCAACTCCTCCTTTGAGAACTTTTCTTGTAGTGACGCTATGTTCTCCTTCATCTCTGCTATAGTTGCTTGTAGCTCTTCTTCTTTGGTCTTTGCCTCCAGCTCTGGAAGTAATTAGGTACCATGTTCATATTCAGTGAGCACAAATTGATATGAGGACATAAAGGACATACAAGAAACTTAAAATTACCTTTATCACTGCATCTTTTCTCTGCACATTCCACAGAAGAACGAAGATTATCCTTCTCCTGGACATGGGTTTCGTCCACTTGTTGAAACCACTTAACACAAACCTTAAGTCTTTTGATAATATCAGTCATTTGCTCAATCTTAGCCTGTAACAATGAAAAAGAACACTTTATCTCAGTGAAACGGCAAAAGATTTTGTTTTCAGTAAAACAAGTGGATCTCGGTTAACAAACCTTAGTGTCAAATTTTCCAGCTTTAGCTCTCTCGTTAAGCAAAGCCAACACTTCATCTTTAGTAAACTCTACTTTACCACACTCCTCTGTGCTGCCCACATCGCTGTTCGCAGTAACATCTTGTCTGTTCACTGTTGTGAGCACTTGCCTTCTTCCAGTAGCTTGCGTTTCGATTTTCCTTCGCCTGTCAAAAGGAATACTACTGGAGAGAGCTTCCTTTTTCTGAAAATGGTTCAACACATCCAAAATTTAGCAAAATTACAGACTTTTTCAGTCAATTCCTCAAGAGAACTCATACTAAAATGCAAAATCATGAAATCCACAATCACACTGAATGTAGTAAATCCAAAATCGTAGAAGTGTGGAATTTGACGTTAAGGAGAGCAATAGAACAAAACCCTAAATCTTCGATTTTAGGATTTTCTCACAGACCCATCTAAATCTCACCTACCAAAAACTCAAAGGTCCGGATGAAAATTAGTGGAAGAGGAAGAAGAACGAAAACGATGAAAGGACTTACGGCGTTTGGACTGCGTGGAGGGCGATTTTGGTTACGAAGCGGCATCATCAAGAATCGGGATTTACAGATTACTTCAGATTATACTCGCCAATAGCATAAAAATTCCCGATCTGAGCTAGGCGAAGGATTTTCCCAAAGATTCTTCGGGAATTCTCCGATTGAATTATAAGAATCCGGGAGAAAACCAATCGGGCCTTGTTTCTTCTCAATTTGAGACTGGAAATTTAGGGTTCGCACTTTTGGGAATTGGGGATTTTATGTTTTTTTTGGTGAGTGACATAAGAGGAAGGAAGAGGAGAGGAGCCTGTTATTTTGAAATTTTGAAAACAGATCAGGCGGACTTGTAAAATGTTAACGTTACTCTTTGTCTCTCGATGGTAATGTAATAATAATTCATTTAATATTTTAATTATGCAAAAGTATAAGGCTCCATATGGGCCTATTGACTTTAACGTCGGCCCATCAATGGTGAACAAATCCTTATTCTGGGAAAATAAATCAGCTTGATTTTGTTTAACCGGATTGGTCAACTTGCACGTGCAAATCGCATTCAGGGTACACTCGATCTCAATCCTATGTGGCATAACTGAGAATCAAGATGAAACGTGTCAGTAAATGAGTGGTTAAAACCATATCCGAGTAATCTAAAGAAGAACATGAATCAGATAAGGTCTTCTTTGTCACATAACCAAAACACCAGAAATTATAACTCAAACGAAATATCCATTAAACCAATTATTCACTCAAAGCAAAGAACAAGAACAAAAAATGGCGCAAGCATTAACTTCGATGGCTGGCTTACGTTCCACATCTCAGGGCGTCCTTGAAGGAAGTGGCTCAAACCGTTTGAACATCTCTAGAGTCACGGTTGGGTCTCAGAGAGCCGGACTTGTGGTAAGGGCTCAGCAGAACGATTCTGTGCCGGAAAGCAGTCGCCGATCGGTGATTGGGCTCGTGGCCGCTGGTTTAGCCGGTGGTTCGTTCGTCAAGTCTGTCTTCGCCGAAGCTCTTTCCATTAAAGTGGGCCCTCCTCCAGCTCCTTCCGGTGGTCTCCGTAAGTAAAGTGGCCCCTAGTGTAAAATGTTATCTTATTTTTTTGTTTAGTCAGATAATTAACGGCTGGTATAGCTTCGGTTTGCTGTTTTTTTGGTTAGAAAGAAAATAAAATCGAAATTAGTATGGATATATTTGGTATAGCTTCGGTTTTGGTCTGGGATACCGGAAATTACATTTTGATTTTTCAAAGTAATTTTCAGTTTAGGCTTTGTATTTCTCTTTTGGGTTTGGTTTAGCTCGGGTTTAGTTTAACCAAATAAAAGTTCGGTTCATCATCATCCCTTAAACTAAATCCGGTTTCTTATAACCAATCTAAATTAGACTTAAGAGATCGGTTCTGTTTGGTTGATTGTGGCTTTGATTTGTTTGTGTGTGAGAACAGCTGGAACAGATAACTCAGACCAAGCAAGAGACTTTTCATTGGCATTGAAAGACAGATTTTACTTGCAGCCATTGTCACCAACAGAAGCTGCAGCTAGAGCTAAAGAATCTGCTAAAGAGATCATTAACGTTAAGTCACTGATCGACAAAAAAGCTTGGCCTTACGTCCAGAACGATCTCCGTTTGAGAGCATCCTACCTCCGTTACGATCTCAACACCGTTATCTCCGCTAAGCCTAAGGGAGAAAAACAGAGCCTCAAAGAACTCACCGGCAAGCTCTTCGAAACCATTGACAACGTAAGTCTTTTTTTTTTTTTTAGGTTTGGTTTTACTGGTTTCTTGGTGAAGAAGTAAGAGGCATGTCACAAGATTCTTTCTAATGTTTGGATTGATCTGAGATTGTTGTTTTCCTGATTTTTGTGTATGGAAGCTGGACTATGCGGCGAGGTCAAAGAGCAGCACGGATGCTGAGAAGTATTACTCAGAGACTGTCTCGAGTTTGAACAATGTTCTTGCCAAGCTTGGTTAAAGAATCAAGATTTTCTTTGTAATGTATTGTGTATTGTTGTTGATGCTGTTACTGTTATTATCCAAGTACTATGTCTTTTTCCTCCTCTTTCTGCCTGATCAAAACGAGTTTCTAATTTCAGTTTCAAGTTTTAACCAAGAATATAATATCTCCTTTTTTCTTGAATTTTAAGTAGAGAATTCGTAACAATTTTTTTCCTTGGCCATTCGCTCATTCATGTTGTCTTAAAAAAAATTACGGTTGTAACCTCAGACATATATGGAAAGTTGATTTGTCTTAACAACAAAGATATTTGGAGGAATTTCATTTCCTTGAAAAGAGGCATAAACAATGGGGGAAGAAGAGAAAAACCCTAAGTCAGTCGAGTTACTTCCCGATCTAGTGGAAGAAATCATCTTCCGATTGCCCTTGAAATCAATTCTCAAATGCAGAACTCTCTCAAAGCAATGGAAATCGATTCTGGAATCAAGAAGATTCGTGGAGAAGCATATGAGTCTTCAAAAGAGTCGGAAATCCTCGCTGCTTTCCACTGCGACTGTGGCACGCGGCCGAGACTCATCCCTGGGTCACAGTTCGTAGGAGACGAAGAGGTTGTGTACCTTCACTGTGACGTTACACGACCCTCGTTGACTTGTGACGGTTTGCTTTGCTTCCCTGAACAAGACTGGATCATCGTTTTAAACCCATCGACCGGACAACTCCGGAGACTATCTACCGGCCTAAACCCTAACCCTAAGTGCAGATTTGGGTTCGGTAAGTAAATCTTGTCAGTGAGAAATATTTTGAATTTTGTATTAGGGTTTGATACAAATTGAATATTTTTTGTTGTCAGGATTATGGTCGAGTTTCTTTCCGGATAAGTGGGTAATAGGATTTGGTAGAGACATAGTTACAAGGAGGTTTAAAGTAGTGAGAATGTGTTTTTCTTACTGGGAGATTGGTCAAAAGGATCCTGTGGTGGACATTAGGGTTCTTGATGTTCAAACTGGTGAATGGAAGAAACTAAGTGGACGACCTCCTTATGTGGTCAATGCCGGTAGTAAATCGGTATACATGAATGGATCTATCTACTGGTTACACATTGATAAGGTACATTTTGAGAAATGTTTCAAGATACTAGCATTGGATCTTCAAACAGAAGAGTTCCACAATGTGTCGATTCCGGCTATATGGGTCAATTGTGATACACAGATAGTGAACCTCGAGGACCGTTTAACCATAGCCAAAACGAAAGTTGGGCCGCCTAATTGGAGACTAGAGATATGGAGCATGGATACATGTCAAGAACAGTGGAGCAACACTTACTCCATAAGTTTAGTCAGTGTAAGTATTAGATCATGGGAGCCAAACTGGTTCACGCCAATGGCGGTTTCTAAACAAGGGGATCTTGTTTTCCATGACAATCACAAGCGGCTGTTCAATTATTATCCAGAGACAGATGAGATTCGTTGTCTCTCCAAAGACACTTGTGTGATAACTAGCTACTTGGAGACATTGGTCCCTCTTCCTATAAAACCAAGCCATCAGATTCCTGATCCAGATTCTAAAATCAAGATATCAAGATGCCGCTTGTTTTCCAAGGAGTCGGGTTCTTGGATACTCAAAGTTTTGCAAAGGAATGAGTTTAGGATCCTGGAAGTTTTATTTGCATCTCTGGTAGTAGCTGGTTATATTTTGTCACCTCTCTAAGAATCTGGTATCAAACTATAATACTTGGCTCCCAGTACTTCTAAAATTTATTATATTTATTTTTCTCTTCTTCTTTCAGTTAAAAACACATAAGTTGATTTATGTATGCATTCCCTCTCTCTATCTTCTTTTGTGCAAGGCAAGCAAATACTATGTTTCATATATATTGACTAGGATCACAACTTCTGTAATACTATCAAAATATATATATGGCCAAGCATAATTTGTACAATGTTTATTTTGTTCCCAAAGACACCTTTCGCGTACATGTTTTGTTATGTTCATTCACTTTGTATAATTTTTTAGGTTAAGAATAAACCAGAATTTCTCAATTCAGACTTAAGAGTCTCTTCCATTAACTCCGAGTTTTTTACCAGACACCACCACTACTTGCTAAGTTGCTAGGCGTATTAATGCTGATAACCTAAAAGAAATGAATATTGAAAATACTATTGTTGATAAATTTATTAATTAACATATCTTTGCTGATTTTACCAAAAAACATATCATTGCTGTCTTGCTGATAATAAAAGAAAGGGATGCTGCAAAAATAAAGAAAAAGACAAAAAAACGCGCGAAACCTGAAACCCGACCCGAGAATCCTTTCTTGTTTAAAATGCACGGTAGTAACATGTTTTATAATGGGCTTAAAAATATCCGATTTAAGGCCCATCAAGAACTCAAAAACAAACACAGAACACAGCTTCTCTGTTCATCGCGCCATTTACAAAAAAAAAACACAGAGAAAAACACGATTTCTTCTGCAATTCGTCTTCTTCTTCAAGGCATGTGTTCGATTCCAGATCTATTCTTCTTCTTCCGCTGTTTCTGAGAAACGATTTGAATTGAAATAGTAGTTTCTTCTACTGGTGTGAAGAATTTGAAAGTTCCAAATCTCTGAAGATCTCGATCGTTCGTATATGCAGGTAGATTTTCTAAGAAGAATCGATCTACATGAATGGAAACGAAGAGGTATTGTAGATCGATTCCATTTTCTTCCGATTAACTTTGAATCTGCTGATTTTTGCTTGAAGAACAAGCTGTGCGGTGTTTGATTCAAATTTTGTTTGTTTCTTCATAACAGAAGAACAATGGTGGCGATAATCCGGTAAGTTCTCATGGATTGATTCTTAATTCGTTTATAAACATTGATTCGTCTTCCTTCTCTAAATTTTGCTTGAAGAACAACAATCTCTGCGTTGTTTGATTTGATTTTTTTTCTTCACAGAACATCAGTATTGTCGATAATCCTGTGACTGTGAACATCAATGTTGTGGTTGATCCTGTTCCTATGAGTGTTATTACATGCAAAGATCGATTCCTCTGATTTTATCTTGATTCTTATGAATTTTTTCTTCAATTGTGTGCGTTGTTTGATTTGGATTCACTGGTTTTGTAAGTGTTCTTATTTTCTAGCTTCATTGCTTGATCATTCTGTTTTTTGCTTGAAGAACAACAATTTCTGGCGTTGTGACTTGTATGATTTAGATTTTATATGCTTTTTTTCACAACAGAACGTCGATGGTGTTGATAATGCTGTGATCAATGGTGCTGATAATCATGTGGTCAATGGTGCTGATAATCCTGTGAGTGTTCTTATTCTCTAACTTCATTACTTTCTTCTTCTAGTTTTCTTTGTTGAAGAACAAAAATCTCTGCATTGTTTGATTTATTATTTGATATGCTTTTTCATAACAGAACATCGATGGTGTTGATAATGTTGTGATAAATGGTGATGATAATCCTGTTAGTGTTCTTATTCTCTTAAAATTCAATACTTGATTCTTCTGGTTGTTGCTTCAATTGTGTGCGTTGTTTGATTTGGATTTGTCATAACAGAACATCGATGGTGCTGATGATCCTGTGATCAATGGAGCTGATGATGTCGTTGAACCTGAAACATTTGGGCAGTTTGTCATCAAGAAATGCATAGGTAAAGACTTTGGTATCGGCAGATTTGACTAAGGCAATTTGGAGGAACAGAGACATAGTTGTTGCGGCTACTGTAATCGGAAGGTATTCTTGCACTTCTAACCCACAATTTGAAGTCAATGGCAAAAGTAACCTGCTATTTTTTTCATTTGGGCTTTACCCAGTTTTGTCCAGATAATAACGAAAATGCCATTACTTTTATCTCTTGTGGTCTACGAATGAGGTCTACGTTGTCGACCAAAAGACCAACAGAACCTCATCCTCTACACTTATTCACGAAACTGCCACTCTCATCAATGAACCCAACCACCATTTTCAACTAACTTCAAGCTTTTAATGCTTGATACTAGTAATTGTGATACTCCAAACATAATTGCACATCCCATAAACTCTAACACTATCATTTTCTCCACATTTTCATCCCAAAAACTCTCTAATTCTACTTTTCCATATTTCAAGTTCTTGATTTTCTCAAAATCGGGTTTGTGGCTTTCCTCACCACCGCCGAACGGTTGTGAAGGCTTAAAGACAAAGTTTCATCCCTCGGCGGCCCTAAAGACGACGGCCAGGTTGTGGTTTACTCCATTTTCGTTTTTTCAGATCTGAGTCGATATCGTAGATCTCAGGGTTAGGTCTATAGGTCAACGCAGAGGTTAGTTTTGCAATTGACTAAGACAAATCTGTGGAGTTAGACCGCGTAGAGAGTTCTACATAATCCCTTTGAAAACAAAAAAAATATCGTAAACCTCAAGCAGAGGTCTATTTTGAAAACAGGTTAGTTTTGCAATTGACCAAGGGAGGGCTTTTTTTTTGAGGTCTACAGATGAGGTCTATTGGTCAAAGAGGTTAGTTTTGCAATTGACTGAAGTTCTGGTTTTTACCTTAGACCTCTTAATGTGGTCTATAACAACTATTTTAAGCTGACGTCTACGTCAGAGGTCTACATAGGTTTTAGATCTCAGTCTTAGGTCTACCTTAAAAAGTTGGTCAACGCAAAATAATAGGAGGTCTACGATAGTGGTCTACAGGTGGAAAAAAATTTCAAACAATTGCAAAAGTAACCTGTCTGAGGTCTACAGATTTCGTAGACCTACCCCGTAGACCGTATAATTTTTCTAGACTACAGGTTGAGGTCTATTTTGTTCGTGAGGTCTACCCAAATTTTTTGGATGAATTGCAAAACTAACCTCTTTTTTTGTAGACCGCATTTGTAGATCTCAAAAAAGTCTTCCCTTGGTCAATTGCAAAACTAACCTTTTTTAGACCTCTTTGCTAGGTTTACGCCTACGATCTAGTTTGGAGGTCTACGATTTTTCCGTTTTTTAAAATCGATTTTCTGCGAAAACTAAAATTGTTTTTGTTAATATTTTTTCATAAATACTTCTATTAGCCTAATAACTTGTCCATATGAGAGTTTTGCATGCTAATGTTATGTAATGAAGGTTGTATTAGATTTTTGGTTAAATTTGGTAACTTGGTTAAACTCTGTAGACCGCAGCCGTGTGTGGAGGTCTAAGGTTTCCGTCTACAGGGCATCCATCAATATATATTAATGTGTTTTCCCTTTGGTTTTCATGCAGATCATGGTTTGTTTGGCATCCGTGTATGGAGCGTGGACTATCAGAGACAGAAAATGGTATTTTGAGGTTGATAAAACGAGAGGAGGTAGAATGTTCTACCTGCAGGATGATTGTAAACATGAAGAGCTGGTTGAAATGGTTGTGAACGACTACATGTTGCAAGTTAGTGGCGAGCTGCTGGAGTTGTCATATCCATTACCAGCTGCTATGATGGAGAAATTGCCAACGGATTCACCTCCTATGTATGTGACGAACGACAGACAAGTTGGGAGCTTGGTGGAGTTATGTAAGGAGCATGTGGTCCGTCTTTGCGTCTCGACCCGCGTTGGTATGGGAAGGAACTACAACGAACCAATACATGAGTGTGTCCAAGAATAAAAGTCTGAAGAGGTGGATAAAGAACACGTGGAAGAAGAATTCGGTGATGAAGGCTGGGATGATAACGACTTTGATGATGTAAACTGGAATGACAAAGCATGAGATGTAAATTCAGAAGATGAATCTTGCGACTGACGGCTGTGATGGCAAGATTCGCATTTAAAGTCTACAAGTCCACTACGGAGTTGTTTGTGGCAAAATGTGTTGTCAATGGATGTGCATGGAAGTTGAGAGCAGCTGTGAAGAATGAACCGGATTGCTTCTGGGTTACCAAGTACGTAAAGGGTCACACTTGTTCAATTATGGACCGTGTAGCTCACCGTAGACGAGCTACTCCAAGATATATTGGACAATTGTTTGTGGAGCGGACTGGACTCATAGATGGAATTGTCCCTCGACAAATTGCAGATTCGATGAGGATCATGTTTGGCTTGAATCTTACCTATACAACGTCATACCGGGCTCTCAAATTCGCTCAAGTATTTGTCAGGGGAACTCCAAAGTATACAACTGCTCCAAATGCAAGCAACCAGAACATACTCGCCCGTACTGTGTAAGCTTTGTGCGTCTCGCAGTTCCATTAGTTTTCATTACAACAATGCTATAATTGTTTGCTCTTCATTAGGTGTCCAAGCCTGCTCAGAAATAAGGTCGGAGGTCTACAAGGAGTTCCCGGATGACTACGAAGCATTCACGCGCAGTCTACTATTTATTTCGTGGAGGTCTATGAGACGTCTACAACTATATCCATTAAATTTTATTTTCATATCATCAGTTACAATGAGTGAATGACGTCTACCTTTTTTCTACATGAAGTTAAGTAATACTAAAGACAGATTTCATTAATAACTGCGTTTCAGTTTGTGTTGCATCCAAAATAGTTATACAAAATCAGTGTTGTGAAGAGGGGCCAAAAAAAAGATAAACCCTCCTCCCCGGCTAAACGTTCCGGTGAGTTTACAGAAATCATTCCGTTAAAACACACTTTGTTTCCTTTATGACAATGTTTTTACATAATTTAGAAGCATTTTGACATTAAAAAACTATGGCCATGAACGCTTCTCGACATTTCCAAGAACGTGATTCCAACATCTTGTCTCGACTCTGATCCAACATTTTTTCTTGAGGTATGTTCTGCGTGAGGGATATTCTTCACCTGAAAACCAAAATAGTAAATCTTGTGAAACACTATACTAGAGTAATCAATCTTTTGCTAAGTCTGTTACTCATGAACTCACCGCCATACAAAAGATTCTCCAAACTTCCATTACTCATGAACATTCATTTGAAAATCAAAAATCAAGGGTATCAAAATCAAGGGTATGAACATTCATATTCATAACACAGACGTTCAGAGTTTCACTTCCATATATATGAGTATAAAAAATCAAAAATACGATTTAAATACAACAACAAATCTATGATAAGTAACTGAATGTTTGTGTACCATGTGTAAGAAGAAACTATAAGAGTTCTGCAAACGCTCAAGGATTAGTTACCTTTATTAACTAGTTTATTGAGCTTCATTGTCTTCTTTACGCTAAATTTTCTTTGGGATTTCTTCGAGTCTTCTGTTGCAGCTGAGACCAAAAAGAAGAGATCAGCTTCTATTAATGCAAACCATAGTACAAGTCACAAGAGCAAAATGAATCTGAACAGGCCATTGTAATGAATAATACGCAAAACAATATACAAAAGAGGGCATATCAATTAGACAAGAGAAGACACAGAACAAAAAGAAAACATTCTATAAATATGCTAACAGGGAAAGGCACAATGTTTTCACAAGAGTTATGAGCAGAAAACTAAGCAAGAAGAACAATTCCAAGAAGATATTATAAAGTTACAGCTCAAACTGATTATATTTCTGAGTACTAAAAGTTTATTTCTAGCTGATATTAGATTTATAATCACAGAATTAGGTAAGTCGAAGTATCAATTAGCAGAGCAGAAGCTGAGGATGAAAATTTACCTTCAGCAGAAGCCATCTCGACATCCTCCATGGTAACAAGACCCTTCTCCACCATCTCTTTCTGCTCCTGTTTTCAATCAACAAACATTTTTATTAGGACTTATAGCTATGTTTCTGCTCTTGTTCTATCAGCTTTCGCCTCTCTTACACTATATTTATAAGAAGAAAAAAAGAAACAACTTTGAGATTTCAATATCAGTGTGAGCAAAATTATTAAATCTAAAAAGAAAATACGTGTGTGAAAGATGTAATTCAACCAGAAAACAAAAGTAATAGCAAAGCAAAAGAGCAGAGATGATGAAAGAGAGAAATTTAGATAACTCACAAAGTTATAAGTGATAAACAAGCGGTCACGCCTCTTACAATTTCAGGCTCTTTTTCGGTGATGAATACAAATCAGCCTCATGCATCTGCGGATGTACTTCTCCCCTAGGTCATTGAAACGCATCAACGAACGGATTCAAAGCCTGCTTGGAAAATAATCTAACATGTTATTGTTCAAATCTAAACTCAGATCTGTTACAGAGAGAAGAACATGGTTTACCGGTGACAATGGTGATGGAAACTGACTCGACGCGAAGACGGCACTGGATGCGGCAACGACGGAGGTGGATGCGGCGGAAACTGCACGGAGATGGAGGAAGAAGAAGAAAATAAGAAAGTGGCGACATTTCACAGCGAGAGAGCGCGCCGTTTGATGAGAGAACGAGAACGAGATGGTGACGGCGAGAACGAGAAGGCAAAGGCGAGAGGGAAGCGAGATAGTGAGTTTGAGGTTCGAGAGGGAAGCGAGAAAGGAGAGAGAGAGAGCGCCGTCTGAAGAAAGAGGCTTTTTTCTTTTTCTAACAAAACCTAGGGTTTTTTTTCTTTTATAGGAGAAGATAAATTTCCCGGTTTAATTAGAAAATTTCGGATAACCGAACTTTCTTTTTCGGTTTAGCTAAAAGATTTAGCTTAAACCATAATTTGCTAAGGTCTACGAATGTAATCTACAAACGTGGTTTACGAGTGTGGTTTACAAATGCGATCTACAACTGCGGTCTAACTAAATTAGGGAATTTGGTTCCCGCTCATTCGGATTTCAAATTTTGGAATTCCCGCAAATTTAATTACTAAACCATTCCGGTTTATTTCAATTTCATCTTCTTGTGCGGTCTACAGATGAGGTCTACAAAACCCTAAACTACAAATTTTCTGAAAAAACATGAACCGAATATCAATTTTGTTTGTCATTTACAATATTTATGGTTAAGATAACAAAAATATTAAATATACGTAAAAAAAACCAACCAAAAACAAAAATTCAAATTGAAACTATCTAAACCCTAAGAATTGGACAACTAAACCCTAAACTATCTATCCAAACTCTTATCAATTTGAAACATTTACTCATGACATTTATAGATTGATTCATTTTTCGTATGATTTATTTTTAATAAATGTCAAATGTATAAGAATTAATTATGCATACAAGTTTTTAATCAAATTATTTTTTATCAATTTTATAATTTATTTTTAAGATTTCATTTTCCTGTAGACCTCGTTGCTAGACCTCTCACGGTTTTACAAGTTTCTAACCTAATTTGTTTTTGTCAACCTAAATTCACTTATTAACATGTATGTTTATTTTATATGGACTCTAATTGTCTTTGTCTTGTTTATGAATACAAATTTTTCATCTAAATATTTTCTATTTATTTTATAAATTAAAAGTTTCATTTAATTAAACCGTAGACCTCATCCGTTAAGCTTTCCAAACTAATTTGCCTATGTTAGTTTAATTTGACTCATTTGTATGCAATTATAATTTTTCAAGATGCAAATTACTATTTATGATTTATGTATGCAAATGGTTTCATCAAAATGTTTTTTTTGTTTTTCCCAATTAAAATATAAAATTAAAATACAAGGTAGACCGACTATAAAAGTCTATATGTAGACAGCAAGCGGCAAATTTTTTTTGTTTGTTCATGAGGGTGACCTTTGTAATTTCGCTACCCAAACAGGTTAGTTTTGCAATACTTTCAAGTTTCGGGTTATGGTTATAGAAAAAAGCAAATTTCGGGTTATATGTGGAAATTCTCCCTAATCGGAACTGTGAGCAAAGTGGATGTGACATGGACAACTTCTAGATTCACCATCTTCAAAAGGCCGAGGTGAGTGAAAAAAGATAATTCACAACTCAATAATACACAACTTTAAGAATACAGTACTATTGGAGTTTAACTCAAAATGTTGAGTTTAATAGGCGTTGAAACTCATAAACGACATCATAATTGACATTCAAAGAAGTACTTATACTAAAAAAATACTGTTGATTTTGGTTTTGTGTTTCACTAAATCCAAATCCAGTGTTATGAAGAAACTGAAATAGTAACATTAGACATGAAATGACGGAAGTCTTTTCTTAAGATATACTTAAAGCGAAATGCAAAAGAGAGAATAAACTTCAATCTTTTGATAAGTTTTTCTGATTTTTTTTAAACAAAACTATTAATTCAACCAGATTACAAACAACATAAACCAATAGCAGTTAATCTACTGGAGTTCATCATAGTAATAATAATAATAAAAAAAAAATAATAAAAAAAAAAAACTCGATTACAAATTAACACTGTTATAAGAAAAAATTGTTTGTCATATAAAACTCGTTTTGAATTGAAATTTTCATAACCACATTCTATGGTGTTATCGGGATTCAAGAACGATGGAAACTACCCTCTCATTTTCATCGTTTCTGGAATGTTGTACTCCATTGCTGCATGCAAACCCGACTCATCATATCGACCGGACATTAATTTGTTATAAATGGATTTATTTGATTAAAATGTGTTTTTTTCTTAACTATGCAAAATAGATGCTTGATCATAACAACGATGATATTAAAACAAGATACAACGAAAATAATGTAATACATAATCCTGTTAAAATTATAATGTACAAACTTAACTGAAGGGGAAAACAAACATAAAGCAAATGGTCATTTCTAAAATGATAGCTAAACCAAGGTAAATAATTGTAGCTTAGTTTCAAAAGCAAAAACCCATAAATGAAAGGTTGAAACGTGAAATGAAACGTTAAACAATCTATAAACGTTATTCCGATAAAACGACCCTTTTCCCTAACAACTTAGAAAGTAGAAGCTTGAAAAACCAAGAATTAGCACTCTAATTAATCTCTCTCTTTCTCTTTGTCTTTACAGTTTCCTCCGGCGTTTATACATCTTCATTTTCTTTCTCAAATGGTTCGTTTCTCGAGCTCAAGTATTGTTTGGTTAGTTTCTACTCTCTCAATCAATTATATATATTGGGATTGATATGAAAAAGTAACGTTAGAAGAATTGGATATCTTTTCAAAAGCTAATCCACTTGAATTTGCACCCACAACTAAATGGATTATAGACTCGCTTCTTTAATTTTAACGTGCATGCATGGTTAAAAGATCACCAACATAGGTTAAACCCACATATGATTAAATGGGGAGAAATAGTATTTCGGAAAATTGAGTTTATCAATGACAAAAGTTACGAACAATATATATATTGTCGGCATAACGAACAATATATTTTGAAATGACTCGTACGTAAAAGATAACAAATATAAATGTGATTAGGTCAAAGGAAGGACACTTAAACCATTGGCACTTTTCTAAGGTTTTTCTTGTCTTGTTAATGACATCTTTTTTTCTAAGTTTCTTCCCACTCCACGATAAATTCTCAACTGAAATCAAATTTAATTAAAATATTGATTGTTTCACAGGCTTTAGGATATGACGACGTACGAGGCCGCGATCAGACCATGGTCGTGCGGTCGTCATGTCCTAAAAGTCAAATAAAAATGTTTAAAGAAAAATCAAACGTCATATGGGTTGACCGGAATTCGGCTTTCTATCAAACGGAAGTCACATCCAAAGTTACTTTGATCTATTATTTTGATACGTACATATACAGTTAGGTAACTCTACATCTAAAATTTGATGAGATGAATAGTATACGTAAAATTAAGTCTTACTTTAATAGAAAAAAATGTTACAGTAAAGCATTTGTTACTCGAAGTCAAATTGACTTAGACGGAAGCAATTTTTTATGTTTTTTTAAATCAAGATATGCATCTATTATAAACAAGTACAATGATTTAATATGAGATTAGACAAGGTAACCAAATATTTCAATTAACTAATAGTGGAGCTAGTTGTGGTTGAGGAGTCAAATCAACTGACATGAGCATACATTTGCATATAATAATACATATGTCGCTATACTAAAAGAAGATTTGGGAACATTTCCAAAGTAAAAATGAAGACAAACCCTAAATCCCAAGAGAATTCGATTGGGTGGTATGACTTAATCCACACAAAACGTAGGTTATCTATTAATTAATCTTACTTGAATGTCAACATTTGACTTATTAAAATTAACTCATTTTTTGGAATCATTTTTCCCCCTTTTTGCTACATTTGTCTCCTGACCAAACTCTTCCTGGCTGACTCCTAAATTCCTTTTTCTCTTCATTAAAAATGTTTGTCAAACGATGTTCAATGTTCAAGTCTGCACAGAGTATATAGTTTAAGAACACATACTAATATTATCATTGAAATCGGAAATTTTCTCTAAGTTCATTTTAGTTGATTTGTGCAGATATTTATTTTTATTAAATATAAAAACCCATCCATGAAACGAGAATTACCTAACCAATTTTTAAAGTAGAGCCTTTTACTACAATTCAAATATATGTCCATTTTCGGGTTCGAACCTCCAATTAGCGTTTAAAACTTCTGCAAAAAAAAAAAACATATATTCCATCTTTTTAAATCCATCCAAAAAGTAGCTAGCCGTGCTTTTATTAAACAATAAACTTGTTCAACGTGGACTTTAGTTTAGTCTAAACATATAAGGATTAAACATATATACCCTTCTCTCTCAAAAAAAGGATCAAACATATATAATATCATGTTTCATGTATTTAAAAGTAAACACGAATGAGTATATGTCCAATTATATACGTTTTTTATTATTATAAAATAGTTAACATGTATGGTTAAGAAGGTAGCTAGAGGTATCAGTTAATAATAATATCATTCCGTCTAAATTTTAGTTTTAATGGATCATGCCTACGTATAAATACAATATGTAACCAACATATGTCTCATGCAACTTCTAACATTTCAAAAGTAAACAAAACCAAACTATATCTAAGAACATGACGGAAGAGTTTGAGATCGCCGGAAGTACGACCGGAACTTGGTGGAGTTCGCCAACAAACTCCGCCGCTGTATACTCCGGCTACTCGTTGCCACGTCCCAACGAGATTAGCCTCGACATCACAGATTTCGGATGGCAAAACTTCGATAACAACATTAACGATCATAATGATGATTTAATGAATATGTAAGTCCACATGTTCAATATATTGATATGAAATTACATAATAACAATATTAGACTTTCTCTGATATCTTTATTTACTTTATGTTTCTTGAAGCCATCATAGTTTCTTCGACGGATTATTTGATCCTAACGAGCAAATACTATCGAATTCTTGGCCAAAAACTACAATTCCTAACGCGAAATCCGAGCTGCTCGAAAGCTTTCCGTTCTTAGATAACATGTTCTTGATCGATTCAGAAGCTGAATCTTTCTTGGATCATGAGATCAGAAACCATAAGTCTAAGGAGCAATTTACACAGGAATGCAAGATTCTTACTTCAAAGGCACGTAATACTATAATACAAATAAAAAGCTGATTACTTTTCTTTGATGAATATTAACAAAAACATTTTATGTGATTAATCATTCAGAGGAGTGAGAAAACTGAAGAATTAGAAGAGAACAGCGATGAATATTCACCACGATTTCTAAAAAGACCAAGAATCGAGACATTGTCTCCATTGCCAAGCTTCAAAGTTCGTAAAGAAAAACTCGGTGATCGAATCACTGCACTTCAGCAACTTGTTTCACCATTTGGCAAGGTTCTAAACGAATTATTCGAGCTTTTCACACGTCTTGATCTCTTATTTATTTTTATTTAAACCTAAAAGATAACATATAATTTCTTTGCAGACAGATACGGCTTCTGTTCTCAACGAAGCTGTAGAGTACATTAAGTTTCTTCTAGAACAAGTCACTGTAAGCTTCAGATTCTTGATTTTCATTTGCTATCATAATTAGTAAATCAATCAACTAAAAAGTGATTTATTAATTTAATAGGGGTTGAGTAATCCAGAACAAAACAGCAGAGGATCTGTTCAACAACAGCAGGTACGTAAAATTAGTTACATGTTTAACAACTCCTCTTTTGTCTTTTTGCTTGTGATATCAAGAATCTTTTCCAAACTAATCATCACCAATTAATGATTCTTGAATTAGTGTTCAGACAAGAGATCCCTGAATACTCAAGAAGAAGAAGAATGTAGTTCAAGAAGACACGTAGATCTTGCGAGCCGTGGGCTATGTCTGATGCCGATCTCGGTTACATATCCGGTGGCTGCAGCCGCGGCTTCCGCTGCAGAGATGAACACATCTGATTTCTGGAATATTCCATTCTCTGTTAACCTGTAAATAAGACAGATAAACAAAAATGAAAGCTCTCTTCCACATTTAAAACAAGAAAAGAAAGAGATAGGACCTTTGTAAAGTTTAATGTTTTTTTATACAGATATGTAAATGTCTTGTAATACTCCAAATCCTATATTGTTTGTTTGGCTTTTACAGTACCTTTTTTTTTGCTATCACTTTTACAGGTACTATTTCCATAAAAATACACTATCTTCTTTAAAAATCTTGAGATTTTGACATATGTTAAGAAAAAGTTAAAGTTCAATTATAATTGTATAACTTTTTTTTTAAAATTAAACAACTTTTAGAATTTTAAACCAATATAAATCCAAAAATGTAACTATCCCTAATATATTAAAAGAGAAAACACTAACTAAATAACCTTTGTCCATTGTGTTATTAACAAGAGTGTCACTGCTGATGTGTCATCACTAGGTTCACTCTCAGTCCAATTTCTAATTAAGACAAGCTTTACTAGAGAAATTACAAATTGTGCCATTGCATATTATGCTTACCATCCATTTATTATTATATCCCTAATATATTAAAAGAGAATACACATATAAAACAAACCTTTCATTCATGTGTTATTATCAAAAATGCCATGCTGATGTGTCATTATATGGTTCACTTTCAAAGTCTTTTTTACTTAAGACATCATTTACTAGACTATTTACATAATATGCCATTACATTAACTTGGTTAGAGAATAGTTTATATCAATTATTTATACAAATTTCATCATCATAAAGACATTCTCATTCTTTCCATATCTTATCAAATAAATCAAATAAATTGTTTACTTAAATACTTTGTTTTTCTCTCATTTCTTTATTGAACTAAATTTTATAAAAATAAATATATTATCACATTACCCATATATTAAAAAAACTGTATATTTTTTTCTACACAAATTATAATTTGAATTTTCAAAAACAGATATCAATTACTTAAATGATGAAAATAATAAGTATATCATCAAAGTCCCACATTGGAAAGGAAAGTATGTGATAGTTCATTAGAGTCTTATAAAAAGAACTAAAATGATAAGAAATTATAAGACATGGAAGCTTAATTTAATAAGTATCCAAATTTATCAGTATATTTGGTTTCATATGGTTTTTCAATAAAACTATATAATTAAATCAAATAAAATTTATATTAGTATAAATACTTCACAATGAAAAAGTTGAAAATATTTATATCAAAGATATTAAAATATTTGAAATAGTTTAACTTGGTTAGAAAGTTAAAATATTTAAAATATTTGTTATCACAAATTTGAATATTATAATATTTCAACTTATTTTATGAAATATATGAAGTATAGTTTTTTTTAAGAATAATGTTTTTTTTTCAGTTTTTCTTTTCTTTTGAAATATCTTATTATATTGTAGTCATTTGAGTTTTACATATGTTTAAATCTATCATATTTGATGTGTGGTTAATGCTTTAATTTATTTCTATTTTTAAAAAAATGGTTTAAAATGTTTAATTTATAGACCATAAACCAAAAAATTCGTTAAAATAATTAAATAAACATTTTTAAAATAAAAATGCAAATTTAAGAACCATCACCCCGTGCAGGGCGCGGGTCAAACACTAGTTATTTCCTTAATTGACAATTACGAAAATAAGTAAATAAGGAAGATATGAAATTCAATTGAATTCTATCATAATATTTTTTTAAAAATCATTATATATCCCTATCATCTTTGTTCAACTTTATTTTATAAAATAATATGAATCACAATATAAAAAACTAATAAAGAAAATCTAAAGCTTTTTCTGTATATGCTATGATTTGAATTTTTAAAAACAAAATAATCAAATTGTTTAGTATATAATCTCATTTAGTGTAACCTAGGTATTTAAAAGTAAATTATTATTTTTATTTATTTAATATGGTTTTTAATTAAATTCTATAATAAAATTGAATAAAAAAATTCTTTTATAAATTTTTACTTTGATTAAAAATTTGAATATTATTCCATCTGTTTCAACCTTCAATATAAAGTTAATTATATTTTTGTTATTTTAACAATTTAGATCATACATATTTTTTCTTATTGGTTGAATTGTTTTGAAATTATAATAAAACATGTTTTAGTTTTGAAAGAAAGAGAAAAAATAGTTCTAATCCATGTCTTAGTTTTGAAAGAAAGAAAAAAAAATTGATTTTAATCCGTGTTTTAGTTTTAAAAGAAAAAAAAATAGTTCTAATCTGTGTGCACACAGCTAAGACTTCTTATTTTATAAAATACAATACAAATTTTTGTAAAGAATAATGTTTTATTTTCACTTTTTTGTTCTTTAAACTAACTTATTATACTGTAGTCATTTGAATTTCATATATCTCGCTTAAATCTATCATATTTAAATATGATGGTTCAAGACTTTAATCTATTTACCTTTTTAAAAAATAATTTAAAATGCTTAATTTTCATATTATAAACGAATAAACGAAGGCAATAATCTAACAAAGATTAAAAATCCGTCGCATAAAATTTTGAGATATTTAAATAAACATTTTTTAATAAATTACCAAAAAACATCTTGAGAAATTTTATGAAATACACCTCTTGAGGTGCAAATTTTCAAAACTACACCTATAGTGTGGAAATTTTCAAAAATACATATTTTTCCAATTTTAATATATATGTTTGGGTTCACTAATCCTATATTAGGGTTTAGATTTTGGGGTTTAGGGTTTAGATTTAAGGGTTCAATGTTAGATTTTAGGGTTTTGGATTTATATTTTAGGGTTTAGAGTTTTTTTACTGAATGAAAAAAGTGTAGTTTTGAAAATTAGCACCATAGAGGTGTATTTTTGAAAATTTGCACTTCAAGAGGTGTAGTTTTGAAATTTCCCTCAAACATCTTTTAATAAAAATACAAATTTGGAAACCATCACTCCGTGCTGGACGCGGGTCAATCCCTAGTTGATATTGAAATCAGAATCTTTAAAATGTCTTGAAAACTTATAGATTTTATCTTTAAGGAAAGGCCTAGAAAAAGGAAGAGAGAGATCTAGAGTATTTTATACCAATATTATTTTGTTACTAATGTAGTCAACGTTCATATAATTCCCTTTTAGGATTTTCTTATTTTCATGTGAAAAACCATTATATGCCACTATAAATACAAACTTAGAGTACTTTCAAAAATAAAGCAAAAAAATAGTTTTATTTTATCATCTCTATAAAAAATTAGTAACTTTCTTTTGTTGTGATTCATGGCCAAATTATCATGTTCTTACTTTTTGGTACTCATCCTTGTGTTCTCTGGTAATTTCATTTTTTCACTTTCAAACATCAGTTAATATATAATTTTAAAACTTATGTTACATAAATTATCTAAATTCCCACATAAATATTATTTCTAATCATAATATGATATTTTTTTATAGTATTTAATATGATATTTTACTTTTATAGTATTTTCAGTGGTTCCAAAAATTCAAGGAGAGCGATGTATTAAGGTCATTCATCCGGGAAGTCCATGTGACTCTCCTGATTGTGTTCAGTATTGCTATAGTGAGTACAATGGAGTTGGGAAATGTCTTGCAGATAGTGGTGGAGATCTTAGGTGTATTTGTGAGTATAACTGTTAGAGAGGCAAAATAAATTGAAAAAAAGTTACAATTATATTTTCCTTAATCTATATGAATAAAGTTTTGGAAGTTCTTCAGCCATTCTGATGATTGAATAACTAATTTTGAAAAAAAAGTCTCAAGAGATATTGTTATTTTAGAAAATATCACATCAAGATTCAAAATAAGAATAATTTGTTTTTTTTTGTCAACAAATAAGAATAATTATGTGTACATCATAATTATTATGATGTTTAAATCTAACTTTAGATGTATAACTCACTCACAAATATAATAATCAGGCATAAGTAATATAAGAATAAACAGAGTTTATTGTTTACTTGTTAAAAAAAACAATAACAGATTACATGACCTTTGGTCTTCACGGTATTTCTCTACTTTAATTTTTCACTTTTTTGTGTGGTTTGTGTAACTGTTCAATTTGAAATGGTACATAAATATAGTGAAAATAGCCAGACAGATTCTGATCTCTGATTCTTTACATCTTGGATCTTACTTGCTGGACAAGTTCCCTTCTCAAGATTTTACCAGCAGCTGATTTTGGAACACTGCTAATGAAGCTCACTCGTCGTAATCTTTTGTAAGGAGCAACCTTGAATGAAACCAAAACAATGGTAGTAATTAGAGCTTTAGAGAAGAAACACAATCGATACAAATTGATTCGAATGACTTGAGTTATAAGTTACTAACCTGTTTGGCTATGAACTTTTGAATAACTTCCTCTGTTATTGAACTATTCGGTGATCGAACAACAAATGCAATTGGAACTTCACCTGCTTCTTCATCAGGAAACCTGCAACATATATATACACAATTTTAAACAAGGAATAAACTCGTAAGCTTCTGCTGTGTTGAATTGTGAATATGACTCACGGGATAACGACAGCGTCTAGAATTTCCGGATGCGATACAAGAAGACCTTCTAGCTCAGCTGGAGCAACCTAGAGATACATCAAGCCACCATAAAGATTTGCGCTTTGGAAAGTGAGAAGAAGAAGGAGAGAGTTGTGAATTTGAAAGTGGCAAACCTGGAAGCCTTTGTATTTGATAAGTTCTTTGATTCGATCAACAACAAAAAGGTTACCATCTTCGTTGAAGTAACCTAGATCCCCAGTATGTACCCAACCTTTTCTATCTATTGTTTCTTTAGTAGCCTGAGGGTTATTGAGATAACCTGAAAACAGGAATTTGGCTTACTTCATTATCAAACAAAAGAGAAAAGACTACAAATGGATTAGAAATTTTCAAACACTACCTTTCATCATGTTAGGCCCTCTCACCCAAATTTCACCTAGTTGATTCGGAGGTTGAGATTTTCCAGTTTCTACACTCACTATCTGAGCTTCAACACCTGGAGCAAGCATCCCAGCTGAACCAGAGTTTCGTTTCCCGAGTCTCGGATCCTCAACAGAGACAATCCCAGTCGTTTCAGTCATTCCATAGCCCTGAAGCAATCACTTTTCCATCATTCAAACAATCATCCCAAATGAAATTCACTCTGCTGAGTTCCACACTGATCTAAGAACTATCCTCACTCTCTTTGCTACCAACACAACTATCCTCAACCCTATTAGAAACTCAGAACATGATATGAAGCCAAGTTTTTTACCTGCATAAGCAAAACATTAGGGATGTTTTTACCACACTCCTCCATCAAATCTTTCCCAAGAGGAGCAGCTCCTGATCCAATGTACTTAAGCGAAGAAAGATCATACTTTTTCACAACGCTTTGCTTAGCAAGAGCGAGGAACACAGGAGGAACAACCCAGAGCTGAGTGACTCTATACTTTTCAATGTTCTTAAGAAGCGGCTCGAGCTCGAATCTCGCCATGGAGATCACAGCGTTGCCTCTCTGAAGCTGAGAGTATACAATCACAGCCAACCCAAACACATGGAACATGGGAAGGAAACACAAGAACACTCCGTGGTACTCTCTCATCAGATCTTGATCCATCGTCACCATCAAAGAAGCTGCGATGAAATTCCCATGAGTCAATTCCACGCCTTTGCTTATCCCTGTAGTTCCCGATGAATACAACAGCGCCGCCGTGTCCGATTGCTTGATTTCAACCACCGGGAGATCTGAAACCGGATCGGAAAGCTCCATCACGTTATTGAAAGTGAGGATCTTCGAATTCGATTCAGGAATCTGTACGGATTCTCCAAGCAGCACGATTGGGAGGTTAAAACCTTTGATTTTGTCGAACAATTGCTCGACGGAGATGATAATCTTCGGATTCGAGTCCTTGACCTGCTTCGAAACCTCATTCGTGGTGTAGAGAGGGTTCGCGGTGGTGAAAACGGCGCCGATTGCAGATACGGCGAGGAAACAGAGAGGGAACTGGTAAGAATTGGGAGCGAAGATCAACACGACGTCGTTTTTACGGATTCCTAAGCGGAGAAATCCGTGGGCGAGTCGAGAGACGGCGGATTTGAGCTGAGAGAAGGTCAAGGAATGGCCGGAATCGGAATCGACGAGAGCAGGCTTTGACGGGTACGAAGAGGAGTTGCGGAATAGGAAAGAGACTAGCGATGTGTTGGGATCTTTGGGAAGAACGAGCGTTGGACGAAGTGATCGGTAAATACCGTCTCTGCCGTAGCCGGATTTCTCCATTTTTTCCGATCGATGAAGAGGATAATGTGAGTGATTGATTTGAAGAAGAGAGATGAAAAGAATGTCAATATTCTCTACTCTGATTTATTTACGTAAACGTGTCTCTTTTTTTTTTTTTTTTTTTGCCAGCAATTTACGTAAACGTGTCTAATATGTCCAAAATGCTGGTAAGTGTTTGCGTCATCACATTAAATGGCTAAAAGCATAGATTAATCATACGTAAACTTTGTTGACTTTATTGCGTCCTTTCTATTTGACTTTGCTGCTTATAGATTTTAGAGCATTTGTGGACTTAATACCTCTTGAAGCTAATGTTTTAAGCTCCCTCTCTCTCCTCCCACGTAAGTTCAATCAATCAACACTTTTTTTCTTTCTTTTTTTTTTGGTCAAATGAGAAAAACTGGATTTAAAGGAAAAATTATCTAACAATAACAACCAGCCAGGCCGCCATTGATACAACAACAACTTCAAGTCTTAACTAGATTCTAGGGAAACCAAAGCCTTAACAACACACACACAAATGAACAGAAAAACTAAATAGAGTTTATTGATACTTTTTTGAAATGACAATGAAAATTTTATTGCTTGCTTATATAAAGACAGGAAATGAAAAAAAAAAAAAAAGAGTGCAAGATTTTTTGGTCTTGGATTGTTTTTTTTTTTTTTAACTTTTGTGTGCGTGTAATTTGAAATGGTACAGAAACATGGTAAAAAGAGTAAAAGTGCTTCACATCTTTGATCTTACTTGCTGAACAAGTTCCCTTCGCAAGATTTTACCAGCAGCAGATTTTGGAACACTGCTAATGAAGCTCACTCGTCGTAGCCTTTTGTAAGGAGCGACCTTAATGAAAGAAACGATGATAATTTGAGCTTTAGAGAAGAAAGAAAAGAAACTGGCAGCTGATTTAAAAGACTTGAGTCACAAGTTACTAACATGTTTGGCTATGAACCGTTGAATATCTTCCTCTGTTATTAAGCTGTTCGGTGACCGTACAACAAATGCAATTGGAACTTCACCAGCTTCCACATTAGGCAACCTGAAACATATAAAAATGATAATGTGTTGAGACAATGAACCAATTCTTGGCATTGAATTGAGAATCGATGACTCACGGGATAACGGCAGCGTCTAGTAATTCGGGATGCGATACAAGAAGTCCTTCTAGCTCAGCTGGAGCAACCTATAAATACATCAAACCATTCACTAAGATTCTATTTTTTTTTTTCGATTTTCCTGGTTTGGAAGTTAGAAGAAATATGAGAGCGTTAGGAAGTTAAAGTGTGAAACCTGGAAGCCATTGCATTTGATAAGTTCTTTGATCCGATCAACAACAAAAATGTTACCATCTTCGTTGAAGTAACCAAGATCTCCTGTATGTACCCAACCTTGTTCATCTACTGTCTCTTTAGTAGCCTGAGGGTTATTGAGATAACCTGAAAGAGAAGTTGGTTTTCAAACAAAAGAATGCTATAAAAGGTTGAATATTTATAAGTAATAAGACTACCTTTCATCATGTTAGGCCCTCGAACCCAAATCTCGCCTAGTTGATTAGGAGGTTGAGACTTTCCAGTTTCTACACTCACTATCTGAGCTTCAACTCCTGGAGCTAGCATTCCAGCTGAACCAGAGTTTCGTTTCCCAAGTCTTGGGTCTTCCACAGAGACGATTCCAGTCGTTTCAGTCATTGCGTAGCCCTGAAAAAACCCACAAAACACCTCTTTTCAACCATTCAAAGAAATTTGGATAATTCTCTAAGATATCACATTTTAAAGTTTTTATTCCAAATATACCACTATAGGTTTAATTTTTCTAGTAATAGCACAAATTCAATATCAAAATGATTCAAAATTCTTTTTTGCATAAACGAATTCTAAACCTTAAATTGGAAAAACAGAATTCAAATTTTAATTGTATGTCTAACTTATTTAGGGTAAACAAGTGCTTTCACAAAAAAAACTTGTACTACTCTTGGAATTTTAAATTTGGTGTGCTTTTTTAAAAGTATTTCTCAAGAAAAGTTTCCTATGTTGAACTATACTCAGGCTACTACCAACAGAACTTACATTAGGGAAAATCTTAAACATTTTGCCTTAGTTTTTTACGAGTAAACATTGATGAATTAGCAAACACCTAAAAGAGAGATAATATGAAACCAAGAGCTTTGATTACCTGCATAAGCACAACATTAGGAATGTTTCTTCCACACTCCTCCATCAAATCTTTCCCAAGAGGAGCAGCTCCTGATCCAACGTACTTAAGAGAAGAAAGATCATACTTCTTCACAATGCTTTGCTTGGCAAGAGCAAGAAACACAGGAGGAACAACCCAAAGCTGAGTGACTCTATACTTCTCAACGTTCTTAAGAAGCGTCTCGAGCTCGAATCTCGCCATGGAGACCACAGCGTTGCCTCTCTGAAGCTGGGCGTAAGTAACAACATTCAGACCAAACACATGGAACATCGGAAGAAAACACAAGAACACTCCGTGATACTCTCCCATCAGATCTTGATCCATCGTCACCATTAGTGCAGCTGCTATGAAGTTCCCATGAGTTAACTCAACACCTTTGCTTGTTCCTGTGGTTCCGGAGGAATAAAGCAGAGCAGCTGTGTCTGATTGCTTAACGTCGGCGATCGGGAGATCTGAAACTGGGTCAGAGAGTTCCATCACGTTGTCGAAAGTTAGAACCTTCTGTTTCGATTCAGGAATCTTTACGGAGTCGCAAGATCCGAGTAGGACAATGGGGAGGTTAAAAGTCTTGATTTTGTCGAACTGTTCTTGAACAGAGATGATAAGCTTTGGTTTGGAGTCAGTGATCTGCTTGGAAAGCTCATTGACAGTGTAGAGAGGATTCACGGTGGTGAAAACGCCTCCGATTGCCGTTACGGCGAGGAAACAGAGAGGGAACTGGTAAGAGTTCGGAGCGAAGATCAACACGACGTCGTTTTTACGGATACCTAGACGGAGAAGTCCGTGAGCTAGTCGGGAGACGGCGGATTTGAGCTCAGAGAAGGTTAAGGAATCGCCGGTATCGGAGTCAACGAGAGCAGGCTTTGACGGGTAAGCAGAGGAGTTGCGGAACAGGAAAGAGACTAACGATGTGTTGGGATCTTCGGGAAGAACGAGCGTTGGGCGAAGTGATCTGTAAATGCCGTCTCTGCCGTAGCCGGATTTCTCCATTTTTTCCGATCTAAGAGGAGAGAAGAAGAAGAGACGACGACTAGAGAGAGACGAGTCTTTTTTTTCTTATTTCCCAACGTAAACGTCGCATATGCATATGATCATTTTGTATTTCAGTCATATAAATAATGATGATTGATGATAGCTTTACTTTTTTTATTGTATTTCTTCTTTTGTCAACCTTTACTTATATATTACCTGACAGTTTATTACTAAACTGAAGTGGGTGATAGTTGTTGACCCCAGAAAGATTACTGGAAATAAGTTTAAACAAAAATAACATTTGTTGTCTTTGTTAATTTGTAGAACAGCTTCATGGAAATCATGGTTTGGCTTTGTAAAATGTCTAACAATGAAATGGAAAAACTATTCTGTTACAATTTTACATTTGCTTGACAGTTTTTTTTTTTTTTTTGGCTCAACATTCCCTTTCACACTTAGCACAATCGATTGTCTCACATGACAAAGCTTCCTTCGCTACTCTATCCGCCACGCCATTACGTTTGCTTGACAGTTAGTTTAACAATTCCTCAATTTGATTTAGATTTTATTTATACAAAATTATATGAAGATTGAGTAACAAGTTGACAGAAAAACGGGCAACAAATCACAAATGTTCTTCATTTTATTTATAGACTATATATATTGTTGTTATTTGGTTTCATTGTTCATCGTAGCATTGTAATACAAAATTGATAAAATTACACACACAAAATAACAATTTTAAAAAAATGTAGAAAAACAACAACAAAAGATTGTTACACAGTTCACACAGTAACGCATAGTCCCGGCGTCAGGAAGACGATGATAGCTAAGAAGCCCGACCCGGATCCAAATCCGGTTCGGTTCTGTATTGTTCTTCTACACCAGGAACAACCATACCAGGGTGCTGTTGATACATCTGAACCGGACCGGGTGCTTTCATACCATAATAAGCCGTCCGGTTGACTCCCTCAACTGCTATCATAACCGGCCTAACCGTTCCACCATATGCTTGACCCGGACCCGGACCGGGACCAGGAATCTGATGATGCTGAGGTTGGTGATGGTATCCCATTGGTACATGTTGTTGGTATTGTGGAAGATACTGACCCGGCATTTGAACCGGTTGAACCATATGATTACCCTGTTGAATCATGTGATTACCTTGTTGAACCATATGATTACCCGGTTGAATCATATGATTACCCTGTTGAACCATATGAGTACTTTGTTGAACCGAACCAGGAACGTAATAAACCGGTGACTGGTACTGAACCTGTGGGCCAGGGGCGTATTGCCATTGCGAGTTAACCGGGTGATTACTCTGTTGAATTACTTGCTCCGGTTGAGGATCGGCTTTTGGAGTCGAAACCGGTTCTGGACTGTCCGGTTTAGTTAAAACCGGTTGAAGTTCCGGTGTAGGTGACCGCATCACAGGGGCGGAGGAGGTAGAGCCATACGGCGAAGGAATGTCGCGACGAGGCGAACCAGGATCCGAAAGTGTCGAGACTTCCCGTCGTATTTTAGCTCTCGGATCACGATCACGAAACTCGTGCGGCGGAGCAGTTTCGTCGAAGTTATCCAATCCAAAGAGGTAATCAGGAACTTCGGAGACGATCGACGAGACTTCAGATCTGACGCGCTCGATTCCTCTGCCGGATCCGCCATTAATCGCGGCGGTTGCTGCGGCGGAGGAGCCGAGATTGAGTGCGTCTAGGAACCATTGCTCACGATTGACTGAGCTATCGAGGAGAGAGCTGATGCTGCTAGCTCGACTATCGTTATCTTCTTCCCCGGCGATGTTTTTGGTGAAGAGGAAGAGACGGAGACGAGAGGCGCGTGGGTTTTGATTCTGTGCGATGCGGTCGTATTCGTCCATCATGTTCTCTACATCTTCGTCCGTTGATACGGAGATCAACGCGTCAAGATCTTCGTTTGGTAGCTGGTACTTCACGCTAATGTTGCTTTTACCTTATCCAATTATTGCCAACGCGACAATCATATTAATTATTATTCCGAATAAAATATTTTTTTATATATAAATTGTTTCCCGCAAAGTTCCAATCGTTTCTGGCAAAATATCTGCCCATTTTCCAACAATTCATTTCAAAATATTATAAAGCTGCAACAATGTTTAAAATAAACCAATAATTTCACTCAACTCATAGTTGACAAATAAAAAACATATACTTTTGATCTAATGTCGTATTGGGTATCACACTGATCGGCCTAGCTTTTACTAAAATCCAATTTTAAAATTTAAAGAATTAACAGTTCTATCAAATGTTCCTATGAAAAATGATACTACTAGAATCGAAAAATTTGAACACTATGATCGAAATTACCCATTTTATAAATTTAATACTTTCCCAAAAAAAATCCAGAATATGTGGCCAATAAACATCTGCCAATTCCCAAGAAAATATCATAACATCAAAAAGCTGCATATAACGCCTAAAATAAATTGATCCATTTCGTATTCGTTGAATTAGAGACTGAGTATTCATTCTTCTAAAACCCATTTGAATCAGAAAACGGAATGATCTTTGCATCAGATGCTCATATGAAATCAATTTCAGGACCGAAAATTCAAAATCATCTACACAAAAACCCCTAATCGCTTTACGAGATCATGCGATCAATTATTTTTCTCAATCATTCTAGTTTTCTCAGAATCTATTCAGAGGAGTGGTTTGCTTACCGGAGAGTTTCGCTAGTTTACTAAGGAGAGAGGCGAAAGTAGTGTGACGATGAACGGCGACCATACGATTGTCGCCGCCGACGTAACAGAGCTGGTTATCGGGCGGACGTGGCAGGATCCTTCCTCCAAACGTGCACATGAACCGTACACGTGGCTGATTATCGTACTCCGATCTCGGCGACGAGGCTAATGAGTCGTTGTCCAGCTCCGACGGAAGGTTCGACGCCATTTTGGCCCTCTCTCTCTCTCTCTCTCCTTTGTCGCCGAGGATTTTGGTAATTTTGAGATTTTGTTTTGATTCGATACAATTCCAACGACCATATAATTATTAAAGGTGAATGAATGTTCAGGAAGAGTAGAGGTTAGAGAGACAGGACTGTCATAGACCGCATTATGACAGCATTTACTTGTCTTGAGTAAAAAGTCACCATTTAGAGTAATTAACTGAGTTATTCAGTGCTGTCAAAACAAAAACAAAAACTTTGTTATTCAGAAAATACGAATGTGTAAAAAGTAAGATGTTTTGTTTGCTTTTTTTTAATTGTTTGGTCGTTTGCAAAGATGGCAAAGTTTAATTGGTTAAGATAATAGGGGTCCATGAAAAGTGAAAACTAATGGTCGTGATTCTGTTATATGACAGACGCATCGCAGCCGTCAAATTGCTTTCAGCCAGAAATTAGATGCTGCTTCTAATCATTCACAATATGAGTTGACGTCATAAATAAAATATAGTTTGTGAGAGTTTTAAGATAACATACAGTATAAAACATCTATTTTCAATGTTTCAACGAAGTTCTTGACGTCGGCAAATAAAAACAAAAAACAAAAAGAAAGAATACAAAGTTCGTGACTCTATTTTATCATCTAATCAATCTAATCAGGAATTCGTAGCAAATGACATCGAGCTGAGTTGGTTAACACGACGGATGATCTAATATTATTAGCCATAATCATTGTTTTCATAGTAAATAATCTAAGTACCTATAGATTTATTGTTAAACAAAAAACAAGTCCCTGTAGGTTTATTGCAATTCAACTCTTGATGACGTAGCTCTATATAACAACGAAAATAAATAAATTGACTTAGGAAAAGGGATGCTTTTTACGGTATTTCATTCATTTTAAAATGTTTTTGTTTATTTAGATATATATGACGAGAAAAGATTAGTAATCTAGTACCTTCTAGGTTCTAACAACACGGAAGTACCTTCAAACTAAGGAGGGCTCAACGATTTTTGCTGCTAGATAGTTTGCAATTTAACTATACCATGGGCAGATGGTGCTGGTCTTTGGGGTTGAAAACCTCCCATATTCCATCTCCATCACATCTTTAAGATATACTAGTGCAAATGGCCACAAAAATTACAAAAATATACCATCATATTTGGTTTGTAATGAAATGTAGTCTAAGAACTTAATTCGGGGAACCCACTTTGCCAGAGCCGTGCCAAGGATTTTGGATGCCATAAGCACACCAAAAAAATTATTCCAGTATATATATTTGATACTTAGGGACTTTCAAATGTCATAAGCAAAAAAAAAATTACACTATTATAGAAACAAATAATTCAAATATCTAGAAAAGATTGGATAAATGCATAAGTAAGGAAGCAATATCGCATATGTGAAACTATAACATATGCCTTATCAACATAAATGAAACTATAAAATATACCTCTGATCCTATTTCTATGTTGGATGCCGTAGGCCAAAGTTTTTTTTTGTTCATTAGGCACGACTCTGCACTTTGCACTCATGCTTAGGAAGGAGCAGATAAACAAAAAGATGGTTCTTTTTGCGGTTTTTGATGGAAACAATAAAGAATGGGTATTTCACACTTGGCGACTAGATTTAGGAGAATCCTGGGAATTAGATTATGCAACAGCAATGGGAGTTGGAGAAGGTGGATAGTTTCAGTTCCTTGGTAGTGTTGAAGAAATATTATGGGCAAACTAACCCAGAAATTCTTCTAGTGCTTCTCATGCAAGCATGTGATCATTCTCATATTTATCTCTCATGTGAAATTTTAATATGTTTTGTGATAAATAATCATTTTTAAAATCCGAGTCATAACATATGTGAATTTCTAAAATGATAATAATTATTTTTTATTAAGTAACAAAACGATAAAACAAAGATATGAAGGATATGAAGAGATGGATGTTATAGTTAAAAATAATTAATATGATATAGCTGAATATAAAATCTTAGGTATTTAATCTTATTGGTTACTAAATACCTTATTAAAAAATTGATTTATTTAACAAATCTTATGCATCCATATATTATTGCATTTTTCTTTTTGTTTTATCTTATATTTCACTTAAGTTTTTCTTATGTTTTGCTTAATGTATTTTGCTTGTGAGATGTTACTTCCTTAATTTATGGATAGCATGTGTTAGATCTTTAATTTATGGATAGCATGTGCTGTTTATGCATAAACCCTTTATCAAAAAAATGTGCTGTTTATGCACCTTACGCAAATGGAAAATGGAAACTTCAAATTGGAAATGAGTATATGTTTGGTTTTATAACTTTGATATCTAAATATACATTAAAAAAAACAAATTATTCAAACTATATCAGATGTTTAAAGTTATTGAATAACGGTAATTTTGTCAAAAAATGGGCTTCAAACAAAAAACTAGATGGACAAAGTACTAGTAAAAGAGTCACTTTTTCCAAGTTTCTCAAAAAATAAATATATATGCTGAATACTTCAAAAATTAGTGAAATGCTATCATTTTGGGGTAAAGAATTTGTATTTTATGAGTATTTTCCCAACTAACAGTCTATCAGTGTCCTTAAACCATGTAATTAAATGAGCATTTTCCCAACTAATAGTGTGGCATTGTAACACACTTGAGTCTTATTCTAATATTTTAACACGTTTGAGTCTTATTCTAACACTTTAACAGTTTTGAGTCGTATTCATAACATTCTAACACTTTAACTTCATATGTCAAACCTTCAAGACACTTTATGCGCAAATCTTGAAGGTTCCAAGTAAGTAACCCTGTGGACCCTCGAAAATCTCATATGATAAGTTCCAAGTAAGTAACCTTGCATATTCCGTCACATTTCTCGGTAAATTATAGTTGACATCGTATTGTATTTTATTAGTTCTCAAATCTTGAAACAGAGCAGTTTATAGTGAGTTCTCTATAACTATTTGAGAAGAGTAACAATGGCGGATAGTTACGAGAACCAAGATCCCGAAAAGCTTCAGGTTAGTTTCCACAACAAAACCTATTACTCAGATCCAAAATCTTTCTGTCTTAACTTTTCTCTCAAATTCTTGTTTGTGTATGAATAAAAAAAAACAGGGGAAGTATAAAGCAATAGTTGTTTCATGTATTCTTGGAATCGGATCTCTCGTTTCTTGGCATAGTCTGCTCACTGTGGGAGATTACTACTACAAAAATTTCCCGGTTCGGTTCGGTTCACAATTCTCAGATTCGAACTTGGTTTTTGAAAACTGATGTATTTGGTTATTTAAATTAAATTTCTTGTCTCCATAGGATTACCATCCTTCAAGAGTACTCACATTTGTATACCAACCATTTGCGCTTGGAACAATCATAATTCTCTCATACCACGAATCGAAGATCAATACTCGTAAACGTAACCTGATCGGTTACATTATATTCGCTATATCCACATTCTTGCTCATTGTAGTAAGTTCAAGTCTAATCTTTTTGTCTTCCTATATGAATTAAACCGGATTCGGATTACGGTCTCTTACTCAAAAAAAACTTGAAACAGTTGGATTTGACAACAAAAGGACACGGTGGGATCGGACCGTACATCGTGTTGTGCGCAATTATTGCCTCGTTTGGATTTGCGGATGCTGCCGTACGAGGAGGAATGATTGGAGACTTATCGTTGATGTGTCCTGAAATCCTCCAGGTTTATAAATTTTACAAATTCAAGATCCCGGTTTAGTTAACCCGATTTTTTACTAGGAAGTAGGAATACATCTTCTTGCTTTTTTTTGTAGTCATTCACGGCGGGTATGTCTCTTGCTGGTGCCCTAACATCAGCATTCAGGCTAATGACTAAAGCAGCATTCGAGAAATCTCATGATGGTCTACGATTAGGAGCAAGTAAGTTTAACATAATTTTGAAGATCTCAAATACGAAGAAGAAACTGAATATTACTTTAAATGTTTAAAAACTTTCTTTTTGACTTTATGGTTTCTGCAGTGATCTTTTTAGCTATCTCTACATTCATAGAGTTCCTCTGTGTGATGCTATACGCTTACGTGTTCCCGAAGCTTCCAATCGTTAAATATTACCGTAGAAAAGCCGCTTCTGAAGGATCCAAAACTGTTTCTGCTGATCTTGCTGCTGCTGGTATCCAAAACCAATCAGATTTGGTAATTTTGGATTCTTCAAGAATCTTTCCATTTTTGGTATTTTTAATAGATTCTTCAAGAAGCTTTCCTTTTTTGGTTTCTTTAACCTCAAGAATCTTTCCTCTCTTGGTTACTTTACCAGATTCTTCAAGAATCCTCCCCATTTCTCTATTTCCTTTTTTCCATTTAAATTCTTCATTTCTTGATTCTTTTTTAAAGACTTTTGCTTCGTGATTCGTGATTCTTGATTATTGATTCTTCTATATATGTAGACTGATGAAGATTCCAAGAATCAACGGCTGAGTAACAAAGAGCTATTGCTTCAAAACATAGACTATGCAATGAATCTATGCCTTATCTACGTTTTGACATTTTCCATTTTGCCCGGGTTCTTATACGAGAACACGGGACAACACGGGATGGGCGCATGGTACGCACTTGTCCTAATAGCGATGTGCAACTGGTGCGACTTGATTGGGAGGTACGCAACGCTGGTGAAATGGCTAAAGCTTGAGAATCGGAAAGGACTCACATTTGCAGTATTGTCGCGTTTCTTACTCGTTCCGGCGTTCTACTTCACGACGAAATATGGTGATAAAGGATGGATGATTATGCTAGTTTCTGTTTTGGGATTTAGTAATGGACATCTTACTGTTTGCATTATCACCATAGCTCCTAAAGGATACAAGGTAATGTATCTTCTCTCTTCTTGTGGGTTCATTGTTCATTTGAGATGGAATTACCCAAAACAAAAACAAAATATGACTATTTTGAAAAACAAATTATTGCAAAAACACATAAAAGCGTGAGTTAGTTATTTAAAGCTGTTTTAAAAAAAAAAAAAATTATCTATCAAAAATAAACTGCATATGCTGCCGTTTGATCTTATGTTTGCATGTTAAAATTTGATGTTTCAACTTTTAATTTATTTCATTTTGAGTTATTCTTTCGCACACTAAAAACGCATTTTGTATTTTGTGAAGGGTCCGGAGAAAAATGCGTTGGGGAATTTGCTGATGACTTTTATGTTAGGAGGAGCACTTGCAGGAATATCTTTCGGGTGGTTATGGCTTATTGGTAAGACAAATGCCTTCTGAGTTCTCATGATGATAAATTGTCCATCATCCAAAAAAGATGTAACTTGGAAACGAATTAAGAGAAAAAAAAAATTGTTTTTGTCTTTTTAAGTGTAACAGAAAAATACAGCTTAAGAGGAGGGTTGTCACTTCTCATGTTAGATAAATGGACCAAAACAATAAAATGGTGGTTATGAAAGAAAAAAAATGTTAAGTATAAAACAAAACAATTGAAGCTTACTCTTAAGGAGCCCTATTGTCTAAGGTGTGGTAAAAAATAATCATCTCTTTAGCAATCTGAGCACAACTCAAACAAGATGTAGCGATCATGTGACCAGAACCTGTTAAATATGTAGCCAGCTTATAGTCATTAAGACGCTGGACGTAACATGTGTCCACCATACATATATATGATCAAACGTTAGGCGCGACATCAACAAAGTACAAATAAGTATAACTGTATAACTTTAGCTTACCTGTTCCTGATCGGATTGATCTCTCCCACAGTTTTTGTATCAACTGACCACATAAAAGCAGTACACCCCCAAAAAATTAACAGGATTACTTTTTCTCAATTCGTTCATTAATTAAGGATTACTAAAATGACAGTACTTAATTAGGAAAAACACTATAACAACACTTAATTGAGAAAATGGAATTACGTTGCTTTCAAACTTTTGAATTATGTTTCTTTTTCTTTTAGTTTCTTCTCTTTTGAGTCATACTTTATGTCTTTATTATCCTCTCAAAAAAAAATCTTCTTTTTTTATTGTTAAAATCTCTCTGGTAGTATGCCAATCTTTTGAGTCTTATTGTATCTTCTCAAATTTGCTGTCAACCCTAAATAACCAATAATTATTTTACTTACTCGTCTCCATGATTCAAGAATCATATTTTAAGTCCACGTGAAATTTTCGCTCATAAATGAAATCAACAAACTCGTTGACTCTGCAAAACCCTCATGTTCCAAGTAAGTAAATGCAGCTTTTGCATACAAAACAAAGAAAAAAACTTTTTCTTGTGTTCGATTCAATTATTGAAAATGGCGGATATATACGATACCCAAGCTCCTGAGATGCTTCAGGTAAGTTTCCACAAACCCCAAAAATTTCATTGTTGTCCCTCAATTATTATTATTATGGATAAAATTGTCCCTCAAATTCTTGTTTATGTCTTAATGAAAAAACAGGGGAAGTATCAAGCAATGGTTGTTTGCAGTATTCTTGGACTCGGATCTCTTGTTTCTTGGAACAGTATGCTCACTATCGCAGATTACTACTACCAAGTTTTCCCGGTTTGGTTTCTGTTTCGGTTCAATCAATTCCCATTTTTAAAATTGGTTCTTGAAATCTGATGTTTTGTTTTGGTTATCTATGAAAACGTTGGAACAATATTGAATTCCTATTGAGAATTATGGAACATATATCTTAATTAAGAATAAAATATAATTATGTTTTTAAGAAAGAAAAAAATATTAACATAATAGTTTTTCTTTCTTTCTTCTATTGAGAATTATGGAACATATCTAGTCCTCATAAAATATGACAAGAAAGATGAATGAATTAAAAAAAAATTACAAATGTTTTCTTGAAAAAAAAAGAAATTTTAGTTAACTAACCAAAAGTTATGGTTTCAAACGTATACTTAGATTAACAAAACTACAATTTTAAACTCATAATTTAGTCATTTAGTAGTTCTCTATTGGTCACCGATCGGAGCAATGTTTCTTGTAGACTTATCATCCTTCAAGGGTTCTACCACTTGTATACCAGCCATTTGCGCTTGGAACAATCGTCATTCTCGCATACCACGAATCAAAACTCAATACTCGAAAACGTATCATGATCGGTTACATTTTATTCACAATATCCACATTCTTGCTCATAGTGGTAAGTTTTCATTTAAGTATAATTCTCAACGTTAAGCTTTCTTATTGAACTGGATTTTGATTATGGACTCAAGAGTACTCTAAAAACCTTTTAAAAAACAGTTGGATTTGACAACAAAAGGGCATGGTGGAGTAGGAATTTATATCGGTTTATGCACAATCGTTGCTTCGTTTGGCATAGCAGATGCTACCGTTAAAGGAGGAATGATCGGTGATTTATCTTTGATGTGCCCTGAACTCATCCAGGTTTATAAATTCTAAGAGAACAAAGGTCTTAAGTTTAGATAAACCGGTTTTTATTAGATATACATCTTCTTACTTCTTTTCTTTGTAGTCATTCATGGCCGGTTTGGCTGTAGCTGGTGCTCTAACCTCAGCTTTTAGGCTAATAACTAAAGCAGCCTTTGAGAGAAATAACGACAATCTACGAAAAGGAGCATGTGAGTTTAACAATATTTTGGAAAATCTCAAACTTGAAAACATTCAGTAATCTAAAAGTATTTAAGATTTTAATTTCTTGCATTGGTTTTTTTTCCTTGCTTGTGCAGTGATATTCTTAGCAATCTCTACATTCATAGAGTTCCTCTGTGTGATGTTATACGCTTATGTGTTCCCAAAACTTCCCATTGTTAAGTATTACCGAAGAAAAGCCGCTTCTGAAGGATCTAAAACTGTTGTTGCTGATCTTGCTGCTGCTGGTGTCCAAAACCAAACAGATTTAGTATTCCTCAATAATATTTCCTTCCTTGGTTTCATTTACAAGATTCGTCACTCTTAGTCATTGTTTAACTTACTATTTTTTCTTTGCAGACTGATGATGATTCCAAGAATCAAAGGATAAGCAAAAAAGAGCTATTGCTTCAAAACATAGACCATGCAATGAATCTATTCCTCATCTACGTTTTGACACTATCCATTTTCCCCGGGTTCTTATACGAGAATACGGGACAACACGGGCTAGGCACTTGGTACGCGCTTGTCCTAGTAGCGGTGTACAACTTTTGGGATTTGGTTGGGAGGTACATGCCGCTGGTGGAATGGCTAAAGGTTGAGAATAGAAAAGTACTAATGGTTGCGGTTTTAACCCGTTATTTGCTCATTCCGGCGTTCTACTTGACGGCGAAATATGGTGATAAAGGATGGATGATTATGCTCATTTCTGTTTTGGGATTAACTACTGGACATCTCACTGTTTGCATTCTCACCATAGCTCCTAAAGGATACAAGGTAATAATATATCCACTCGCTAATATATTATTTATATATCAATGATGGCTACATGTATTATATGAAGACAATCTTTTCCACACAAGGAAAAAAAGAAGACAGAGACTAACATTCAACTTTGTATTTTGTGAAGGGTCCGGAGAAGAACGCAATGGGGAATTTGCTGGTTGTTTTTATATTAGGAGGAGCACTTACAGGAATTTCTTTGGGTTGGTTATGGCTTATTGGTAAGACAAATGCCTTCTGAGTTCTCATGAACAATGATTCACATGTGAACACATTGGGTTTGATGGACATTAATTATTAGAAACAAAAATATCTAGTCCGCAAGATAATCTTGCCACCCTAAATTATTTCCACTACCTTCATTTTTAATATATAAAATTTAGTGTTTTTTGCGGACCGTTCTTCTATGCTCCATAACCCGGTCCATACTTAAAGTACATCAACTAAAAATTGTGAACAAAACCTTGATAACATGTTACAGTATTTCAAAAGTAGACCAATATAATGTCCTTTTGGCAATGAATTCCGATGAATTCAACCCTGCTGTGGCGGCAAATTAGAGGATGGATTGGTGGCTCGAGCCAAACAGTCATGAAACAAAAGGAAGATAATACTGACTTGAGGTGATTCTTATTTCAATGCTCTATCTTTTTTTCTTTCTTTTTCACCTACGACTATTTTAGACCCATTTGGCCATCTCATTTATTGCGAGGAGATTTCTAAAATCTAAAATAATGTGTTCGCATCTCATAATTTTAATTAAAAATACTTATTTAAACGACACTTGTATAATAATTGACAGACAACTAGTATTATTTAAAAATTTCATAGAAAGTACGAGGAATATCATAAGTAACATAACCTACCCCCAAAAAAAATCATATCTATACCAAATTATAATATGGGAAATTCATACCTATACCAAACTTTATGGACCAGCAAATATGGAGGTACCGGCTACTCTTATTTCATTTTTCCACCAAGTATAGTGTGTTGATTATTTATTTCTTTTTCTCCCCTGCTCTATTTTGTAAATATTCTCATTTTTTGTTCATCAATAAATTTAATATTCAAAATAAGCAAATAACCATAAATATTTTGAATTTTCTGAAAGAGACATCAATATTTTAAAATTAGATAAATAAAGTTAAGTAAGAAAATATGTTTCCATATGGAACACAATTAGATTTAATACTATATATTTCTATGTGGAATACAAATATCCTCTCTTTATCATCTTATTTGCTTTCGATCTCCTAAATATTCAAGTTTGATCTAACTGAAAATATATAGATTTGTTTTCACATATACCAAAATTTTAATATTTTTAAATGGACACAAATTTTCAAATAAACGATGGATAAATCTAAATAAGAAAAATTGATTTATAGAATCCAATAACACATTTAAAATATCGAGATTCATTTAAACACATTTAAGAAATGAGATTAGTTTTCTCTTTTCCATTTGCCAAAAAAATACAAGATACATATCATGAAACAATAGAGGTGTGGATTTATTATAGAGTTCTTTAATTCAAAAGAGGTGTGGGATATCAAATCATTAAAGAATCTTCTCGGGGAGAGTTTTGCTTTCAGACTACAAAGTCTAGACCGTATTCAAGTCGATCAAATATAGAAACTAAAAAGCTTTCACACTTTGGATTCTTTAATCTTTTTGATTCTCTTTCTCTTTCTGTTCCTTTGAGTCTTACATTTAATCTTCCCAGTTTCGCTGTCAAGCCTTAAAAAAAGGATATCTCTTATTAATTTACTCGCAAATCTCCATGTTTTAAGAATCTTGTATTGAATCTACATGAAATTGAAAGCTTTGTGCCCGTAATAAAATCAACAAACCCGTTGACTCTTCAAAGTAAGTTCCAAGTAAGTGTATCCTCTGCTTTTGCTCCCAAGGCAACAAGAAAACAAAAACATCATCTTGTCTCCGAACCAAATCTTGAATCTTGAGCTCTTTTGAGCTCTCTGTAACTATCTGAAAATGGCGGATAGATACGAGAACCAACCTCCTGAGAAACTCCAGGTAAGTTTCCACAAAACCCAAGATCCTCAGATCCATGCTCTTTCATTCATTTCCTCGGAACTCTCTTGTTTTTGAAAACAGGGGAAGTTTCAAGCAAGGGTTGTTTGCTGTATTCTTGGAATCGGAGCTCTGGTTTCTTGGAACAGTATGCTCACTATCGCAGATTACTACTACCAAGTTTTCCCGGTTCGGTTTCTGTTTCGGTTCGGTTCGGTCAATTCCCAGATTCGAAACTGGTTCTTGAAAATCTGATGTCTCTGTTCTGTTTTGGTTTAGGATTATCATCCTTCAAGGGTACTACCACTTGTTTACCAACCGTTGGCGCTTGGAACAATCATAATTCTCTCATACCACGAGTCGAAGATCAATACTCGTAAACGTAACCTCATTGGTTACACTCTGTTCACAGTCTCCACGTTCTTGCTCATAGTCGTAAGTATTAATCTTTCTTATGGAACTGGTTTTTGATTATGGACTCATAATTGTTTTTATTTTAAAACAGTTGGATTTGGCAACAAAAGGACGTGGTGGAGTCGGACCTTACATCGGTTTATGCGCAGTCGTTGCATCTTTTGGCTTTGCGGATGCTATAGTTCAAGGAGGAATGATCGGTGATTTATCATTGATGTGCCCTGAATTCATCCAGGTTTATTAATTTATATATATAACAGATTTCAAGATCTTGATTTGGATTAACCGGTTTAGATCAACCGGATCTTACTAGAAATATATCTTCTTGCTTCTTTGTAGTCATTTATGGGAGGTTTGGCTGTAGCTGGTGCTCTAACCTCAGGGCTTAGGCTAATAACTAAAGCAGCATTCAATAATAAATCTAATGATGGTTTACGAAAAGGAGCAAGTGAGTTTTAACATTTTTGCAAGATCTTATAATTCGAAAACTCGATATAGCTTCAAAGTGTTTATGATATCTTCATTTCTTGCTTTGCCACTTTGCAGTGATCTTTTTAGCAATCTCTACATTCATAGAGTTTCTCTGCGTGATGCTTTACGCTTACGTGTTCCCGAAACTTCCCATCGTTAAGTATTACAGAAGAAAAGCCGCTTCTGAAGGATCTAAAACCGTTTCTGCTGATCTTGCTGCTGTTGGTATCCAAAATCATTCTGACTTGGTAACTTCAAAATTCCTCAAGAATCTTCCCTTTCTTGATATCTTTTAAAAGATTCCGCAAGAATCTTCCTTTTCTTGGTTTCTTTTACAAAATTTCTCAAGAATCTATCTTTCTTGATTCTTCTATATGTGTAGGCTGATGATGGTTCCAAGAATCAAAGGCTAAGCAACAAAGAGCTATTGCTTCAAAACATAGACTATGCAGTGAACCTAGCGCTCATCTACGTTTTGACATTATCCATATTTCCGGGGTTCTTGTACGAGAACACTGGGAAGCACGGACTAGGTGATTGGTACGCGCTTGTCCTAATAACCATGTACAATTGTTGGGATTTGGTCGGGAGGTACACGCCGCTGGTGACATGGCTCAAGATTGAGAATAGGAAAGTAATCACGTTTGCGGTTTTGTCACGTTTTCTACTTGTTCCTGCGTTCTACTTCACTGCGAAATATGGTGATCAAGGATGGATGATCATGCTCATTTCTGTCTTGGGATTGACTAATGGACATCTCACAGTTTGCATTCTCACCACAGCTCCTAAAGGATACAAGGTAATCTAATTTAACCTTTGCATAAATAAAGATTATGAATTTGATTACTCAAAAGGCAAACAATATGAGAGGATATTTGTTCTGATTTTGTGGAGTAAAAAATGGTTTTTGTTTTTATGAAGGGTCCGGAGCAAAATGCGTTAGGGAACTTGCTGGTGATTTTTCTGTTAGGAGGAATCTTTGCAGGAGTTGCTTTGGATTGGTTATGGCTTATTGGTAAGAAGAATGCCTTTTGAGTAAACCATCATCATCACTCCAAACCAATTATGCACTTAACTAATTGGAAATTAATCTGCTTTTTCTTCTTATTCTTCCCAAAAAAAAATTATGTTGTTATTTGCTTGTAACCTGCAAGTGTTCTTTATCCTTTTTAAACAAGAGGATTTTTAATTACATGTTGTGAATAAGAAAGAAAGAATAATTGTTTCTATTACTGATACTTAAATTTGCACAACGTTTCATAATATCCTAGAGCCACATAAATTAAGCAAATATGTAAAACCAAGTAGTAAAATGAAAACCAAGTTTTCACCCCAAAAAAGGTAAAGGCATATACATAGACAACAATATAAATTTGGACTTTAATCTAATACGGATCCAAAAGAGTGTCAATATGGATGGAGATGACAAGTATTGATCACAAGAAGAAACAAAAATTAAACTGAACTAACTAAAGAGACGATAATACTTGCCTTTTGGAAGTGGTTCCTGAAGATTAGAAAAACATAATTGAGCGCAACGCTGGTTTAAATTCCTTTAATCCATCCAACAATAGAAGAAAATAAAAAGGAAGTTACATCAACGCTGCACTCAATGATGTTCATTCAAACCCAGGAAGGAGAAGAAAAAAACCATATTCTTGCTCTTTTCTGTCGCTTTGGAAATGAACACAATCATCGTTGGCACTTGCCATTATATAAGACATTGTGTGTCTGGTTTAAAAGCAGTACAATGCTTGCTTGTACTATTGTCGTGTACGAATTACAAAACTGTACTAGAATCGTATGCTTTGGGTTCCCAAATTGTTTTGGTATTTTATGATTGATAACATTAAATTTATCTTCGATTCATGTAATAGGATTGTATTACAAGGACAATGTCACAATATTTTAGTTAAATTTTAGAATAATCCAAGTTTGTGTATGTGTAGAGATGTCATACACTATGTACTAAAGATTGATGTTTGTGTACTGCAGCAAACACCAAATCATCATCTGTGTACTACACGAAAACATCTCTACTCAACGACGTCGTCCTTTGTTAAATCCCTTTTTGGCTTTTTGGGACCAATCGTTAATCATAAGTAGCTTTACGCCTTTAACTACTTGATTGAATTCGAAGCAAATATTCTTTAGGCTCATGCCATTCCCTTTCGTACTCGGGTAGGGTAGATTTCTTGAAATTATTCGTTTAAGTTTAGACAATTTATTAAAAAGGGTACGAATCAGTAACTTTATGTGTTTATGAAATATGTAAATTTCATTGTAATAAAATTTCGTCTGGTTTGACTTGACACGGATTCTATAGAGTGTAGATATGTAAAGGGTGTATTAGTCATTATATAAACCCTACATTACTCCTTAACTTTATGTATATATAGTGTAATTCATCATCTAATAATATTCATTTAGCCTCCAATCCTTATATGGTATCAGAGCATATCGTTCTAAAGACCTAAATCTAAAAATTCGTTTTTCTTTTAGCCAACTCTTTTCATATTTTTCAAATCACATATCTTCCTCTTCAATGGCTAACTCTCCTAGTACTTCCAACGAGACCGTCGTAGTCTCCACTTCCCCACAAATCCTCTACATGAACATGACGAACGTCACCAAACTCACAGCCACCAACTTTCTGATGTGGAGCCGACAGGTCCATGCCTTGCTCGATGGCTACGATCTGGCTGGCTATGTTGATGGAACGGTCATCGTTCCACCTCCGACAGTCACCACCGCTGATGTTGTGACTCCAAATCCAGATTATCCGATCTGGAAACGCCCGATAAACTGATCTATAGTACACTCCTTTGGGCTATCTCTGTTTCCATTCAACCGCTGCTTTCCACAACAGACACCTCTGCTGAGATCTGGACGACTCTCTCGTCTACCTACGCCAAACCAAGCCGTGGCCATCTCAAACAACTCTGGCAGAAAATCAAACAATGGAGTAAAGATACAAAATCGATCAATGAGTACTTTCAGGGACTTACCACTCGATTTGATCAATTGGCTCTACTTGGGAAACCAATGGACCATGAAGATCAGATTGAACATGTCCTTGAGGGACTCCCTGATGACTACAAAATCATTGTTGATCAGCTTGAAGGCCGTGATGTCACTCCCTCACTCGTTGAGGTCCATGAGAAGCTCATAAACCATGAAGCGAAACTTCAAGCGCCGTCTGTGACTGCCTCCTCTGCTCCGATCTCAGCCAATGTTGCCACCTACAAAGGTCAAGGTCATCAGAAAAACAACTACCAAGGTCAGCCAAGGTTTAACAATCGCAACAATCAAACATGGCAACAACAACAGTTTCAACCACGACAACATCAGAACTCACCAAGACCTTACCACAATCAGGAGTCGTATGCACCACGAGGCTACCAAGGCCGCTGTCAGATCTATGGCGTTCATGGCCACAACGCTCGTACCTGCTCCCAACTTCCATATGGTGCTTCCTCCAATCTCTCAGCTCATCCTCCACCTCCGTGGCAACCCATAGCCAACCTGGCTGCAACAGCTCCTGCAAATAACTGGCTCCTTGACACTGGCGCCTCGCACCATCTCACCAGCGACTTAAACAACCTGTCTCTGCATCAACTCTATAACGGTGGTGAAGAGGTCACGATTGCCGATGGCTCTCGCCTTCCCATCTCGCATACTGGTTCAACTTTCTTACCCACCCACTCTCATTTCCTAACCCTTAATGATGTTCTCTATGTTCCCAACCTTTACAAAAATCTTATATCCGTTTATCGCCTGTGTAATGCTAACCAAGTGTCAGTGGCATTCTTTCCTGCCCATTTTCAGGTGAAGGATCTGAAAATGGGGGTCAGGTTGCTCCAAGGCCGAACTAAGGACGAGCTATATGAGTGGCCGATGTCTAACAAGAACACCATCTCTATGTTTTCCTCTCCCACTCCAAAAACCTCACTTCCCTATTGGCATTCTAGACTTGGCCACCCTTCTCTCTCTATTCTAAAAACTATTGTCTCTCAGTTTTCTTTACCTTTTAATGATGCTTCCAATAAAAATTCCGACTGTTCTCACTGTCTCATTAATAAAAGCCATAAACTTCCTTTTTATACAAATACAATCACTTCCACAAAACCTTTGCAATACCTGTATTCTGATGTCTGGTCGTCGCCCATTGTCTCCGTTGATAATTTCAAGTATTATCTCATCTTGGTGGATCACTACACCCGCTACTCGTGGCTCTATCCACTCAAACGCAAATCGGATGTCCGTAACACGTTCATCGCTTTCAAATCCTTGGTCGAAAATCGCTTCCAGCACAAGATACAAACTCTCTACTCCGACAATGGTGGTGAGTTTGTTGCTCTCCGTTCCTTCCTCACCACTCATGGCATCTCCCACTTGACGTCTCCACCCCATACGCCAGAACACAATGGTGTTGTGGAGCGAAAGCATCGCCACATTGATGAAACCAGACTCACCCTACTCCATCAGGCGTCAATGCCGAAAAGCTACTGGACCTATGCCTTCTCTGCCGCGGTCTACCTCATCAACCGCCTCCCGGCTTCTCTTCTTCAAAATGACTCCCCATATCTCAAGCTTTTTCATCAGAAGCCTAATTACCTGAAGCTTCGAGTCTTTGGAAGCCTGTGTTTTCCGTGGTTGCGTCCGTACACCAATCACAAACTTGATGATAGATCTGCGGCGTGTGTCTTCTTGGGATATTCACTGACACAAAGTGCGTATCTCTGCCTCAACAGAAGCTCCGGACGCATCTACACCTCTCGCCATGTTCGATTCGTTGAATCGGAGTTTCCTTTTGCCGTGTCTCCACCATCGACATCGACATCGACATCATACACTACCTCCTCTTCCATTCCCTCTTCTGCCCCTCACTCCATTGTTCCGGTTCAGACTACTCCACTCATATCAGCTCCCCTTCCGGCAACCCCCGTTCCGGATCCTCACCACTCGACGTCACCGCCACCGGAATCAAACGATAGTGAGATTTCGTTGCCGGAGATGACGAATCGGATTTCAGATGCTCCGCCTCAGGTAGTATCTAACTCGAACTTGGGTATTGCAGGGAATTCCACAGGCCCATCCACCTCAAACCCGAATCCAGGCCCATCCACAAATAGAAACCTTAACCTAAGCCCATCTACATCCAGAAGCCCATCACCTGATCCAAAGCCAACACCTTCACCGAACCCAACTCCATCACCTGATCCAAATCCTTCCCCCATTGTCTCACCATCTCCGTCGTCTTCTTCTTCTGACGATGAACCACCGCCTCAGCCACAAAATCGCCACCCGATGCAAACCCGCCGGAAAAACAACATCACCAAACCAAACACCAAATTTTCCCTCACCGCTATAAAACACAAACCGTATATTCCCACAACCGTTAACCAGGCTTTACGAGATGAGAATTGGCGCTTTGCCATGGGTGACGAAATCAATGCCCAAATACGGAACCGATCCTTCAGCTTAGTTCCACCACAACCGGGCCAGAATGTGATTGCTACAAAGTGGATTTATACCTTAAAATATTTCCCTGATGGTACTTTTGACAGGCACAAAGCTCGTTGGGTTGCTCGTGGGTTCACACAACAGTACGGGATTGACTACGCCGAGACTTTTAGCCCGGTGGTGAAGTCGATTACGATTCGCGTGGTACTGCAACTTGCTGTGTCTTCTGGCTGGGTCATCAAACAGCTGGACGTCAACAATGCTTTCCTTCATGGAACGTTAACGGAGGAAGTTTATGTCACTCAACCTGAGGGATTCGTTGATAAGGACCGTCCACATTATGTATGTCGCTTACACAAGGCACTCTACGGACTCAAACAAGCACCGCGGGCTTGGTATCAAGAGTTAAAGGGGTTCCTTCTCACACTGGGTTTTACAAACTCTGTCGCCGATACCTCTGTTTTTGCGTACATTAAAGGTACTGATCTTGTTTACACCTTGGTCTATGTCGACGATATTTTTATCACTGGGAGCAACACTACTCTTATCCATCGGTTCATTCAAGAACTCGGTAATCAATTCTCATTGAAGGATCCTACGGATTTGAATTACTTCCTCGGAATAGAAGCCACTCGAACATCAAAGGGACTCCATCTGATGCAGCGAAAATACATCTTGGATCTCCTTGCCAAGACGAATATGGTTGATGCAAAGCCGGTTCTCACGCCTCTCGCTGCTTTGCCACGCCTCTGCATCCACGATGGCTCTCCCAAACTTGAGAAGCCCTCTGAATATCGCATGATTGTTGGCAGTCTACAATACTTGTCATTCACCCGACCGGACATTGCCTTTGCCATCAGTCGCCTGTCACAATTTATGCATTCTCCCTCTAAGACACATTGGCAAGCTGCCAAACGTGTCTTGCGTTACTTGGCTGGTACAGCGTCTCACGGTATCTATCTTAGTGCCGACACACCCCTTAATCTCCATGCCTATTCCGATGCTGACTGGGGAGGTGACACCGATGACTACATCTCCACCAATGCTCATATCTTGTATCTCGGTAAGACACCAATAGCCTGGGCTTCTAAGAAGCAGAAAGGGGTCTCTCGTTCCTCCACTGAGTCAGAATATCGAGCCGTGGCAAACACGGCATCTGAAATCCGTTGCGTATGCTCTCTCCTCACTGAACTCGGGGTCACTCGCACTCACCCTCCTGTTATTTATTGTGACAATGTTGGTGCTACCTACTTATGCGCCAATCCAGTCTTTCACAGTCGCATGAAACATCTCGCACTTGACTACCATTTCATCCGAGAACTCGTTTAATCAGGGGTCTTGCGGGTTGTTCATGTGTCCACCGATGATCAGTTGGCCGATGCTCTTACCAAAGCACTTCCGAGACCACGCTTTGTTGAATTGTCATCCAAGATTGGAGTTCGTCAACTACCTCCATCTTGAGGGGGCGTATAGAGTGTAAATATATAAAAGATATATTAGTCATTATATAAACCCTACATTAGTCTCTAACCTTATGTATATATAGTGTAATTCATCATCTAATAATATTCATTCAGCCTCCAATCCTTATAGATTCAATGTTAGTGTAAAGTTTTTTACCGCCAGGTTTGTTTATTTTAGTCACGTTTTAAGCCTTTAAAATAAAGTTGAATATTTATTCGATTTAGATTAGGTTTTTGCTTAGTTAAATCGGATTGGACATCTTTAAATGAAAACTCAAGTCTTAGATGTAACATATAAGCTATAGCATATAAGCATGTATCTGATATCTTCCTAAAAGTTACGACGTCGACATAATAGTAAAAGCGATAGATGCATTTGTTGACTAAATAGTCTAAAACTCTAAATAGTAAATAGTAAATACAAATTAAGCTAAACCACAAAAATATATGGCTATTCGTTAATGACACTAAAATGATTATATCAAGAGTCGGTACTAATTATTCAACATCCCTCCTGTAATTGTACACGTTTCCACATATATTGGTTTGGAATCAAATTGACATATATACCAATTCGTCCAAATATCGCTCACTCTGACGAGTAAATGACGTACTGTTCTGAGTTCTGGCTACATTATTAGCCCATGTGATAGTAGAACTGTAGAAGGTTCTTATATTGTTGATAAAATATCAAACATGTAGAAAGTCCACCTTCAGCTTTTGACGACATTAATTGATTCTTAGATTTTCTGTATATTATGAGTAAATTTGATTGGTTAGTCACTTAGTCATTTAAGAAAACTTCAAAGTCTTAACAGTTCCCCTAGCCAGGAAATTTAACATATACTGTTTCCTAATTATCAGCATAGTTACTTTTTTAGTCATCTGGTAAGCATCCAAATCAAGTGAGATTAAACCACCTAATAGGCTAATACTAAATGGTAAATAGTATAAGTACTTTGGTCCAATATATAGTTTGTTGATTAAAAGGTTCAATGTAAAGTAATGTTTAATTAGTTTTTTTTTTCCCTTCAAACTTAACATACATTAGCTTATTTTATTAAATATAACTACAAGCCTACAGCTTCTTTTTAATGGTTATATTGAATCATTTATATATACAATATAAAATAAATGAAATGGTAAAATGTAGCTGTATATAAACGACGACTCTTGGTGTTTAAATTACGTTTGGCAAAGCATATATGAAATTATAGTACTGACAAAAGATTGGTCGCACAAAAACACAAGTATATACAAGGACAAAACGTGTTCTTTGCAAGGGACATGAAAAAAACTTTTGGATCATGCAAAACAAGATTTGCCTTTCTATTCTTTTAAGTCCAAATGAATTCATATGCCACCGCCCAAGTTCTTACATGCCTTAGCTTTATATGTTTGATTGACATTTTTCTTTTCCATGGCGACTATTATTCTCAATCGCTTTAGAAGTTGATCAAATTAGACATTCAAACAAACATCAAAAGAAAAAAGACGGCCAAAAAGAATATTAATTAGAAGTTTAGAACTGATAGGAGCCAACTTTAGGAAAATTTAACATAATGCTTAGAAAACATAACAAAAATAAAAGTATACAGCATTATTTCCTATTGAATAACAAAATCGCATCGCATCTCTTTCATAACAATAACTAATCAAATTTTTCATTTCTGGATTATTGTTTTTCTTATTTTTTTCTCATTATTTTAAGTTTTTTTAATTAAATCAGTGCCAATCAGGCAATCATAGCCGGTACTGAAATAAACGGTCAGCTCAATCCAGAAATGCCGACGTTCGAAACAAGTGGGACCCACTCATTCGTGTTTACACGTGCTTTGTCCCACGCGTCCCCACTCTCAGATGGGCTCGTCGTACAACACGTGTATAAAAGTTGTGAACAAGATACCGTGACTTCAGTTTTTTTTTTTGGTGAATAGAAACCGTGACTTCAGTTAAACAACAGCCTTTTTTTCCTTTTTCTTTACGTTTTTCTGAATATATTGCTTACGTGTAACATATTTGACACGTGGTTTCTGGCCATTAGATACTTCCCCGTGATTTACTTAAGGATTTACGCACGTATGCAAACGACACGTACACTCCTCACGTGCACACGCCGGCCAGTCTTACCGGTGGTCATTGGATGCAATGGATGATCTCTATTTTATTGTATTTTTACATATACAATATATCGTAAATTATATACTATCTTCGAGTCATATTTAATACGATCGCTGGTACGTACGATCTCCATGCATTTATGTAGAAGAAAAGCCGACCAAAATTATTAAACAAAAGTGCAAACACCAATAATGGAAACTCCATCATTTAAACAAATGTTATGAGCATTATATTGTTTTCTGGTGGGATGTTGCTTTCCCTTTGACAATTATTAAAAACTAAAAAAGAAAAAACAAACAAACAATAAGAAATAGTATCTTACATATGTAACAAAATCTAAATAACAAATACTTTTTTTTCACATAACTCTATCCCAATGGTTTTTTGTATCTTGGAATTGCAGAAAACCATTAACATCAAACGAATAATCAGGAATTTCAGTACTGCAATAACTCTCTTTTTCATCCTCGGTGCTGCAAGTGCTACTATTGATGTAAGTTGTGGAGCTTGAGTTTAATGGTGTTGGGCTCGAAGAAGGTGTGGTCAGGACCGAAGCAAAGTCGGAGTAAAAAGCTTCTAATACAGAGTTAGAGTTCGAATAGTCATCGTCGTGTTTAGATGGGAACGAATCTTGGACGACCGTCTTCATTGGCATGAGGTCTTGGAACTCCGCGTATTGATCCATGATAGGGAAACAAGCTTGTAATTCTTGATTACCGAGCATGTTGTAACCGGTTTGGTATTGGTTTATTTCGGTTTGGTTAATAGTGTTCCCGGAGTGGTCTTGGTTTTGGTTTTGATGTTGAGAGGTTGAGAAGAGAGAGGCTGCAAGTTTGAGTATCTCAGGGTTAAGTAATGGCTGATGATGGTGACCATCACCCATCAAGAGCCTTGACATGTTCATATGTTGATGATGATGATGATGTGAAGAGTTGTTGAGAGATGAGCTGAGAATGGAGGAGATATCGAGAAGATCAAGACGTGGACTGTGTGTCACCGGATCGATTCCCATCTTTAGAAGTCTTTTTCTGATGTGAGTGTTCCAGTAGTTCTTGATTTCATTGTCTGTTCTTCCTGGTAATCGAGCCGCAATCGCAGACCACCTATACAAGAAAGCAAAACAAAGTCAGGATCTTGGTACATATTTGTTGCATCATAGATTTATTTTTGGGTACTTATTATGTTTTTTTTTTGGTTTTCGACTTATTTATATGTTTATGTATTTCAATAGCTTTTTTGGTTTGGGTATTAATCATCGTTAGTCTCATAATCAATAGATTACTAGGAACATTTGTTACGTCAATCAAGTGAGATTTGTAGTTGTTAGACCAAATTCATAATGAAATAAATAAAGATTTTTAATGTGTTAAGCGGAAAATCACATATGTTGGCAAATGACAAAAAAAAAAGTTTATCAAACTCACTTGTTTCCCATGATGCTGTGAAGTTGAATAATAGTTTCTTCTTCTTCGAAAGAGAATCTTCCTCGTTTTATATCTGGTCGGAGATAGTTTGTCCACCGGAGACGACAACTTTTACCACATCTTTGTAACCCTATAATTAAGATTCAAGAAGAAGAAAGTTAAAACTTTAGAAAATAACCAATGAATAAAAGTAAGATTAAAATGCAATAATAAAGACATGTACGACGAACCAGCATTCTTGGGGAGAGTTCTCCAATTTCCATAACCATGTTTATTGATATAATCAACGAGCTTCTGATCTTCTTCAGGAGTCCATGGTCCTTTCTTGAGCCCATTCTTCTTCTCGCAACATGGTGATCTTCCCATAGTTAGTACTCAGTGGAGTCAATTTTAAAAATGAATGATGGATAACAGAAAATAGAGAGAGGGCGAGAGAGAAGAAGAGAAAGAGAGAGACGTAGGGTCCTAAAAGTAGTGTACGAAGTATTTATAGGAAAGAGATGAGACTTTTTATCATAAGAGGAAAGTTGAAGTCAAATTGATTCGGTGCCGTCCTCTGTTCATCGATTGGGCTACGTGTCCTTTAACCTTTATAGTCCCAAAAATAATTGTTTTCGTAAAATACTTGTCTTTTTTAATAAACTTTAGAGTTTAGACTAATTTATATAAAGTGGATTATGATGATGGCTAAAACTCAATTAATAAAGACAGGCACCAAATTACTACATTCAATTGTTTGTGTTGTATGTTTTTCTTCTTTGACATATGCATGTGAGTCTAATATGGCACTGGTTATTAGAAAATTAATTTGGGTAAGAAAAAATATATAATTAACTTGCTTAAGCTCTTAAATAAATTATAGTACATTCTTCTTGATTTTAATAAGAAAATGTCGTCTTCTCCATATTCTATGGAGTCTGGACAGTTAATCACTTAATCCAACTAATGCCCTGATTTCGAGTGGATATGTTTTCAAGTTTCAACCTAATTGATTATACGATAAATAATTGTGTTTTAGTCTTGTTAACAAAGACTTTAAGACAACCGTACGTACGATATGAAACACGTGAATATGGGGAGGTTTGTAGTGAAATTTCGTATAAATTAATAGAGCGTATTGATTTTTGAAACTGTGGCACGATAATGAATAATGCAATCACAATCTAAATGGAGAAGGACGTCGTCGATGAGTATTGCTCTCCATAGCTTTAGGGGTGTTTCACATTAGCTGTCCCCAGAACTATGATGCCACGTATTCACACTCTCTCTCTCTCTATCTCTCCCCTCACAGTTTCAACCCATTTCCTTCTTCTTTTTTTCCTTTGGACTTTTGTCCTCTCTTTTTTTTTTTCAAAAGAAAAAACATTAACATCAATGGATAATGATTTTACATGCCTACGAGTACCTTTTATCTTCTCTAGCTAATGGTTGCAGTAACAGTAACTTTGAATCATAAGGTACTGAAATTATATTTTAATTTAATTGTTTGTTTGATCAGGCATTTAGTATTTGCAATACTTTGATCAATATACAAACCACACCTAGTATCTGCATATCTACATAGTTTGATCAGTGATCACAATACTAATCGAACCATAAGATAGTCATTAAAGAGGCAGAGGACTGAGAGAGAATTTAATAAACGGCAATGAGAGACTGGGATTTTTATCCGATTAATTAAGAAATCAGCACATGTTCACACACAAAACCTATTAATGGAAATAGTTTGGCGAAAAAAAAAACAAACAAACAAACTCATCCAACTTTAATAAAATTTAATTTAGAAATGTTGGGACAAAATTTAACTCATTCAAAATGAGACATTTCTACGGAATGGCAAGAATACTTATCCGATTAAAAAGTTTCGGTTACTACCTTACTACTATCGAGATACTTACTTTTCTATGAATTGAAAACATTGTAGTCATAAATTACAAATTTTTACACAATTACAATATCTACTTATATTCGATAAATAAACATTACCCCACAAATAGATTCGTGAGTTTGAAGCTACTATAAAAGTCTATACACATCATTTTGAGCTGTTCCTCTCTGTCCCTCTCTCTCTCTCTTCCAATTAAGTTCCATCAATTCTCTCGCCAGAAAGAAATGAAGACCAATCTTTTGGAACTATTAGCGTTTTCTACGTTAACTTTGAAAACCTTATTGCGAAATGTGATGCTTCCAAGTTCGTTATCTTCTTCACTGAGTGGATAAATAGTTTCGACAAAAACATGTCATATTTTCTCAGTTAGTAATCTTTAAATAATAAAGATTGGTACATTTTGCATGGCGTGACGTCAGATTGATTATCCCCCTTGTAGCAAAAACTCTAGAACAAATTAAAGTAGAATAACTAATGAATTACTGAATTACAGTTGGATTTAAAGCTCTGAGCCTATATTATTGGCGGATATATATGGTCTTATGCATAATTTAAGCGAAGGAAAATTCGTTCGGATATTCCAACAAACGAAAGCATCCAAGTAATAAAACTACATATGTACAAAATAGCTAATTGATCGACAAAATGTTCGAATATTCAGGACGAATGTTATATATATTAGCACTAAAGAGGAATAATCATCGAATCACTGTCAAATTTACGTTATTATACTATACCTAAACTTAAGTATATTATGTTTAATGTCTCGTTCCTTACAACTCAAGAATCTGTCGGGTCTAAGGACAAATTAGAACTTCACAAAGTGCGAAATTATGTGGATGAACATTTATAAAAATAAGAGAATAATTATATACTACTTTGCCAATTAAAAAAACTTAAAGGAAGATTGCTAGTGATGCTATATTAGGGTAGTAACCTGTCAAAAATCTAGGGGCTTTGCTTGCGCATGAATTTGCCACAAAGAGTAGCCTACGTGTTACTTCCTATAGTTGACCAAATCTTATTTGTTGATAATGTTTTGTGCCTCTTTTTATTTTGTAATAAATTACTGATATATATATATATATACCTACATTTATTTACATACATGTGTGTGCCGTGGATATCGGACCTTTGTATCAGTATAAAATTTGGTTAATTATGAAAGAAACTATGTTGATAACAAAGTCACTACATACATAGTCGAAGAAATCCCGATCAGAGAGTCCAAAATGTGCTGTTTTCACACATTTGAAATCGATATTTGTATATTATAAGTTTTCACTCTCAATATCTATATCGATAATTGATCTTGAACGTTTTAATAATATTGATTATTATATTGAAGTTGTAACTCTGGCTATATATAAGTCACATGGACAAAAGAGTTAGGCCATAATAGTATGCAGCCACATATTATATAGATAATATTTTTATTTATGTGCGATACTTACCTAATTCTTCCCAAAATAGAATATGATTGATAAACATATGTGATAAACTAAGATCGAGTCACGTAGAGATTATTATCACATTATTCTACATTTTTCGTTACGTCAGAAACGAAGCCCTTTGAATCCTAAACAGTATTGAGGAGGTGAAGACAAAGACCACAAACCACACACACACATGTATTATATGTGCGCTTAATATTATACACAACAAAACTAGATTATGCGACACGAAATCGGAATGGTTGTGGAGTTGATGTGCCACTTAATTAATTTACATGTATGAATTAGACTATATCCACGTTATATTAAATATTAGTATTGTATCTCTTAATTATCTAATCTAATAGTATTATATCTCTTATCTAAATATAATAGTAATGATCTGAATAAATGTCTTTTGTTTTGTATCTTTCGTTCTTAATCGTCTTGTTTATAATTGTTCATCTAAAAGATTATATATTTATGTGTCGTATCTTTTCGTTTATAACCGTCTAACTTAACGAACAGTTGCAACCTTGAATAATAATGTCTTTTCATTTCTATATATATTATTTAAGATTATTTGATCTTTTATTACAATATTTTGTTTTTCATGCTCTTTTTCTTCTCTAATTTGGCTGTTTGCATGTTTTGTAGCTTAGTTTTTTATTTTCTTGACGATGCAGTCTCCACAAAATAATACATGAACTTATGCAAATAAAGGTGCCATTACACAGAATAGTGCGAATGAAGAAAGAATTGATGGTTTTATAGCTTCACAGAGCCAGTGCCGGTGGTTTCAGTGCCGGTGGTTCCTCTTACGAAAAGGAGGATCCGTTGGACGGCTACAGAGGAGCATCAGCTTAGGTTTGAAGTGCAGTGTTTTGAAGCTAAGCGTAAGAGAAATATCAGTTGGATTGACGTGTTAGAGCAGGGAAATGACACATTTCACCCCACCCGTTCACCCGAAACTTTGAAGAGTAAATGGAAGAATATGATGAAATAGAGAAAGTGATTTGATCACATAGAACTTTTATTAGTATGTAGACTTGAAGTTGATTCCACTTGCTGTTTCGGTTTTATAACTGTTTTAGAATCAACTTAAAATTGGAGTCTAAAACAGAAATTGGAACTGTTTTAGAAAAAGAAAAAAAAAAAAAAAAGAATTGATGGAGTTGAGGCAAGTCAATGGTCAAACTAATAAGAATGATTGTCACCTTTATGCTTGTTTGCACGACTTTTGCATTGAATACTGATCAAGAAATTAAGCTGGTTCACAAGCTAGTTATATCTTCTAACACTTTGCAAGCAAATTCAATCTAATTACCTCAAATCAATTGTTCAAGATCTAGAAAACAAACAAAGAACTTGCATATGAAATGAAATTTCTAAAGCACAGTGGGCATAAAAATAACATTTTTGAAAGAAAAATAAAACAACTTTATTTGATGAAGTGACTTACTTAAATAATTTTATATATTTTATAACTTGATTTCTTGGCTTACATGTGTCTAATACAAGAAATTTGGTTGTTGTTGAAATTCGTAGTGTCAAGCTATGCTCATCCGTGACATGAGTAGTTTACTAATTACGAGTATATAAATTCTTTTTAAAAAACATGTAATTCAATCAAATAAGTTCTACAATCAAATTGTCAGAGATCAAATCATTGGACTAGTCTGTATAATAAAAAGGAATTTTTTAAATTATAAATTTAGTAAATATTTCGAAATACAAACTATAACCATGATCCTTGCTTGAGCATCCTGATCCCGCTTCTTGATTTCTTTGTTTTGATATATCTTGAAATGAAAAACACGAACCGTTTCTTGCTTATCTCAAGAGTCAAGATATCTTCCACATAAGTATTAAGAGATCTAGACAATGAATTTTTAGTTTTAGAAGTTGTCTGATAGTGATGAAGGTGAAAGTAAAGGATTTTACAATCACTTAGAAAATAAATTAAAAATCTGACACGAAGAGCACAAACTGAATTTTGTACAAAACCTAGAGTTAAATCATGTTTCAGAATCTGAAGATACTCGAGCTTGTGGTGCACGATTGTATAATACATGGTTGATCCATTAGCCGTAAATCTACATAATTCATACTTGAATTTGGGTTTCACATTGCCATAAAGTTTATACATAACAGTAACAAATCATATAGATTCTTAGTATACAAGAGCATTGATATATCAAAGAGTTGGTGAAGCAGAAGAGATCATCTCAAGAATCTGATGATGTAAACTTCCGTTGCTAACTACAATGCCACCCGCCGGAAAAATGAGCCTCCTTTCTGATTGATCTTCCTCTAAACTGATTTCATCTCCTTCCCAATCTGTTACCTGAGAAGACAGAGAAACAATCATCCCAAAGAAACTTAAGACCAAAGTATTCAATCTCAAACAGAGACAATCTATAACAATGAAGAGATTTCACCAACCTTTCCTCCAGCTTCATGAACACATATGATCCCAACAGCATGATCCCACGACTACATGTTTTCAAAAGACAAAATCTTTTTCAGAGGAGAGATTTTCGGATACAATGTGCGTAAAGATCCAAATCAAACAATCGAGTACCTTTATTGTTCGCTGAGTTTTTATTCGTTGAAGGAAAATCGATGCTCTACCAGAAGCTACCATCAAATACTTGCACAAACTGTACATACATATAAGGAAACTGTTCTGAGTACAACTGTACAAGTGTTATATTAATTGCATAAAAGCATAGTATAGTTTTTGATGGACAGTGTTTGAAGAACAATAAATGTGTTTTAGTAGAAAGATAGTAAGTTACCTTCCACAACATGTGGGCAAAAGTAGAATCTCTTTATGCTGCAAGTCATCTGAATCTACTCTTGCGCCGAACAAATCAGAGAGAGGAAGTGATTCCCAGGTTTGGCTCTCTGGAATACAAAACCGAGCCTTGTTCACTAAACCACATGCATCAACTAAACACCTTGTCCAATCACCGGATACTTGTAACCTCTTGGTCCATGTTCCACAGCCGATATGCGAGAGCATTAAGGTCCCGGTAGATCCATCTGGAGAGTCTCCAGGCCAGTTTGGACAGCCCATGACCCCTAGCACAATCTCATTATCTACAACAAGTGCCAATCCTACCTGAGATTTATGTGTATGAATTTTTGAAGAAGAAGAGAATATCAGAAACAGAATAAAAAACTTGAAACCTCACAGAGGATGTACATAAACTCATAGTAGAGTTTTCGCAAAAAATAAGTAGAGCTAAGCAAGGAGCTTCTTGAGTATGTATCACTCCTATTCATTAGCATCAGTAACTCTCACAAGAACCGTTTTGTAATCTTGAAAGGATTTAAGAAACGCAGGCGAAACATACCACATATAAAGCCTCATCTCCTTTAAGGAAGCCCCTTGTCCCATCTATTGGATCCAAAATCTGCAGAACATCAATGGTCATAGATATTGATTAGCGAGTTGCAGACAACATGGATAGTGAATAGAAAAGTTTCATAAAATATCTGCAGCATTATTTTCCTTTTTTGTAGTCATACTTTTGGTTTCAAGGGGACTAAAAAACTAGTATTACTCATCTCAGTTCAATGACACTCCAAAATTTACAACCTTTGGGACTAAGAGAGAACATTTCATATCATATACAAAAAATGTAACATACCCAATAAGTAGCTGGTTTGTTGCAAAACGTATAAGCATCTTTTCCACCTCTGTCAATTGCTTCCAATACATCAGCATCAGATAATTGATCGTCTCCAATGCTTGCTTTTGCGTTAACTTCACTGACCACAGAGCTCACGAGGTTATTTGCACGCAAGAAGAGAGAGTCTTCTTCAGCCACCAAAGGTATTGAAGGAAACAGTCTCGAAAGCTCTGCAATCAGAAATAAGCAAAGATAAGACTCAATAAGTTTGATAATAGTTTCAGAATCTCCACAACTTCAATCACTGGTACTCGTTACCTAAGCTGACTAAAGCTTGGACTCCGAAATCTGCAATTGTAACTGGAGTTTGGTCATTCTTCTCGAGAATCTTCTCTTTCGAAGAGAAAAGCGATCTCTTGACCTAATAGATTTTCAAAAACCACTATTCAATGGAAGCTGATCTGAATTGAGAAAGACATTTACAAATCGAAAGCCAAAAACCATCGCCATTTTCGTAAATTTAACTTACATCGACACAGAGACGACAAGCTCTATCAACTGCATCAATGGCGGCTTCGAGCTCTTTCTGGTATTTAGCTTGATGCTTCGGAAACGGAAGATTAGCCCTGAGAGAGAGACCCAAAGTCAACGGCGAAGACTGAGACGTGTGTTATAGAGAAAAGAAAGTAGAACTGTAGAAGAAAATTTAGAAATCGATTCGAGGTAGAAGAAGAGACCTTACGATGAAGTGTCGTCTGCGGAGATGTGTAAGGGAAGGATTACTGAGTACCGGTGAGAATCTAACGGCGGAGAATCGAGCTCCGGCGTCGAGGATATACATCGCGGCGGGGATCAACAGTAGACTGTTAACCGGTAAAACTAAACCGGTTTTTCTTTTAATAAATGAGCGTTCCAGCTTCGTTATCAACTAACGGAACTGGATAGTTGATAATGGGCTCAAAGGTTATTTCATTTTGGGCTGACAATTCATTAACATCCTCTGATTTGTTTGTCGACATATGTCGGCCGTTTCGACTACTATGTCGGTCTACTCTGTTCTCAACTTCCGAAAACGACTTTGTTGCGAGATAAATGAAAATCCTATATCGTTGTTTTGGTGGGGTTCACTTTAAAGAAGAAAGGTAAAGAAAATCATGTGGTTTGGATCGAAACGTACGCCATATGGTGGACCATATCAACAAAGGAGGATGAAATAAGTAATAAGTAATAAGTAATAAGTAAGCAAGCTTGACGATAGCACCACTGCACCATAATCATCCATTAGTCCGCATTGTTTAACCTTCAAGAGTGTTACGAACTCGGTAGTTTTTTTTGTTTCCCTTTTTTTTCTTATATATATAACTTTGGGGTAATCCAGTTTTAACACCCAACTAATTTCCCGAGTATAGTTGTCGAGTAGCCCACTCACTTGGATTTCTAATAGGCTTAAAGCGTGGCACTATTCGAGAATGTCTTGTACAAAATATATGCTTTGTGGTTTAGAGAATAAGCTAATCGACATGATTGAGTTTACAACTTTACATACATGATTGAAAAATAAAACTAAGACTATGTCGACATAAATAGTTAGTTGTCTATCTCGTTTGAGATAGTTGCCTATCTAACTTGGATAGTTGTCGATACAAACTATATTCAGACAAGTTAACACTTAAACCAGACAAGGAAGAAACTAGACAACAAGCAAATCGGAGGTATGAATATCGAAACCATTTCTATCCTAAACATGTCTCATATTTGAATTAATAATCTTCCTTCCAATTGTTGTAATACATACAGAGCATATTTCACTAAAGAAAATGTAAACATTGCTACAATTAGCAGAAAATATGAAGCTAGAAAGGGAGTATAAATGTAAGCAGCAATGTTAATTACTACCATGTCCAGAGCATATTCAAATAAGATGATGCTACTAAGAATACAAAATGAAACACACCACTCACACTTGGCTTCCGCCAATCTCGACCCAGCTCAATCCAGATTCTTTAGCTCCAAACTTCTTAGCAGCTTCTCTCACTTCACTCAACCGATCCCACATACCCATCATTGCATAAACATTCGAAACACATGTATAAACCGATGGATCTTCCGGGAAAGCCTTAAGCAATCTCTCAGCAGCCACACTAACAAGTCCATCGTTCTTGTGAGTCCCACAAGCAGTGAGCAATGACATCCATATCGTTTTATCTGCCTCCATCGGCATTTCCTTTATCAACTCTTCCGCTTCTTGGAACCTCCCTGCTTGACCAAGAAGATCAACTACGCAATAGTAATGCTCTACACACGGCTCAAGACCATACTCACACCTCATCGATTCGAGAAAGCTTCTTCCTTCTTCAACAAGTCCGGAATGTCGACAAGCGGTTAAAACCCCGAAGAAAGTTACTTCGTTCGGTTCAACTCCCGAACCGATCATCTCCCGGAAATACCGAATCGCTTCTTCACCTCGTCCGTTCTGTCCACAACCAACAATGATCCCTGTCCAAGAAACAACATCTCTCTCCAACATAGCATCAAACAACACTATACCATTCTCTATCTCACCACATTTTACATACATATCTGTCAGTCCCGTCGCTGTGACTGTCTCTGATTCGTAACCTTTCTTCACACACAAGCCATGAATCTGCTTTCCCCATCCAAGAGACGCTAAACTCGAACACACTTTGAGAACACTCGAGATGACGAACTGGTCCGCGTCAAACCCTAACTTGATCAATTCCCTGAACAGATCAAATGCTAAAGAACTGAAACCTGCTTTCACACAGCCTCTTATCAAACCAGCGAAAGCGACGATATCTTTATTTGGAAGCATATGAAACAGTCTATTCGCATCTTGTATGTTCCCAACGTTTGCGTGTAGATCAACAAGAACGCTTCCTACAATGTAATCCAGCTCATAACCACTGATCACAGCTAAACCATGCACCTGAAGCCCTAGTCTCAAACTGACCAAGTTGTTGCATATCTTTAACGCACCACTTAAACTATACGAGTCAAGACACAAACCTGACTGATACATCCGCAACAGCAGCCCTAACGCCGCTTCACTCTTCTCGTTTACTAAATATCCAGAGAGCATAGAGTTCCAAACAGCGACACTACTATAAACCGCAACCTTCTCCTGATGAAAAACATCAGCTGCGTCACTCAAACAACCACAGTTGGAGTACATGTCAATAAGAGCAGAGATTGCGAACGAGCTAGACTCCAAACCCAACTTAACCACACAGCAATGCAGCTGTTTCCCCATTGTTAACAATCCACAAAAGCTACAAGCTTTAAGGCCACATGGCAAAGCAAACCCGTCAAGCACTATCCCTTCTCTATGCATCTTAATCAAAAACTCCAGAGCACGAGGACTACCTTTATCAACAAACCCCGAGATCAAACAGTTCCAAGATACGCCGTTCGGCTGAGGAATCCGGTTAAACAAACCAACCGCTTCATCAACCAAACCCGCTTTACAATAACCGGAAATGAGAGTGTTCCACGAAGTCGAATTAGGCTGTGATATCTCCGAGAAGGCTTTATCAGCTTCACAAACTCTCCCATTCTTAACGTACATATCCAAAACAGCATTCATCAACACAACATCACCTTTCAGATTCTCTTCACCGATTCTCTCATGGATCAAACGACCTAGCTGAAGATCACCAGCTAACCCACAAGCTTTCAAAACCGCCGAGTACATGAACTCGTTAGGCGCTTCTTCTCTGGAATCTAACATGCTTCTGTACAGAGAAATGGCCTTGTTTGGGTTTCCATCGCTTGTATACCCTGAAACCATCGTTGTCCAAGTGACGATGTTTCTCTCAGTCATTTCGTCGAACACTTTGTGTGCATCACACAACGACCTCAAATCCAAGTACATTGAGATCACGTTGTTTGCGAGAAACACGTTTTTGGAGATTCCTTGTTTGATTAGATGAGCTTGAATTGATTCCCCACGCTTAAAAGCTTGCAACTTCCCGCAGTTGCGTAATCTTGCTGCTATAAGCTTCAAGTCCATAGCCATTTTTGTAGAATTGGTGGTGATGTGTAGAAAGTATAAACCAAGAACGCTTCTTGAAAGTGATCACAGCTAACGCACGAGTTTGAAGACATCTCTCTTTCTCATTCTTCTTTTGCTGGTTTGATAAAACATAGCAGTAACCATGACTGACACGTAAAACGGAAGGTAGTTCGTCTGGGGATAAGAAAAACGGCACGCTATTCACAACGGAAAAAAAGAGAGGCAAATCTCATCCTTTGTAAATACAACGAGAGACAAATACGATCAGTTTTTGGTAACAATGAATCAACAAATGTAAAGACTCATTTGTTGTACGCTTTTAGAATAGTTGACAATTTCTTCCAAAGCATGTAATTATGTTGGAATGTAAATTACGAGCTTAAGGTGAGTTTCCAACTTCAAATGTTCCCGGTGACTACATACATACACAAAAGCTTAATTAGAAGCAAATACACATACACCAGAGATCTTGGTTCGTTGCTTTCTCAAACTCCAAACAAGGCTCAAGGCTCAGCCGCAGCACGAGCCACATGCCGGTAGGGAATCTGAAAAACGAGCAGCAGTCCAACACATTATATATTAGCCAATGAATCATTCACATGGCTTGTAAATATCAAACTAATCTTGGTTTTACTTACTGTGATCAGCTCCACGGATATCATTCAAGCCGCGCACATTGTCGAGCCCCCCACGAGGAGGTCCAGGGCGTCCACCGCCGCCGCCACCACCACCTCCCGGAGATCCGCCGCCATCCCACTTCTTGTTAGCCTTAGAGCCTTTTCTGTATGCATCTGATTTCTCCATCTGACCAACGTTTTGCTCTTGGGTTAATTAGTCATAGCTTGTGACAGCTTATGGAACGCAATACAAGAAAATGGAAGCAGAATCTTACGGAGAACATGGTTATAAAGAAGACTTGAATCAGATTGATGATGGACCAGAAGATATCTTTGATCGTCCTTAGCCTCCATATCGATCGCTTCGCTTTAACCACACCTGGTACATGTTTCAACGTTAGTATATGTCAAAATACAATTGATATGATCTTCCACAAACTTTCTATTCAAATCAGTTTTTTTTCTGAGAAAATTTTGTATAATAACAGTTTCATGATTTCTCTAAGCCTATATCCATCTTCCACAAACCTGTAAATTTTCTGAATCCTGATGATGGAGACACACAATTACAAAGGAAAAACAAAGCACAATTAATAACCATATAAGTTACTATATAAGACATCCATGATCGATCCAAGGAAGGATAAGAGATAGCCTAAACAATCCAAATTAGGGATTAAACATCCTCAGATATTCAAAAATTTTGTAGATGACAACGCTCAACAGATAATAAATCGAGAATCTCGGCTCACGTAATCAAGAAATTGAATAGGAATCAGAGAGATCTGAAGTTCTCTTACCTCCTTCGACGTACGCCATTGATGTGAAAACTCAGGGATCTTCGTGAACAATCCCCAGAAATTTAATTATGCCCAACCGAAAAGTCGAAGACGAAGAAGACATACCGAAATGTCTCTTCCTCTTTGGGCTTTTTGTTTCGGCCCATATCGTTTATTCATCACTGAGCCCAATTGTTTTTTTTTAAACCATTTTTCTCTTGTTTTTTTTGGTTTTCTTTGGTTAAGCTTTTTCTTGGAAAACCACTATTTCATTTACTATTTGGCCAAAAAAAAACAGTTGATCAATGGACAAACAACGAGCATACAATGAAGAAGTTGGTGCATAATAATAGATCAAACTTTTATGCCAAGGTTCAAGTACGTACAGAAGCAGAGACAACAAATATCAGTGAGTCAGTGGCAGACAAACTTGTCACTTCATTACACTCAAAGTCCTTTATTTAATACTACTTTTTAATCTTCCACTTCAATGTATCATCAACCGTTTGCTTTTTCGATTATCTACAAACTCAACCTGTTTAAATACTTGTTTAGTAAACTAATGTTAATATAATTGTAGACAACTTCAATTAGTAATCATTGAAAAAATATGAAAGTCGTCTTATTTTATAATACCGTATCTAATTTTCTAGGTTGTTTGGAATGTAAAATCAACTTCAACATCAATTTAATTAGTATAAATTATAAAATGTTGGAAACAAAAAAAGAACCCTTGGTCAAATTCTCTACTAGACAAAGTTGAAGTAAAACAATATACCTTATCACAAGTATTATCAACAATTATGTCTTCGTCAAACTTAAAGTTAAAACATCGTATTTATCTCATAATTATCCAGCTGAAAGCGACGCAGATATTTAAATTACTTTTTCAAAAATGAAAATGATTTAAAGGTAAAAAGAAAGTAATAAAATATCCATTCCTTATCGATCATATCCACACCATCATGTCGCGAACCTTCTTTCACCGCCACGTGCCGGTCACTTATCTAACTGCAATCCCAACGAACCGTTGAGCCCCCGGTTTATACCGTCTTAGCCGGTTGTTTCTCCCAAAATCATGTGGCTCACTTCACTTTCCCCTCTCTATATAAAGAATACGTCTCTCATTTTAGAAGAGAAAATAATCTCTTCGGTACTTGAAAAGCCAGAATTGCTCAAAAACAATCAGAATTTACAATCAGTTTTGAATCTGTAGCTAGATGAACAGAGTGATTAGTCAGTTTTCCGGTAAGTTTATGAAGGACAAGTGCGTCACCGGTAGCAGCGCCGGCGATACGACGACGACGGCTTTCAGATCGGCGCCGCAGGGCTCAGTCGCATCGTCTTCGTCGTCGGTGCGGAGGTTCAAAGGAGATCTGGAATCGAGCCGATTTAGTGCGGCGGCGAGCGAGAAGCTGAGGCAAGCGGAGGAGTCTCTAAGGACGGTCATGTTTCTGAGCTGTTGGGGATCGTGTTAGATCTAGTAAGACGGAAAAAAATCGAAGTCAAAAACATTTCTTCTGTTTGCTTTGATTTTGAGTTTTCTGTGAATAGTCTTCATCTTTCTTTGTGTATATCTGTAAAGTCATATGTACAAATCAAAAAGCTGCTATGAAGGAAATGGTTTTATCTTGTGTAAATCATCTCGCAAATTTTCAGTTTCGCTCAAGTACAGTAAAAGTTATTTGGATCTATAGATGATCAGTTCATAGATAAATATTGACATTGTACATATCGATTTGAGGTGTAGACTGTACAGTAATTTTTAATATGTTAATCGCTCTGTCTGGAATTTAGTAAAATCCAAATTAAGAATGTTAAATGCCAGTAGATTTTTGGATAATATCGAACCTTTGTTACCACGTGTACATGATTAACATACTATCGCCATTTTTGACATGGTTGGTAAATCGCATTATCAAATTTAAGGCTGCGCTTGATCTTCAATAGAATATTCACAATGCTCTTCTCTTTGTTATTGTGTCTAAGTCCAAAGAATGGGTTTGAACAATCAAAAAGAACGTAAATTAAAAAGCTAAAATCATTCCAAAAAATTTAAGAAGCTAAAAGCTCTGGTGATGTCTTCTTTCAACTGACTGTCGTTTTTCGTTAGTTAAACGAACGCGCAGTTTTTAAATAGATATTAAAAACATCAAGACGTTGGAAAGGTTGTACGTGTTTTTGAAAACAGAAGCTGTGTCAATGAAGTAAAACCGTAATGAGCTTTGTGCTTGAAGTCTTTGAAACTACCACAAAGCTCTAACCTCAAAATATCTTAAAACTTCGTTGAAACCTAATTGAAATGTGAAAAACGAAGGAAATAAATTAAGAACCGACAGGTCTCTATTGTTTTTCAGTTTCTGATCAATAAATGAACAAGTGATCCTATTCTGAAAATAAGAGAGATATTAGAAAAACTTAAAACTACCACCAGTTATTAGTTGCTTCATCCCCATTAATCTTGTTTGCGAGCTTCCATTTAGCAATGTGGCAATGATCAAGAATGCTCAAAGAAAAGCAATTTCCAAAAAAATAATTAAATAAAGAAAACCAATCACAGTTTATATGAAATAGAGTTGAGCATCAAAGCATAACAGCTAGAGATTTTGTTATGTAGGAATTCCCAGGAATCATAATCTGATCGCACCACTCAACTTTACCCCAAATCTCCTCTTCGTGACGTCTTTCCAACGAAATCTCCACACACCAAATCTGACCTGTTATTAAACCAGATTTTACTATACTAAAAAACAAAGTCAGTTTCACACCGCAACCCACAGTCTCTGACCACCTTGACAATATCGTCTTAGCCAACAATTGTTCCAAACCATTCACCACTCCCCAACACCTCTTCTTTGGATCATACATTCTAAACTTATTCTTAACGCAATCGTGATAGTACAATACGTCATCGACCACACACGCATTCCTACACATGGCAAGATTCAGCATATCTTCCCTTTCACATATACTTTCCGTTGGCTCGTAAACAAAGGTGTCACCATAATCTCTTATGTACATCTTATCACCCATCATCACCACATCATTAGGCCGCGTGTCACATAGCTTTATTTTATCTTTCTCCCACATTTGTGTTTCTGTATTGAACACCACCATCATAGCCTTCTTGGAGTCATTATCGCAATATCCGATTACATATATCTTCCCATCGATGAAGACAGCGGCTTTAGTCAAGTTCAAGACTATAGGCATGCTCGGGAGGGGTTGCACCATGTGAGATCTACAATCGAAGCTTAAGGCAATCGGTGTCATATTGAAATCACCATACTCATAAATCTGACCAAACACATATATCTTCGAGCCCACCGCGACATACCTTCCATTGCGACGCATAGCAGGAAGGGAAGGGATATGAACCAAGCAATGATTTCCATTGGTTTTCCGGCGGAGCATGTACAAACGTTGACAATTAGTTTCTATGCTGTAGTGGACAGCATAGAGACAGTGTTCACCGCAGCCCAACAAGGATCGTCTAGCGTATAGCTCAGGCGACCTAACAAGTGACTTGAAGTGCTTAGATACAAGGGAGAGTGTCGGATAGTCGCATCTTGATACACGCGCTGTGATGTCAAAGATGACGTCTTCTGGAAGAGACGGTGGTTCCGACGGTTTCTCCTTCTTTGCCCTAGTTATGGAAGACATCCCTCACGTTTGTGAAGACCTAATATTATTTTTATTTATATAGTTAGACCTAATACAGTATTATTTTTCTTTATATAGTTCGGCACGGTTTGGTTTTTCTTTTGTTTTGTGGTTACGATTCATTGGTTATATAAAAAGTGAAAACCATACAGGAAAGTCGGTTCGATTTTTTTTTCTTCTGATTTTTGTAACAGCAAATAATTTGATAACATCACAGAGTTTACCAAAAGGAATAAAAAAAGTCAATGCATATTTTTATACATAACAAAAGCATCAAAACAAAAGCAAGACTTAAAAGTGGTTATGAGCTGCTTCATGTTTCTGAGCTGTTGGGGATCGTGTTAGATCTAGTAGAAAGAATCGAAGTCAAAACATTTCTTCTGTTTGCTTTGATTTTGAGTTTTCTGTGAATAGTCTTCATCTTTCTTTGTGTATATCTGTAAAGTCATGTATTGTACAAATCAAACAGTTGTTATTAAGAAAATGGTTTTATCTTCCGTAAATCATCTTCGCAAATTTTTCACTTTCGCACAAGTACAGTAAGTTATTTCGATCTATAGATGGATCAGTTCATACTGACATTTTACATGTGGATTTCAAGTTGTATACTATTTTTTGATAGGTTAATTAGTTAATCTCTCTCTGCATTTAGGTAAAATCCAAATTAAAATGTTTATTCGCAGTAGAATTTCCGATTTCGGATAATATCAAACCTTTGTTACCACGTAGAAGAATGTAAATTAAAAAGCTAAAAGCATTGGTGATGGCTTCTTTCAACTGACTGTCATGCACAGTTTTTAAATAGATAATAAAACATCAAAACGTTGGAAAGGTTGTACGTGTTTTTGAAAACAGAAGCTGTGTCAATGAAGTAAAACCGTAATAAACCGTAATAAGCTTTGTGCTTGAAGTCTTTGAAACTAAAAGAAACGATGCACAAAGCTCTGACCTCAAATTCTCTTAAAACTTTGTTGAAATCCAAAATAAAATGTGAAAACCGAATGAACATAAATTAAGAACCGACAAGGTCTATATTGTTTCTCAGTTTCTGATCAATGTTTCCAGTGAGAAATTATATTTTAGCTGGACCTAATCCCTCAATGAACAAGTGAACCTATTCTGAAAACAAGAGAGATAACTTAAAACTACTAGCAGTTAGTTGCTTCTTCCCATTGATCTTGTTTGCGACGTGTTGGTGCCAGCTTCCATTTAGGAGACACTTTAGGCTTATGGTATTGTAATATAGCAATTAGCAATGTGGCAATGATCAAGAGTGCTCAAAGAAAACTCTTATCTAGGCGTTTGGTCAAAGCGCAACAAAAGCAATTTCCAAAAAATAAAATATATAAATAAGTAAAACCAAACACAATTTATATGAAATAGAGTTTGAGCATCAAATCATAACACCTAGAAATTTTGTTAAGTAGAACTTCCCAGGAATCATAAACTGATCACACCACTCAACTTTACCCCAAACCTCCCCTTCTTGATCTCTTTCCACCAAAATCTCCGCACACCAAATCTGATCAGTTATTCCCTTCCCGTATAAACATGATTTTACTCTACCAAAAAACAAAGCCAGTTTCACACCGTCACTCACGGTCTCTGCCCACCTTGACAATCTCGTCTTAGCCAACAATTCTTCCAAACCATTCACCACTCCCCAACACCTCTCCACTGGATCATACATTCTAAACTTATTCTCAACGTAATCGTGATAGTACAATACGTCATCGACTACACACGCATCCTTCCACTTGACAAGATTCAGCATATCGTCGTCATCCCATATACTTTCCTTTGGCTCGTAAACAAAGGTGTTTTGACAATCTGTCACGTACATTTGATCACCCATTGCCACCGCATAACTAGGCCACGTGTTACCTAGATTCATGCCTAGCTTTATATTCTCTTTCTCCCACGTTTGTGTTTCTGTATTGAACACTACCATCATAACCTTCTTGGAGTTATTATCGCGATATCCGGTTACATATATCTTCCCATCCATGAAGACAGCGGCTCTAGCAATCAAGTGTATAGGCATGCTCGGGAGGGGTTGCACCATGTGAGTTTTACAATCGATGCTTACGGCACTCAAGGTCATATTTATATTGTAATGCTCATAAATCTTACCAAACACATATATCTTGGAGCCCACCGCGACATACTTTCCATTGCTAGGCATAGCGGGAAGCGAAGGGATAAGAACCAAGCAATGGTTTCCATTGGTTTTCCGGCGGAGCATATACAAACGGTCATCATGAGTTTTTTTGTTATAGAGAACAGCATAGAGACATTGTTCATTACAGCCCAACAAGGATCGTCTAGGGTATAGCTCAGGCGAGGTAACAAGTGACCGGAAGTGCTTAGAAACAACGGAGAGTGTAGCATAGTCGCATCTTGATACACGTGCTATGATGTCAAAGATGACGTCTTCTGGAAGTGTAATCAGAGACGGTGGTTCCGACGGGTTCTCCTTCTTTGCCCTAATTAAGGAAGACATCGCTCACGTTTGTGTAAGACAAACCTGTCCTAATATTATTTTTATATATTTTAGTTTGGCATGGAGTTTTTGACTTTTTTCTTTTTTGTGTGGTTACGATTCATTGGTTTAATAAAAAGTGAAAACCATATAGAAAAGTCGGTCAATTATATTTTTTCTGATTTATTCCATAATTTTCAAATAAATAATTCAGAAAAAAAAAAAAAAACAGAAAAGGAAACAATATCTCAGGCAAATATTTTTGTACCAAAGTATAATATGGGTTGCAAATAGGTTCAATTTCCTAATTACAGTTACTCATTTTCTTGCAGTTTAGGAGAGACAGAATTTGTGCATTTTGTTGGTGTATTTTGCTAAAACAAGGCACTTGGAAACTGGGACAGAGAGACACGGCGTCTTAACATTGCCACAATTAGACTAAAGACGAAGAAAGAGACTAAAGACTCAAACATGAAAATGCAAAACCAAGGAAGAAACTACCATTTAGTGACTGAAGCGGCTAACATAACTCTCGAGTGTTTCTTTGTGAGGCTTGAACTTCATCGTATCATTAGAGACACTAGCTCCTTTAGTGATCTTGGTGAATGTTGCGCATTGCAGCAGTAATTTTCTTGCAATCAAACTCCATCGTCTTCATCCAATTCTCAAAATCTCCTATTTCCTATCAAATTCGTGGCACAAAGAAGACACAGATCCACCATGAACACACAAGCAAACTAAAAAGAAGAAACGAAAATTGTTTTTTTTTTTCAAAATGAGAAACCTTAACGGCGCTATTAACGGCGTGAGTTGCAGAAAGCCACTGATCCGTCTGTTTGCCGAATCGCGCCACCGTGACCGCCAGATTTCTTATCTCCGCCTCAATCCGTTTCTCGTTAACGAAACATTCCTCCACTCCTCCGTTGACCGCCTTCACAAGCAGATCCGCCGTCCTCGCCGCGTGCCTTATCGCCTCCTTCCTCGATCTATCTGTTTCACCGTTTGTGAAAATCTCACTTCTGTTTCTCTATCATAATCAGAATCAAGCAAGCGGAGGAAAATTAAATTACTCAGATTTACGTACCGGTCTTTTCCCGGAGCTGTAACGACGATCGACGATTGTCATCGATCAGCTGTTGGAGACTCGATTCCAGTGTTCCGGTCTCTTCTTCCGTCCTCTCCTTCTCCGAAAAAGGCAAAACGCGCCCACGCGCCGCCGACATCGTCGTGTTCGTTCTTTCTCCGGTCTCCGGTTTATCGGTTCGGTTACAATTAATTTATTTCCCGATTAATTCCTTGTTATCGAAATTCTTATCTTGTTGCACAACGCGCCGTTTAAGTCTCAAAGGAACGTCACGCATTCCCTCACGTTTTTTCTTAACCAAAACAGTCAAAATAGTTACAGACTTACAGTTTACTTTTTCTTACCGTTGCTTTCAGAACGCAATCACTACGCTGAAGAACAAAAAGTAAGATTGAAGCGAATCCAAGACGCGATCATTTCAAACGCTATTTCCATCGCGTTTTGTTTCTTCATCTCCACTTCCGATGCCTTTGGCTTAACTTAACGCCAACACGGACGCGAAATCAAACCCAATCGAATCCAGTTTTAGTCCTCCCACTTCTACATCCGAATCTCCGATGGCTTTGACGGAGGAAAAATCGGATTCCGATGGTCGACGTTGGGGATTATTCAAGCTTCCCTTTCGAAACTCCAATGGTCAAGCTAGCTCCTCCTCTTCCATGGCTACTTCTTCTTCTTCTTCTTCTTCTGCATCATCGTCTCATCTCAATCAAAATTACATTCACCAATCTCGCCATTTTCGCTATCACGGACCTCCTGTTGTCGAAGGATTGGGTCAAAACCATCAGCAGCAATCCGCCGCGACGATTCCTTCGATGTCATCTATGGCGAGATCACTTCTTCCGGTGAAACGCCGATTGAAGCTTGATCCTTCCGCAAAACTCTACTTCCCTTGTGAGTTACTCGAATCTCACCACCATCGAATCGTTTTTTTTTCTCTTCGAATTGTGGATTAAGATTCTCATTTCCGGATGATTCTCAGTAGAATTCGACTGCCTAAATTTCGGATAAATATTGAAAAATTATGATTTTTTTTGGATCATAGTGTGATATTGACTTCACTAGGGAACGAAAGGTTTTAGCTTTTTTTTTTTTTTAAACTTGTTCTTTCTTGGAATCATGAATTTGGATAATGAAGATGTTGGATGATGTTGACTTGTGTAATTGACTTATTTCTGGAAATTAAATACTAAAACTTTAGAAACAGATACGTTACTATAAACCTATACAAGCCGGTGAGCTAATTTAGAATGAGTATTCACTCTTTAATGATCCATATGATTTCTTGTTCGGAATTTGGAAATTTGGGATGATTTGACTAATTTAGTTAATGAACATTGTTTGAAGATGAGCCTGGGAAACAAGTAAGGAGCGCCATCAAGATAAAGAATACAAGCAAGTCACATGTAGCTTTTAAGGTTTTGTTCTGATTTCTAAAGCCTTTTGATCTACAGTTGTTGTCAATTGGTTTCATCTGCTGATTCTTGCTCTCTGTCTCTTCCTTCAGTTTCAAACGACGGAACCAAAGAGTTGCTTCATGCGTCCTGCTGGTGCTGTTCTTGCTCCGGGGGAAGAAATTATCGCAACTGGTATTTGCTTTCATCCATTTTTACTTTCGTATATGTTTGCTTCACCAATGATTATTATGTAGTGACTCTGTTTCTATGTCTTGTTGAGTTTCTTTAGTTTTCAAGTTTGTTGAGCCTCCTGAGAATAATGAGAGACCGATGGAACAAAAGAGTGGGGTTAAGTTCAAAATCATGAGCCTGAAGATGAAAGTCCCAACGGACTATATGCCTGAGCTGGTATGTGAATATGGTAGTAACTAGTCAGAATCTGTCAGAGAACATAAGATAGACTGAGACCGTTGTCATGGATGCTCTTGTATTTTTGCAGTTTGAGGAGCAGAAAGATCATGTCTCTGAGGAGCAAGTAATGCGTGTGGTCTTCTTAGATCCCGAAATCCCGAACCCTGTGAGTCTTTCTTCTTCTTCTTCTTCCGGTTCTTGTGGCCATCAGCTATGAACTAATTGAGATCATCTCTCTTTCTGTCTCTAAAGATGATGGAGAAACTGAAGAATCAATTAGCAGAAGCTGATGCTGCAGATGAAGCAAGGAAGAAACCACCAGAGGGTATTACTGTTCCAAAGCCAATTATTGGAGAAGGACTTGTGATCGATGAATGGGTACGATGCAATGCCACTTTTTTGTTTCGTTTTCTGGTTTAAGACAACAAGTTATGACTATGATGTTTAAAGTGTTTTTCTTCTCTTTATGCCAATACCAGAAGCAACGCCGAGAGAGATATCTTGCACAGCAACAAGGAGGAGCAGACCCGGCTTGAAACCAAACCATCACAAAGACAAAATAGTGTATGTGTGTGTATATGTGCTTTTAGATTTGAAAATGTGTTGTGTGAGTGAAGGGAAAGAAGATTGTATTGATGATCAAATTATCAAAACCAACATTGTTTCATTTTGATGATCTCTACTTTAATCTAAAGGTTTGTTGTCCTTTAACGCCACCAAAGATCTGATCACTCCCTGAGGAACACTATCAGCAAGAACCCCAAGCTCCGATAACAAAAGAGCCTTCTCCTTCACCAAACTCTGCAACTTCTTCGACTCAAACTCCATTACCTTCTCATCTGCACATTGTAATTCACAAATTTACACACTTTTTTTCTTCAAAAGAGAGTCAAACATAAAAAAAAAAACAAGAACAAAAGTACCTACCTTTCTCTAGAATTGTATGAACCACATGAAACGGTACCGCAGCGAAAAGATCAACTCCTGGGAGAATCATCCAAGTGGGTTCACTAGAGTCATGAGATCCACACGTCGAGCAAACTTGTTCGACCAAATGTTTCGTTTGGATGGTATTCATCATTGAATCGAAAGGAGAAGGAACAAGACTAGTCTTTGTTGTTTGAGCTCTCTTCCTTAGCGATGTTAAAGCCTCTCGATTTGCATTTCTCTCCTTGTCATTCTCCACAATCTGTTCATTAACAAGCGCTCTTATTGACTAGACAGATATGTGAATTTGCAGAACAAATGATAAAGCTTGTGACTTTGAAGTACCTGAGTTCGAGCTAGTAGACAGTGAACAGCTTCAGCTTCAATTTTCTCTAATAGTTTAGCGAATTTCTTTGGCTCCAAATCCATCTCCAGTCCACAGACTCCGACGAAAAAATCAGATGGCGATACAAAATTTACTCAAGAGCAGAGAGAATCGGTAAGAATCTGGACGACGGATATGAGAAGAAGAAGAAAAAAATAAGAAGAGCCACTAAATCAGAAATTTGATTGCAGCTTAGAAACACACATTCATTAGAAACCCTAGGTCAATTGAGATCAAAATCTGAGCATACAGAAGAAGAGAGAAGCAATCCAAAGTCCAAACCGACGAGAGAGCCAGAGAAGACGAAAGCCACGACGTCGTTTTCGGGAAAAGTTAAACCCGATTTACCCGCTTTAGGCCCACAAAGAAAATGTTTTTCGATTATTGGGCTTTTGTGAAAACACTCATCACACGACACGACACTACACTGTCGGTTCTTCTTGTTTGACCCTTAATTTTCAAGACCTTGTAAATTTCCAAATTCTTGTATCAATAATTTTTTTGTATTATCGATTTATTTGTGTGTTTAATTTTGTATATATGAATTTATACGTTCCTACATAAAGTACGTAAAACAACAAAGAAAAAGAACGGAAATGAGTCTCTTTTCCCGCAAAATTCTTGCTAGCGAAGTTTTCTCGCCGGTCAATTCATTTCTCCAAGCAATTTTTCTAAAAAGAAATAGCTAACTCCTGGTACAATAACATGCATTCCATCACGCAAATTAAAGCTTTTTTTTTTGTTAAAACACGCAAATTAAAGCTTCTAACTCCATATCAAGAAAGTTCTAAGCTGCGCGTGAACCTTGAAAATTAGAATATTACCATGAACTAAGCAAAGACCAGTTTTGTTGGTTCGCTTTAGGCGCCCTTCCATTAGTTCAAGACCGGTCCTTACTGTAGAAGTTTCGTATTTAATTTAGTATGCATGACAAAATCTAACCCGCTTAGAGCATCGCATCGCACAATCGATGGTAGGCTCTCAACATTTTTATTTCAATTAAAATAATTTAATAAAAAGTTTCATTTTCGTTAAAAAAAATAAAGATAAATTAAAAAAATAAAATCTGACGAATCAAATAGGGACAGGTGTAGAGCTTCCCTCTCAAAACGACTCTGGAAACTCCTCTATGAGAACCGGTTCAGCAAAAACTCATGCCAACTTATTTCCCTTTTTCTTTTTTTCTTTTTCTTTTAATTCCATGTCAGCATAGAACCTCCCATAAATTGTGCAATGCGGATGCTCTTAGTATGTTAAAATATAATTTGTTTGACCTGTCCGGTGACTCTCATAAGTCAAACTAAATGTTTGTATGTTGTCCACTTAAACGTCAATATCTATATTGTAATTTAGGACTTAACTACGAAGCAGTTGCAATGAAAATTCCCCTACAAGTTCCTCGTAGCTGTTGTTAAATAAAGTTACGTATATCCGTGTTGAGCATTATGTGCCACTAGAGAACGCAACATGTATTTGTCTTTATATATCATGTGTTGCAATTTTCGTTTTGCCCTACGCGTAAATTAGAATCACTTAAACCAAAAAACCAAGAGGAGAAAAGAGAGAAAACAACTTTTTTTTGGAACTTCATTTGGTCCCAAGAGGTTCCATAAAATGGCCAAGGTACGTTAAGGATTACATGTACTATAAGTCTTAAATATATACTGAAGGTATTAGTATATTATTTTTCTCGAAAAGAAACATCTATTGTATTATTATCTAAAGTATTGGACTTTTCATGAGCAGAAAATCTTGATGTCAGTAAATATGAGGTGCCAAAAATGTCGATCAGCAGCTCTCAAGATCGGAGCCAAAACCACTGGTAAGATATACCCTTTACTAAACAAGATTCTGATTCAAAATAAATAAAAACAATCATGAAAAATATATCTAATTGGCTAATTGCAAATGGCTAAATTCCTTTTCATCATCTTTTATAAGATAGCAGGATATGTGACATAGAAATTTTATGTTGTATTATTCAAATTCTACGTGTCTAATATTATGTTTGAACCATGGAGCAGGAGTGACTTTTGTGGGATTAGAAGGAGAAGAGAAAGACAAAGTGGTGGTGATCGGAAAAGGAGTCGACGCCGCCGGTTTGGTTCTCCGGCTACGCAAGAAAGTCGGTTTTGCAGATATCGTTAGCGTCACTGATGTTGACACTTCATAGTATTACAAATCTTATCATAATTTTTCTATTTCGATTCTGTAATCTCGCTGCCTTTTTTCGGTAATCATTCCTTTTGTTGTCAGTAATTGTCATACTATCTCACATAATCGTCATCATTCTCACCTTTTTTCTCCTTTTCAACACTTTGACAAATAGTATCATTTTACCATATTTCACATGTATTAAATAAGATAAATTTAATACTCTGTTATACTGTATTTTTCAAAGTGAAAATACGTACCATTAAATTCAAAATCAAAGAGAACACAATCATTTTTATTATTATAGATCTACGATTAAAAACAAGTACACAATAATACAAAATAGATTTTAAACTGTCATGTAGTATTATTATATCTTTAGAAATAGAAAAACATTATGGCTTGAACCGGTAGATCCTCTTAAGCTTGCACTGGAGGTGGGAATATGCACCTACCATGAAGTTCAGGTGGGCAATACATAAGGGGTGGCCAAATTTGCTCCACCGATTCCTTCGGATCCTGCACTGGGGGTGGGAATATGCATCTACCATGAAGCTCAGGTGGGCAATACATAAGGGGTGGGAAAAATTGCTCCACCGATTCCTTGGGATCCTGCACTGGGGGTGGGAATATGCATCTACTATGAAGTTCAGGTGGGCAATACATAAGGGGTGGCCAAATTTGCTCCACCGATTCCTTCGGATCCTGTTGTGGTGATGGGAGAGAAATGGACTCTGTTTCCAAGTCTTGATTCGGCACAGTCCTCGCCTGGACAAGACTAGAAGCAAGAACAATAAGAGTGACCATCATTGTTATTGCAGAGAGTTTCATGATCTTCTTCATATCTTTTGTGTTTTGTGTTTGTGATTGAAAATGTTTACCCTACTTTTCTTATTTATATTGTTGCTTGTGACCCAAACATTAAATAATATGATATAAACAAAAGTTGACTGGAATTAAATGTTGTCACCATAAAGAGAAGCAATATAGTTAAAACTGGAATTGGATCGTGGTGATAAAGGATCTAAATGCCAACATATACGACCCCCAAAAAAAAATGGCAACATACTATCGTTTGTTGAATTTTAGAGTCTTATCAGATAAAGCTAGTGTTAAATTATTTGACTGAGGAACTAAGGAATTGGTGATATAGGATCTAAATGCCAGCATATACTTTGACCCCCCCCCCAAAAAATGGCAACATGCTATCTTTTATTGAATTTTAGAGGATTATGAGATAAACATAATGTTAAATCATTTGAGTGAGGAACTAAGGAATTGGTGGAACACAATATTTGGCTAGATTGGTTGAGTTTTTTTAATGGTGGAAGAACTCTAAAAATAAAATTTCCCAAAAAATGACTTAGCCTAAATGTCTTTTTGCCACAGAAAACGTTTCAAAGTTAAACATAAGAACACAAGGAAAACTCATACCAATCGGTAAATGTTTTTAAGGTTAGATTAGTTGAGCTTAAGTTGAGAAAGTTACATATAACAACAACTCTTGTCGTATCATCATCATTAGTTCCATCATACTATCATACCATCGGTATCGGAGCAGCCTAAGTGGCGAGAGAGAATGGGTCATGCTGCTCTATGGAAGAACTCGATAGCTTAGCTTCGTTGTATCGATCCATGACAAGGTTGTGAACAGGTTCAAGGTGATTCGAGTAGCCACTCAAAACGTCACGAGTCAAAATGGGGGGAGTGACCTCGTCTTTTGACAAACCGCTTAGGCTGTAAATATACAATTTGACTAGTTAAAGCCAATCCACGATATTAGCAAATGCAGTTTTATCAAAATATTGGATCAAGGAAATAACCATAACGTCTTGTCATCATGGAAAATATCAAAAACCAGATTGCAAATTCTCAATATGACCAATGAACGAAGAAAATCTCCTCCTCGTCTCTTGTTGCCATCACATTATTACAAAAATATATAAACCCGAAATGGGAAAAAAAAAAAAGAACACAAATCAAAACTTTTTTCTCAGGAGAAAGTTAAGTGTAATAAGCTCGTGAGAGAGAAAGATGTGTAGATATAGCTTTGGTATGTTATATTCAGATGCTACTTGAATCCCTGCCAAAGATGAAACGCCTCATCCAATCAGACACCACAAGCACTCTTGTGCGCATGCTCACTTGCTTACTGTTTCCAAACCACCACCAAAAAAATTTAACGTTAGAAAAGCTTTTTTGAAAATGGTGAAAAAAGAAGTAAAAAGCTCTTGCTGTTTTTACCTGGCGTAGACGGAGTACCAGAGCCACTGGCTGCTTTTTCCAATAGAAACCCAATCTCCTGGAAGCTCTGCCGCCGTTTGTTCTCCTCCAAGTGGTGCAAATTGTCCCAAATGCCTATACCTTTAGCACCAAACCGGGTTTTACTAACGTAACAATGCTAACAGATGATATCCTCTACGTCCTATATTTGGTTTGGTTTCGTCAACAAAAGATGAAGATTTTGATTCAGATTTTTGGGAAGCCTAACCTGAAGGGACGGAAACGATGACGACCTTCTCCTCTCATCCTAATGGGGCCTTCTGGGTTCTTCTCACACTCTTCCATACGGTCAAAGCATTTAGCCAGGTAGGTTCCTTGCTGCGCAGCAACCTTATAAAAGCCATAACAACAAATTTGATATAAATCACCCGAGAATCAAGCAAACAAGAATGTGTGTGTGTGTGTTTTATCAAAAGATTAAACTGACTTATTACCTGTGCTGTAGCTGGAAGAAACTTCACTTGTGAGTCAACCTGAGAAAGAGCAGATTTGAATTCTTCAATCTTCAGTTCGATGTTCTTCTTGGAGCCATCATCAGCTTCCGCTTCGGCTTCTTTTAGAAGATCCGCAATGCCACGCATACGTTTACTCTTCAAGTAGAGCTCCACTTGAGGGTATCTAACGCAAATGTCATCCATTGCTTCTTGAAACTCTTTGAGAGTCAGTGTCCCAGACTTGTCTTTGTCTGCTTTGCTGAAAATCGAAGAAACATCCTCCTGCAACACGAAACCATTGATATTTCTGGTTTATAGTCCAAAACAATGAAACATGAGTCTTAGAGTTTAGGAAGAAGGAGAAGATCAAGTTACCATGACTTTGCGCTGGTTAATTGTTGCGCAATCACCAAGGGCGTATATGTTATCACATCCTTCTACACGAAGCCATTCATCAGTGGCCAGAGCACGTCTATTACCCTGCAATTACAAAGACAGTTTCTTAGAGCGAGTTGATGAAACGTGTTTACTGGGATATGTTGAAGAACTGTATGAGTTTATCTAAACACATTACTTTACCTGACCAATCTGTTTCATAAAATCTTTGATCACAGGACGAGTTCCAATACCAGTTGACCAGACAATCATTCCATAAGGAATTGAGGAAACCTCCCCTGCTTTGGTTTTAGCGGATATATCTTTCTCATTCACTTTCGTCACCATGGAGCCAAGTTTCACATCAATACCATCTCTGCTAAACTTTTCCTCGGCAAACTCAGTGATTCTCTTGTCAAACCTGAGAAAGAAAAGGTTCCCATACATAATTATACAAGGTTTTTATGGACTCATGAAACGTAAAAACAAGATTGACAAGAGGCAAGAAATTTCACATAGTTAGGATGTGGTCTGCGGCCTCAAGAAGCGTGATTTTCACCGAGTCCTTGGCTCTAGGATAGAGTTTGACTAGATCCTCAGTAACGAAATCATGGAGCTCAGCGGCAAACTCAACACCTGTTGGCCCACCACCAACAACTACAAAGTGCAGGATTCTCTTCCTCTCTTCATCGCTTAGTTCTGGTAAACTTGCCTTCTCAAAGGAGTCAATTACAGTTTTACGGATTCCTTGAGCATCTTCAACTTCCTACAATCAGACATTGAAACCAATAGAAGCCTCAGAAATTAACATTTACATAAATGATCAGTCATTATATACCAAGTGGAGCAAAAAGAGCTTACTTTCAGAAAATGACAGTTCTCCTCCACTCCGGGTATATTAAAGGTGTTAGACTGAGCTCCAGTAGCAATTACAAGGTAGTCATAGTCAACAGAAAACTCTTTCTTGCCATTCGAATCAAGTCCTTGTTTGGATCGGCAGAAAACTTTCTTGCTTTTTGGATCGATTTTAACACATTCTGCCTCCAGGTAAGATGTATCAACATTTTTCTGCTTGCCAGGACAGTAAACAAGCGTGCATTAGCAATAATCTCAACAAAAGACAATATCAAACTTTGAAAATACAAGAAGCATCATCCTAATAGTCCAATACATACCCATAATCTACTAGTATACATAGTGTTATAGACAATGCAAGTCAGTCTACTCAAGAAAAGCACAATTACCTTTTTTCCAATGTTTCGAATTGGCTCAACAACGCTGCGAGCTTCAACAGTACCACAAGTAACGCTAGGCAGCAAGGGAGTGAAAGCAAAGTAGTTTCGAGGCGATATAATCTGAACCTCATACTGAGAATTGTTCAAATTCTTCAAGAAACTAGTTCCAGCCCAACCGGTTCCGAGCAGCACCACCTTCTTCTTCTTGATTCCAGTTTCAACAACACCATTTGCCGTATACGATGAGTTTGCCTCCGAATAGGCTATGAGTCCACCACCACTGTAACAATTTACAGTACAAATTATCAGTAAAATCAAAGATCTGGAGAAATCCACAACATTGATGCTTCGTAATCGACAAGATCCAGGACATATAAGCACTATAGGACTCTCTAGCATAAACGTGAAAACGAAATTCGCAAATCCAGAGTATGATTGTGGAGATGCGTTCACTGAATCAGATTTGCAACGAATATGAAAAACTATCTTCCTGGAAATAACTGGGAGATTCAGAATGTAGAGAAAAGCAAGTGTTGCGTAAATAGTACAACATAGAGAATCTGTTCAATAGCTTTTTTCTCCCTGGAGAATAAGCATCTGTACTATGTAGAGTTGCTTCAAATGAAAGCTGAAACAAATCGAGAAAGCAAAAAAATCCAAACGAACACGGCGAGAAAACGCAAAAGGATCATACGTGGTATACAGAGTTACGGCTTCTACATACGATGAAGAGCAGATAAAACACACATAAAAGTAGCAGAGAGCTATGAATTGACCTGATCGTGGAGACGACGACAATCCGGGAGAGAGAAGGATAATCCTGCAAAGCTTTTGAGAATCTCTCGAAGAAACTGAAATTCCTCATTTTCGTCTGTTCGATACAATCGCTGAGGAGAAAGATCTGTTCACAGGAAAGTATTCGCTGACGCCAAGAATCCTGGAGAAAATGAAGAAAAAGGAGAGAAAAATGGTTTTTGCTTTTAGAGCGGAAAAAAAAAGAAAGAGATCTACAGGTGACGGTGGAGAAGTAGAATTTGGCGAACGTCTGGTTGACCACGTGGCACTTGGAATAGTCGAGTCCAAATAAATATTAAATGAAAAAGAACATAGAAAAAGAGCCCAACGAGGTTCTGATTGGACGAGAATATTTTCCATTTTTAATTATTTGTTTCCTTTCAAAATCTGAACTTTTTTTTTGCCGTGTGGGTTATGAAATTATAGAAATATTTTAGTTATTTTTTAGTCCAAAAAAAATAAAAAATATTAAGTATACAATGCATACATAAGATAAGAATAAATATGACATTTTGTCAATTGCAGAAATATATTATTAAAAAATGAATGTTATGCACTTTTGATAAAAAAAAGTGGCATTTATTCATTTACATACAACCAGATGTTGGGCAACATGCATGATGGATCTGGAATTAAAAAAAAAAAAAAAAAAAAAAAAAAAAAATCTCAAACAATCTAGGCGTGGTGGCCAAGCCAGGAGTATATTTGTTTTCAATTTATTTTGTGGACAGTTGTCAGTTGACAATATACTCTTTATCTCATATATATAAATCACAACAAATACTGAAATATATGCACTAAACGAGTAATATTTAGATTTTTAATTTAAAAATATAAAAAATCAAGATATCATGGTTTTAAATGAGCTTACAAAATGATTTCATTAAAATCATAATAACTTTTACAACTCACACAAAATCATCTAAAAATAAAATTATCCTAAATGATCTAAAATCCATAGTCCATGTAACCATGTTCGAGATTACACGACACTAATAAGCTATAAGTTAATATTGTAGCTTGAAATCATCATAAATATGATGTCAATTTTTATACTACTATTTAATCTAATTTAATTTAATGAGAGAAGGCAATTCTCGTTTTTCTTTGAAAACAGGTAAAAGAATTGAAATTTTTTTATTTGTTAAAAAAAATCTCACCTTGATTTTATGAATATTATATTTGATATCCCGCAGAATTTTAAGAAATATCGGTTGTATTAGAGAATAGTATACTAAGACACAAAAGTGTTCTGCCCACTAAAAAAGCCCAGCCCACAATAGAAAATGAGTGAATTTGGTGTAGAGCAATAACAGACTCTTTAATCAACAAATCAACAAATCGTTTCTTTGTTAGAAGGAATTGACAAAAGGGTACCTGATATATCAGTAATTTTGATTGGTATTGGATCATGGCGTGTGAGTGGGGAGGAAAAGGTCAGGAGAGAGAATATGTAAAAGTACGTATTTAATGTTGTGTTTATAACTTTATACTAATGAGTTTTACATTTTTTTTTCTCTCTCACGGTCTTCTTATTATTTATCCCTTTTTTACAATATTTTTTTTTATTATTTTCACAATCAACAAATAATCATCTAAGTACATACTCACTCACAAGCACTATTAACCATGTTTGAATTGAATCTAATAGTATCAGTTTCAAATATAACTGCTTCAGAAAATTTATGGATAAAATTGGTGTTACACATATATATATAATAGCAAGTTATTTATATTTATAACACACTATTAAAATAAATAACATGTAAAAGTAAACAAATAATTTGTAGCATGTTATTAAACTAGATAACTTGTTATATACATTTATAACACACTACAATAAAAAAAAAATTATAAAAATGAAACAAAATTTTGTAAGTATGATATTATAAATATTTTAGCATGCTATAAATATATATAACTTGTTATAAGTATGATATAGTAAATATTTTAACATGCTATAAAAACAGATTACTTGGTTTATAACACATTAAAAATATATTTATAAAAAGTCGAAAATTGTATATATAATATAATAATTATAACATGCTACAACATATAACTCGTTATCTTAAATATATATACATATATAAGTTTCTATATTTATACATATCGAGTAATAGCAGGTTATAATAGTGAATATATTTGGGCCCTCTTTTTTTTTTGACAAAATCACTATTCAAAACCGTGTTAATACAATTTTAACACAACACCATAAAGAACTCATTTTAGTTTAGTCAAGTCTCTAGAGTCTAGACTGACAAAAAACCCGACAAACAACCTGGAAAATCTGTTTAGAATGCATATACAGGGAAATTAATCTGCAACATAAATGCAACTACAGTATTATTCTCTTCCTGGGAGTGACCATATCGCGTGGGGTTATAGTGGTCAAGTTTGGTGGTAAAATAATATCTTTGTCTGGACCCCGCAGTGGGCCTTGTTGAAAATTTAAATAGCCTGAACAGTCTTGCCATTCAGTGCAATTGTTCATAGAAAATAAAAGGTATAAGGGATCTTGCTAAACTCTCAGAAACCTAGCCGCTTTCCGCTTTCCTGTTTTCATCTCATCTTCACCATGGGAAAGGAGGGCAAAGGACTGAAGAGATGCTCCACGTCCACCGATGTCGAAGCATCAGATCGTAAGAGCAGGAAGCCTTTGGAGAAAGGTAAGAAATTTGGGTTCTCTTTACTGCTTCTGTGCTTATACAGGCATATTTGCGTCAATATCTTGGTTTATTGATTGAATTTGAACTGCGTTTCTTTTCTTAGCTGAGACAGAGCTGCAGAATTTGGAAACCCAAGTAAATCCGCAAAAACGCAAGAAGAAGTATGAGATCAAGGTCAGAAACTCATATTTGTCATCAATCAACTTACTGTTATAGTATTAATCTTGCTTAGCTGCCTGCGTTGATTTATGAACCTCACTCTAATGAACACTTATCAACAAAGAATGCTTCGAGATTCTGTATTTCATACCACTGTCCCTAAATTCAGTTTTCTTGTAATGGAATGGCAGGAAATGAAAAAATTGAGGAAATCTTTCCAAGAGATGACTGAAACTATGAAAAACCTACAGGAATTTTTCCTGGGAAGGGCTGATCTACCGGGGATTACAATGAAGGTACTGCATATGTTTCTTGTTTAATAATAACTTTTGTTTATTAAGGAATCGGTTGCTGAAAACCATGAAAAAAACTGTAGGAGATGTTAATGAACCACGGCCCGGCTCCTTCATCTTCGTCCAAGATATATATGTTTCTCTTTTTATAAGTTTGTTTATAGGCTGAGAAATGATTCTTTTTACAGCTGATTTAGTTTATTCCTACTTGTGCGTAGCAGGAGGAAGCACCAGAAGAACCCAAAGGGGAAATGGAGGGATCAGCAGAATATGAGTGCTGTTTTGAAACTGAAGATTCAGATGCAAACGTTGACCATGCTGTGTTGGTTGTGGGAATTGATACTTGCCTTGCTAGGGAAGATATCAAGAGCGCTTTGAGGAAACATTTTGAGTCAGGTGGATGTCAAGTCTCACGGATTTTTGTTCCCATAGAGTGTCAAACCGGTGTTCCCTTAGGGTATGTGACTTACTTGTTCATCTTTTCTTTTTTTTTTAGTTTTGCTACCAGTTTTTCCATGGAGTGTTTTTTTTCTCTCTTTTTTTTTTACAGATCTGCTTTCATTCTAGTCGATGATAAGCAAAAGGCCTTGCGTTGCCGTGGTGCTTACATGGGAAAATCTGTGTTTCTTGTTTTGCTGGCTGAAGATCAGGAATTTTCCGTTACCTTCCCTAACTTTCGTGGGTGTCCAAAATGTCCTCTTTTTCGTATGAAGCACCGGCAGAGAAATTGGCTCGCTAGGCGCTAGCCTATTGGTCGCTGCTACTTGTTTATCGACCGTTTTTTATTTTGTTTAGGTTATGTGGAACCTGTACTATTTTGCTGCATGATTTATGTTTGGACTCCGCTGTTTGAATTTATGTTTAAACTTAAAATTTATGATATATTCTCTTCGTACAATATAGCATTAGTAGTAAGTTTAAAAAAACTTTCAATCAAATTAACTCAAAAGCCACACGATGAGGTGGACAGTGAATAAAACGCTGTGTAACCGAAAACATCCCACGTCAAAATTCAACTATTTAATTAAGTTACACACATTCTTTTCTTTGTTAAACACTTTAAGATTTGTTTAGTGTCTGAATGATTTTATGGCAAAACATAAACAAAGATCCAATATTTTCTTTATCAAACACTCTTACCCTAAAACCATAACCAAAAAACTAATTTTTTTTTGCAACAAACTATCAGATCCGTAGTCGAAAACTAGAGAAACTAATGATTTGATAGAAAGTTTCCAATAGCAGCATAGTAGTAGTATACACAATACTAGTTGTCAATTAATAATAGATAGATCCGTAGTCGAAAGGTTCGTTAAATGTGCATTCTTCGTGCTGCACCTAAATCGAAAGACGTAGGATGGAAAACTTCTTACAAAAAAAAGTAGGAAGTACTTGTGATTAGGACACAATGATCATCCAAATCCTCATAAGCCATTGCAACTACATCATCTTCACTAGGGTTCTTGTGTTGCCAGCTCGAAAGAAGATCACCACTGTCAAGTTTGGTCTAAACAAGGAATATATTAATATTAATGATTCAATTCAAATTGAAGAATGAACAATTCACAAAATAATAATACCTCGATGACCAATTAAACTAGATCCTACGCAACAAATAGTTAACAACAAAATCCTAAACTCTTCTCTATATCAAATCTCATTATATTAATCCAAGCAAACACACAATCGAATAGATGACAGCGAGGGAGAAAACTTACATTTCAAATGGCGGACGGCCAGGGAGAATAACAATGGCGTAGATCGGACGGTGGAAAAGCACGACGTGTGAGACCTCACTAAATGGAATTATATTTAGTTGGCATTTGTCTACTTTGTGAATGTTCTACGTTTCAGTGGTCTACTTTTGTGGAGGTAGTTACAATTACTAAGAAGGGGAAGGAAGTGACACTTGGAGAAATCTTAACCTATGACTTGGTAGTAGTAGTACTTGGTAGATTAGTGGAAGACAATGAAGTTGGTGGGTCATAAATCATAATAATCATAAATTAAAGAATAGCTAAGACTCGCAAATCTGATAGCGAGAGCTTTGTTGGGTCTCATTGTTTGTTAGTTGAAGAAGGTTGACCTACTCTTAGACCTAAATCTGAATATCAAGTCTTCTACTATTTATGGTTCGGTTGGTGATCACCGTTTATTTGAAAGATTAAATTAAAATTCCGAACAAAATAATTGATATTTGGATGTGCTAGAGAGTTGTGACAAAAACATTTAGTTATATTTCGAATTTTCCAATTACACATCTTCCAGAAATGCAAAAAATACATTAGCTGGCTTGAATTACACTATATGATCAACACACTTTTTGATTGGCAGCATTGTGTGATTCAGGCTCGAACCACGTAGCTCGGGTTAAAGCCACTTTAGTAGCATTTTTTAACCTGAAAACGAAAGAATTGGATGGTTCTACTTCTATCAAACTTTAAATAAAAAAAATCGAATACGACACTGAGTTGAGAAAAAGAGAGATCATGGTCTATAATCCACATATTTCCAGATAGAAAAACTAGCTGTCGGTGTGTGGTTTGTTTATATATATAAAAGAGTCAGAGAACTTTCGTGAAGAGTACCTTTTTGCTGTTTTTTATAGAATTTGCCTATCTTTTTTTCCTCTTTTTCTCTCTACATCCACATGTGTAGAGCAATGTATTATATAAAAAACAATCCATTTTGAGCTGTGGAGTGAATATGCATATGTGAGGTTTCAATGTCTGCACAATAATTTAATCTGACACGCAACTGATTGATTCATATACTGTATGCAAAATTTTAGATTCATTCAATGTGTTCACTTGCATATAAATTAAAAAAGTAGGATAAAAGTCAAGAAATAGCAGAATTAAACCGAATCTTAATAAAAAATTACTGAAAAGGACAAAACCAATACTTAGGATACCTCTCTGATCACAACCCAAAAGAATTATTCACAAATAATATTTAACCTTACAAAAAGTCTGCAAATAACTGTTATATTCACATGATCAGTAAATATAATAAAACCTTAAGAAAAGCTAGCTTCAATGATAAGAGTTGAAGCAAAAGCAAACTCTTTCTGTCTTGTCCTTTTCTTCATGTGTCTGCACAATTAGTTGCTGATCTCTTTCTTCTGTTAATTTTTTCTTCATTTAAACAAAACCGTAGAGATCTTCGACAAATCTGATTCGCGACTAAGATTTCTCCTCCGAACTGGTGCATTGGGAGGCTCAATTTCACCATCTTGATCACTCAAATTCGAATCTTCCTCTATGACTAAAATTGGGTCTCGGAAAGGCAGAGACTTTCTTGGTGTGCTATAATCAAAATGCGACTTCTTTGCTTCTAATACCTAAATCAATTGAAAAACAAATAAAAAATCATCAAGTTTTGTTTGCTTAATTAGAAAGTTTACAGTTTTCAAATTTGGAACTTACAGCTGATCTAACTGTTTTAGATACACTTTTAAGCCTCGCTAGGTCCTCGTGATCCACATGACAAAGTACTCGAATCTGCGAAATTAGATTAACAAAATCAAAATCAAATCCCTAGAAAATGATAATTAAACCATACTGATCATATTTACAAAAAAAAAAAGAAAATGAGATTTTTTAAATTTCAACTTACCAAAATATCTTGATGCAGAGATTCAAGCAGAGACTTATCGGATTCCGTCGTCTCATTTCTAGGTTTCTTCAACGGAGTAATCTTCACCGGCGGCGAATCAGCTGCCGGAGCTTGATCATCGGAATTCGAAACGGTTTGTTGGCTCGATTTCAAAATGAGAATCCTTTTCCTCCCTAGTCCTCTCGTAAACCTCACAAACCCTAACCCTTCTTCCACGCCGTGAAATTTTTTAAATCCTCTATTTGACAACGCCATTTCTCAGACTTCACACAGATAAAGTGAAACTGAAGCAGATCAAAATCCAAGATAGATTTTAAACAGATTAAATAGAAGTAGAAAATGAATAAATCAAGGATTGTGTAAATCTTCTGAGAGAATCTCAGATTGAAGATATGAAATTAAATTAGATTAGAAATGAAAAAGGAAAAAAATTAAGGAAGAAGAAGAGCTATGTGGATCAGCTTATATAATTTTTATTTTCTCCGCGTTCGAGCGAATAAACTAATTAATATTAGCCACGTGGGGTGTTGTGATTGGTTGTAGTGTAAGTGGTGATCATGGTCGGTCGGTCTTTTTCGGCTGGCGTATAAAGGGGCAGTGTCAGTTTTTCTACACCGCTTCTTTTTACACGGTGTTTAGATTGCGAAACAGGAATCACGTGAGGTCAGGCTCACGGGTTAATCGGTGTGCCTTTTCGATTACCGCGCGACACGTGTTTTGGAAAACGGTGTGTTTTGAGACTTTAGTGAGGAAAAAGGTTGACTTGTGGTCATTGGATTCCACTCAAATTGGAGGCTGACGGCGATCCTCACATTCTCCACGTGTGAATGAGTTTTTGAAGTATAGGAAATTTACGAATATGCCATGCTTTGGGATTACTAATAATAAAAGGTTGTATTAAAAGTGTCATCAAAGTTGGGGATTAGATTCATTCAGCATAGGAAATAAGAGTGCAAGACGTGTGAGAAGTAAGAATTAAAGTGAATTAAATTATGGGTTATTTTTTAAAACTGTAACCATTACGAAAATGTGATGCTTTGCGATTAAGGTTTCTAGCCATAACAAAATTTGGCAAATAAATGTTGTATTGAAACTGTCATAAAAGTTAGGGATTAGATAGTGCTGACACCATAGGAAATAAGTCGTGTAAAGGAAATTGTTGAAATTAAAGGAAATTTGAGTACATCATCAGTTTTTAACAGCAAAATGTGACAGTATGCAGAAGATGTATCATGTACCCCCATAGCCAAAGCTTGGCTTATGAAAAGATGTTTTGTCATTGTAATAAATCACTAAATTAACGAGCACATGAATCATATTCTCTCGAAAGTTTAGGGTCCCACCTAAAGAAAATTGATTCTTTTATCCTTTCTTTTGTCGGTTTCTTGATTACAATTGTAAGAACGTAAGGATTGGTTGATCCGATTCAACAGCAGTCCTCCTCGGGATTGGAATCCTATATAGGGGTTGATTGGCTTTAAAATGGAATTTGCTCGCCAAAATATATTTGCTTAAGTAAAATGGTGTACTGTAAAAAAAAAACTTAACTTAAAACAGGCCAGAGATCAAACTTTTTTTTTTGGGGTCAAACAAACACGAGATCAAATGATTCCTTACTTTTTCTCAGTGGAAATGGGATTAGCTAGTTTGCATTACGTAGACGTTAAAGGTCACTTAGTTAAACACAAACACAATAGACATAGATGGTATTTGTATGGACTTCAAATAACCTATATTATTCATATTATGGCAAATGTAAGCATAGATTAGGTACATATTCTTATTAAATAAACATTATTCACGGTTTCTTGCACTCAGACAAATTCATACATTCTGCTTTGCTATTGTAACAGATCATCCTGTCTTTGTTGCGACAACAAGCACAAGTTTGTTTTGTGTCTTTGTCGTTGCAATTGATTTGATAGCATGCTCGAGCAGCTGCCTTGCTCACTTCAAGACCTTGGCCATTTCGACCTGTATATATATATAAAAAAAAAGTAACAACACATGATTACGTTTTGTAAACAACGAAAATATGGAAGATATATATGATTATGTGAGTGATGATGATAAACGAAGAACAAAAGGGAAAATATTATATTTGCATACATTCATGAAGAGGGCATAAAGAGATCAGGACGATGCAAACTGTGATGTCGACATTGTTTGTTGTGATATATTCTTACGATACGGAAACACGTTTTCTTGTTTGATGGTTGAAATCTCCTACATACGTTTTTATGTAAATATATATTAGTAGTCCATGTCTTGTATGATGATCCATAAAAAACGGTTAGACTTGTTCGAGTAATTTTTTTCGTTTTTCTAAATATAGTGTGGTACTAATAGCATTCATGGTTAACTCCATCTTTTGTGTTAATTTGTTTATATCTAGAAACAATATTTTATCGAGTAACTAACAATATTTTCTTTACATAAACTTTCATATAACTAAAGTGTAAATTTTGTTGTCTTGGGAGTAAAACAAAGACTTGTACACAAAAACAAGAAACCAAACCAAACCTATACATTTTGTGGTTCAATTGCCAGCTTTAGGCAAAGCCGCCATGAAAGAGTTATAAGATGACTCAAGATCAAAGTGAAGCTGCCTTGACTGCTGCTCAGTGAGCTCATCAGCTGCTCCCATCTTCGACAACCTCAAAAGCCACTCTTTCATCTTCGTCTTCCCTTCGAAATCCGCCGGTAAAATACTCAGCTTGCTAAGAGACGCAGAGAGATCAGACAAGAGAGGATAAACCTGATCAACAGCGACCATGTTTAGCTTCAAAGAATCCATCGACGTGATGAAGTTCTGCACACATTCAGCGACGATGGAAGCAGAGCTTGACGTGGACGCCGCGACGGTGGCTCGGTGCTCGACTGTGGCCGGAACACCGGATGTCACGAGGCGGTAGAGAGCGGCCGGACAGTCCATTTTGTAAGTGTCTGTGAATCTCTCGATGTTTGGGACCGTTTCTTTGAGTGTAGCGGAGAGAGTTTTGAAGTGGACGATGAGTTTCTGGCATTCTGATTCGTACTCTGAAGGAGTGATTAGGTCTCTGATGTAAGCTTTCTCTAGCTTCTCTGTGGCTTTGATGATTGCGAAGAGCTCTGAGAAATTCTCGTACATCTCTCTCTCTCGCTTGTCGTTCCATAGTTTGACCTCCATCATCATCTATGGAGAAAATCAAGAAGCTAATTACTTCACTAAGCTTCTTAATTCTTGTTAGGTAAAATCAAAATCGCAGCTTTTCTTCATCCAAGAGATCACAAGTTAAGAACTCTAATGTCTCAAATTCAGTAATATGAGTTTAAGATTTGATCAGAATATATCAAACAAAGAAGGAATTAGAAACAAATAGAGTCTCATATCTAACTTATCAAGAAGCTAAATGTTTCACTGAGCTTCCAAAAATCTCAAATTTCTTCATCCAACAGACCCAAGTTAAAACTCTAAAGCCCCAATCACAGTAAACACTAACTTCAGATTTAGCAGATAACATCAAACCGAAAAAGACAATAGTTGCAAACGTAATCAACTCAGGTAGCTACAGTAACTTCACATCTTACTAAAAGCAATCAAAGCCATAGATTTCTATCTACAGAGCCAAAGACCAGCAAAACAGTGAAGAGGAGGGAGAGAAAGAGATGTTACTTACACGAAGATCTGCAGAGAATTGATTGGCGTGTGTATGTGTGTGGGCAAACTCTAATTCGGTGACGGAATCTTCACGCCGTATGAAGCGATTTAATCAACAAAACCCAGCCTGCGTCAATTTCAAGCAAAACTTAAAACCCCTAAATTCAAGTGAATTAGGAGAAATTACACAATCGTTGATTCCGAAAACTGATTTGTTGCTGCTCTAAACTAAATCATAAACTGGTTCGAAATCATAGCGAAGAAGATTCAAAAAAGAGAGGAAAATCTAATCTGAGAATTTTTTTTGTTTCTTCTTCTTCTGATGAGTCGAGTGAGAAGAAAAATCAGCATTAATGTGAAATAAAATATTGGACCGGTGACTAAACCAAACTGGTTTTTACTTTTAACAGGATTGTGGTCGGACCGGACCGGATCGGTTTTATCAGAAGGATTTGTGATGATTAAAGTTTTTCTTTTTAAATCATTTAGGTTTTTTTGGTCGAATTTGGTGATTACTGCATAATCGACATCCAATTTTATAACATGAACCGGACAAACTATAAGATAATAAGATCATATTTGTCTGTAGTTGGTTCCTACTTATAAAACTAATGTTGGTACTGGCTGGTAGGCTAACTAATTCATTTTATATTGCCATACAATATGATAATAGTAAGAAGTTTGTTAGCAAAACTTATCAAACAATAATCGCTGTAAACGCGTCTAGGTTGTTTTTCAAAGAACATAATCTAATCTGTTTCTTCGTCAACCAAGAAAACATTATATTAGTGGGAGCCATTTGTATATAAAGAAATTTCATTTTTGATTTTAACAAATAACAATGGAATGAGAGACAGTATGAATCTCACCGAACAAGCTTTAGATTAGAATGATTCTTCTTACTAAACTTTTTATGTGGTAGTGGTACACATTAACTCATGTATAAACATGTTTTTCTCCATCGTTTAGTCTCCCTACTTAGCATTATGAACACTGAATGATGTGAAAAGCTACACAAAGAGAGTGACATTATGAACAAGAAAGTGGTAAAACAGTGCTTTTGCGATCATCATCATCAATCATCATCACCTGGGAACGTTACCGAGCAATGTATTTGAAGAAGGTGAGCTCTGTGCACTTAACCAAGGATCTTGAACTGACACCGGTGAGCTATCGTTAACCTCTTCAACGGAAGCGAGTACATTCTCAGCTTGTTTCTGCGGAACGACGAGCTTTCTGCTTCCTGCTAATGATGACTTTTTCACTGATACTGCTCTCTCGCTTCCGTTATCAGATGACCGGAGAGAACCGCCTGGCGAATCCAAGCTCATGTTTGGAATCCAACTGCTGAGCCGCACCTGCTCGAGCTCGTCCGCTACTTCAGTCATCGTCGGTCTCATGTCACTGTGGAAGGCTAAGCATCGGAAGGCGAGCTCAGCGACGGTGTGTATAGACGAGAGAGTCCACGCGTCAACGTTCAGGTCAAGAACCGGGTCTATAATCTCATCGATACAACCAGACGCGATCTTGTCAACCGCGAGAGCTGCTAGGTTGATCTCAGTATGCGGCCGAGTGAAGTCAACAACTTTCAATCCCGTTATGATCTCAGCAAGAACGACTCCGAAGCTGTAGACGTCGCTCTTATCAGAAAGGTGGAAGCACTGATGATACTGCGGGTCGAGATAACCGGGAGTGCCTTGAGGAGCCGTTGAGATGTGAGAGATCTCCGTCATCCCTAGCCTGGAGAGTCCGAAATCAGCAACTTTGGAGTTGAACTCGTAGTCGAGAAGGATGTTGCTGGACTTGATGTCGCGGTGGTAGATCGGAGGGTTCATTGCAGAGTGGAGATACGAGATTGCTTTAGCTGTTTGAGTTGCAACAGTGAGACGCACGGTCCATGAAAGACCGCTCCCTCTCTCTCTCTGTAGATGCTCCGAGAGAGTTCCGTTTGGCATGAACTCGTAGACGAGAACCGGATCGCCTTGCTCTATACAGCAACCTAAGAGACGGACGAGATTCGGGTGACTCACGGAGGAAAGCAGCTTGATTTCGTTCATAACTTGGTCTAAACTCTCTGAGTCTCTGTGTCTCAGTCTTTTGATAGCAACCCATTCGTCGTTCTGGAGCTTCCCTGCGTAGACCGTACCATACGCGCCTGTTCCTAGCCTCTGCTTCTCGGAGAAACCGTTAGTCGCTTTCTCCACGTCCTTGTAAGGGAAGAACGCCACGCTTGAGTTCCCTGCAGCTTCAGATAAAAGACGCTTTGCGCTTAAATGTCTTCTCAAAGAAGAAGTAGTCCGCTTCCTCTTACAAACCAACAGAAGAGCCAATCCAGCTAGCAAAAACGTTCCACCAACAGTTCCTATGTAGCAGCAAATGAATCAGCAAAGTCAAAGATCCGTAAATGTGAACAAAGAGCAAAACTTTAATAACAATAAAGCGAAACTTACCTCCTACAATAATAGCAAGATTAGTCCTACAATGTCCCCTCACGAGCCGAGAACCATGACAGTCCGGTAACGCTGCAAAGAGTAAAGAGCAATCCAGTCAACAAAACAAAAGCTTTGCCAATTTCCAAAACATTCAAAGAACACAAATTTCCAGTATTACTATATTCAATATGACAGGCTAAAACCATTCCATCCTCATCTTTTGATTGACTAACCTTTCCGGCAAGGATTGATGAATCCGTCTCCGTGGTAACCTTCGGGACATGAGCACCGGTAACCAGCAATTCCATCAGGAGTGTCAACATCTTTACACTCAGCTTTTGCGGCGCAAGTTGTGTTTCTGCAACTTCCCTTTAGCCACCAACCTAACCTAACACGCTCAAACTCTACAGCTATTCCCGCACTCGCTACAGGCTCGAAAGTTATCGAGGAGAACAAGATCTTGCACGAGCTGTTCCTCAAATCATCCATCCTGAAATACTTGCCCGAGTTCTTAGAGCTCGGATTCGAATCCGTGGAGAAACAGCTCACGTTTCCTTTAGAATCACAGCTTTGAAGATTCAGCTGAGTCTCCAAGAACTTCTGCTTGATCGAGCAGCCGTCGGTTGGACGAGTGCATTTCTCCATTAGGAAACTGTTCTCCGACGTCGGTGCATAGTGCTCGCTGAAAAGCTGATTCACAGCTTCAATCCTCCGGTTACAATCGTGTGGGACGCCGACGAGTATGTGGCTCTCGGTCACGTTGTGGACGGGAAAGCTTCCGATCATCATCGTCGTCGCCGCTCCTCCTCCGTCTGTCTCAGAGCAATGGAATTTGATCGGACAACCGTTTGAGAACCCGAAAGGATAAGGCAGAATCAATCGACCGCATGTTCCGGTACAAAGTTCGGTGGAATTAGACGGAAGAGAAGAGACTCTGTAAATGGATCCTCCGATTACGATTATGACCAAAATCAAATTCAGCTTATAAGAAGTCATCATCTTCTTCGTGGAAACTCAGGAAAAACTTCTGGAATCATGAATCAGCAATCCTGGAAAATGGAAATATCTAAAGCGATCAAACAAAGAAGCTTATTGATACAGTAGGATTACAATAACTTGCTTGAAGCAATGAAAATCCCAGATTTCTTCATCCAACAGACCCAATCCAAAATACTAAATCAATGACCAGAGTTAAAGACCAGAAAAGCAAAGAAGAGGAGAGGAAAAAAAAGAGAGAGAGAAGGAGCTGTTACTTACACGAAGATGATTGCGTGTTTTCGGCGATGAACAAGACAGGTCAACGAAGCAACATGCGTCAACTTAGTAAAAGCTTTAAACCCTAAATTCAAGTGATTTTTAGGGGAAATTACAGAATCGTTTGATTCCGAGAACCCTAAATCATAAACTGATTCGAAATCATAGCGAAGAAGAGAGGAAACTTTAATCTGAGAATTTAAACGGAGAAAGAATTTTTCTTCTGATTAGAAGGAGAAGTTGAATGAGAAAGAGGAGAGATAGGTGACGAAGAGGAAAAACTCTAGAAAAAAATCACCATTAATTTAAAATAAAATAATGGACCGTTGACTAATTGTCAAACTGTTTTTTTTTATTTAACGAGCAGGTTTGTGGTCGGACCGGTTTTACAAGAGGATCACGTTGGGCCTTTAATTTGGTAATTGGTATGGTTGGAAAAAAACATCATTCATTTCGTTTGCTACCATTTTGAACGTAATAAGAACGAATTTTTTATGTTGGTTATAGATGAAGAATTCAAAAATAGTTTCTTAAAATATTACTTGAGTTCTAATATGATTGTAGACTGAGATACATAACCGGTAACTACTTTAGACATGTGATAAAGTAAAACAAATATTAATGTAGTAGTGTATGGATTTGTTCCCAAAGATTTACATAATCAAAATCTAAAAGACATGCACACATGATCACATCTAACTTTATACGATACAATAAGACCAAGTTTGTTTAATTGTTATTTTTCATCGCTCCGGCGACGGAAGAGGTTGTAACGTTTTAGAGATTCCAACCTTTGCAGTTTCATTTCATTGTTGAATTTTCTAATGAAAGCTTCGACTCGTGAATTGAGCTCATCTTTTCCCATCGATAACTCTTTTTTCAGCTTCACCCACGTCGGAATTCTCTCCATCAACTTCGTTCCCGGTTGTGCCGGCGACGGTTGTGGGATCGGAGGCCTCCTCGCTCGCGACGGCAAGGGAGACGACGATGTAGACATTCTTGAGTCGTTTCTGTGAATGCCGTGGCCTTGCCACGTCTTAGGTATCGTTGGTTGTTTTTCGGCTTTGACCCTCTTCCACATCTCTTCCATGGTTTCGTTCTCATCACCTGATGTGTCATCTGATATCATAATTTGTAGTTAATTGAAAACATGCATGGTGTTCAGTACAAGTTGTGTATAATGTTTATATTATTCGTTAAGATATATAATTTTCAGTCACAGAAAAACAAAAATTATATACAAATTTAGCTAGTTTTGTAAAATTATAAGTTAACAAATGTTACTTTTAAATGAATCTATACTTTTTCCAACGAAATTCGTGATAACATGAAACATAATAATAATATCACAATAATGTCTGTATTAATAGTCCAAAATTCTAGATATATTGTTTTTTTTTTTTTTTTTTGTAAATCTATAAAGGAAATTTTCAGAATATACATAAACATATCTTCACCTTTCGCGAATTTTTAGTTTGGATTGGATTATGTTTAAGCATATATGATTTTCAAAGTGATCGGATTAGTAAATAAGACTATAGAGATGAGACTGACGTTGTTATATTTAAAGGTTCCACGTTACTAACTACAAGTCTAACATACCTTGTGGAAAAGTCTTTAAAGGAGCAGTAGGTTGATGTCGCAGTCCGGCAGCCTTATCCGGCGCCGTTGACGGAAAATGAACCCCCGGAGAAGAATCCGGTCGATGAACACCATAAGATCCTCCACTCTCTGACTTCACCGGAAACTTGTCATCCTCGTGAACTTTATAATTGTGTTGATCAAAGGAAGAATCGGATGAGTTATTTGACGAGCGTTCGTGGTCATGGTTATGGTTGTCATGATGATGATGATCATATTCATAATGATTATCATCATCTTCATGGTGGTGTTCCGTGTCCGGAGTGTCAGGTCCATGGCCGAAGAGAGAAGCGGAGGAGGCAAGAGCAAAGATGATTACGTTGATGATGATGAACAGAGGGTTTAAAGTAGGGAGTGAGAAGTGAGATCCGGTGACGGAGAAGTTCAACGCAGATCGGAGCATGAGTGAAATAGCTCCGACCAAACCCGAAGAGATGATCCATACCCTCGATGTTAACATTATTTTGTCTTTAATTTGTCCTCTCTCTTAGCCTCTATTTCTTTATATATAGAAAGGCCTACTCGTCCCGGTTAAAGGTGATGAGTGAGAAAAATTATAAATCTCTTTGAGTAATTGGAACCCGAATGTTATAGAATTGCATGAAAATTGGATTTAGGTATGGAAATTCTAAAGATGGCTTGAAAACATATATTATATGGATTTAATATATGTATAACTCATGCATGTCGACATTAATGGATCGTTTTGACAAGGTCAATATGTTTGTATAAGTCTAGCTTACCTCTATCGAAAAGATCTTAATCTTATTTTAGGATTCTTTATTGGAAACTATGAGATAAGGCTGAGAAGTATTTTATTAGCGATGACTGAGAATTATTACTAATTTATAATTCTTGATGTCTTATTATAGCGTTGTACACTAAGTCTCAAACTATTGAAAATTTCTACCGTAAAATTTTAAGAACTATTTGAAGTTCATCGAAGATTGATAGAATACTATATGTAGTTTTGAATATAAAAAGAGACTAGTTAAATATCTTGTTCCATTTTTCCACTGTTATACATGTTTAATATACGAGGAAAGTAAAGTTGGATGGGGACCTAAAGATTTTTGCTATCATGCAAGTATGCAACTAACTAAAGAATATATAAACGAGCTCGGTCAATATTATGGCCTTTGAGAAACTTAATTTTGGAATATATAAAAGCCAAAGGGCCAATGAGAATTTCACCATGCTTTCAGGTATATATCCAGTATTCTAGTGTGTGTATAGATATATAACATGTATATCAGTACTTGCATCATGCGTGCCTTAGTGTATACGCATGTGAAGTCAGGTAAATATACATTATTTATACTCCTGACGTTGCATGGCATTACTGTATAACAATTTCTACTCATACGTGATGATGCATAATGTATAGTACAATCACGCATACGTTATACACAGAAAACAACTACTGAAAAGTGAAAAATCCAAGTGTATAATCCTTTGAATTAGAGGATGATCTAATTAAAATTTTACCATCCGACTATTTTGTAGGGTGACTATTATCCCCGAGTAGCTTATTCACCTGATTTTCTAATGGATTTAAAGCATGATAACATCTCGATTAGCCAAATAGGGGAGTGATTTGCTAATTCCATGTTTGAACAAAAAATAGTGAGTTTAACAACCGACTAATCTTGTAGGGTGGTCGCTGAATAGTCATTTAACCAGATCTTTCGATGGGTTTAAAACATGAAATCATTTGGACTAACCAAATTAAATAAGATTGGTTTGAAAATTCAGCGCTTGAAAAGAATAAATCATTGACCTGAATTTAGAGACAAGTTTTCAACAAATGAAAACCACTGGTAGTACTACCACTTGGTTTAAGCTTAATCATTCTTATTTTTCTACAGCTATGGTCTCGATCGTAAGACGAACGTCAAATACAATTCCAAAATTTAATACTACTTTTATTTTTAGTTCGCAATGGATATTTCGATATTCGGCTAAAATTCTACTCTATGCATATATCATGAACGCATGATACATGAGTTATTTGGATCATCAAATACGATGTGTGTGCGTTCTGTTTCCACAATTGACAGAAAATTTATTTAATGATATGATTAAAATATGTGGTTTAGCGTGGAAAATTCGTATCAATACAGCTAATTCAAAAAATAAATCAATTGATGTGATGAAGTTTCGAGGGTTCTTACCTATAGATTGGATTTGCGTCATCTAAAGATCTCAGTCGGTCGCAAACACATCATTACGAGTCATTACAGCAACATCATCCATCAATTCAAGTGTCGGATACGAGTCATATGACATTGACCAGTCAAATCCCAAGTCGAGTGACAAAAGAATTTGCATTGGTATATAACTTGAATCTTGACTTATAAATAGTATTCTATGATGGATACATATTTATGTAGCCTAATATTTTGGCTGACCATGGTCGACGTGAGCATTAGGTAGGGTTTATGACCCAATTCACACACTTGAATCGGTTGCTTCTTACTCAAGGAACTGACGAATGTCCTTCGACGATCCTCTGATTCATTTATTCTAATATTTCTTCAGCTTCCTGAGTTGATTTGATAGCTGGACTTACCAAATCTACTTTTAGGACTCTGAAGCTTTTCGATAAAATCTTAGTATACCTAAGAATAACAGCTAACATCGGCAAATGCTCGGGTTTTTTTTTGGTCCTACAAATGCCATTTTTAAACCTTATCTACTCTCTTTGCTTCTGCAATTTTTAGCATGACCTTCAGGAGAAATCTTAAGTGTTTTAATAGAATTTAACACTTGACTATAATAGTTAATGATATCTATAATTTGAAACTTGTCTAAAAATAACCAAAAGAGTTAGAGATAGAGAGAGATTGAGATTGAAGATCTCTCCTCGGGATTCAATCTTTCTAATGATTTTAGAGTGGGGTTTTCTCTGCTCAAAAAAAGTTATTTCTTGACACGCCTTTTGTTTAACAAAATTACCTGGAAAAAAGATTCATTAAGAAAGAGAATTTCGATCTCTTTCTTATGGATTCTCCTGATTAGATAGATACCTTTTTTGTTGGTTGAGAAATCGATTTTTCGACTTCAAAACTCACGATGTCGAGTAGGATGCTTTGCGGCTTCACGCCAATAACCTTTTGTCGCAAGCTCTCAAGAATACAGGTTCTTTGTCTTTTACATTTTCAGGCCTCAATTGTTTGTTAGTGTCTGTGTTTGAATTGGTTTTTACATAATGTTTGTATATTTTACTATGTGAAACAATAATATTAGCATCTTGTTTGTTAACTGTAAACGCAAAGACCAAATGCAAACAAAAGGTGCTCTTAAAACTGAAAACGTTTTATACTCTTTAAGAAATTTGAATTTAGAAACCGAAACCATTTTCTTACATGCAAACGCAAACCTTTAAATTAGGGTTTTAAAGAAACCTAACCCTAGTTTTTAATTTTCCAACTTTTGCTTTTTAAGAACAAGATTTTTGAAATTTCAAAGGCTTTAATTTCTTGACGTGATTTGTAGGTCGCGAGAGGGCTTGCTCTTAAGAAGATTATCAGAGGCAAACACGACTTCAGACGCTCAGCAACATCAAAGATCAAAGTCGAAAAAAAGAAAAACAAAGAGATCAAACGAACCGTTTCACATGTATCTTCTGTTGCAGAAGCTTCTCCAAAGAGCTTCAAATCTGCAAAACAAGGTGTTACACCCATCGCAGTGTCTCCTTTGTCTGTAAAAGGCGAAAAGAGGAAAGTGAATTCACCAAGAAACCAGAACTCGGAAACTTCTTCGCCAAAATGTACAGCAAATTTCATTTTGATGGTGGAATTGCGGAAGAACATCTTCGCTTTCAGAGATATGATTGATTTGCCTTCTCTAGATGGTTCTCTTTCTGTCACCGAGGTGAGCCTGAAACCAAAATATATAAGTTGTTAAAAAGTGTTTTTTGACTAGAGATTGTAATAAAACCTAACAGATCATATTTTTTTATAGATTATAGTGCATACAATGAAGGATCTACAAAAGCTTTCTCCAGAGATTGTAACAATTAATAAATCTTTTGAAATGGAAGGAGCTGAGATGGATAAGGTACACAGTGAATCAAAACAGTCTTTTTGAGTTACATAATAAACATTAATACAAAAAAAAAAAAAAAACATTTGTTTTCTTGATGAGTCTTGTTGATCTGATTGATGAATCCCAGAAATGCCCCAAAAACAGATGTTGATTTTCTTCTACGAAGATCTCAGAGCTATTGGAGATTCTTGGATTATGGACAGTGACTGGATTTATCGATCTAAGTACAAGGACAGTGGTGTCGGTAAAAACAAGTCAGATCGTCTCGGTTTGTTCACTAAAACACTTTCTTGATTTCTTAACATTTACGCCAAGAAAAGAAAAACACTTTCTTGTATTTGTTTATTCAAGAAAAAAAACACTTTCTTGAATTATTGCAGTGGAGCATGTATTAACAGCTCTTGATGGACTAATAAAGATGACAAGAGAAAGATTCGGTATGATGGATAATGAATCTGATGGAAGAAAGAGTTTTACAGCGAAAGGTGTTCCATCAGAAGCAAGAAGAAGCTTTACAAGATCTGTGTCTTATTCAGAAAGTAACTACAACTCTTTTTATCCATCTCCGTTAACACCGAGATCGGTTCTTAACGGGACGACGATGATGAATAGTAACTCAACAACTCCGAGTCTTTGGAACTTGAGAGCTCAAGCTTTGGATAAGTTAAGCCCCGTTGACTTAAAGCGCCTTGCTATGACGATCTTGTCGCGTAGAGATTCAGAGAGTGTTGTTGATATTGATCTTAAGAGTGGTATCGAAGAAGAAAATGAGAATTTAGCAGAGAAGGATGAAGAAGGTAATGATTCCTCTGTTTCAGAAACAGAGGAAACAGAACATAAAATTGAAACAGAGGATCATAGCAAAGGTTCTGAAACAGAGCACGCGATTGAAACAGAGGATCATAGCAAAGTTTGTGAAGCAGAACATCAATTTAGTGATTATGAAACAGAGCATCATCATGTCGAAGTTTCTCAAACAGAGGATCATAACAGCGAAACCAACACTTCAGAGAATAGCACAACAGAATCTTTTGAAGAAGAAATCTCAGTAACTCCAGTGGCTCCACCTTCTCCACCGCCACCGCCACCATCGCCGTCACCAGAGCTCTCATTTTTCAACACGAATCCTACTCCTCTCTCACAACCTCCTCCGCCACCTCCATCATCACCACAGCCGGAGAGAAACACTCTGGCTCCTCCGCCGCCGCCGCCACCTTCAAAAACACATGAATGTGGAGATTTTTGTCAGCTTCCGAAAACACAATCTAGAAACGGCGATGGTGGCTCGTCCATGCCGGCTCCTCCGGCACCACCCGGTAGTGGAAGATCCTTGCGTAAAGCAAGTAGCAAGCTGAGAAGATCGGCACAGATTGCTAATCTCTATTGGGCTCTCAAAGGAAAGCTTGAAGGCCGTGGCGTAGAAGGTAAAGCAGGAAAAGGAAGTAAAGGGCAAAAGAATGTTCCAGATAAGTCTCCTGTTAAAGGTGCAAGATCAGGAATGGCTGATGCACTTGCAGAGATGACAAAAAGGTAATGACTTGCGTCACAAGTCATATCTATATTTATATGCCAACTCTTTAACTTGGTAAAAGACTTGCGTCACAAGTCATTACTATATATGTCTTGAGTTTTAACTTCATTTGTGTGTCACAGGTCAAGTTATTTCCAGCAGATCGAAGAAGATGTTCAGAAATACGCGAAATCAATCCAAGAATTGAAATCTTCAATACAAAGTTTCCAGACAAAAGACATGAAAGAATTGCTCGAGTTTCATAGCAAAGTAGAATCTGTTCTTGAGAAACTAACTGATGAAACTCAAGTACTTTATCTCCATCTCAATCAATTGACTCGTGGTTGCTTGAGATCTTTGTGTATGTATATAAAGAAGCTTTCTTTTGATTCTTTAGGTTCTTGCGAGGTTTGAAGGTTTCCCAGAGAAGAAGCTAGAAGCCATAAGAACAGCTGGTGCCTTGTACAAGAAGTTAGATGGGATTCTGATTGAGCTCAAGAACTGGAAAATTGAGCCTCCGTTGAATGATCTCCTCGACAAGATAGAGCGTTACTTCAACAAATTTAAAGGAGAAATCGAAACGGTGGAGCGAACAAAAGATGAAGAAGCTAGAATGTTTAAGAGACACAACATTAACATTGATTTCGAAGTTCTTGATAAAGTCAAAGAAACTATGGTTGATGTTTCATCAAACTGCATGGAGTTAGCACTAAAGGTACATATACACATACATACAAATCTAGAATTTGATTCTTGACAATGAAACTGACTAGATCTCTGTGTTTTCTAGGAGAGGAGAGAAGCGAACGAGGAAGAGAAGCACAGTGAAGAAAGCAAGATGAATAACATGAAGGCAGAGAGATCTAAAAGGCTATGGAGGGCTTTTCAATTTGCTTTCAAGGTTTACACATTTGCAGGAGGACACGACGAACGAGCAGATCATCTAACAAGACAACTCGCACACGAGATTCAGACAGATCCTGACCAAACCGATTCATCAGTCATGTCCTAGAGCCACCAAAAAAAAAGCTGAAACCAAGAAGAAACTGATGCTTGAAGATGATTGCAATATAACATTTTTGTGAGTCTCTAGTCTAGAATACCGGCGACGGTTAAAATCTCCTCTCGTCTCTGATCCGAGGAAATTATGGGTTTAATGGCATAAAAACTTCTTGTTATCCAGATAAGTACTGTAAAAAATAATTACATGACATAGGAGACGATCAAGCAAAGAACTTAAGAAAAAGTCAACGCAGATGCCAATAGAAAGATAGGCTTCAAAAGAATCCGTCAAAGTCAACGACATATTCTTTTTCAGAAGCATAATCTTCCATGATCGTCTCGTTATCTCTATGATCTTCTCTTTCTGCATCTTTCTCGATCATATCTACGTCTTCTTCTTCTAGAGGTTCTTGAAAGAAGAAGGCTAATCTCTTCACTTTCCTTTCATCTTCTGTCTCCACAGTCGAATCTGTCAACATATCAACAAATCATTGTGATTATTAGATCTATAGGAGTCAAAACTAATATGATAATACTGAAATGAAGACAAAACACTAATGTTTAATTGATGGTACGTAATAGGACAACTTACTAATCTTTCTCTTTCCTAAAGAAGTTGCTTCATCTTCTTCGGATATCTCTTCTTTGATTACTTCCATGAGAGAAGAGCTTGAGAGATCATAGAAAAGATTAAAGTTGTTGTCTTTGGGCATTTGGAGATGAACAGAACTCATAACACATAAATAAACAAAACGCTAGTGGATTTCACCAATAACGAACTTTGGTAATGTATATAATAGACATAGACATTTGTTTGAATTGACTTTTAAATTACTTGAATATGGGAGGTTTATTATTGGTTCGTGTACAAATCCATATTGTTATTATTATTTTATTTTTTTTGTATAAGGATAAAAATCCTGTGTTACTTGATTATTGATTTGCAAATCCTCACATTCAATTTCTACAAAACTTTCCTATTGTGAATTTCCCCCTCTAATTTACAATGCTTTGTAATCAAAAGAGATTCCGGTAAGATTATCCTCTTATTAGTAGTAATCAATAAAGTTGATTCAAAACATGACAAAAACGATTTGAGAATCTTATTAAGAAAAAAAGTGAAAGACATGGAAAGGTTTTACACAATCAAACTATGTGCATTAGAGCAAAAAGTTAAGTGAACTTCACACTTAACAAAAGCATGAGCCAAATGAAATCTGTACAAGACCAACAAAAATGGTGCATACCGTCATTTTCAAGCTCCCAACATGATAATCTCACAACAAATCAAGAACCCTGCAATATGACAGATTCATCTCTTTAATTTTTCTGGTATTGAGATATAATCGCCAAAAAGCAAATGAAGATAGATGCATACCTATGTTTACAAACACACCAACCAAAGTCACCTAATCAACTTCAAAATGCAACCACCGCAGGGAAAAACTGGGACACACGTTCAGTGCCACATACGGTGGAGGATATCAAAGACCCAAAAGACCAAGCTGCTGCGGATACAAATAAGATCTTGCTCAGGACCATTCTAAGAACAGTTAGATCTTCAACAAATCTAAGAACCCTGCAAATATGATGAAACCAGTCTTATTAATGGATGTTCCTTAAGAGTAATCAGTAACATATAACAAAGATTTGAATCATTACCCAATATTTGCTTCAAGCGGATTTCTTGCCAGCGAGAATGATTGAAATCTGTAAACCTCTGCTAAAGGCTTCGTTGAACAAGATCCGAGTTTGCATATTCTGAAAACCAGGCAACCACGAAAGCAACGCAACCGGAGTCATAACTATCAACCCAAAGCACAAGTCGTAAAGCCGAGCCACAGAGATCACAGTGTCCCAAACCACCGTCGATATCAGAAACGGTCTCAGTACTTGAGCTATGGAAATCAATCCCCAGCCTGTAGGTATAAACGCCAAGAGACTTATCAACAGATCAAGAACCGTGAGTTTGGTGAACTGCAGCATCACCACCACCACAAGAACCGTGATCAATATCACTAGGAACTGGATGAATCTGTATTTGATATGCTCCTTGATAGAATATCTTTTCTGAGCATAGATTGTTGTGATGTATATCGCAGCGATACCGATCAAGCATCCCCAAGAGATCAAGTATACACCAATGCTGGTCCCGTTATCTGCAATTTTAAGATGGTACACAATGCTATACTGGAAAAAGAAGAACCGGAGATCAAGTATAATCTCAAGAAGTTTCCCCCAGACTCCGGTTGTTCTCAGGTGAGCCTGTTCCTCGTTCCACCACGTAAACCAGCTCTGATCTGCTTTCGTAAACAATCCTCCTCTGGACCATAACCAATTCATAAAATCGTCGAAATCATACACTGTCTTCAGCCAGTCGAAACCAGACGGGTTAAACAAGAATGGAGAGATAATCCAAGATGTAACAAGGAACCAGCTCGAAATCGTCATTAGTATGTAAACCAGAGAGCTCTTAGCCAATGGACTATAAGCTGCGTATACCAGCAAGATGATAGCAAGCTCGATAGCCTTGATAAAATGAGTCCGAGCATATAATCTATAGTTCTCAGCAAACTTCTTATGCTCCACCACAAATCCTCTTCCAGTGGCACGATACTTGGCTCCACCATGGAGTATAGTCCGACCGAAGTAATGCGTTCGAGTCCCCAGGGAAAACGTGTAGAAAAACGATGCAAGTTGCAGCTGCATTGTGATGAAGTCCCAAACTGCAGGAAGAAACCCACGCTCCAGCGTGTTTTCAAGAATCATTGGGAGTGCCGTGAAAAGCCCTAGCTGGATAATAAACTGCTGATTCAAGATTGCAGCAAGAGCTTCATTGCTGTTACTCCTATCTTTCGCTATTTTCTCAACACCGCTAAGTGCTAGATAGAGCCGACCCCACAAGAAAGCATAAACAGTGAACACTATCAACATTGTGTTGAAGTAGTAGCCAACTGTCGTGTAGAAGAAAGAGAGCATTCTGAAAAAATCCAGCCTGTGACCCAACCTGTAAACGTCTCTGCTCAATGCTTGCTCGCCATTACCACTGGCTACTTTGGCTTCAAACATGGATATCTGATTCAAACCCACATCTCTTCCTTTTCCTACCTGAATGTATTCGTGGTGAGTCACGTTCCCACCTCTTAAAGTGCAGTTGAATCCAGCGAATATATCCTCACTGATGTTTATAACTCTTGAGGCCTTGCTTATTCCTCCCCGAGGGACGAACCAAAACCGATCAAACACATCCGGATGACCATAATGCATCCTCACTTTCAGCGGGTTGGCAAGAACTCGCTGCCCTAAGGTCACAAAACTTGTTTCTTGAGAAGACATGAACCAGGCGAGTGAAGACACGGAACCAGTGAAAACTTTCTCACGGACTCCAAGAATAGTAGGCTTCCTAATCCCATAGTTACTCTTGAAAGATTCCAACAAATTCCTCATCTTAAGTGCCTCCTCAAAATGGTTATCTTGATTCATATCAATGGTCTGAATCGCATCACCTCGTGTAAATATTATAGCATGGTTTTGGTTCTCCGGTTTCCCCTCGCCAAGCTTCAATGGCCCTGGCAGTCTAATTCTATAGATCTCCACCTCTCTCTGAAGCTGTTGATCAAATTTCACAAGAACCGAGTAGTACTCGGTCTCACTTCCCAAGATAACCTCATCAACATATGCAATACGAAGGGCCTCATGCTTCTTCATCAGGAACAGAATCTCCTCAGCTCTATGGTCTCCTTTGGCTCTATGCTGTCCATAAACTTGGCATGCCACAACATACGTGAATTTCATCATAGCACTCCCATACTCAGAGCCTTTAAGCAAATGGCTTATACCACTAGCCATTCTGCTAATTTCCTGAGAAGGTGTTGGTTGCAGTATGTTATCCCCACCATCAGTTGTGTAGTAAGAACGCTGCTGCTCAGGAGCAATCTGAGTTCCCATCCTGATGTCCATTTCAGAAGCAGAATCAAGAAAGGCAAGCTTCTTCAAGGCACTATAATAATACATCATCCCTCTCACTGTTCTAGACAACGTCTGTCCTCTATATGAAGCCCAGAGGCGAAGATCCCTAACCTTCTTTGACCAAATTTCATTCTCATTCTCCACTCCCTCTCTACGCATCCGCTCCACAAAATTCACCCATTCATCTTCATATATCTTTTGAAGGTAGAACAGGGTGGAGATTCCATCCTCATTCTCAGCTCGGAGCATTTCTTGTCGATACATCACTTCCTCATCATAGTAAGGAGTCAACACACTGAAAGCCAACATTTTCTCTACACTGGGAGCCTGAGGCATGTTCATAAAGAGAGAGTTGCTGAAGAAAGCAAGACGCTCTCTGGCCTCAAGATTCTTTGGCACATTGTGCATCGGATCTCTAGAAGTAAGAATTGTATGGACCCGCCTTATCTGCCTATAAAAGAAAATATCAGTCACAGGAGGGAGATTAATGGCATTGACAAACAGCAGTTCCGTATCTGCCTCCAAACTAACGGGCGCCAAGCCAAGCTGCCTCAACTGCGGAGTGCTCCTCCTGATTCTTGGAAGTTCCCATGCGCAGAGTTGATACAGAGCTTGCAGAATATTCACAATCCGGAACACTTTCTTCTCTGGCTCCATCAGACGCTCAAGAAGTGATATTAGCCTGTCATGAACACGGAGCAGCACTGTCAGCTTATATACGTCAGTCACCTTTCCAGTTTCCACGTTTTCATCAATCTCCGTGAACAGCTTGTTCAGTATGGACTCTTCCTCCGTGCCATTTTTAACAATTTTCAAAACCACAAATTTGATGCTATCAAAAGCTTCCATCACAGCACAACGCCTGTACTCACTACTACAGATTTTCGACCAAAGCCAGCGATCAGGAGCATCACAGAGCTCGTTCGCCTGGCTTAGCGCAAGTAGGAGCTCATTGCAAAGAAGGAAACACGGCCAACGAATAACCTGAATATTCCAGCAGTTAGGCGGCAACTCAAGCAGCTCAACCTCCCTGTCACTGATAAGGTCTTCCTCCCTAAACGTGAGTATGATCTCATTCCATAACAGCGCAAACCAAGTTGCTTCCACTTGATTAGATTCGATCTTGTTGAAAGGCTGACCAATCCCATACCGCAACTTCAGCCGGTGAATAGCGTCACGAACCTTCTTAAGCACCGTTGCTTTAGGGCTCAGAAGAGTCTCTTCAGGTTTCAGGTTGAACTGCATAGCACTTGAGAAGAACTGAAACCTGAGTCTCAGCTGCTCAATGTTCCGGATCTCCCCCAAGTGTGAAAACAGACCAATCGTTGCACCTACAAGGGACGAATATATCGAGTACCAAATCTGCAAATCCATCAGGTAAACCAATAGAACAGGGAGCCAGAGCATCCCCACCGCTATTCTATGAGTACTACCAAAAAACTCGTGCCAATTATACGTCGCATTCTCTAGGTTCAGTAGTGCCCTAGTCGGAGGAATCAGAGGCTTGATTTGCAAGTAGTAACTGAATATGAATTTCGTAGCCAATACAACGATCCAAAAGATTGAGTACTTAATATTGTCCATCAAGCCTTCCCTCATCCCACGGCCAACAAAAGTCTTGCTGTAGAACCACCAAGTCAGTAAGTACACAAATCCAAAATTCAGCTCCTCCACCCAGTTCCTTATCCAGGGAACAATAAACAGCACAAGAGCCAGCAGCTCAGGCGTCACATAGACGAAAACTACCTTGAGAAACACGACAATCCTCTCGTCTGCAGCTCGAGACCAACGACCATCCGCGTTTTTCTGCCTCCAGATCCTTGCGTAGAAGACCGAAAACAAAACCGTCCATGCCACAGCCACAAAGAACTTCAGAATCAGTCTCACGAAAAGCCAGAACGTTTCTCTGCTCACCAGACTATACTGAGTACTAGCGTCCAGCACTGACTGGAGCAGCCTCAATCCCGCCCACGAGATGAAAACTGTCAACAATGCAACCTGCAAATCGAAATCTTTATTTAGATTCAACTCAAAACACACTTATACAGTATATAGGAAACGGTTTTAGACCTCAACATCACGGCTTTGCCATGGATACTTGACATCACTCGTAGCGACGATGATAGCTGCCTGCAAGTAGAGAAGGAGTAGAATCCATAACCGGTCAAAGCTTCTGTAGACATTCCAGAACGATCTCTGCTCCACAAAGCCAGTCTTCCCCACTCTACTGCTTTTGGGCGTGGTGTCGAAGAAGTTACTGGAGTAGTCAAGAGGCCATTTCAGGCTCTTCAAGGCTCTCTTGCTCCAGAAATACTCGTTAATGTCATCGTAATTTCTCCAAGCGGAGTGCGGCTTCGTCCCGTTGTTGCTGCTCTCAACCTCCGTCTTAACCGTTTTGTAAATCGGCATCACCACGCTCTTTAGAAAGGCGCAATGACCGGAGAAGGAAGGCCAGTAAGGCATTCCGGTCATATCGTCGAACTCTCCGGCGAGGACTTTGTTGAGCTCCATAGCCATGTGGTGGAATATGTAGCAGAGACACTCCGGCATAAACCGGAGATTCGCCGATTCTCCCCAAATCAGGAGATAGAGAGCTACGTAGAGAAGCTCGCGGCGGAGATTCAAAACGACGTTGGTTTGATGACGGCTGTGGACTGGGCTGGTGACGTGGCATCTCACTCCGAGGAAGGAGCACCAATTGGTATAGTTTTTGAGCAGCTTCTTCCGAAATCGCCGGAGGACGGTGGGATCGAGGCCGTCGGGGTGACGTGGCGGAGGCTGGAGCCGCATTTGGGAATTGGCCAGGTGGAGGACGAGATTCTCGCGCTGGTTCCGGACGTTGTCGATTTGGAAACCGAAGAGAAGACCGAGCCAGTCCATCAAGTCCATGCGAGTTGTGAAATCGACGAACGGCGGTTTCGGAAGGTCTCCGACGATTCTAAGCGCCGCCGCCGCCGCTCGAACCTCCGGGTACCTTAGCGACGGGTGCTCCGTTACGAAATCGTGGATTGGAATGATGTTGTATACATCCTGCGACGGCGCGTGAAGCTGGTCACGGTCACGCCCGGTGGGCCGTGGCCTGAAGCTCATTTCCGGCTAACGGTTTCTTTTACTTGGAATCTTTTTCAAAATAATTTCATCTTTTTTTCCTTTTCGTTTCTTCGAGTTTTCAAAGACTCTCATGAAGCGAAAACTGTGGATTAGAGAGAGAAATAATTATGATATTGCTAAAAAAGTAAAAGAGATAATGACGTGTGCCGCGCTGTACGAATAATAGATGCTCTTTACATTACAGATCGTTTGATTGGTGAGAAGCTTTAATTATAGATGTGATCGGACGGTGGATATTAGGTGGACCGAGCGTCTACGAAATGGAGGCGTGTAGGGTTAGTGAAGTGGTAAGACACGTGCGACTACACGCGTGTCAGGAATTCGAGAGAGAAACACTGAGTTCGAGAGAGTAACAACAAGACAAAACTGCATTATGTCCGTTAGATATCGTGCTCGTCGCCGTGGGCTTGAAAACGGCGCCGCTTGCATGAGGATAACAAAATTAGAAATGGTGTAAACGACGCCGCATTAGCAAGGATTAAGGATAAACTGAAAATAAAAAGAGGCGTAATTACTAACTAGTGATGGTGCTTAATGAATGAAATGAAAGTGATGTCACTTTTTACGTTATCTGTTACTAGTCTTTTAGAAAATGTTATAAACGTAATGAACAAAAACTCTTTTGCTAATCTCATGGTGACATCGACGTATTGAATATGACAGTTGAATAATCAAAAAAAGTTTTGAGGAAAAAAAGTTAAAGAATCACGTTCTTAGTTGGATTTTGACCTCAAAAAGAACAAACCTTTAGGCCCCCAATTAATATCGAATCTTTTGTCGTTCCATTTGTCATCTTTGTATAGTACAATCTTTCAAACATTATAAGATTCAAGACCATAACTTTATGCTCTTCCCAAAGATAAAAAGCTTGTTCTTTTTACCTGTCTGGCATCCATATGCATTAGTAAAATATGATTACATTAGACTCATGATCTTCATGCTAAGGGTCCCTTATACTAATATCCAAATTAGACATGGCAGAATATAAATTTGTTTATAAAACCATGTCAGAACTAACAAACTGAAAAAAAAACAATGAATATAAATTTAAACTAAGGATTGTCTTCTTCTTGTGTACAGATTTGCTTTCATTAATCTGAGAAATGGTGAAGGAAATGAGAAGGCGTTAGAACTAAATGGAACTTGCATGGGAAATTGAGAGGAAGTGAGCTTGTGGTGAAGATGGCTAAAGATAGAGAAGATCAGAAAAAAATACTATTTTTTTACTGACTTTAATGGTTGTGAACGCTGTCTAATTGTCTCTAGCCAATCATCACGCCTCGGGTGGCACCGTTGATGCTCGTCTATGGATAAAATCATATATGCCTGGGCCTTCGGATACATGAATTTCCTCTTGCTATTCTTTCTTGTTCTTTGATAACAAAGTAACTTTTGTCAGGTTGTCGTCTGAAAGATGGCCAGCCTGATGGTCGGAAGACAGCTCCAAACAATACCAACGTTTCACTTAAGAGTTCCATTGCAACGAGGATCGCATTTTGGGTTACGTTCGCTTCATAATCATTACCATCATCATTTGATGACTGGCCCACTATACAGAGAACTCAATGATATATGTAATTCATGGAATTGGAGAACAGAGGCGTTGGCACGAGGCTTAGAGCATCCTCAGTGTGAGAGAAGCATATGATCGGTTCTGGAGAACCTCGAAAAAAAAAAAGTTGAGATACTCTTAGCACATTTGTCATTCAATGTATTTTTATGACTCAAAATTTAATTGTATTGCAACTTAAAATATTATAATTCTGAGATACATGTGGATGCTCTTATGAGATAACCAAGGAAACAAAGGGGAGCAAGTCTAAAGATAAACTAACAGAAAAAAAAAAAAAAAAAAAAAAAAGAAAAAAGATATAACTAACAAGTCTAACATTCATTAAACTAATCATACTTTAGTAAGCTTTTAAAAGGTTGAGGTTGGCTAATTCTTCTTCTAGGTTGAGCAAACTGCTTTTTTTAACACGCCACTGAATTTGATAAATGTTTGGCAACATAAATATCTCTCTGTTTGACCCAAAAAAGAAAGTTTTGTTTTTAGAAAATCAGATTTTTTTTAGAGGAAAATCAGAAGTTGAGTACGTTCATATATGCATATCAACTTGTTAGATAAAAAGGTGAACCATAAAAAAAGGTAAGATATAAAAATAACGTAAGAAAGTTTACTAAATACATATATAATAGATGTTGATAACGAAATACAAATTCAATTTAAATATGTATTTGATAACATAGGATGAAAAAAAAAAAAAAAAAAATCACGTTAGAAAAAAACAACTCATCGATCAACACAAATGCATGTTTCCTAAGAAAAACCGCAAGAAAAAAACTCAAGGGTTTACAATAAAAAAAGGTAAATGTCGTTAACTAAAATCCAGGTTGTAGGACAGCCACTTCCTAGGGTATCAGCAAGAAACCACCGTATGAGAAACTCGGTTGTGTGCGGAGTTTCCATAAAACGTCACCACAGTGGCCCATCGTTAGGTTCTGTCACAAAAGGTTCCGACGAGAGCCCGTTTCTTCATAACGGTACATTTGGGAGGTTCGGTGGGAAGTTTGTGCCGGAGACATTAATCTCTCACTTGGGAGATCTTGAAGACGAATTTAATTTTGTTTTGAACGATCATGAATTTCAGGTTGGCCGAAAACCCAAGGGTTCCTCCGCAAGGTTCGTCCACTTATCGATTAAACTTATACTCACATTGATTAAACTTATCGATCGCCACTCGCCAGCCAAATATGTATATCGCACAGCAAAATATTAAGCAAACATGTTATAAATATTTACTAAAACATGATTACTGATTAAATGTTTGATTTTATGCGTGCTTTTAATTATAACAAGGAGGAGCTTACCACAGCGTTAAAAGACTACGTAGGAAGAGAAACGCCTCTCTACTTTGCCGGACTTTTAACCGAACACTACAAGAACCTAGCTCGAACCACCGAAGGAGGAGGTGGACGAAACGGTGGGCCCGAGATCTTTCTAAAAAGGGAAGATCTTAGCCACTGTGGGTCCCACAAAATAAACAACGCTCTCGCTCAGGCAATGATCGCCCGGCGGCTTGGTTGCAGCCATGTGGTGGCCGCCACAGGAGCCGGCCAACATGGGGTCGCCACGGCGGCTGCATGTGCGAAGCTGTCCTTGCAGTGTATTGTTTTCATGGGAACCACTGATATGAAGAAACAATGTTCTAATGTACACTCCATGAAATTGCTTGGTGTTCAGGTAATGGTAATGACTATTTAGACTGACTCATATCGTGCTATGTTGCATGGTAACGGCGGAATCAAAACGTTTCCGAAATTTTGTTTGATTTCGAGATTGATGAGGCTTGTTCAAGATATATGATATATCTCACAACAGCAAAGCATTCATACAAATGGAACATAAAATTCCATTTTTTTGGAACATATATTTCCTTTTAAATACTTATTTTCATAGGTGAAATCAGTGGAAGGAACATTCAAAGATGCGAGTTCAGAGGCGATTCGAAATTGGGTCGAAAATATAGATGTCGCATACTACTTATCGGGCACGGTCGTAGGACCGCACCCGTGTCCGGTAATGGTATGCGAGTTTCAATCCGTGATTGGGAAAGAGACAAGAAGGCAAGCGAAACAACTATGGGGTGGTAAGCCCGATGTGTTGGTGGCTTGTGTGGGGAGTGGCTCAAACGCATTGGGATTGTTCCATGAGTTTGTTGGAGATGAGGATGTGCGGCTAGTTGGAGTCGAGGGGTCAGGGCTCGGTTTAGATTCAGGGAAACATTCAGCTACTTTGGCCGTTGGGGATATTGGTGTATACCATGGTACGATGAGCTATTTATTGCAAGATGATCAAGGGCAGATACTTAGACCACACTCCATAGGAGTAGGGTAAGTCAACATGAAGTTCTAACATTACTTGCATTGCACGTCTGACTGTCAAAAGAAAAAAGTTTTATCACATGCAAATCACCTCTCGTAATCGATTATGAATCGATCTGGTGGAACCGTACTTTGTCCCTGGCCAACGGTTGGATAACCAAATTTTTTTAATTATTTTGCTAAAATTTGGATAACCAAATTCATTTTGTTATTGTTCTGAAGTAATAAGCTTCACATAAGCTTGATTATCTGGTCGTAGGTTAGAGTATCCCGGAGTTGGACCAGAGATTAGCTTCCTGAAAGAAACTGGAAGAGCCGAATTCTACACGGCAACAGACCAAGAAGCCATTCAAGGTATTCTCTCTTTAATATTAGTTACTAGTGATGTTTTCTTTTCAATCCTCACAAGAATTGTCATTTACTTATAAACAATCTTTCTATCTTGTCGTTTGTAGCGTGTATGCTATTGAGCAGATTGGAGGGAATAATTCCAGCATTGGAGGCGTCCCATGCGTTTGCTTTCCTCGACAAACTCGTTCCTACTCTGGCTGATGGTGCCAAAGTGGTCGTGAATTGCAGTGGCCGTGGCGACAAAGATCTGGACACTCTCATCCAACGAGGCATGGTCTCTTCTCTGTGTTGACTCAACGAGATGACACATTACACTTGAACTCTTTTAATAACTATTATTGTAAAACAACTGTTCAACTCAACAAATATTGTCTTTTGTTGGAAATTAACCCCAAATGGGGTTAGGTGGAGTCGAACTCCAGATGAGATGGATGCAGAGGTGTGCAACCACTGGGGCACTTGCTCCTCTCGTAATCACTTATCTATAAATAGTCTTTTCATGATGGATTTTTTTTTTTGCTTATAACTGCTTATTTTTACAAACAACTGCATCTTCTAGCAATTATGTTTGTTAAATTGATACATTTTTTTTCGTTTCAAGAATCACTACCTCTCCATATTTTTTGCTACATTGTCTTTGAATCCATAAATGTTTACTGGTTGTCCCAGTCCCCCTCTAACCAGTGATCAAGCTCTCTAAGCGAGAGTTCTTTTGTTGTGGCCTTTTTGTGCATATTTTCGAATTCCTAAAGTTTTTGTTGATGTTGATTATAGGTTAGTGGAGAATCCAGTTCCGCTATTAGCCATTTAACTGTTGACCCTTTTACATAAATCGGTTAAGTTTTGACACTTGTACATACACTTGTACACAAGTCACTAAGAGGTCTATGCAATTATTTTTTACTACATTTCTAGTCTCATAAAGTTTGAGTCTGGCTGGACAAAAGTCTTTAATCATATATGTGGCAGATTTATAGTGATTTGTCTTTTCATTTACATCAAAAATATCATATTTGTTTTGGAGAATTTGGTTTTAAGCCCAACAAACCAATTAACCATCCAGAAATCTCCCTTTCGTTTCTTCATATCAGTACCATTCAGTTCAACTTCAGTATTAACCGCATCAGTTAAACTATTATTTTGATAGTCATGAGTGAATATCGAACATGTTATTTGTAATGTGACATAAAAGAAAAGAATTGAAATTTCATGCTAACCTTGATTTTGCCATTCTTTTTCGTATTTTCCAAGAAGTTAATATACCCTTCGGTCCACCTATTTATTGGCAGCTCCGTGATAGTAACATAATTGTTGAGTGGACATATTTTTGCTACTCCATTGGTTGTGTAGCCATCACTCGTGAGCATAAACACACCGTTGAAGTCATGGAAAAATGAATAATTGTCGTGATTTCTTTTTACCTCAAATACATTTCTGAATAAAATATATTCTCTGTTTTTCAATAAGTGGTTTTTAGATTTTTTTTTTAACAGTTTCTATAAAAAAAAATAGAAACTGTTTTTTATTAATAAATAAGTTTTTTTTTACAAATCAAGAAAAAACAAATTATATTTTGTTGTTTTGACTGTTTGAATTATATAGAGTCTTAGTTGAATTGTATTCGAGTTGATGATAAAATATGTTTTGTTTTTGAAAAAAAAAAATGAATTCTTAATTTATGTGCATAAGTAAAAAATGCGGAGTATATATGCATTTAATTTCAACTTTTGGTTAAATTTGCTGAAAGACGAAGGAGTGTTTTTGATATCATGCTTATTTGCCTAAACTATTTTAGCCATTTTTTGTTTGTTTCAGTTTATGCAGTTCTTTTGTTTTTTGGTAAATTTTTTCGTTCTTAAATGGTTTTTCTTTTACAGTTAAACTTATTACATCCCATCATTAGCCTGATTTTTTGTTGCCTGCACTAGGGGGAGTGATAAACCACACGCGCGCGTGTAAAACCTTAAAAACCACTCGGAGCATACAGCTTTTATTCCATACGGTTAATCCCATTTTCTAGCAAGTTTTTATCACCGTCCATATATCTCAGAATATCAAAAATGATTACGTGGCATCAATCCATGGTCTCATTGCTTTTGTTTACCTTGTAAACGAGCACAGACAAATGAAATCGCGCGCACGAGGTTGTCTAAAGTTACAGACGGTTTGAGGGTAAATAAGTCAATTGTGCCACCCAACTTGCAGCGGAAGAAATATTCTCACGTGACATGCACACGCACATCATACACAGTCACACACACCCTCTCTCTCTCTCTCTCTCTCTCTCTCTCTCTCTCTCTCTCTTAATTAATGCGACATTTTGAAACTTTTCTTTTTCTGTTGGTCACTGTTTCTTCCTTCTTCCCTCCCCCGAAATCTCGCTGCAGAGAAAGATTTTCTGGGTAAGAGCAAATTTGTTCGAATTTTTCTGGGTTTATGCATTTCCGTTTCTTTTTTCTCTTTTAGATTCTTATTTTGCAAGTTTTCCTCCATGATTTAATTTCTCATTTCACCCGACTATCTACAAAATCTCTTCCACCTTTACAAGTTCCGTTGCTGATATTCTTTTCCCCAAATAAAAAGTTAAAATCGTCATAATCGTTTCGTTGATACTGTTGCTTCTGTGTCTCCCACGCGCGTGTCAGAAAGCGCGTGTGTTTTCTTGTTAATCCCACACACACACAGTGACAGCTTTTTTTCAAATATATTCTCCAGGCAACAATTGATTTTCCCCTTTAACAGTTCCCTTTTCGGCTCACCCAGAAAAGTGACGTATTTAATTCTGCAGGAAACGATGTTCGTGAAACGGAATCCGATCAGAGAAGCTTCCGCCGGGAAATACTCTCCGCCGCCACCGAGTGTCAATGGTAAACTGAAGCAACTGTTTCTCCGTTTCGATCCTCTCGCTTTAATTTCTCCTCTAATTCTTCGTTTCTTCTCTCTTATTTTTCGTACAGTTGCGGTCGCGCACATACGAGTCGGATCTTACTACGAAATCGATTCCTCGATTCTCCCTCAGCGATCGCCGGAGCAGCTTAAATCGATCAGAGTCGTCATGGTATTAACGGAGACTCTGTTTTTTTTCCACCAGACGGATTTCGTTTTCTTCTTCTGGGTTTTTAGACTGATTTCTGCTTTTCGCTCTGGGGAAATTTTGGCAGGTCGGCAAAATCACGGTGCGCGACGTGTCTCTCCGATACCCGAGCATGAACTCGCTCAGATCGCATTTCGATTGCATCCGTAACAGCAAGCTGAATCGGAGTAACTCGGGTAGTCTTCTTCCCGTTTTGGACGAGAGCCATGTGGTGTCATCGGAGCTAGCTGGGGATTTGCTTTACAGAAGAATCGCACCTCACCATGTTTCCGTGAACAGAAATTCGTGGAGTTTCTGGGTTTCTGCTGCTGCTTCTCGCAGGAACAATCTCTCACGCAGGGAACCGATTTCTCAACCGGCGAACAATACTAGACTCGGTCGCGCGGCTTCACCGGTGGGAAAGTGCTGGTCTGAGCTCAGATCGAGAGGAATGGTCAAGTGGGGGAGGAGAATTCGCGTGCGGTACCAGAGCCGGCATAAGGAAAGTTCTAGACTGAAAGAGGAAGAGATGTGCAAGGAGGAGACGGAGGAAGACGATGGGAATGAAACTGATAATAGACCGGAGAAAGACGATGGAAGCCGTAAAAGAAAGTTGATTGAATCGAGGACTGAGAGACTCGCTAAGAGGGCCAAGGTATCTGATGATAGTGCTGAGAAGAAGAAGGAAAACCAAATCGTGGTCTATACGAGGAAATCAGCCAGGGAATTTATTGACCGATGGTCTGTCGAGAGGTAAGAACACATTTTGATGATCTCTGAGATTGAATTTGCACTTTGCTTCATCAGATATATACAAGATTGATGATTTTGGAATTTGATTGTGGTTAATGAAGGTACAAACTAGCAGAGAGGAACATGTTAAAAGTGATGAAGGAGAAGAATGCAGTGTTTGGCAATTCCATACTCAGGTCAGAGTTGAGGTCAGAAGCGAGGAAGCTGATCGGAGACACGGGTCTGTTGGATCATCTGCTTAAGCACATGGCAGGGAAGGTGGCTCCTGGAGGTCAAGATAGGTTCAGGAGAAAGCACAATGCAGATGGAGCGATGGAGTATTGGTTGGAGAGTGCTGATTTGATTCACATAAGGAAAGAAGCAGGAGTTGAAGATCCTTATTGGACTCCTCCACCTGGTTGGAAGCTTGGTGATAATCCTAGTCAAGATCCTGTCTGTGCTGGCGAAATCCGTGAGATCAGAGATGGATTAGCTAGCCTCAAAAGGTAAAAAAACCAACTATATATCAAATTGGTTATGTGATCTTAGTCTCAAATTGTTTACTCATGATGTCTGTGTTTTGGTCTTGAGAAGAGAATTTGAGAAACTCGCTGCAAAGAAGGAAGAGGAGGAGCATCTTGTCATGACTACACCTAATTCTTGTGTTACTACTCAGAACGATAATCTGATGACTCCGGCCAAGGTAAAGAGCTCGAAACAATAACTGATATATCTATCTTGTCACTTGTGATCATACTGTTTAATGCTCTACATCTCTGCTGTTTCATCTCAGGAAATGTACGCTGATCTTCTGAAGAAGAAGTACAAGATTGAGGACCAACTAGTGATAGTTGCAGAAACATTGCGTCAAATGGAGGTATACATAATACATATCCTCTTCCTGCTAGCTGAACCATTTACTTATATGTTAAATCTTCGAAATGTACAAACTTTGCTTTGTAAATGATATATATTTGTCTATTATATGAATGCAAATGCAGGAAGACATGGGATGGCTTAAGAAAACAGTAGACGAGAGCTGTCCTAGAAAGCCAGACTCAACAGAGACTCCTCTGCTACTCGAGGATTCACCACCAGAAGAAGTGAAAGAGGTGAAGAAGGGGAGAAACCAAATCACAGAGTCACCTCAAAACAGAGGAAAGGGAAAGAAACATGATGGACAAGAACAAGAACGATCACCACTCTCGCTTATAAGCAACACTGGCTTCAAAATCTGCAGGCCTGTGGCGAGTTTCTCATGGCCCAAACTTCCTGCTCTTGCCGCTGCCACTGGTGATACTGGTTCTGGTAACAGTGTTGCGTTTGCTTCTTTGCCAAGTCACCGTCCATCGCCTCCTTATCCTGTGAAGCCACTTGCAGCTAAGCGTCCTCTCGTCTTGCCTTTTCCCTTCACCACCAATTCCCCACAAATCTCTTCAGCCTTTGAACAGTGATTTGCATCGGATCTTATTTCTCCTGCAACTAAGATCTCATGTGAATTGGTTGGTCTCTTCCATCAAAGGTATTTACAACTATCACTTATTATAGGTTTTCAAGTACTGAAAGAAGAAAAGAAAAAGACACTATTCTTATTTGGAATAATTTGCAGTTTTGACAAATTTTCCTCTTTACTTTAGGGGTTTTTAAGTATATTTAGAGAGGTAATTTGAATCGGCTTATCAGACTGGGATCTGTTTCTGTACTACTGAACAATTTTTATATGATAAAGTTTATATATACTTATTCATTTTGCTGCTGTTTTTTTATTTTGAGAAACTTTGAATCACGTCGATTAACTCTTGTTCGTTGACCTATAAAAATGGCAAAATTATAGTTAATTTGACAACTACATATCACAAGTAGGTATTTGAATCACATTAGACGAATCATTTGTTTAAGATAATCGAGGATGAGAGGAGTTCCAAACTTCCTCTAGAGCCGGAACGGAGCAGACCAACTAGCTGTATACATGTGTTTGACCATCTTATTTTAATCACTATATGAACTATATTTAATTTCAATCTATGTTCATACTCTCAATTTTCAAAGAAAAACCAGTTTTCAACGCGAAGACAACTGTAGGGCTTTGCCTTGTGTGCCAAGGGGACAAATAAACAAAGTTTTCATTGCTTAATCAAAGATTTTATATCATATAATAACTACATCTTAGTGTTATGTGAGAAAAAAATAATGTTAGTGTTCTGGAAACCGGTTTAGATGGTCTTTTAGGTGCTACGCCACCACTCTTTTCATTTTGAATCGTATAAAACCATTTTTCTTCTTCTTAAATTTATCAAATAAAAGACAAGATAGACTAGGCCTAGACTTTATGTGCATAAATGATATACTACATTTTGGAAATGTAATTTTATAATTTACAGCAAATGTTAATATTCTAAAACAATTTTGTTTCTCTTTACAAACATGTTAGTCTTGTCTTCCATAGTAAAATTTCTCTCATTTACTATTTTCTTTCCTTATTACTTCTATGGTTTTCGTTTTTCAACATTTGTCTTTTGACTTTTCCCATCCAATGTGATCGTTTAATTAGGGTTAAAAAGGTTACTTACTAGTATATATACATGTACATGTTGTAGGATGATGTATTCTCATTTTCTCACGCAAGAAGAGTCTAACCATCTTTTCAAAATCTTCATGCTCAAGCATTTTATTATCCTAACTTTAGCGATAAATAATCCCACTAAAATGGACGAATAAGAATCTCGATTATTTTTTAAAATATTCACAATTCTCTTCGGGACCAAACATCTTGAAATGTAGAATATAGATAGAATAAAAAGATGGTAGTGGGTTTTGATTATTGCAACGACAAAGATTAAATTAGCATCTAGAGTTTCAAATGTGAGATTGTTCAACCAAAATATTTAAAATTGTATGGTGGAAATTATATTGATAAACTTCTGAAAAAATAAAGCATATCTTCTAATTAACCAGCTACATCTAGTCACACACATATATATACACACACACGAATAAAACCTATTTGGAGCACCAATCGAAACTAAGTTGTATCCTAAACATTAACATTCATAATCATCAATCATCCATATATAATCACCATTTGGGGGTCATTAAATGTCTCTAGAACTTCCGGTGTTTGACATTTCAAAGCCACTAAGCGAGTCATCGTTGACGTCACTACAAGATGCTTGTAAGGAGTGGGGTTTCTTCTACGTGACCAACCATGGCGTCTCCGGCGACATGTACCAGAAACTCAGGCGATTCTCCGGCGGAGTGTTCGAGCTCGGAGACGAGGAGAAAATGAAGATGGGTCCGTCTAATTACACTCCCCGTTTCATTGCATCTCCTTTCTTTGAAAGCCTCCGTGTCTCCGGTCCCGATTTCTATGCTTCGGCCAAATCTTCCGTTGGTGCTTTTACCGACAAAGCTATGGATGAAGAGTTCAGGTATACATATACACATTACGTATATCATGTATTCATGTTTATATCAAAATATTTAAATGAAATGCTTGTTGACATTTTCTTTGGCAATTCCCAAAACGATCTCATTTAATGGCTTGAATTAAAAACCAGTTAAGGTGCCTTCTCAACTAATTTACATGCAATCCACGTATTGCTTATTGCTCACATTTTAGTACCATATCTTTTATAAAATGGAAAATATCAGATTGTACTATGTGACTACTATCTCGTTTTGATCATAAAGTTATTTACATAATTCAGTTTATTGTTTCCTAGAGAATGTTCATGCATATAGTTTTTCAAAACAGCAACTCCTCAATTTTTTTAAAAAGAAATGCATCAATAAACACTTTTAGAACAGTATTGTGATAATATATATAGGAATGTCAAACGAAAACCAAATGCATTTCCAACTGTATTGCTCACTCTTTATTTGCATTCTCTTTAAGCATTTATGCATGCACTCATATATTCTTTTTGTTTTTGTGATACATAAAGTAATTAAATAGTGAAAGTTAAGGATGTTGTGTTCAATTGTGTTAAGTTTATTTGTGTAGGACCCCGTACTAATATGGTTTGTTCAAAATCACTTCAGATTTGTAAAATTTCAAGATCGGTTCTCTAGTTTATTGATAAAAAAACCACTGAAATTCAAGACAATAATAACTATAGTTGACCGGTCCAACTTGAATCTACTTAAGTAGGTTCTACGTAAATCATGTTAAAGTAGACTTAGAATATGTCCTCCATCACATTCTTAGTGAAAGTTAAAAGATTATAACTTGACACCAAAGCAAATTAATGATTAATATGACTAGTAATGTGATCTTCTTATCGTTTTAATGTTAAAGATATGTACTTTTCTAGCGGTTTGATGAAAGAATATGGAGAAAAGATGACGGAACTATGCGAGAAAATCATGAAAGCCATTCTTGCCAGCTTCAGTGACGATCTTCATCACAAATATTACGAATCTGAATTCGGAAACTGCCATGGATACTTCAGGATCAACAACTACACAATCCCCTTGAAAGAAGATCAAGAACAAGGTGAACAAGATGAAGATGAAGATGTGGAAGGGCTAGGAATGCACACTGACATGAGCTGCATCACAATCGTCGATCAAGACGACATTGGAGGTCTTCAGGTTCGATCCAGAGATGGGATTGGTCTGATGGATATAAACCCTAAACCCGAAGCTCTAGTGGTCAACGTTGGAGATCTATTGCATGCTTGGACCAACGGACGGCTGAGATCGTCCCAACACAGAGTTGTATTGAAACGACGTGGTTTCGTCGGTAATAGATTCTCCCTCGCTTTCTTCTGGTGTTTTGACGATGGCAAAGCCGTGTTTGCCCCTGAAGAAATCGTGGGAGGTTGTACGAGTATGAGGTTATTTCGGTCATTTGAGTGTGGGGATTATATGAGGTTTAGGGAGAGTAATGAGACAGGGAAGTTCGAGAAGGTTGGTCACACGGTCGAAGACTTTGCAGGAATTGAAAACTGTAACTAATTTTTTCTTTTTTGTTTTGAAATGACAAATTAATAAACTAATTATATGAAAGTATACACACTATTACAGCGACCACTAATTATATCATTTCAAAAGACAACTTGCTTGAATATTCTCTCATGTTTTTTTTAATTCTCTAGCCGATTAGTGGCCATAACGTAAACATTTGTAGTTTGCCTCCACAAATCTTAGCCACTATGTCACTATAATCTTCTAAAGAGAAACCCGAAGATATCACTGCATGAATCAGGTTCTTTTTGAAGTTGGTCAAGGTATAGCTAAACTTATCAAAGTTACTGAGAGCTTCTTCTGCCAACTTCCGTGATACTTGGGGAACCTGAGGAGGAGCATGAAGAAGAAAGGAGTTTAAAAACAAAAAGGGCCTTGTCTGTTTTGCTGTAACAACAACAACAACAAAAATTAGCAAGACCATCAATACAATACGTATCACCACCTCAGCACCCTTTCTAAGATAAGTTAGAATTGTTGTAAGCGCTTGATCAGTTACATATGGTACAACACCTATGATCATGTCCCTCATAGCTTCAAATACCTCCTTTGGATGATGCTCCCTAAAATACCAACATAAGTTCATCATCAATGTGTAACAACATCATGCATGAATCAAAAGAAATACAGTAAAAACTCTATAAATTAATACTCGATAAATTAATAACTAATTTTCTGGTCCCAAACTAAATTTTTGATTCAAATTATCTTTCTATAAATTAATAATTCACTAAATTAATAAAATATCATGGTTCTAACATTATTAATTTATAGAGTCCTACTGTAAACTATTGAGGATAATAAGTACGTCAAGTTAAAAAAAGAATCAAACATATGCATAAAATTATTGGCACGTACCTTATAGTGGTAAGGAAAGTCTGAGGAAGCTTCGCAAGAGGTTGATAATAACAAAGTCCAACCGGAATCCTCCATAGGTCGAGCTCATCAAAATTTCGAAGGATGTATATCCTTTTCTCATACGAGGGGCTAGATATGTCATCAAGCCCCTCAAATGATGATGCCATTATAATGAATACATCCTGTCCATGAATAGACAAGAGTAAGCAACCAAACCAAACACCATAATGCCACATTTCCTAAAGAGAAGAAAAAACATGGGTAACAAGAACATGCCCTCAACTCTTGACGCGTAAAAGGAAAATGCGGAGATGTGAAATACATGGCCTCAGTGAGGCAGGCAGCGGCTGCAACTCTCACGTCGACGTCTTCGTGGTTTAAGATATCTTCCTTGGTTAATACTCTCATCGATTTAAAGAGTACGAACCAATATAAGTCAAACTCCGGTTCCATCTCCGCTTTTTGTAGCTTTAACAGGCACTTGGAAATGTTCTGCATGCAAGAGGAATAATATTCAATTATAGGGCTCCCCAAAATCACAGCCGCATTTAACAGATTCAAGAAAACCAGTCCATATACAATGGTAGGGCATCAAAATATTATTACAGATAGTACAAAATGATTGACACAAGTGTCCAGGAGCTTACTTCAAGGATCTTAAGAAGCTCAGCGGCTGAAGAAGGCGGGACGACAAGTGAGTAGCTTGAGTGGTAAGTAAGAGTAATTCAGAAGTTATAAAAGTACCTGATAGTGCTAAGGAAAATCTCGAACATCTCAAAAAGAAGAAAATTACACTCAAGTCCGACCATGACAGCCCAAGCGTTGACCTCATTAACAGATTGAAGGATGGAGATTCTTTTCTCATAGGAGGGGCTTGACATGTCATCTAGATTCTTAAATGATGATACAATCAAACTGAATATATCCTGTGCACGAATAGAGAAGAGAAGAGTAAGCAAACCAAACACTAACTATAAAGCCACCATAAAATTATCTATAACAAGTCAATGAACATGCCTCCAACGTGTCATGATGATAAGGAGGATCCGGACTAGTTAACTTTAACGTCTCACTGAGGCAGGCAGCGACTGCAACTCTCACGTCGACGTCGTCGTGATTTAAGAATTCGTCACCGACTATAGTTGATTTCAGCATTGTAGATAGTACAGACCGGTATAAGACCAGCTCCGATTTCTCAAGCTTTACCAGGCGCTTGTAGAGATTCTGCAGCAAAGGAATATTAACTTAAATGACTTTGCATCGAGAGAGAGAGAGAGAGAGAGAGAGAGAGAGAGAGAGAGAGAGAGAGAGAGAGAGAGAGAGAGAGAAGTTAACGGGGAATTGTCAAGGAGCTTACGTCAAGTATCTTAAGAAGCTCAGCGGGAAGGCGGGTTCATGAGTTGATTACGGGTGGTTTCATCCGCCATGACTTCCTTTCCTTCTACTTCTTCTCTCTCGTTCGCTCAAATTAGATCTATGCAAACCCTAGATTCGGAAACACAGACTTCTCAGCATCAAAATCACTGAACAAACCCTAGATTAGGACTGATATGCCTTGGAGAGGAAACTAAGGACAAGTAGCAGCAAAGACTCGTTTACAAAGAGAAGTTTTGCTGTTCAAAACTTTTTTTTACTATATAAATAATGACTTGTCGCAAAAGGGTTCTTTTGTAAATGAGAATTGGGATTGCAACTTTGTAATTGCTTTCGGTTTTGCTCGTGAGAGGACTGGAGATTACATTGTTTGTGGAAGATAAGTGTATTTACTAGATTGTTCTTGTCACACCAACCTGAAGAAAGTATCAACAAAATCAATTTTCTCATGTTGAGTGTATGCTTAGGATTCTTAGCTCTAACAAATGTAAGAAGAAGAAGAGCGAGTCACATGCATGAAGATTCAATCACAACTTTCAAACCAGATGACTTCGAATTCTCATTCTCATTCCTAATAACCAAAAGAGCTTCTCTGATGATTGATGCTAAAGAAATTCATTTTTTTTTTTGGTCTAATTGAATTGATTACGTAATGAAAGATTATGAGTATTGTGGCATGACACAGGATTATTGAGTGATATTATGCTAAATTGAAACCAACTAATTTCACAGTATAAAAAAATTAACAAACAATACATGTATAATGTAATATGTTTACAAAACCGTATATATGTACACAACAAGAAACCAAAGTCAAGACTCAAGACCACAAAGAACAACTACAATCATCATCATCACCTACCTTCTAAAATAGAGCTATTCCAAGACGAAAGAGACACAGACAGAGATTGAAGCCTGACCTGCTCTATCGTCGGATGCGACGAGCTTCCATACCAAAACTCCGTCGAGCTTCCACGAGACCCCATCTTCCTCAACATCCAAGACTCAACGTCTTCACTACTCTCCGCCTCAAAGATCTCACCTTTCTCACCTTCAAACACTTGCACCACCTGCCTCATCGACGGTCTCTTCCCCGGATCAGGATGTGCACAAAGCAAACCAAGCTGCAAAACCCTCTCAGCCTCATCACCACCTTCCGTCGTCACCACCATCCTTGCATCCAAACCTCTCGCAATCTCACCTCTCTCCAACAACCCCCAAACCCAACCCACCAACGGATCCTTCCCTTCTTCAATCGGCCTCCTCCCACACATCACTTCAAGAACCAACACCCCGTAAGCAAAAACATCAGTCTGCGTCGACGCACGCCCTGTCTTAACCACCTCAGGAGCCAAATAGCCAGCCGTACCAACCACCCTCGTCGTCCTAACCGCTTGCTCGTGCCCATGCACACGAGCTAACCCGAAATCACTAAGCCTCGGGATCATATCTCTGTCAAGCAACACATTACTCGCTTTAATATCTCTATGCAGAACCTTAGACTCCCATCCTTCATGCAAATACAACACCCCTGAAGCAACACCTTTCAAGATCCGAATCCTCTCTTCACAGCTAAGCGTATGTCTCCTCCTCTCATCCTCCCCCTCCTCGAATATCCACCGGTCTAAACTTCCGTTCTCCATGTAATCATAAACCAACATGAAGCTTCCAACTTCCTTCTTGCACCAACCTCGTAAAGAAACCAAATTCCGATGCTTTAACCTCCCAAGACTCGAGATCTCAGCTACAAACTCTCTCATCCCGTCGCTACTCTCCTGCGAGATCCGCTTCACAGCAACTTCCACAGCTCCTCCTTGTAACAACCCTTTGTAAACTTTCCCATTCCCACCAACCCCAATCACATTCTTCTCATCAAACCCTTTAGTGCCTGACTCAATCTCCTCATACGAGATCCGGTGAGGCCAATACTCCATCTCCCAATCTTCCATCAACGCTCTCTTCCTCGCCTTCTCCATCCTCTTTCTCACCACAGCAAACGAAACGAAACCAACCAGAGAAACGACCAGGAAACAGATCAACGCCAACACAAAAACGAACCATTTCTTCTTCAAAATCGATTCTTTAGGTAACACAAACGAAGGCAAACCAGTTGTGATCAAACCATCGCTCAAGGAGAAATTTGAGTTGCTGAAACTCCAAGCTAAGATCATATGGCTTTGCACAAGTCTCCCTGTAGCTGCTGTGAATCCAACGAACATCTCATCCTCCATAACTCCGGAGAGATTCAGAGACGTAGAAAGCAGAGGAATCTTAGGTCGGATCTTGCCAGCGAGCTGTATAGTGACATTGACTATGGAGTCTCTGTAATCGACCCAAACCTGGTAATTTCTTCCGTCGTTGAGCTTCAATGGCTTGAACACTGGATTCGCGTCGTCGGACCAGTACCCAGACGTGTTGGAATCGATTGAATTGAGCGAATTGACATCGATTCCGACGTGATTAGCGTCGATGTCGTTGAATTCCTGATTGGCGAAGACGTCGAACTCGATTCCGAAGACGTGGTTGTTTGGGTTGCCGTTGTTGGTCAAATTGAAGAGACCCAGGTGCTGGGCGGAGCTGGTTCCGTTGATTCCGGTTGTCGGTGCGAAGAGGAAGACGATTCCGTGGCCGGAGAGTGTGTTTTTGAAAGGAGCCATGGTGAAGATGAAGGAAGTTGAGAAAGGTAGAACGGAGGAAGTTTGTGGATCTTTCGTGCGGATGATTTTGCTGTATAGAGCTCGACCAGTGGAGAACGATGTTTGGTTGGTCAAGGTTAGGATTTGGGATCCGATTGTTGCGTTTCCGAAGAGAGAGAGACGGGGAGAGGAGGAAGAGGGAGGAGAGTCATCGAAGCCGTTGAAGATGAAATCGACGGCGGAGATTGGGTTTATCAGAGGGATGAGAAGAAGGGTAAGGAGAAAGGGAAGAGCTTCCATGGCAGAGGAAGAGGAAGACGAAGCTACGCGTGAGGTTTGATGTCATGTTTGGGTTTATAAAAAGCTTTGAGCAGTGTTGACGACAGTTGTTGAAAGGGAAAGTTAAAAGCTTGTACGTGAAAGGTTTGATTTTTTTCTATTGTTTCTTCGTTTACTTTTACTGTTTTGTTTCGTCAAAGTTAGTGACTTTTTGGCCTCGTTAATTGTTTATACTACTAATTAAATTTTGATACAAAGCGAAGAAGACTTTGCAAATTTCTTCTTTGAGAAATCGTTTGAACAATGTACAATAAATCATTCTTTTACAAAGTTATCGTTACAAGATACAAATATTACTTCGATGTTGTAGTTGACATATACTAGCATTTTGTCAATATACTAGATTCGAAAATTCAAATTACTATTTTACCATAGACACTAGAAAGTTTTTTTAAAAAAATCATAAAGAATTTGAATTTCCCTCTTTTTTTATAAATAAATAGCTGCAGTAAAATGATTTTAGAAAGAAATCAGCAAACTATGAAAATTGTCATGCAATAATGTATTTGCATTCGATTAGTAGTTCAAAACTGCCATGTAAATCAAACTTATAGTATCTATTTAAAGTACGTGTGTATATTTTTATTCGTAATGATGTGTATAGTAATGAACTAATGATTTACATGGCATTTGTGACTATACAGTCTTGGTATCTAAACTTCTGTGTATTTAGAATCTAGAAACAGTCTCCTGTGTATGAAAAGGAAAAGGTCAAAATTCTGTGTATTAGAACAAAATAATATGGCCATTAAATGTGTTCATATTTAAAGTGGAAAAAAGAAACCCGGCGTTTAAGGACTTGTGATGCCGGCGACAATGATCTTGGTCAACGTTTTCTTGCCGGAAAAGATTAAATTATTAGTATACAATATTTGTTAACATTATTTATAGAATACTGGACGTGGATGTCTTTGGACAGAATAAAAAAGTATATCCAGAAATCGGATTTTCAAAATACAGCTGTACGAAATATTTTGTTTTGAGGACGTACCAAAAAATGGTGTGGTTGGTAAGAGTTTTTACAAATAATACGAATAGATTATAGTTGTTAAGTATTTAATTAGAATGTAAACCAAAGCGAGAGAGATCGACGAACTCAACTTTTTCTGGAGAATTGGGATAAGGATTAAATATGAGTTTGACTTAGCAGAAAATTCAAAAATATGGTATGCCGTCACTATCAGGATTGCGTTTAATGTTTACAAAGGTCCAGCATGAGAACCATTTTCACGACCTCAAATAGTGTGGATGTACGTACGATACGATCAGGAGCACTCAGTTTTTGAACTTTAATCATTCTATTTCTATTAGGCTAAGATCTGAGATTTAAAAATCGTATAATTAACCTCTAAAATATATTTGTAACAATTATAACAAAAAAAAAAACCAGGTCGAATCTTTTCCCGAAGAAAGCTATATTCTCCAGGTCATCAAAAACCATGGCTAAATAGTATAACTATATAAGAAGTTAATTATCATACTGGACTACTTAAATCTTAACGCTTGAATATTTGTCTACTTAAAATTTGTGTCCGTATCAACATGAAAACTAACAAAAGATAGACAAAATTGTTATCGGTTAAGGGCCTTAAGGCAAAGATAATTAGCTCTCTTTCGGTTATGATTTGGGATGGAGCTATATGCTTGATTCTTTTGCCAAGTATCTTGTGCAAAAATAGATCATATACTTTTAGTTTCATTATGAGATAGTGCTTGATTGTTTCTCCCGCTATTGTATTTATGGAAAAAAGGGAAAAAGTAGAGCCATCTTGTTAATCATATCTCATTCAGAAGATAATATTAGATTTTTTTTGTTTTGTTTATGACTGTTACTGTGTTAATGGTTTTTAGGTACATGCCTATAATCCCTACAATTCTTGTGAATGGCTGCAAGAGAATTGCAACAGGTAAAATATTTTTGTAACCACATATGATCCACTTGTTATTGCCAATAACATTCGGATATGTATTGTGGTGGTGAAGAGAAAATGGGAAAAATGATTTTTTTTTTCCGTCACTTCACTATTTAACTTAGGGATGATGGCTATACAACTCAATGAGTAGCATAATTAATTATGTCTAATCACCAGTACTGATACTATCAAGGAATTGCCAATTATCAGGTGGACCGAATGGTATATCAAATTCTTGGAATATATGAAAAAGAACGGCAAGATCAAGGTTAGCCTGAAATTTCAATTCTTTTCTTTTAATCGTGATGATAAATTGTTTGACATGCGACACGCAGGGCTATCAAAATAATAGTTTGACTGCTGCAATTAGTATTGAAATTGTACTGAATGATGATGATAGGGAGAAAGAAAGTGAGTTCCGTGGATGGTTAAGGGGTTTCCTCATGCTTAATACCAAAATCTCCACACAAAAATATGATCTTACAGTAAAATCTCTATAAAGTAATAATGATTGAAGTTTATAAATTTATTATCTTAGAGGTATTATTTTTATGAATAAATTCAATATTTATTAATTTATAAAAATATTTTTGTTTAATTGATAATCTTCAAAAATTATTATCCACATGATAATATATTAAGAATTTAAAATAATTTATTTATTAATATGACATACATAAACTTGAAATTATGATCAAGTCTCTTGAATATCATAATAAAACATATATCATTAGCTTATATAAATATTTATATAAAATCTAATACATGATAAAATTAAAAGTTTAGAAAAAATTATAGCTACTAATGAAGTTGAAAATAATGTGTTTAAAATGTGTTTAGTTACTTGTGTACATGTGTATGTACAAGCAGCTCTAACTAGTTTTTCTTAGTTATTTTATTTTTAACACAAGGCCTAATTTTTATATTATTTTTCTGAAAAACAGGGTCTAATTTTATTTTATTTTCTGTAAAATAGGGCCTAATTTTTTAAATTTCTTGTTAAATAGGACCTAGTTTTGTAAACAAGTTTCTTAAAGAGGGCATATTTTTCAAAATACATTCTAGTTTGAGATGTTTTTTCCAATGTATCATATGGTCCAAAATATTTCGAGCCGCCTGTGTACAACTGTCAAAACTTAACTCATTTATGTACAAGCATCAACAGTCAAACGACTAATTGCGGAGCTGGATTCTCCACTACCCGTAATCAACGTCGACAAAAACTTTACGAACTTGAAAATATGCACAAAAAGCCACAACAAAAGAACTATGGCTTAGAGAGCTTGATCACTGGTATGTTAGTCATAGAACATAGGGGGTACCGGGCGACCAACACTCGCTGGCTTTTTCAAATCTTAATGAGACTTGGACGAAAGAGCTAAAGAGTAAGACGAGAGCAAGAACTCGTTCCTTTTAATGAATCCAACTACTTTCAGTTTGTTTTTACCACTCTCATCACAGTTTCTGAGAGAGAGTGATAAGAGGTATTTGTAGAGATTTGGTGTGAGTAACTTTTAGCTATGACCAATGTAAAGCTTTTTGGAAGTTTCAACTTTGGGCTCCATGAATAGTGAATTTGGTAACAAGGTTTTTGTGGATTGAATGATAAAGATTTTGTCATTGAAAGATTAAGCTTTTTGGAAGCCTCAACTTTGGGTCATAGGGTGGCAAAAATGCATCACAACCAAAGTACCTTAGCATTGACCTTGTTTCCCATGCTTGATGATGCCCATCTATCTTACTTAATGGAAGAACGGAGAAAAGCAGTGCCATTCTGCCATTCTAATGATGACTTTCTATCTTAACAGAATTATATTTGTTTTTTTTTTTTGTTTATTAAGATTGTTAATGCTTGTAAACAAATTTGTTGTAATGGTTTGGTTATGTATAATGTTGTAAATAACCGGATTTCCTTCACGATAAATTTTGGATTTCGATCATAGAGTGGAGATATCGGTTGTTTGTCATCAGACTCATCACAACTTAAAAAGTGTTGCTTAAGCCATTGTTAGCATGGCTTAGAATTTTCTTGGCAAAAACAACATCAATTCAATTTGTTACAACCACTTGGTCATTTTGGTTTCAGAAATAAGGTAAGTGGTGCTATCTGTTTATGAATTTGTTTGAGATTGAGATGCTTTGACATAAAACAAAGACACTAGAAGAAGATTGCACAAATATAATTTTGGCCGACGGGTAGTTAGACAAATCGTTTTTTTTACGCCAAATTGTTATCGGTTAAGGGCCGTAAGGCAAAGATAATTAGCAGCCCAGTCCAAACCAGAAATTTTTCGGTTTAACGGATTTAATAGCCTTTAAGTAAAAATAAATTATAGTTACATCACCAATTCGAACCCGGTCAAAGTGGTTGAGTTTCCTCACGAGTTGTTCTCCTCCCATTAGGGTTCGAAACATATTGGTACCAATATCCTTCTATGGACGCGGTGGTGTGACGTGGCGAGATGAATGACGGTGAAAGAGAGAGGGGTAGTTGCGGACCTGCGGTAGTGGCGGTGGGATAGAGGTGGTTGCGGTAGTAGCGGTGGTAAGACTGTGCAAGATAGAAGTGGTTGTGGCTGTGGGAATGAGGTAGCTGCTGCGGTGGCAAAGACGGTGCAAGATAGAGGTGGTGGCGGTGGGATAGAGGTAGTTGCGGTGGTAGCGGTGGCAAGACGGTGCAAGATAGAAGAAGTGGTGTTGGCTGTGGGAATGAGCTAGGTAGCTGCGGTGGCACGATGGTGGGACTGAGGTAGCTGCGGTGTAGTAGCTGTAGTGTATAGTAGTTGAGTCGTTGTTCCAAACCGAGGTAATCTAAATTACCTCTTTTTTTTTTTGGACACCATAGTTGTATATATTGGCTTATAATTTTTGAGAAAAGATACAGTTAGTTGGCGGTCACATCATGACTGCAATATTGTAAACTTGAAATGTATCTATGAACAATCCTCCTCATGAAGCACACACATTATCTGGAACCCCAAAAAGCTTATATGGTACCAGCCAGGCTGAAACTAATCGAAGTGGTCATAGTTTATGTGCAAAGATAAG